CTACAGGCTCGACCACTAAAGCCTCGTCGACTACTGGGTCAACCAGCAAAGCGTCTTCTACTACAGGCTCGACCACCAAAGCCTCGTCGACTACTGGGTCAACCAGCAAAGCGTCCTCTACTACGGGCTCAACCACCAAAGCCTCGTCGTCTACGACCACAGGCTCAACCACTAAAGCCTCATCGTCGACTACAGGCTCTACCACCAAAGCGTCTTCGTCTTCGACTACGGGCTCCACCACAGGCTCGACTACCAAGGCCTCCTCAACCACGGGCTCCACCACTAAGGCCTCGACTTCCTCGACCACAGGCTCGACTACCAAGGCCTCCTCAACCACGGGCTCCACCACTAAGGCCTCGACTTCCTCGACCACAGGCTCGACTACTAAAGCATCGTCGACCACGGGTTCGACCACCAAGGCAACGTCTTCGACCACGGGCTCAACGACCAAGCCCTCGTCATCCACGACAGGCTCAACCTCGAAGGCCTCGTCATCTACGACGGGCTCGACAACTAAGGCCTCGTCCTCTACGACAGGCTCAACCTCGAAGGCCTCGTCATCTACGACGGGCTCGACAACTAAGGCCTCGTCCTCTACGACAGGTTCGACCACCAAGGCCTCGTCCTCCACGACAGGCTCGACCTCCAAGGCCTCATCTACAACAGGCTCAACAACCAAGGCCTCGTCCACGACTGGCTCAACGACAGGCTCGACAACCAAGGCCTCGTCTACATCAGGCTCAACAACTGGCTCAACAACAAAAACATCGTCCACAACAGGCTCAACAACAAAGGCCTCATCCACGACTGGCTCAACAACAGGCTCGACAACTAAGGCCTCGTCTACATCAGGCTCGACGACTGGCTCAACGACGAAAGCATCGTCCACCACAGGCTCGACAACTAAGGCATCATCTACATCAGGCTCGACAACTGGCTCAACAACGAAAGCATCGTCTACGACAGGCTCGACAACTAAAGGATCATCCACCACGGGTACAACGACAGGCTCGACGACCAAAGCCTCGTCTACAGGCTCGACGACAGGCTCAACAACGAGAGCATCCTCTAGCAGCACGTCGACAAAGACGACTGCTACTGTGACAAGCAGTCCAACGTCATCAAAGAGCTCGACTTCTGGCACTTCGACTTCGTCGACATCAAAGGCGACTACCACAACCTCTGCTTCAAAGACAAGTGCTGCTAGCTCAACTACAAATGTCTCCTCAACCACAAAGTCGACTACCAGCTCTGCTAAGACCACAACAGCGTCCACAAGCGCTGGAACAACGACCTCTTCAGGAAGCTCGTCCTCAGGCTCCACTACCAAATCATCCACCTCAGGTACCTCGAGCGCTTCATCCACGGTCAAGTCAAGCACTACTACAACAGGAAGCTCTACAACCAAATCAACATCCACCAAGTCGACAGGCAGCTCTACAGGAAGCACAACAACCGGGTCAAAGACCAGTACTACAGCAGCCTCTTCCACGACCAAGTCGACAGCTAGCACAACGAGCTCTCCCACAACGATGAGTACACGCACTTCGAGTCGATCAACAACTGGAAGCAGCTCCAGCTCATCGCCTACCACTGCATCCACATCGAAATCCACTAGCTCCCCTACATCGACTGTGAGCACTTCAAAGACAATCTCATCGTCAACCAGTGCCTCTACTTCGAAGAGCACTTCTTCGAAATCAACCAGCTCACCTACATCAACGGCGAGCACTTCAAAGACAGTCTCATCGTCAACCAGTGCCTCTACTTCGAAGAGCACTTCTTCGAAATCAACCAGCTCACCTACATCAACAGCGAGCACTTCAAAGACGACGTCATCAACAACTACTGCGTCTACATCGAAGAGCGCTACAACCTCAGGCATTAGTACATCCTCTTCAGTTACCACAAAAGTGACCACTAGTACTTCAAAGGCCACTAGCTCGACTTCCTCGACTGTAAGCAAGACGACAGGGTCCAGTACTTCAAGCACAAGCAAGTCCACCACTCCCTCCACCTCGGGAACCACTGCCACTACCTCGAAGGCGTCATCTTCTGCATCGTCAACTTCGACATCAAGCAGATCGCAGACTACAACCTCGGGCACCACTGCCACTACCTCGAAGTCCTCCACTACCACCCCATCGACTCGCTCGTCCACGAGTACTTCATCTACAGCTTCGACCACAGGAGCTAGCAGCACATCGACCAAACCAACATCTAGCACAAGCAAGTCCAGTGTATCGTCCACTCAGTCCTCGACTACAGGGCGCACCACAACTAAGTCCACAACTACTGCGACCACATCTGCTAGTGGAACTGTAACCACATCGACCAAGTCGTCCAGCAGCAGCCCGACAGTGTCGACCACTTCCAGCCAAAGCAAGTCTACAACCTCCTTGACTACCTCGAGCGCCAGCAGGACGACAGCGTCCACAACTACAACCGGAAGTAAGACTTCTACAACCTCGAAGTCAGCCACCGCCACAAGCACAACTACATCTGCGGCGACGTCATCGTCGACAACAAAGACTACGTCCACCGCGACCACACTTTCGACCCGCACTCGTTCAACATCGACGTTGTCTTCATCAACGACCAAGTCAAGCAGCACGCAGACTTCTACTGCGACTACTAAAGCGTCATCAACTGCATCCAGCACGACTGGTACGTCTTCGACTAAGTCTTCGTCTGCGACTACGAGCGCCACTACGACAGGCTCCAAGACAACCACAAGTGCATCGACTGTGTCAACAACAAGTGGCAAGAGCACTAGCTCTTCATCATCTTCCCGGCCAACCAGCACGACCTCCGTTAGTCTTACATCAAGTTCGAGCTCCACTAAGTCAAGTTCCACGACTGAAACTAAGTCCACGACCGGAACGACCTCGAAGGCGACGACGTCAAGTACTACAGTGTCACGAACGACAATTCCAACATCGTCTTCTACCCAGTCCAAGACAAGTAGTACTTCGATTACCTCCTCTTCCTCAACAAGCAAATCTAGCTCCACATCAAGTCAGACATCCTCGAGCACAAAATCAGTGACTAGCTCCTCAACAGCCACTCGATCTACCTCGTCCGTGACGTCTAAAGCCAGCAGTACCTCATCAGCCACTAGTACACCTAGCACGACTAAGTCCACTACAGTGACTTCCAGTAGCAAGAGCGTCTCTCAAACTTCAAGCACAACTAAATCTTCAACGTCAGCAAGTACTACCCTGTCTACGACATCTTCAGCCAAGACAACAACGACGCCTAGCACCTCCAAGACCTCTGTCACTTCAACAATCAGCACTTCGACAGTGACTACTTCTAAGAGCTCTATCACTTCAACGCCAAGCACTTCAAAGCCTTCTACGACAACGAGTGCTTCAAAGACTGCATCCACGAGTTCGGTGTCGACGACATCCCCTCCGTCAACAGTGAGCACGTCGAAGAGCTCCTCCACTACTTCGAAACCCTCTGTTTCGTCAACTACAAGCACTGTGTCTACTCAGACCTCCAAGTCCAGCACGAGTCGGTCCACTACTAGCAGTGGCACTTCCAGCGGCAGCACATCCACCTCGCGCACGACGTCTGCTACTACGGGAACCACTACTGCGACTACTAGAAGCAGTGCCAGCCCCAGCTCGACCACAGGTAGCACCAAGACAAGTAGCTCCACATCTACGTCACCGACTTTGAAAACAACGTCGACTGCACAAAGCACCTCCAGCTCAAGTCAGACTGTGACGACCAGCAGTAAATCCACCACCACTACCGGCTCTTCGTCTCGATCAACAGCGTCCACATCATCGTCAGGCACCACAACTACAAAGACAACGACTGCCAGCTCGACTGCAAGCTCCAGCACAAAGTCCACTAGCAGTGGCACGACTACAAATAGTCAGACCGGCAGCACGACCAAAACGACAGCTACTACCCTCAGCACTAGGACATCTTCGTCAACTACATCGAAGCCCACAAGTAGCACGTCAAGCTCATCTGCTACTAGTACTGTCTCTACTACGAAGGCAACCTCCAGCACTACGGTGGTCTCGTCAACAACAAAAGGTACAACCTCGACGGGCACAAGCAAGACCTCGAGCTCTACTTCGAAGAGTATTACCACTACCCCCTCCTCAACGGCGACTCGGTCCACAAGCTCTGTCACAAGCTCAACAGCTTCGACTGTTTCGACTTCTTCGACGACCAAGTCTAGCACTAGCCTATCGACGACTTCAGTTTCCACGACTTCAACCAAGACAAGTTCATCCGCCACTACATCAAAACCCTCGAGCACCGTGACCAGCACGACTTCAAAGACTTCAGTGACAACATCGTCGGCCACGAGCACGCCGTCGACCTCGGGCAGTAGCTCAACAACTTCAAAGAGCACGACCTCGAAGGCAAGCACTTCTTCGATGACATCCCAGAGTACGACCACGAAGGGAAGCAGCTCAACTTCAGTCACCACTTCTAGCTCGAAGACTAGCTCAAAGAGCACGACAAGTCCAACCGCGACCACAACTGCCAGCTCGACGACATCGAAGAGCACCGCTTCCACATCGACAACTAGCTCAAAGAGTACAACGAGCCAGTCTGTGACCGCAACTTCTACTACCTCGAAGAGCACAACGAGTCAGTCTGTGACCGCAACTTCTACTACTTCGAAGAGCACCACGAGTCCATCTGCGACCACAAGTCCCAGCTCGAGTAGCTCGAAGGTCACAACGAGCACGGGTTCAACAAGCAGTCGCTCAAGCACGACAGGTACAGCTTCATCCACAATAAGTACCTCGGTCACGACACGAACCTCCTCCACAACGGGACGCTCATCGACAACCGGAACAGCCTCGTCAACGACGACATTGAAGACTAGCACATCGTCGTCCGCGACTACAAGCACTAAGTCAAGTACTGGAACGACCAGCTCGAAGAGTATGACCACACCATCAAGCAGCAGCACATCGTCAGCAAGTTCGAGGTCCTCAACAGGCACGACCACGCCCGCTACAACAACCTCATCTCGCACGGCCTCAGGAACTACCGGTACCTCGACATCGTCGCGATCAACATCGTCAGTCACTACATCTGTAACGACTACTAAGTTGAGTACAAGTTCGACCTCGTCTGCACCAACGACTAGTGCAAGCTCCACATCTACTCGCTCTTCTTCTACTGGCTCAACAAGTGTGACCCCCACTTCACGGACCACAAGCACTTCCTCCAAGAGCACGTCTATCACAACCGGCTCGACGACATCGAAATCTACCACGGCCTCAACTAGCTCGTCATCATCATCCCGATCGGTGACAACGTCTACCCCGACAGCGTCAACAAGCAGCACTAAAACATCAACGACAAAGTCCGCGACCACCGGAACCACTGCTTCAACTAGCACAGGTACACGATCGAGCACCACCGCCTCCTCGTCTCAAATAACCAGCTCATCTACTCGATCTGCGACGACCTCGCCTAGCCAGACAACCACAACGCCGGCTACAACCAAAACGACTTCGGCAAGCGCGACGACTCAGAGCAGCACAAGCACGTCCTCTAGGAGCGCGTCAAGCACCACAAGCAAGACTACCACAGCTTCCACAAGCTCTTCCTCGTCTGTCTCTTCGAGCACACGTTCAAGCACGAGCACTACCTCCGCGAAGACCTCAACCACAACTGCTCCTACGTCGTCCACCACCAAGGCCTCCTCCACAGTAAGCACTTCCACCACGACGAGTAAAGCGACAACGGCGCCTACATCCTCGACAACGAGCAAGGCGACGACAACGGCTCTGACGTCTTCTACCTCGAGCACCTCTCTCAAGACCTCAACTACCACAGGCAAGACGACAACAACGGCACCTACCTCTTCTACCTCGAGCACGTCTCTGAAGACCTCGACCACTTCGAGCAAGACAACCACAACGGTGCCTACCTCTTCTACCTCGAGCACCTCTCTGAAGACCTCGACCACGACAGGCAAGACAACAACAACGGTGCCTACATCGTCGACCACTAAGGCCTCGTCCACAGTAAGCACTTCAACTACGACGAGCAAAGCGACAACGGCTACTTCGTCCTCTACTGGGAGCACCAGCTCTTTGAGCACGTCTACAAGCAAAACGACGACCACTCTTACATCGAGCACCTCTTTAAAGACGTCGACTACAACAAGCAAAACGACAACCGCTCCTACATCGTCGACCTCCAGCAGTTCTTTAAAGAGCTCGACCACGACGAGCAAGACGACGACTGCTCCTACATCTTCCACCACAGGCGCCTCGTCCACAGCTAGTACCTCGAGCACCTCTTTGAAGAGCTCGACCACGACGAGCAAGACAACGACTGCTCCTACATCTTCCACCACAGGCGCCTCGTCCACAGCTAGTACCTCGTCCACAACAAGCAGGACTACAGCTTCCACGGCCACATCGACCTCATCAAGCACCACCCGGTCAACAGCTTCTCAGACTACCACTTCGAAGACGGCGACGACCACGTCTGCAAGCGGTACTGCTACGAGCACATCCACTTCAAGCACATCAAAGACAAATACTGGTACCACTACCTCGTCCGCTAGCAGCAGTCGATCAAGTACTAGCTCTGCCAGCAGCACCACCTCAAAGACTAGCACCTCATCGACAAGTGGCACTCAAACAACGACTAGCGTATCGTCTACAGCCACAACGTCCAAGAGCACGAGCAGCAGTAGCAGCACCCCGTCCACCTCTTCAACCAGTAAGACTACCAGCTCAGGCACAACTAGCACAGGCACAACCAGCTCGGGAACGACTTCGACCAAGACTTCAAGCACTGTCTCAAGCACTAGCTCAAGCAAGACCTCAGTGACTGCTACCACCTCATCTACGGCCCGCACATCATCCACCTCCACAACGTCCGCATTGACAACTACCTCCGCGCAGACAACGACCACACCTGCCACGACTAAGACGACCTCGGCAAGCGGTACAACACAAACTACATCAACTTCGTCAGTGAAGAGCTCCACCACTACATCTTCTACTCCAGCTGCAACGTCGACCACGTCAGTCACCTCCAGCAATAGCAGATCAAGCACTTCATCGTCCACTGTCAGCCCTTCAAGCTCATCAACAACTAAGAGCACCACCTCGGGCACCTCGTCTACGACAAGCAAGGTTACGACTGCCACAACCGCCACAACCACCACAACCGCCACGACCGCCACGACCGCCACGACAGCCACGACGAGCGCAACCACCTCAGGTAGCACATCTACGACAAGCAAGGCCACGACAGCATCCACAGCTACCACCACCCCAGTCACCTCGTCTACAACGAGTAAGGCCACGACCGCCTCGACGAGTGGTACCACCTCGGGTACGACGTCTACCACAAGCAAGGCTACGACCGCCTCGACAAGTGGTACGACATCGGGCACCTCGTCTACCACAAGCAAGGCTACAACCGCCTCGACGAGCAGCACAACCTCAGGTACCACGTCTACCACAAGCAAGGCTACGACCGCCTCGACGAGTAGTACCTCCTCAAGTACCGCCTCAAGCACAGGTACCACCTCGCAATCAAGCTCGTCGACTGTGACGACGTCCTCGACTTCTTCAAAGGCATCGTCTACTTCAAGCACCGGCACGACAAGCACCGGCACGACAAGCACCGGCACGACAAGCACCGGCACGACAAGCACCGGCACGACAAGCACCGGCACGACAAGCAAGTCTGCTACCACATCATCAAGTGCAAGCCAGGCCTCCACAACCAGCGCTTCCTCGACGACTGCGACTGTTTCCTCGACAACAAGCAAGTCTGCCACTACTAGTGCCCCTACTACAACTTCAGTGGTGGTATCCTCAACAACGATCGTGACTTATTCTTCCGTAAGTTCTCCGTCCACACATTTCATTGTTGCATGGCACTAACCACATCCATAGACGACAACCACGAAGGCAACAACAACCAAGACCAAGCCATACAGCTCAAAGACCACAAAGGCAACAACAACCAAGAGCAAGCCGTACACATCAGTGTCGACTCCAGTCTACACAACGCAACCACACCAATGGGGCGATTGGCAAGATGAGCCAGCACCAACCTACCACTGGAACGCTGCTCAATGGAAGAGCGTGTATGAGTCGTTCACTGCCAACCCAACGACAAGCTATGTCTCAGATGTGTGTGACTACATCCAGCACCCCCACGCCACAGTCACCAGCGTGACTGAAGCGACAGTGAGCGTTGCTGCCGCTACGATCACTGAGCATGTTCAGCCCGTCGAGACCGTCACCGTCCGTGGCTGGGGCATTGGCGCTGGTAAGGAGAGAGCTGGACGAGTTGTCCGGGGATGGCAGCAGGAGGAGAATGAGGAGTAAGGGAGCATCAGCCCCGACTCTCTCGGAAGCGTGATCGCCTCCATAGAGAGGCATCATGGTAATGAAGCAGGCACCTGTGCCTGAAAAGTGTTGTTATGATTACTTATGCTGCCCTAAGGCAGCCCCGATAGATTGTATATAGTGGGGTCTTCCACTACGAACGCTCCTTCAGACCCATAATTAGGCATTTCAAATGTCCTCGTTCCTTTGACCATTCTTCCAATTCTCTACAACATACCGGTACCATACCAGGCTCCAAGGTATATCCCTCGAGTTACAGAGAGACATGCTCAAGCTCGTGCCTAGGAATGCGGCCGAAGTTGCGATACCGGCTGCATGCCTGACCGCTACTCGCCTCAGGAGTCGGGACTTTCGAAGACTACATGGCACGAGACCGAAGTGATGCAACTAAGCGAGACCAGCGATTTGTATTTCGTCCAGTCCGGCAGCGTGCCCTGTCAGAGCCCGCCTGCCTACCTGTACCCGTGGGAGCGAGCTGGACTCTGCTGGATCAGGTCAGGTCGAGACTTTGTCGTTCTCGAGGCTCGAGGGCGCCCGCGGGCAGAAAAGGAGGGTCAGAGAGAAAAAGAGGCCAGAATTCAAGACCGAAGATATAGTCCTGAGTAGCTCGGGTCTTTGTCCTGGTGGTCAACGTTTTCGCCATTTCGGGTCAGTATAGTTTTCTTTGTGACTATGGTCTGGGCCAGGGCCTAATCTTTTGTTTAAGCGTTGTGGCAGGTGCTAGCTGACCTTCGTCGAGGGACCGAGCGTCGAGGACCGAGGGTACCTTTGTCTGAATGGCTTGTTCGCTTTCAGCACCGTGGGAGGTTCTCCAAAAAGAGAGCACATATTGATGGTATGCACGTGATGAGGAACACGATGCTCGAAAGTCTGTGCTGGCAGCTGCTAGATGGCAGCGAAGTGACCAGTCGAACCCAGGATTTTTGTCTCGCCTAGACTTGATTGCGGGCACATGCAGACTCTGCATGTACAGCAGGCATTTTCCGACCTTTGAGATTATATACAGGTTGCTCGTGAGTATCATTAATTACCTACCACTTCGTCCCTGTACCGACACGCCGAATGAGATTTGCCCCTGATCTTTCTTTTTATCCTGAAAAGTGTGATCCATTCAGTCAAAAGATCCGGTTAGATCGCGCGCAGCTTTCCCGTTGGCTATGATGTTGTCCATCCAAAGCACCGTGCCGAAGCTTCGGTCTGCCTTCGTTGATTCAGGATATGAAATACCAACCCATTTTCCATTTCATGTGTGATAGACCCGTAATATCCTGCCCCTCACAGCCCGACAGTATGCTCCCCCAAAACCGCCGAATCCTCTCCCCGTCTCCTCCCCTCCGCCCTCTGCCCCTCATCAACCCTCCCATTCCGCACCGCATTCCCATTCACAACCCCAACACTCTCACCGCCGCCACCACCTCCCATCCCCTCATGCCCACCCAAACTCTCCACCTCATCCACCGGTCCCCCACCCACGCCCGGCGCGCCCAACTCCCTCACCTCCCTCGACTCCCAGCACGGCGCATTCAGATCTCGTGCCCAGCGCTCACTATACAACTCCTCGAGGTACTCGATCGTCAAAGGCTTAGGCCAGCTGCTGGCGATCTGGTTCATGTCTTGAGACGAGGAGGTCGAGTTTGAGGCGAAGAGGGTGGAGAAGGGCTTGAAGCTGACGCGGTGGTGGCTGATGGGGACGGTCCAGGTGTCGGAGAGGTCGATGTGGAGTTGTGCTGAGGAGAAGAGCTCGAACCTGGGCAGAAGTCGTTAGCCACAAGTAACACAGTGCTGTAGAATCTAGAGGCGTGTACGAGGCAACTCACCCAATAAAAGTCCCCGCCCCACCCCCCAACGTCCCCAACCCAACAATCTCCGCCCCCTTGCTATTCTTCACCAGCGCGTAGATCTCACAGAACGGCACCAGCTCGCGATCCGTCGGCGCCAAGCCAAACGATGGGAACTTGAGGAAGTGCAGATCGCGAGACAGGTTCTCCTCGGCTTTGGCCTCCCAGAAGTAGCGTAGCACGACTTGGTCTGTTCGTGATAGATTGCCGAGTGTTCCTGCGCCGGAGTGTGGGACTGCTGGTAGGGCGTGCTGTGTGAGAGGGCGAGAAACGCTGTTGGTGCCTGATGGTGGTGGGTTGTTGGCGAAGCGGTGAGAGGCGTTTTGTTGGGTAGTGGGACTAGTGGTCGCGCCTTGCATGTTGTTAGAGTGTTGTTGATGGTTCGCGAAATCGTAGGAGGCGTCTGATGCGGCTGTTGACGAAGCAGGTCTCGAGTAGTGCTGGTCCGAGTTTTGGAGTTGGCCGTTGGGCATGTTGTATGATGTTGGCGGCGATGTTGGCGAGATTGGTCCACGGTCCAAGTTTTGGGAGTGCCTGCTGTCGCGGTCCCGGTCGGATTTGCTGAGGCGGCGGCGAAAGAAAGACATGTTGAGAACGGGATGAGAGTGAGACGGGCAGTAACAGGTTGGTAGCGGGTGCTCGGTAGTTCAGTGCTGGGAGAAGAGATGGCGGAAAGCCACTATCAAGTCTTGATATCCAGAAGAGTGGTAGACCAAGGTTCTGCTGGAGATGCTTTTCCGTAAGAAGCGAGCGACCTGCTAGATTGTGCCGTAAAGCAGGGAATGAGGAAGGGCTGGACGTTGAATGAGCGGCTAACAATGCGTTTGACAGGGCAAGGACGATGGCTGGAAACAATGCTTTCGAATAAGAGGATGATCGTTGTCAATGTATCGTGGAGTTGCACAAGCGAGAACGCAAATCCTTGTGAAGCGATGTTCATGACCCGCTGATTTTCGATATGGTCGGGTCTGCGGAACAACTAAACTATGGTAAGTTAGGGCCGGATGCGATATGCCCGATGCCGCGTCCCGCTGCGGAGCTTTGCCACTTCGTAACCAATCACAGTCTCGCACTTGGCAAGCGGCTGGCGATGAGGTTGGGAAATTCTACGACATCTTGAAGAAACAAGAAATGTAATTGTGGTCAACTCGATGGAATATGATGAGCTGCACGCCAGAGACATGCGAGGTCATCTAGAAGTTGCACATTTCTGGGTCTCGAGCCGCAAGTAACCCCCGTTTCAGAAGTCTCCACGCCTTGTGCTCGAGCTAGGCGAGATCGAGCACACTGTCAATATGACGCAGGCCATCACTTCCATTCCTCGATAGAGGCCACAGACACGATGTTATGCACATTTTGAGGGAGATCCTCAATTCTGGTTCGACTGGACGTCTCATTGATCTGGCATTTGCATCGCTTCGGTGATGGACTACTGAGTACTCGAGTATCAGGTAACTTCAACTATAGGCATAAATATTTGCACTTCCCAGATGTTGGTCATGAATCCGCCTAGCAAACCCTCTCAACTTTCAGCGGCATGGTGTCAATGGCGAACACATCGATCAAGGCTGTGGGTGGCCCCTTCTCTCTCTAAGGAGGTAGGGTGCCCTCGAGTCTCGCGTGCGGAGATCCTAGTTCGATTCTGAGAGCTGCCATACTTCTTGTGCTTCTTACTTTTTGCTTTTGGTTTTCACTGGTGCTGAGAAAGTAGCTAATTTGCAATGGGAGCAGCGAGTGAAGTAGTGGGCTGTCGAGGTCAGGGAAAAGGTAAGTCAGCATCCAACACGCATGATGAGCAACGAACGAAAAGTGATTCGAGGTTAGTACGCTGACCTTTGGCTTTCTACCTCTGGATGGTGATGGGCTCGCTAACACCCTTCCTCACTCTTCCCCCGTGCTCTTCATCTCTCGAGCGCGCCGCCTCGGGATGCTGATTCACCTCAACCCCAGATCAAAGACAACGCCGCAACACCAGCAATCCCCAGCCCAGGTCCAGCATGAAACAACCCCTTGCCCAGGCTGCCCTTGCCCGTAGACCCTACCCTCCTCGACAGTACCACGCCATCCGTACACGCCACCACGACTCCCAATACGCACAATATCTGCGCCGTCTCCACCCACTTCCCCTGTGCCGCAAAGACGACGAGGATGAGTCCTTGCGCGAGCTGGCGCGTGCCCAACAGAGAGACGTAGGACGCGGCGGCGACGGCTGCTCTCGTCGAGACGTCCGCATCATCGTCTTTCATGCGCTTGCTTGGAGGATCGTCGATGGACTTGGCAGAAGCCCCGGATGTTGCACTGGGCGAACTAGGTATGGGTATGCCGAATGCCTTCGCAAATCCATGAGAATCAAATAGCGCTTGCAGGCCGGTTGCAATGGAGGCGACCGCGAAGATCAGGGAGATGGTTTGGAATATGGCGAGGATGGTTGGCATGATGGTGAGCCGGGTTTGTATATCTCTAGGTCCGTGCTGGGTGTCCAGAAGTTCGTGAGTCCGTCTGTCGTTGCGAATAACGGATTTTTTTCGAAGCTGTGAGATCTCTCAAGTATATACAGTAAATCGAAAACTTGAGAAACGGGTAGTTATGCCGTTACAGAAAAGTCAACCACCAATGACATCATCGTTTGGTCTTGCAGCTTTTCTCACGCACGTTGTGCTGAGATAGTCTATGGATCACTCCGAGAAGGAGCTAAAGAGGAGGGGAAGAGAAATTACGTATAATGGAAGGAAGGAGGAGTTACGTATATGAGAGGAAGGAGGAGTCACGCATATGAGAGGAAGGAGGAAAAGCCAAGAAGCAACACAGCCCGAAATCATGAGAGGAGGAAGCAGAAGAAGCCAAGCAAGACACCAACCGTGGAAGGAGTAAGAAGGAGAAATGGGAACTTCACATAGTGTATCCTCTAAATTTCATCGCTAAGTGAATACCAAATGCAAATTGCAATAATCATTCGAACCCCAAGCCTTGAGTCTCCAGGGACCGAACCCGAGACATGGTCATCAATCGTCAACATCATAAGACCCGGCCCAGCACACAATCTTCCTTCCCAACTCCCATGAAAGCTCTGTGCTCAATACGACGAGTCCCTCCTCATGCGCTTGGCTGGCTTGTACTGAATCAAGTCTTCTTCGCTCAGTGGAGCAAAGGCCGATGCACCTCAGTCGGCATCATCATCGTCGTCGTCAGCGTCATCGTCATCGTCATCACCATCACCATCACCGTCATGGTCTTCGCCATCATCATCCTGCGCCTCACCAGCTCCTTCTCCGACACTGCTATGACTCTCACTCGTCGAAAACGAGTTTGTCACCGCATCCCGATCAGCAGCCGCATGCCCAGTCTCCTCGTCCGTCGCCCATTCCACCTCCGGTTGTCTTGACGATGCGGTCGATGCAGCTGGCTCGATTGATGGGATTGGCGTTGTCGATGGCCCCAGTAGTGTTGATGGAACCGATGCGGATGATGAAGCGAGTGGGGTGGGTGGACCCGGTGCTGCTGATCCAGGGAATGGTGGCCCTGCTGGCGTAGTGGATGGCGATGTAGGCGACAGTCGGAATGGCGGCACCCGGGCGGCTGATGGAGGGAAGGGCGGGCCTGCCGGTTGACCGAATGGAAGGCCAGTCGACGGAACCGATGGCGGTGCCGTTGACCGAGGGAAAGGCGGTCCAGTCGACGGAACCGATGGCGGTGCCGTTGATCGAGGGAAAGGCGGTCCTGTAGATGGAGCAAATGGTGAAACTGCAGATGGAGGCGGTCCTGGTGCAATCCAGGCAGGGAATGGCGGCCCTACCCGACGGAAGAACCCCGGTGCTGTCGATCGAGCAGATGCCTCGCCACCGGAAGGGTCGTCAACGATCGCAGCGGTACTGACAGCATCATCCTCAGCAGCAGGCGCCATAGTAGCAGGAGCCGCAGCAGTGTCACCACTCAAGCCAAATTCAGCACCTTCAGATCGACTCGCGCCATCAGCCATAGCAGAGCCATCGACTCCCATTGATCGTTCTTGCCCAGCCCGAGTCATGCGCTCGTCCATTGTCGGTGGTCTTGGGTCGTCGAGCCGATGACTTCTGGGTTGGTGATCCGTGTATGACGGAGGTGGCTCTCCATACCTGTCCCGTGCGAAATTGTCTGCTCGACGTTGCGCTCTCCGATTGGCAGCTCGATGGTCAGGTTGTAGGCCAGCAGGATACCCAGCTGGCTCGCGGGCATAGGGATGGTCTCTCAGACGGCTGGAGTCGAATACTGAGTACGTCGGGTCTTCGTCTGCTTCAGGTGGGTAGTTGAATAAGCCACTTCGGAACTCTGGGTGAGGGCGGCGCTCGGGCGACGCCGATCGCGATGACGAAGCGTGAGGCCGCTCCTGAGGACGTCTTGTCAGCATGCGTGGACGGTCGAAGTGGACGGTAGGTGCACGATCGAAGTGGACGTTAGGTGCATGGTCGAAGTGGACGGTAGGTGCATCCGTCTGGGATGTCTCGGAGACTTCAACTGCTCGTTGCAACCCGGGAGGGAAAAGAGGAGAAAAGCTTCTTGGCGGGGGGTCCTCGACGTTGCTTTCGTTTGCCGAATCTAACCCAATCTTCATCAGTGGTGCATATACATGAGAAGTGACGGTCTTACCTGTTGCTTGATCTCGACCCAAGGACCTCGGAGGTCCGACATACCGTGGCCGAGACCATTCACCCAAATAACATCCTCTATGGTTGGGAGATCTGATCTGACTTGGACCGTGCAAGTGCCTCTCCGGATCATAGTCTGAGGAATCGACGATCGAGCCAGGATATGGATATGAGTAGTTTGGATTGTTTGGTGACGCTCTGGGGGCTCTACCCGCGTGTTCGAAGGGTGGAGCAAGCATACCTGCGTCGGCTGGCTCTTGCTCAGAGGTGGATGGCTGAGGCGGATTCTGGCCGCTCGTGGCATGCTGACTCTGCTGCGAGGAAGTCTGCTGTTCTTCTCCAGTCGGACCGGTCAGTTGAGCAGAAGACTGTGCCGAATCCTCGTCAGCTTCGTGAGGTGGAGTATCGCTGGCGCCATCACCGCCGAAAGGCTGTCTGAACCGCTGTTGACCAGGGCTGCCATTTGACTGATCGTTGCGCCTTCCAGGCATACCATCATCGTTTGACTCATCGTGCGCAGCGTTCGATCCATCGTTTGCATCGTTTGCATCGTTCGACTCATCGTCTGGACCGTCTGTACCGTCTGGACCGTCGCGGTGTGACTCTTCTTGTGGATGTTCAGGAAGACCATTGAGATTGAAGACCGGGGAACCAGTAGCGTGACCAGCAGTAGGATCGCCGGATTGGCGAGCGTGAGCGCGAGCGGCGGCGAGGTTGCTGGCAATGCTGCCGCCAATGCGACGACCGGCGCGCTGGTCGCGCAGAGAGTCCTCGATGGCCATGGCGAGGTCTCGGTGCTCGCGGCTCTCGAGCTCGTCGAGCTCGTCGTCGTCGTCATCAGGGGGTGGCGGTGGTGGTGGGCGCGGCGGCAGGGAGCGATGGGCCAGACGAGGACGATGAGCTACTGCCACCTTCTGCAATGGTTTCAAGGTCGGGAGCGATGCCATTCTGCCGTTGACTGGTGAGCGACGTGCCGTAGGGGTTGCTGCTGCGAGATTTCTGCGAGGCGGAGGTGTAGTCGCGCTACCAACTGATGGGGAACTTGACGACAACTCTGCTTCTTCGGCTGGGCTTACACGAGCAGAAGACCGAGTTGGGACTGGAGGAGGATTCTCCGATGGAGGTGGTACGATGTCTTGATTGGGATGAATAGATATGCCTCTGATAGCCCCGGGACGAGGCATAGGGTGTCGAGTCGGAGAATTCTGGACATTAGGCACTGGCACAGGCCGTGGCGCAGGACCAGGCGGAGTAGCTGGTGTTGTCGTCGGTGTGACAGCTCTGGACTGGATCGTGCTCGGAGTGGCGCTAGGAATCGTAACTCGAGGAGGAGTGCGAGACACTTTGAAGGCGAAAAATGCTCCCAGCAAACTAATGAGTATGAAGCCTAGAATGACCAGAATCAATGTGGCCACTTGGTAGTTCTGAGCTGTACTTTCGATAATGACGGTGCCTGGAAACACACAATCGGCTGTACGGTTGTCAAGTGACGAGGCCGTAGCCAAAGTCACTTGGTCGACCGGCAATATCATCCCTCAACTGATGCTAACCAGCGAAAGATATCCGAAGAAGCATGATTTCATGAGAGCATTGCTGAGTATAAGTAGCCATTCTCTGAAGGATTGTCAGGCTTTGCTGTCTTTCCTCCACACAAACATGCGTAAAAAGTCACAATCTGCGCCAGAATGCGCTGAGTTCATTGTCGCATTCATGCCGATAATGCATCCATTGCGTCTGGAACAATGCTGCAGGTCGCTTGCTGACTTGCTGATGGGCTCTGCAGACGGCTTGATCGCGCCCGTTCGACACCGCGACGACAGCACAGGAGCCGCATGTCGTCACCGCTGTAGCAGTTCCAAGTCCTCAAACTCTGCCGTCAGGTCCGATTGCTCGTCCTCGTCCATCTCCAGCGGTCTGCTTGCGTAGCACCCGACGAGCACGGAAGGCTTCATGCTCAGGTCACTGAAGAAGCCATTGATCTCTCGCACTTTCTTCCATTGGGCAGTGATCTCCTCAACGCTTTGGCACTCATGTCGATGGATATCCGGAATCATATAGAAGATCCATAGCATGTCGTTGACGTTTTCGAGCTTCAGCCGTAGACTTACGTGGTTGCAGTCTGAGTATTCCGGGCCATCCTTGGAGATGGGTAAGGCGGTAAAAGAGAAGTCGGGGCCGCGATCTGGGTACGTTACAACAGTTCCCAGTCCGACATCATTTTCAGACATCTGTAATGATACAGTCACCCACTTTCCAGGTCTGTTGGATCCATGTCGCCGCCTTCGTCCCTCATATGAAGTGGGACTGATCCACGGCTCTGAGGGAGAAGTATCAAGGAATAAGACAATGCCAGCCTGATCGAAGTCCATTTCGAGAGGTACTGTCACTGTCGCTTCCGCTATGACGAATGGCCGATCGAGCTTCCTCAGCAACATCGGTGCCGTGAACTCATCCCGCGATCTGATAAGTCTCCATATCTTGCGATCTGGTGGAGACGTGAGGCTGAAGTACTCGTTGATGTCTTCTGGTTGTTGGAAAGCTGTCTCAACATTGTATGCCGTCCAGTCTTGCCCTGCGCTCTGACTCGTTGTAGCGGACATGGTGGCCCCTGAGCAGGGTTTCAAGTCTGGTCTCCAGCGCGTACACCCGAAAGTCTGGCGATCCGAAACGCTTTACAAAAGTGCAGATGACCTTGCTCCCACACTCGCCTATGAGCGAACCGCTTAGGCGACCCGATCTCCGAACTCCTTTTGCGATGCTGACTGTGTCCACCAACACCGGTAAGCCGGACTTGCGCCTAAGATTCTGCTGTTGCGGACAATTCTGACGGTAATATCCGCATAAATTGCGTCTGTTCTGCCAATGCCGATCGGGTGGACTCCGGCGCGAACGGGATTGCTCAGTATTAGTCTCGCGCACTTTGATGGCCCTGGAACTGTCGAAGACTGCGAATGGTCGATGGACTCATGATATAGGGTACCAGATACTGACTCCTGTCTATATCGAAGGGTTGCATTGAAAGTACGGTGTAGTAGCAAAAAGGCTCCATGCGAGGGTCGAAGTTCGGCGCAGGAACCTCAAAGTGCCAGGTGTAGGCGCTGGCGGCACCTCGATTAATAGCATCCTCGCATTCCATCTCTCATTCGCTTAGAGCGAAAAAGGGGCCGACGAACCATGATTTTCATCGTCATGACCTTGGAATGGGGAGTCCGAGGTCGTTGATGGTGGTCTTGTGTCACCTTTGACAGGACAGCGGTCTTGGCTCAGCTGGATGAACGGTGGTTGCCACCGCTTCAGCTGGCCTCCGAGCAGCTGAGTCACGGTCAAGGACCAGGAGGTCATCGTTGTAGCGCATCGCGTCTGTGGGAAAAGCAACTGAGACGTGCTCAGGCGATGTTTCTGAATCGAGTAGCTGGTTGTACAAGATCAGGATTGGTCCGAAGCGTGGTTTGGTGCACAAACGTTGATGCTGTGGTTGTAAGCCCCTGTACCGATCCTCTTTTGGCTATGCGTCCGTACATTCGAGATCGAAAATTTGTCAAGCGTGGTTCGCATCGATGAGCGTGCGTATAGATGTGGTCAGGAAGAGGTCGAAGTGGGAGGAAGTGCCGATTGAGTATATGAAGATCATGCGTGACCCCTGTTGGTCTGTCGTAGGCTGCATGATAGCCGAAAAGCCACGTTCCGGGCACTTGCAGTGGATGGCATCCCCAACGGTCGCAATAACGTCGACTCGGCTCTGTCACCAATATCACGCACTTGCTGCCACCTTCGGCGGCTGTCTCAGTCTGCCTTGCGTGTATGACGAGCAGCAAAGGGTCGTACCGACCACGATACTGACCGAACCGCTGCAATGCAGCCGCCCGGCCGGTAAGAGGGTATGGTTAGCACAGGCATGAATATGATGGCATTGTATGGTCTGTGGTATGTAGGCTGCGTGGTGCGAGTCATGCCTGCGAAATGGTTATAGGCTTGCAAGGTTGTGCCTTCCTGGCCTCAGACCAGTGATGAGTGGCAGTGACGATGGGAAGTTGGAAGGGTCTCAGATTAAGCGAGCTCTTTCCTTTGTTCCTTTCGTCGCAGGGGCACTATGGCAACCAGAAGAAGAAGTCGCTGTGATCAACGCTCAACACTGCGGCAGTAGCATGCCAATGCGAGGTCATTCATGCGACCACAGGCCCGATTAGCAGCAACCGGCAAGTGCTGTTGCTTCTATCACACGCTTTTCGCAACGCTAATGCTTTCTGTGATGCATGCCCTCATCTCTTGCCCTTCTTCTTCTTCCCACCACCACCGCCAGCAGCGGCAGGAACAAGCGTACTCGTGCCACTCCCTCTTTGCGCATCCAGACTCTCATTCACAATCCCACCCTGAGTCTCCCCGCCACCCTTCTTCCCTTTCTTCTTTCCCTTCGGCGCACGATAGTAACTGCGGTCGCGCATCGGCAGCCACCGTTCAGGATCCACATTCTTGTTGGGATCATAGTCCTTGGGCAGTCGCGACTTTCGTACTTTCTTCGCCCGTGAAGACGTACCATCGGCAGCCCGCTTGCGTGATCGACCTACCGCAATAGCTAGCGCATTCGACGCTTGTGGTATGCCGGCTCGCTCAAGGTCGTCAACGTTGATATTGCGCGTCAGGTCGCTTACCGAGGTGAGCCTTTCTGCTTCTGTACGGATCTCGTCGGTGGCGCCATCAGCGTGGGAAGCTACGTAGCCTGCGATGGCTGCTTTGTCATCGGGTCGTTGCTGCCGTAGTTTACTGAACATTTCCGCGGCTGCTTCTATGTCGGCCTTGTCTTCGCTTTCGAGCAGGGATGAGCCTGCCGCTCGTAGGAGTGATGGTGGTGCGTTTGATTGTGTTCGCCAGTATGCTGCAGACTTTGCTAATTCTGCTTTGATGTCTGCTTTGCGGCCGAGTCTTCGGTAGAGACCGACTAGAATGCTAATTAGGCCAGGATTGTGCCTAGTGGCCTTGATGTCGGCCTCCTCGGAGGATTCTAATTGGTGTAAAAGTGACTGTATTGTGCTCACAGCTGAGGTGGTATCGCCTATCAGAAGATGTATTTGCGTGAGTGTTAGCGCTAGCCCAATGTCTGATGAACTCTTCTTGAACGCCGCGTCAACCTTTCGTGCCGCAGCTTTCGAGGTCTCGTTCTCGGCGATCGCGGCTGCGCGGAAGATGGAAGATAGAAGAGACTCCACGGTGAGCAGTGGTGCGCTCTTCTTTTGACCTGTGCTTGACAGACCATCATATTTCATAGCAGCCAGATCGACCGTCTTCTTGTTAGATGCGAACGCTGCGGCTTGGTAGGAGAACAGCTGCTCCCCAGCAGACAGCTTCGGAACTGTCTGCAGCGTCTTGTGCAGTAGAAAGGGATTGTCTGACCTTGACGAGGTGAGTAGACTGTTCGACTGCGCGACTGTTCTGCTTTCCTTGTCTGCAATAGACTGCAGGGGTAGATCATTGGCCATGGCATCAGCTTCTTCAGTTTTGCCCTGGACCAGAAGGACGTAGATCTGCTGCACTCTGATTGGTAACAACTCTTCGTCCTTCTGCTCTTCCTCGAGCTCAGCGTGATTCTTGCACAGGTCGTAAGCGCGTTTCAACAGCATCTCTGCCTGTGCGAACTCTTGTCGCGCGATGCTGCTGCAGGCGGCATTGTAGGCGGTTTCGAATTGTTGCAAATCCTCTCCGCTCGGTCGTGTCGACGACTGTGATCCCAGCCACTGATTCTGCGCTTCGGCGCCGGCTCTGTTGACCCTGATATCATACTTCTCTTCCGTAGCTTGGTCCTGCCGAAGCTGCTCGTAAAGTTCCAGTGCCCTAGCGCTGTTCTCAAGTCGATATTGTGCCTGTGCTTCAAGATGTAACGCTCCACGCCCGCTGGACTTGGCCACAAGATCGGCTGCCTCTTTGAGATGCCCTGTTTTGTACAACACGTACGCGCACTCGAGCGGTAGCCTGTCCTGTATCGACGAGCCAGTCTGTTGTATAAATTTGTACGCCTCGTCGAAGCGGTCCAACTTGATCAAGGCAACGACCTGGACGTCTTGCGCCTGTTTGTCGCTGCTGGACTTCTTGAGAGCAGCATTACTGGCTCGGAGTATCTCATCGTGGTCGTCGATGGTAGCTTTCTGCAGCAGGCCGGCGAGGAGTGGGGTGGTTGCGGCCATGCTGCTGTGACGTTTGGTTTACTGAGGACTTCGTTCTACCGCATGGTGTAGGGTCGCGTCATGTACTTTGTGACCAGTCCGTCACTTCTCCGGATCTTTCACTTCGCTCTGTCTAAATAAGATGCGTCACGGGGACTGAAGTCACAAGAGCAATGTTCGTGAATTTCGGTGCGGAGGCCACCCCACACTGCCAAAATTTTGCGACCAAAATTATGCTGCCCTAACCCTGATGTGTCACGACGACGATGATATCGTCACTAGCAGAGGATGAAGTACGGACGTGACACTTGGCTGGTCACGTTCGTATTGTGAATGTATGACTACTTGACCACTCTTGCAGTCATATCTTCACCGCAGCTACTTCAAGAACGCAATTCCCTCTTTCGCGGGGTTGGTCTGCATTCTGTTTCCGAACAGCTTCCAAAAGCCGTTCTGCGCATTCCACCGCGGCATGATCTCGCCTCGCTTGACCATGGCGGCGATCTCCTCGTCGAGCACAGCAGAGCCCGCATCCGCCTTGCCAGGAGAGCCGAAGATGTTGATCTTCTCCAGCTGCTTCGCCAACTTCTCTCCCAACCCCTCCTCCGTCGACTCGCTAGCTGTCACGTAGCCAGCGTCCTCCTCGCCGAACATCTCGCCATCGTAGGCAGCAGTAGCAGCCGTGATATCCTTGGCAGCATCAATATACTTCTGTTCCCGCTCCAGCTTGGCTGGCAGCCGAATCATGATTTTGGCTGTGAGCAACGCGTCGAAGCCTGCCTCGTGGTAGGTGGCCTGGTGAGCATAGCGATCGTATTCGGATGGCATGATTATATGAGGGACCTCCTCCTCCTGCATCTCTTGTTCGACCACAGCGAGACTTGTGTCACCCCAGCGATTGGTGAAGGAGGCCAGGTGCTTAGTATCGACAATTGCTGGGCAAAGCATGTTGATCTCGGCCGCGAAATCCTCCACGCGCTCTGGAAGCGGTCCAATGAAGCACGCGTATAGATACACCAGATCTCCGAAGCAGTTGTGACCGACCAGAACCTTGTTGCGCTTGCGAAGCTTCTCTTGCAGTGATGCGATGTACTCTTCGGCTGTCTGGCCGCCGAGATTGACGTGTGGAAGACCTGCGGTGATGATATCATATGGCATGTCCAGTATGTTTCCGCCGAAGAGAGCTTCAACTATCCAGCGAAAGCCAATGGCGTTGTTCAACTTGCTCTCGCGCTCGTCAATCATTATCTGCCGACGTGTTGCTTGTTCCTGCTCCGTTGGAGCGGTGACCTGGACAAAGTGACCCATACCTCTGGTCTCGATTCCGGTAAACTCATTACGGGCGATTTGATGAGTGAGGCGGACTTGGAAGCCATTGAATGTGGTCGGAATGCCTGGACCTTCGCCAGGAAGGTTGAGATAATCCTCGCGTTGATCCTCCGGTTGGGCAAGCCATGCTTGAATGGATGTCCGGATGTGGTCGGCAACGTCCCGGTCTCTGGCTTTGATCTCCATGTCGGCGTACTCGATTTTCTTTTCATCGTTTGCGATAATTTTAGCGCGCACAGTCGACTCCTCACTGCGAGATAGATACTTGACACCACTAGTGAATGGTAGATCGTGTCTGAAGCCGTGTCCTGCTAGAAAGTCCATCGCTGCGGGCCGGTTAGTTGCAAACCACCATGAGAATTGTCACCACTCACAGCCACTTGATGAAGACCATTTTCGAACGAATATGCGCTCCCGCAATGTGGGAATTGGTGAGATAGTGAAGTTGTAAGGACGGATGATATAGCGCTTCTTCTTGAGATCTTCTTTGACGATCGCAAGACCAACCTGAAGAACTTGATACTCCTCGGCAGCAGCCTTTGTGTCATCGTAGAACTCCTGAAGTGTTAGTTTGCCACTGCCTCTCTCTCTTCGTCCTGTGATACCAGAGAACTCGCAATCAAACGCGACGAAGTGACTATCCGAGATCTCCTTGATGATCTTCAGCGCCTCGGACTTGAACCGATCATTGGTAATGTCCATGACTGGCTGTCTTGCGAAGTTCACAGGTCGTGGCGGATTGAGAAATTGAGAGATGAACTTGGGAAGACATGAGCTTTGCTTTGCAGCAAACCCTGAGAAATACTGTGTTGCCAGGCGCAAGCGCAACAGTCCAGCAAGTTTCATAGACAACCACGGAGACAGAAGGAGACGTGACCCAGCCTTTTCAAAACGAATGTAGATACCAAAATGGACAACAAGTATGTAGGAAATGAAAACGCTGTAGGCACGCGATAAAGAAGTGAAGCCGTCATTAGCACTCCACGTCCCAGACAGAGGCTTTTCAGCACTCAATGGTCATTGCCCTGGTGAGTCCTTACCTTGTTACAGTACACGAATGCTGACAGTGAGAATCCAGAGCACTTTGTGAGAGCAAGAACAACCAGCTGCTTCCACTGCATTTCAGGAGCTAGAATCACAGTTACTACAGCCCCATTCATCTGTGCTCACAAGGCTGAATCTCAGCCGTGTCCACCTCTCACCAGAGCCGAGGTCCCTGCCACCAGGCAATCTCCAGTGAGCATGAGCGAAACTTGGATCGGCATCATTATCTCAGCAGTCATATTTCTGATTGCTTTTATATGGTCATACAAGTATGGAAGGTGCCAGTGTATTTACTGTTCTGAGTTCTTGCCGTTGATATAATCAACGCATGCTGCGAGCATAATGTCCTTCGGCACGGAGTCGCAGAGCGAGTCTCAATACCTCTCCTCATCTCAATCCTCGCTACCAAACTCCAAGAAAGCATCACAGGAGATCTCGAAGACGTACAAGCACGCATCACAATTGTACCTCACGAGGCGACTAGCGGAAGCGTATGAAGCCTTCAGAGCGTCATCAAAGCACCCATACTACAACAAAATGGGCACACTGCTGGTCACGATGACGAGCCCGTGCTTGCGCCCATAGCCACGGCTACCACGTCTCAGCGCATCAAGACATGGAGCTTGTTCGCTGCGCTGCTGAATGCTGCCATTGATCTAGGCTCCGACGAAGGCCAACGCGAGTTTGGGCAGAAGCGATACCGGGAGATACTCAAGCTTGTGCAGAACGGCGACGTGTGGGAGCAGGTGGTTCGTGACGGCTACCGGGGCAGAGAAGACTCGGTCGACGCAGAAGTCGTGTACAACCTGTCAACGCTGCTGCTGGGCAAGGCACAAGATCAGACAGTCAACCAAACGCGACTAGAGACCTACCTCTCCTCATCGTCTCACTCGCTCGATTTCTCAGGAGTCGATGCCTCCTTACGAAACGGCCACCGAACGCCCATGAACGGGACTAGCACGCCGAAAGACCTCTCCTCGAGAGTCAAGATCATCGAACTCTTTACCCTCCACGTCCTACCAGCCAATAATGAATGGGACTACGCCCGCAGCTTTGTTTCGAACAGCGACATACTTGATGAAGATGCACGGGAAGCATTCCTCCAGACTTTGAGCGAACTGCAAGCAGTGAAAGAACAGGAGGAGGTTCTCGAAGATACAACGGATTACGGCACAGAAGATGAGGACTACTCAACGCCACAAGAAGAGGAGTCACCATCAAAGACGCCTCAACACCGAGGCCACCAGAGATCGAATAGCGAGGTTGACTATGGCATCGAACCGCACCACCCGAACGGCATAAAAGCAGATGTCGAACCTCATAAGGCGACAGCTGCGCCACCAATGACAACAATACCACCAAAGCCTGAGCCATCGTCATCAGCAGCCAGGCCTCAACCCACACCGACCCGCGCGTCACAACTCTCACCACCCTCTCAAACACCCCGCAGAACACCCGGCGGACAATCAAGACGCTCAAAAGCTCAAGCATCAAACTCCCTGACCGCACAAGCACGGCAGCTCTTCACCGCACTCTCCAATCTCACGCGCAACCTCAGCGGCGCCTTGATCGGCAACTCGTCCGCTGTGTTCCGGCTTCTGCTGTTCTTGGTCGCCTTTATGATGGCATACTCTCGCCGGGACGTGCGCGAGCGCGTGCAGGCCGTGTTGGGCAAGAGCTGGGACAAGATGCGGCGGACGGTAGGGATGGGTGTTAAGGTTAGCTACATTTGAGACGCACTCAGCGGTAGAGACCAAGGCAGATGAGGGCCGAGGATAGGGCTTTGCATGCTTCACCGGCAACGTTTGCATATCCTGGAGAGTTGTCCGACAGCAGATCCAGGCCTAGTGAGATAGGAGAGATGTGTCTATCGGCCACCAATTCATGCAGCACTTTTGTGCGAAGATGCTCAATCCTTTTGCTGCCTCATGGTTTCCACCATTCTACGAAGCTCTCTACCCCAAGCACTCCGTTGACAGTCTCCATTGCTGTTCAGAGATACCTCAGCCACGAATGCATGTATTGTTGCCTTGGGCACACGCTTGGACGTTCACCTCCACTTCGTTTTCAATTGAATCTAGGGACAGTCACTTTCGAGTGATCCTCTGCAGCCTTCGATGGGCATGAAAAGCCTGTGTCTCAGCCTCTCCTTCTTGTTGTTCCTTTCAATATCTTGTCGCGAACTTCCTGCCACTGAGGCACTGATACTGACACCACCGTCGAGCGGACCCGCCGTTACCATGGAAGTTGAAGCGCCTGCTCAAGACGACAGCGAGGCATCTATCATCGATCGCCCTTTCCGGTTCCTCGATCTACCCCCTGAGATTCGCAATCGTAAGTCGACGTCTACTATTCATACGTAAATGTTCTACAAGGCTCGGACAAAGGTCTCATATTGATCTCGAGGCCCATTCCATATCTTCTCATACCTGGCTGACGCAGAGCCGCTGATCATCCAGGCATCTACCTCCTCGTTCTCTCCGGTCGCGTATTGGATGTTCTGCCAAACCGGGTCCCCGTCAACTTCACAGAGCCTCTAGCCTATCGAGCCGTCTAGCAATCTGCACAGTCTCCCACCGAATCCACGACGAGTCGTACGCCCTCCGTTTCACGAACAGCACCCTTCGGATCAACGAATCCAGCTTCCTCGGTCACATCCCAGCGCTCTGCAAGCAAGCAGCTTCGCACCTCATCTACATATACAGCACTCCCCAATGGAGCGGGACCCTCTTCGATCCGAATTTCCCGCGGTTTGCTGGGCTGAAGAATGTAAAGTTGTGGCACGCTGGTGCGATTCTAGTTCCAATTGGATCACTCGGCCAAAAGGATGGTGGGACCAGTCATCGCAGTGTGATCATCGAAGCAGTAAAGCAGTTCATGAGTATTAGTCTGCGACACCATTCCGGGGATGTCGACTTTGTGCTTTCGGAAACACTTCGGAAAGGCTGCAGTCACGTTGGAGCTGACGGCGCGAGACGTCATGGCCAACCCGAGAGTCAGTCGCGTGAGTGTCCAGAGTCACAGGGGCGTGAGAATTGGCTGACATTTGAACAGGACATGGTGATCGATGTGCGCAACTGGACTATCACAAGTATTAGCGCCCCAGTCTCGTGACGATGCACATCGCCAACGTCCTGGACATATCACACTCGATGTCGAATGAAGCGGTGATGATGACTACTGGTTGCGGTATTCGACGCGTAAGTGAGCATCGTCGTCCTTGTGTACATGCCCAAAGCTGACTTGAAGAAAACAGTAGTTGTCAATCAACATGCGAGACTGAGCCCTCAGTAGTGTTGTTGCCCAACTGACGCACTAAGATAGATTTGAATACCAACTACATTCTCTCATCCTCATTTAATATCCTGACATATCTTTCCGACCAGTCGGGTCCTGTGCGGGAAAGTTCTCGTTTTGATTGCCCATGCCAGATTCAGATCTCGCAACGGATGGGCGTTCGCGAGGCCCGTGTTTGATGCGATTCAGGCGCCCTCGCAAGCTAAGACCCATCAGCTCAATTCCAACCTCACTTTCGGGTCCTTATTGTTCTTTATAGCCCGTAGGCGCTCTTCCGCATGTGAAGACCTCTCCCAAAATTCTCCCCAAATATATCTTGAAACGTATACCTCGCCTGCTCACAGAACTCCCACCTCTCCCCACCGTTAAAGACCCCCTCAATTCACTCACTTGCTACCAACATCCCCAATCTGCCTAACCTCCAACGTCACCCCCTCAGCCTTGCCAACCCTGTCCGTAAACGCATCACCCAAGCTAGCCGGCGTGAGGAACTGCCCACCACCAAATTTCCCCCTTATCTTCTCCTCAACCTTGGGATCCAGAAGTGTCACCGCCGCCTCAGCCATCAACAACCCCGTCAGCGCATAAACACTTCCCCCCTCGTACCTGAAACTTGCCAACGCCTTCCTCGGTGTCTTGGAGAGTTGTTCTGCGATAGCCACACCCCTAAACTCCACCACATCCGTCTTCCCCGCGTCCTCCTTCGGTCCGAAGCCGGGCTTGTACGGCGCGAGGAGCTTGAAGATCAGGCGTGTGGGCGGGAAGGCCAGGCAGAGACTGAGGAAAGCGATGGCGAAGTGGACCAAAATGCCTACGGCGGCGGAGGAGACGCCCATGTACTCCTCGTAGGAGAAGTTGAAGCCGTAGAAGTAGGGATCGAGGCCAGCGGAGCGATGGACGACTGCTTCGTTGGGGCGCGCGGTGAGGGAGGTGGTGAGGTTGCCGAGGCGGGGGAACGACCATGCACCGGTGAGTTTCTGGAAGGCGGTGCGCGAGTACGTGTTGGGCTCGGGCGACCGCGGGTAGATCGTGTCCTTGGTGTACGGGCGGAGGTGGGAGGGGGAGAGGCAGAAGGGGTCGGACATCGTCTTCTTCAGCTCGCCGGCTGGGAAGCTCTCGAAGAGGGACAGGCCAGTAGTGAGGGTGCCGCCACTGGCGCCAGAGGTCTTGAGTTCGTGGATGGAGGTGACCATGTCCATAACGCCGCAGTCCCAGACTTTGCGGATGAGTTGGGTGGCTTTGAAGGCGATGAGGTCCGAGGGCGCGGATTCCAGGCCGACGGCGGGAATGAGGATTGCGCCAGAGGACTTGGCAGTGGATTCGTGGGTTTGGATCATTTGCTTGATCCAGGGCGTCTCACCGGTCGCGTCGATGTAGTGCGTGCCGGACTTGGCGCATGATTCGACTACGGGGGAGGAGTAGAGGTGGTAGGGCCCGACGGCGTTGATGAGGACGCGGGTTTTCTTGGCGAGGGGGAGGAGTTCAGGGGAGGTGAGTTGGGCGATGGTGATGACTGTTGGCGGTGTGCGCGTTGAGTTGAGGGTCTTGAGGTCGCTGGCGAGAGCATCGAGTTTGGATTGAGAGCGTCCGGCGATGGCCCATTTGATGTTGGTTGGCAGGTTTGCCGTGATGTACTGGGCGCATAATTTGCCGGTATAGCCTGTGGCGCCCAAGAGAACGATATCCAGCTCGCGTTTCGCTGCCATTTTGATGATTTGTAAATCAGTCTATTGCTGAGAGTGTATGAGAAGAAAATGACACGTAACGGGTGCTGCACGAAGAGAAGGTGATGGAATTAATGATAGAGTACACGTTGATGGACAACAAAGGAGAACGACGTTGAAGACGTGTCGACGATCGTGAAGCTCGTATTGCAGGGAGGATGGAAATGAGTGGTGGGAATTGGCCAGTCTAGGCCAAAAATAGTGGCAGGGGAAAGAATTAATTAAAAAGGAGTCCGACGTTAAAAAAGTTGGCGTCCGAAACATGTGCTTCTAGTAGAAGTATCATGCGACGCCCTCACCTACAACGGTACACAACTGTCAAGATCAATGTTGCTCGATTCGGTCAAGCGACGGCATCGGTCTTCGAGCGATCAACTGCTGACCAAGGCGAAAAGGTGGATGCCCGTGCGCTCGCCGACCGGAGTGGGACTTGCATCACAAACGTGTGTCAAGAAGATACACAGTATGCTTCCATTCCAAGGTTGTTGTAATCGGGTCTAGATATCGTTAAGAGTACTCCGATATTAGAGGCTTGAAGATGCCCGTAGTCTCGGGCAGGAGAGCCTGGGAAGATGCAGGGTTGCTACTCGATTAGGCACTCCAGGCGTTGAGGCAGGGCTTGGAGACGTTTAATGCCCAGATCCGGGGCCATATCCGGGCACCGTCCAAATGCATTTACTGCCAGCTTTGTACACGTCCGTCGATGGCGAGGCTGTAGAGGTAGATAGTTCGAGTGACCAGCAACTTGAAGGTCGAAGCCACTTGCACTTGTCAAGGCAGTGTGCTCCTGCCGTGTCTGACGACAGACTTGAAGCAGGTGCAAGTGCATGGTCACGTGAGAATTTAATGCCAAGCCATATCTCTTGGCCAGCCCACCAGATTTTGCGAAGCGCAGTTTGAAGCGACCTCAGTCCTTGTTCTTGATTCAGCGATTTCTTCAGAACACATACAACTTCGTCAACTACCGCCAGAATGACGAAGCGCACCAAGAGTCAGTTCTCGCCGGATCCTACAATGTCAGAAGGGGCTATCAACTAACGCACAAACAGAGGTCGGTGTGACCGGTAAATATGGTACCAGGTACGACGAACCACCAGTGACTGTCGAAGAATCGAGACGAATCGAGATCTGAGCGTCACGAATTATCGTATGCCACGGGACTGACACAGCTGGACAGATACGGTGCCTCGCTCCGAAAGCAGGTGAAGAAGATGGAAATCACACAACACGCCCGATACATTTGCACATTCTGCGGCAAGAACACTGTCAAGCGCACTGCTGTCGGTATCTGGAACTGCAAGGGCTGCAAGAAGACTGTTGCTGGCGGAGCCTGGACCGTCTCGTAAGTCAAGAGTTGTGGACGATACGTCCTCGAACACTCGTTTACCTAGAATACGATAAGGGTATGGAGTACTGACTTCTAGCGCGACAGAACACCCGCTGCGGCTGCCACAAGATCGACGATCCGACGTCTTCGAGAAATTGCGGAGGTTTAGATGGTTTGAGCATAGAATGATGGGCGTTCTTCCAGAAGTTGAATCAAAAGTCTCCCGTTAAGAGACTTGAAAGGAAATGTTGCCTCGTTCTCGATGAACTCCTGGCAAGACGGGATCCAAGCGCCCGACATCAAATTGCGAGTCTCGCTACGATAGCTGCCGATTTCACGAAGCCGAATGTCGACTCAGAGTCGAGGCCCTTTCAGCGTCCGAGCAATCGAATGAAATCATATCACATTCAACCATTCCGTTCCTTCACTGTCGCTGCGAGCAAACTCTGCTACATGCAGACCGCATTCACGAGAATAATCAAGATGAGCACCGATCGTCGCGGGGTCCATTGCCTCGCTACGGTTTGAGGATGCAGTTTCTCACGCTGCGTTGAGCTCACGGCCTCTCGACCTTCCTTCTGCTACGTGACAACTGCTTCATGGATACGAGCCTGAATATAACAGCCAGCCTTTTCGAAGAACCTGACCACCAGTTTTAGTGGGGTTCTTAGTACTCTCTACTGGACAGATTCGAAGTGTTGCTTCGGCATGCGCTGCAGGTTCGGTGCCTGGAAGCCACAGTTAGGCTCTCAGCGCTGCGGTCTCTGGTACCTGCTGACGCCTAACCTTCATGATATTTAGATCGCAAACAGCCACGAAGGCATCACAGGCACCACAACCAGTTCGCGTTGTCAAAAAGTGCATGGTCATTGGACAAGTATCGCGTGGGCGAGTCATACCTTGCATGGTCTTGGCGCAGCAGCTAAAATGGTTTCAGGTTAGGCCCGAAGCTCGAGCCACGGTTAAGTCTCGTCACTTGCAGCGCATCTTGACTTCCTTTCAAATCCACCACTTCGAAGTTTCTAATTGCAGATCCTACCCATCCTACCTTCCCTATTCATACATATGACTTCTTCGACATCCAACCACGACTGCAACACAACACACCTAGGAACTTTCCACACTACATGTCAGATACCTGCATTGTCTGTCTGGGAGACCTGAGCACGGGAAATGGCGATGCTGGCGCCCTCTCCATCACCAATGCCAAGTCTCCCGAGTCGCCGTTACTGCATGACATCCCGCTCCACGCCACGAGTCTCGATGAAGCCAATACAGCCTCGGTGACCTCTGCCATCAATGATCCGACCTTGCTCATCGCCAAAATCATTCCATGTGGCCACGTTCTTCACAACGAATGCCTCACGCCGTGGCGGGAACGAGCCAATAGTTGCCCTATATGCCGGGCTGCATTCCACTTGGTCGAGCTGAAGGCAGTCATGGATGGTAAGACGTCCGATGATGAGACGGGAAGTCGACTGACAACCCTAGGCCCAACCCTGTCAACGTATAAAGTCGAAGACCGTCAACAAGTCGCCGACATCGATCCTACTATGTTCCTCGAGTCTGCAGACGACGAAGAAGAGGAGGTCGTATGTCAAGAGTGTGGCGAGGGCGACAACGAAGACGTCTTGATGTTCTGCGATGGATGCGAGATACTGTGTCACACATACTGTGCTGGCTTGGACGAAGTACCATACGGTGCTTGGTTCTGCGAGACCTGCGACCAGGAGCAAGGCTACATGCCGAGACCGACTGGCCGCCGGTCACGAGGGGCTCAGGCTGTACGTCAACGCACTCGCGGACGACAACGACGTCAACGTACTCTGCAAGTCGGACAGGACCAGAACTGGAACGCAGTCTGGCAGTCTGTTTGGTCACGACTGAATCTCGACTTGGACTTCCCATTTGATGACGACGATACGTCAGCATCTTATATCCGCAGATGTCGCCAGCGGTCGGCTGCACATGATCGGAGTGCCTTAGCCGCCTGGCAATCCAGGCTCCGGGTGGCCGAGCTGCAGGGCGCAGGAAATCGTTTTAGAGAAATCGAGCCCAACCTGATAGCTGTCTCTCGTGGTTCACGGTCCACGCCGGCGCCTGAGCAAGATAGCGAGGAAGCACTGGCTTGGAGTGCATTCGATGCCGCCAGGGCGTCTCCCGGTCCAAGCACTAGTCGACGGACGAGGAAGCGTAAGTCTCCAACGGCTTCGCCTGTGCAGGACGAACCAGAAGCCACACAAGCTGTGCCCAAGCGCAGACGAACAAGTGCATCAATCACGCCTGCTCCCCCGTCATCGCGTGGTCGTGTTCGATCTTCACCACGGTCCCCTGTCGCAAATCAACCTACTCAGATATCTGCAGTCGGTCCAAGCTTCCTGCAGTCGTTACTACAAGAAGTCGAAGACTCTTCGACTACCACTGCCACCGCACTCAATCCAGCAATGCGGCGCGCGATGCGTGCAGCAGGTAGTCCACCAGCTACCGATCATTCTTCACCTCGTCCATCGTCACCATCGGGTTCGCCACTACCATCAAACCATTCTTCACCACGAGCCATGTCCCCATCACCACCACCTGGGCATCGATCAATATCTCCGAGCACACTATCTTCAAGTATCCAGCCAATCTATGCAGAACCTGAGCGACCAGGCTCTCCACCTCCTCGCGGCAGACCTGTAGCAACACCACGTCCCAGAGCTGCACGCTCGAACTCGGAAACTGATGTAGCTCACCCTGTGCCGCGTCTTGGAGTCAGAACTACCGCATTGGCCAACTCGGACTCAGACTCCGCCAGCACGTTGGCACCGCCGACTCGGAGACGTCCTCAGAACCATACCCCGATTCAGACCAGCGAAAATAAGAAGCAGGATGTATCTGCCTCGGCAATGTCGCCAACAAGAGCTACGATGAGCTTGGAGGCCAAATCAGACATACAGAAGCTAGTCTCTTCTGCTCTCAAGCCATTGTACAACGAAGCAAAGATCACGAAAGATGAGTACACGACTATCAATCGTGATGTGTCACGTCTGCTATACGACCGCATCGGGGATCTGGAGCACTTGCAGGATGAGCAGCGACAAGAGTGGGAAAAGGTCGCAGGTGAAGAAGTTGGTCGTGCGCTGGTGGCCCTGAAGGCGCATGGCTGAAATACAATACCCTCTATGACTGAACTACGACATGAATATTGATGATAGCGACGGCGCTTGGGATGGGTAAACATTCGCGTCTGTTCAGCGCTTGAACCTCTCTGGCTTGGGAGAAGTCTTTCCATAACCTGACGGTCCAGGTGCCATCTTTTCGGCAAAGGCGTCCATCTCGAAAGCGCAACTGCGTACAGGGTGTGTTTGAACATGTTCCACTACAGTGGCAAGAGCCTAGTCGATACCCCTCTCCACGCGACAGGGTTGGAGAATCACAACTCAGGTGAAGATAGCATAGTTGTGTCCTCAACTCGATGTAGACAACCAAGACCTCAGCTTGCTACGCATCCGTCTTAACTTATCTATACCCGATCTATTTGATCTACCAATAATCTACAGTGCCTGGCATCGAAGCCCGAGACCCATGGCCGTTCATGTACATCGCACTCAAGTGACAGCACCGCAACTGAAGCGATCTCACCTCGCCATCCAACCACCATCAATCACAAGATTCTCGCCAGACATGTACGCGCTAGCTTTGCTGGCCATGAACACCGCCACACCTTTGAAGTCATCGGCTTCACCCCACCTCCCCATCGGTATCCTGCTGTTGATGGCCTCGAAGTTCGCTCTGTACCTCTCCTGGGTCCGAGTGTCTTTGTTGATGTCGGTTGCGATGTAGCCAGGAGACACACAGTTCACCCTGATGCCCCGTCCCGCCCATTCATTACTTAGCGCCTTCGTCAGCTGCAGGACACCGCCTTTGCTTGCTGCGTACGCCACCATATTCACACCACCTTGCATTGCCGCCAACGAAGCCACGTTGATGATGACGCCTGGTTGTTTCTGTGCAAGCCAGTGTTTCCCAATAGTCTGGCAGGCAACAAAAATCGCCGCTAAGTTCGTATTCTGGACATCATCCCAGGCAGAGAAGGCCATTTCCTCCGCTGGGAAGCGACGTTGTAGACCAGCACAGTTCAACAGGATATCTACCTGCCCAGCAGCCACTACCTCTTGCACGGCCGCACCTATTCTCTCCCTATCGGACATATCGCATTGGATGATAGTGAATTTGCGGCCAAGTGCTTCGACCTTGTCCTTTGTTTCGACATTCCGAATATCTCGCTGAAGTTTTGAATCAGCGAAACTTACCGTGTTATGGCTTCTGGCAGCGTACTTGAAGACTTATGATATCGGCGCCGCTCTCTGCCAAGCCGAGTGTCATCGATTGACCTATGCCTTTTGTGCCGCCACTGACGAGGGCGACTTTGCCTGTGAGATCGAAGAGGCCAGCCATGTTTACTTTAGATCCTGTGACAACGACTTCCTAAGGCGTCCGGGCGAGCTGGGCACTTCTGATCAGTATTTATATTCATATTTGCATTCGCATTCGCACACCGGTGCCGAGATAGACCGCAAACTACGGTCGTCCATAGTGCATCTTGCGCCAGCATTCTGTCGAAGCTCGGAACCGACATCGTCAGCACAGCACATTTCAGATTACTCACCCAGCGAAATGCTGCCCTTCTTCGACGATGAGCTTGGAGCCTGCACGGCGTAAGCAGAACATAGCATGTCTAACATGCAAACGGCGGAAAGTCCGTTGCGATTTGGTTCTGCTGACAGAGCTTCCGTGCACGCCATGCCGACGAGGAGAGTTGCAATGCGTCCCGAACGACAAAGGCCCTAGCAGTAATCGCCCATCCACTCCAAGGCGTAGGAATTCGAAGTTGTCGATATCGAAGGTGACAAATGGCGCAATTGATCGTGTCTTGCCATCCGAGATAGCTCCTACAAGGACGCCCACGCCGGAGCGCTCTCCTGCCCAGACGAAGAAGCCCGAGACGACTACCAGCCTTTCCAACTTCCTGGAGCAAGGCATCAAGACCTCGAACTGGAAGTTGTTCTCGGGAACGGATCCTACGCGCATAGTTTACGTCGGAACTCCAATCGGTAATTTGGCTGCACTGGTGGGCAATGAAGATCCTGCCAACAGTGTGACGAGGCATTACCCATTTCCAGCTAACAAGCCACCACTTCCATGGAAGCCAAAGCCAGGCAGTCTACCGTTCGCTATAAGTCCTGAGCTTCTGCAGGATGTCGGCAGCGTTCCCACTCAAGAGGTTCGCGATGCTCTTGTGAATGCGTACTTCGCACACATCAACCCAGGCTTTCCAATCATCAATGAGCCTCATTTCAGGAGCCAATACGCCAGTCCAAAGAACCCACCACCTTTGATACTTTTGCAATGCGTTCTACTTGCTGGAGCACATGTCTCAACACATCCTCTGGTGGCAGCAGCTCGTCCTACTGTGAAGAACACTCTCTATCGCCGTGCGCTCGAGCTCTTCCACCTGCGATATGAGAATGACCGTCTCTATCTCGTCCAGGCAGCCCTACTGTTCACCTGGCACCAAGAGAACGCGGACGAAGTGTCTTGTAACACATGGATGTGGACAGGCATTGCCAGCCGGATCGCTTTCGGTCTCGGAGCCAACCGAGATCTCTCCCCACATGCCTCAGTTCCTATGCCGATATGGGATCGCCGGCGATATCGATTTGCCTGGTGGACACTTTTCGTGACCGAGGCGTTCGCTGCACTGCATTACGGGCGTGCCTGCACAATCCGGTGGGAGGACTTCGACGTGCCGGATCTCATTACCGAGGACTATCGGGACCACGAAGAGAATCCTGACCCTACAATCCGGCGGGACTGCTTCGAATTGAACGTTGCCTTGGCGTACATCGCACAGGACGCGATGCGATTGTTCGCTCCCCGTGCATCACTCATGCAGCAGCAGACGAGTCTTGCTCAATCACTAAACTCGCGGCTGGCAGCCCTAGCAGTGAGCCTACCAACCGGGGACGACACCTTCTCTTGCCAAGTCCGACTCAACTATCACCTCGTCCTCCTACATTGCCACCGCACAAACCGAAATCAGTACGCCGATGAAGCCAAACGCTCGGAAGGGCTCAAAGTGCGCTCCGAGGCAGCAAGCGCCATGCTCTCCATCCTCGAAATCATGGAAGCGAAAGACTACATCCGCCAAGCCCACTTCCCAATCATGACTGTTCTGATGGCTGTCGTCGTGCAGTTTCTCGAAGACATCAAGCTCGCGATCGAAGCCAGTAGCATCATTTTAGCATCCGGCGCGCACGCAAAGCTCGGGCGCGTTATTTCCCCAGGAAAGGAAATCACGAAGTACTGGCCGAATGCAGATGCGATTCTGAAAATGTGTCAGGGGCAGTGGGAGAAATTCGGGGCTGTCATACAGGGCTATGTTAGTGAGTCGAGTCCGCACGAACCGATGGGGTTTGGGACGGGTGGGCAGGGGGATGGCGGGGAGGAGGGATTCTGGAAAGACCTGTTCTCGGCGTATAATGATGGTGGGATCGATTTTGGGGTTGGCGGAGCGGGCATGGAGTACGGGTGGATGACGACTGGGAGTAACTACAACCCGTTGAGCTGAAGAACTCGTCTGGAATGACCAGGCTCGAGCCACGCGATTTTCAGGGAGATTTCCGCGCGATGACGCCTCAATCCGTTGCCAAGTGGACTTAGCGGCTTCTTGGTAATCGCCTGGTCGTTTACCGCCCCCATATCCAGGAAACTTGTGACACTAGCGCAATCGCCTGTGCACGCGACAGAGCCGCAGGGCATCACAAAAATAGCCCCTCTATGTCGTATATGTACGACCAGATCGCCCAGAACAATGAAACGATCTTATAAGTTGTGGCCCCCAACGGCCGACGCCTTGATATTCCTTGCATTTACATGACAGATGGACTGACAATAAGTGAAGCTGGAAATGGACAACAGATCCAGCAATGCGGCCACGCACGACTACGAGCTTCTCGACAATGTGTCTGCGCCGAGCATGCAATCGAGAAATCGGACCCAGAGGCTGTCGACAGATGTGACCGAGTACTCACCCGCTGTGGACCAACATCGCATGAAGTCCGAGCGCAGCGCATTGCAGGAACATGGCGAAGAAGAAACGAAGCCTCCCTCTCAACGAAAATCCCGTAGTATGTTGGATGTCTTCGCTGGCTGGTACAAGGAGGTCCTCTGGCTCGTCTTGAGTATAGTCAGCCTGATCGCACTTGCCATGTTCCTCGACCATTTCGATGGGCAGCCACTACCCAGACTACCTTCTGAAATTACCCTCAACACTATCCTCGCTATTCTGTCAACAATTTGTCGAGCATCCTTCGTGGAGCCCGCAATGCAAAGTATTGCTCAATTGAAGTGGATATGGTTCAAGCGACGTCCGCGGCCACTCCGAGATTTTGAAGTCTTTGACAAGGCCAGTCGGGGGCCCGGAGGTAGTCTCCAACTGGTGTTCTCTACAAAAGCATGGTAAGACACGACGATGCCCGGGCTTGATCGATGAAGAGTATGCTAATATTAGTCGCCGTTGGCTAGGCTTGTCGGCTTCCTGCCAGCACTGCTCATTGTTTCGGCCATCGCTACTGGCACGATCACGCAGTCCTCGATCGCGTACCTAGAGCGACCTGTGGCGGTCGCAGGAGAGGGAAATGCCGTGATGCGACGGACCGATGCGTTCTATTTTGCGTCGGCCAACTTGCAGTCCATGATCGCCCTCGACACGCCAATAAGTGCTGCGGTAACCCATGCAATCTCGACTCCACAGACTGAGCGGATCCAATACGGAAGTCCAGATTGCCGTAGAAGTAACTGTACTTGGGACGAGTTTAGTACATTGGCTATCTGTGTCGACATGAGGAGTAGGTGTCCCGTCAGAGTGTAACTTTGTGCCTGATACTACTCAGCTCGTAGCAGATCCTGCTGACTTTCTGGTGCCCAGATGTGACGGACCAACTCGACGTGGAGTACCTCTCAGAGACCCATGTTTACCACGCGAACCTGACACTGCCAAACAATATCACCTACAAGAACCCCGGCGCATATGGCGGCGTGGTGATTGAGCCGGGCACGACTCTGAGCTTCCCGAACGGCACAGACCAGAATGCATCCAGCCTCACAAGCCTCTTTCTACTAAGGCAAGACTCCACGGCGAGGCGCTTCAGGGCGACCGAATTCGCCTTTCACTGGTGTGTCAACTCCTACGCCGTCAACATCACAGACAACGTGCTTGACGTCAACTTAGTGGGCTCGAGCGCACGCACAGAATATGGAGAAACACATGTGCGACTGTACAATATAACACAAAACATGACTTACCTCACCACTGACCGTGATCTTGGGATCAAGTACCCTGTAGGTGGTAACGGAGTCTCCGAGATTGCAGGCATTCTCGAAGGCGCCCTGACTGGCAACTACACAGACTATGGCGCGCCAAATTTTGGCAATGGTGCAGAGATATTCGCTGCTTCTCTGCACGCGAACACACTGATAAACCTGGGGTACAATCACACGTCGACCGAGGAGTTTGACGAGGGTGAGTGGGTGGCTATGGACAACATGACGCGGAACCTTGCCACGAGCTTGACGAATGCGTGAGTGCCCCTTCATCCATACAAGCTCTAATGAAGCCGATTAGCCCATACCCATCCTGCCTGGGGACCACGACCTACATCTCCCTTCCCATACTATAATGCAATGCTAATGACTCGGTTCCAACAACAGGCTTACCGACCGCGGCCTCACCGTAAACGGCACAGCCTGGGAGACAGAAACCTACGTCTCCGTTCGTTGGGAATGGCTCTCCTTGCTGATCGCGCAGGTCGCCCTCTCGGTTGTCGTGTTGGTCTACGTCATGGTGGCAACGTTCATGAGCGGCGTTGGGATCATCAAGTCGGAGCCGCTGGCGCCGTTGTTCAGTATTCCTGGGGAGGAGAAGTTGGCGTTGGAGAAGGAGAAAGGGAATGGACGGGGGGATCAATGGGAGGGAGGGGAACTGGTGAGGGCGAGGCGAGCTGGGCTCGATGTGGTTGGCGAAGGCGGTGGGATGGAAGAGGTGTTGAGGAGGGATCTGTGGAAGGTGCAGTAGGCGCGGTGCACATCAAAATGATCTGTGCAAAGCGTTCCACCATATACGCCTGCACGAGCAGTCTGACTTATATCCATATTGTGTGAGACCCACCGCCCTCCTGGACGAGACATACGCACATGCGCCATCAACACAATGGCCTTTCGTCTATGCTGTCAACCTTTCGGTCCGGAGAGGCAGAGTTGTCCGTATGGAAACTCCTCATGGCTCCATGCAAGAGCATCCTGCCTGAGTAGCTGTCTGTGGAACGGTTGCCAGTGTCGTGGTCAAGCGACCAGCCTGTTCGCAATCCAGCATAGGCATAATCGTCTAACGGGTCGATACTCTGCGACGTCGAGCAGAATCACTGGGTATAGAGCCAGGACATGGTAGTCAGCTTGGCACGTGGGGGACTTGCACGACTCGTGGGGCAGCTGAACCTCGGTCACGCCGGGACGTCCTCGACTCTACCTAGGTACGAATCCTCCACTTTGTCATCGTCTCTGTTTTACAACATCAAGGGTTTGACCTCGACCCTATCAGATTGAGCCACTAACACGTGTTGTGACCAATGTCAGCATCCGAAGTGATATTGTCGCTTTGAAAGCATGTCTCGAACGATGACTTGGAGCATTTCTTCATGGTAGCCCGCAGCTTCTGACGCCCACTGTAACCCCAATGCTTAAAAGCTCTGGAGGACAACAAGATTTTCCAAGAATCGAAGCTTTGAAGCTTATCGAAGTCTAAAGATGTATGATCCTTACGCTATCTGCCGAAGGTAGGATTTCTCGGAAGCCCTTGTGCTCTTTTGGCTACAATGAAGCTCTCCGCTCGATACGATGCAGGTACGTCCACGTTCTTCCCTGTCCCTTCTCATTTGCAGAGATAGCAGGGTCGATTACTCGATGATCCTTCCAGAGCTGCAAGACAGCTCTTACAAGCTCTCACAAGCTCTTGCGGATATGCAGCTAGCTACTAAGACCAGCGTCCACCAGCATGGAAGCTGCACGATGTACTGTACCCGGCCATGGCCATATTCTCGAGCTCTATAAGAGCGCTAAGAGCTGCCCGGAGCAACCTCGCATTGTGACTTCCTTCTCTCGCTCGTCCGTGCTTTCAGTCGCCAGTCTCAAAGTCTTGTGAGCAGGTGCCGCAGTACAAATTAATATGCGTTCTATACCGTCTTGCGTTGCCGCCTTGGCAATTGGCGTCAGGTTGGTAGCAGCCGCTCCTCAGAACTATGGCAGTCACACTCCTATCGAGCCTCAGACTCCGGTCGACGATTACTACATCTCGCTCGGAGCTCGGCCTTACTACATCATCAACAATATGACCGACTCACCACTAAAGACGAAGCTTCAGAGCTGCGAGAACGGTCCATTCCGGATCACTGACTTCTCCATCGGCCATCGTGGCGGTGCCACGCTGCAATACCGGAGGAAAGCGTCGAGAACGCAATGGCAGGCGCTCGCTTTGGTGCCGGTATCCTCGAATGCGACACTTCTCTGACTGCTGATAAAGGGCTTGTGTGCCGACACTCCCTGTGCGACTTGGCGACCACTACCAATATCCTTTTGAATCCGGAGCTGGCAGCCAAATGTGCCAAGCCATTCACGCCAGCGAACGCGACTCATGACGCCAGTGCTATCTGCTGCACGACTGACATCACAGTGGCGGAGTATTTGACTCTCTGCTCGAAGATGGACGGCTACAACGCAAGTGCCACAAATGTTCAGGACTACCAGATTGGTGCACCTCTGTGGAGGACAGAGCTCTACGACAACTGCGCCAAAGTCCAGACCCTGGAATCGTACATCGACCTCGTCGACTCGCTTCCTGGCTATCGCAACTTTACTCCAGAGCTCAAGTCAGGAGCCGATGATCCAGTCACGGCTCAGTATGCCAAGTTCCCAGCTGGCTACACACAACAGGACTATGCTCGACAATTCATCCAAACGTTCATTAACAAGGGCATCGATCCTGCACGTGTATGGGCTCAGTCATTCAACCCTCCTGATATCTTCCAGTGGCTAGAGGAATTTCCTGAGTTCGGCCGCCAAGCGGTCTACCTTGACGAATCGGGGGATACGCCAGAGAACTACACCGCTGCGGTTGCCGCTCTGCCGTCAATCAAAGCAAAGGGTGTCAACATCATAGCACCTCCCTTCAACTATCTTCTCATGGAGGCAGGCCCAGGAAACCAAAGCATCGTGCCTGCGCCCTACGCGACGGCAGCAAAGGCCGCTGGATTGGACATCATCACTTGGACGTTCGAGCGCTCGGGACCTCTGTCGCAAGTCAAGGCGACCGATCAGTACTACTATTCGTCCTTCGATGACGCTGTACACACTGATGGCCAGCTATACGAGATCTTGGACATTTTAGTGCAGCAAGTTGGCATCAAGGCCATCTTCTCCGACTGGTCTGCGACGGTCACTTACTATGCAAATTGTTTCAATCTGCAGGGGCCGAGTTCATCGAACTATCAGTAAGTAGATCATGCCAAGGACTTCTGCCTCTCTGGCGAAGATGATGCTGACTTCCGGCAGATCCAAGGGCACATCAGGCGGATCGGGCACTTCCTCATCAGCACCAAAAGGCTCAAATGTCGTGACTCAGATATCGGACGGACAGCCTCAAGCTCCAACCCCAACAGGATAGTGTCCCTGGTGGCGGACACAGCTAAGAGCCAGTCTCGGTGAGATGCTGCTACGCAAGGCAATTGAGGCACGCTCATCCGCAACGCCCATTTAGAGAAGCTAATGAAGTAGCTCAATGTCAGAATTTAGCAATTCCAGACTCAGAGAAGCCTACGTGCAGCCTCAAGCTGATGTCTTCGCCTACTTCTACCTCCCGAAAAGAGTAGGTAGCATTTCGCTTATGTGCCAATCCCCACGGGGCTCTGGCTTATTTATAGCCCATGAACTATCGCGACCGCTCGCTTCCCGACTGTCCTCGGAGATATACAGGCCCTGTGGCTGCTGCTGAAGCCAAGGAGATCGACGCTGCCGCATGCATGTCGGACAACAACGTCTTCTGTATTCATCCTCATCTCGTCGCTTTCCAACATACGAATTGAGATCGACCTCGTTGTCTCGGCCATTCAGGTTCGGGCGGTGCTCTCGTATGCACACCAACCGTGCGTTTCGCCTTACAATGTGGGCAGTGAGAGCTGGACGTCGTTGCTGTGCGCGTTCCATGGCGTTATGGCCGATTTGCTCGCTTGTTGAAGCTTCTCGTCCTTCTGGTACCTCTGAACGCTGACATACATGTCTACGAGACATGACTGCTCGTGGCGACCTGATCACGCTGTTTTCAATTACGTACAGACCTTTGAGATTACCAGATACATCCCGGACCTTCGAGTTGCTCTGTGCACAGCGGTATCTTGGCCCTTCAGCTACTATCATGTGGCCATGCGCCATGGCTCAACATGCGAGATGGATCTTCGGCGCACTCCGCCAGCCATGTTGGCCCGTAGCCTAATGCCGCCTGCAATGTCCAGCTGGTAACCTCATGAGCCACCAGAAACCGTAGTCCGGACGACTGCATCGACCAAGGAGCGTGGTATAAGTATCAGCGCGATCGCCTCGCATCTCTGTCAACGGCCATCAATACAAAACCACACAAGTCAGCAAAGACCAACCACCAGCAATCATACACCCACCCAAATCAATCAGCTTCAAGGCATCTACGAAAATGCAGCTCACCACCATCCTAGCCGCACCCCTCCTCCTGACCACCGCCCTGGCCCAAGTCGCCTCCGTTTCATGGGACAACCTCGGCCACATCCGCGTCTACACCCAGGACGGTAACGGCAACATCCACGAAGCCCAGTATGACGGCCAAGGCTGGACCGGTCCAGGTTTTATCGGTGCTACCGCTAAGAAGGGGACTGCGATGAGCGCGGTGAATTCTGGCGATCGGGTAACTTTCCCTCCTGCCCGGCATCCTGCTGTTTTGATGTGATGGTAGATGGAGAACTATGGCGTCAGAGCTAACATGTGTCATTACAGCTGCGTGTATACTATCAGGACCCCAATGGAAGAACCCAGGAGCATGTGTACGAGCAGTCGAGTGGGTGGGTCAGGGGCGCGCGCATCCCGGCCAGGTCTTAGCCCAAGAGCATATAGGTGCTCGTGGTGTGCCCACGTCCTTATCCTTGTGAAGAGACTATAGGAGAAGTTTCGAGAGGCCCGAGATGATTTCTTAGTATCTATGAAGGCTGCCTATCGAGTGGCCTTCGCAACTAATAAGTGCAAGCCGATGATGGATTCCCATGTTCCGTTGCGCCTCTGAACGCTTGTGTTCAACCACCCATTGTACTCGCCATCCCCGTCTAGATTCTCTTCCACATACTGGTCAGCAGTGATCACCGCCGCGTCCCTTGGAAGGTGGAGTCATTGATTGCGTCGCCATGGCTTTCCGGGTCGTTGTTGCATTGTTCCTGGATTGGTCAGTCATGCTCTGATTAATTGATTGATTGCTATGGTTGCACAGACCTTTCACTTCGTCACCGGGTGCCTATCCCCTTGCGTCGAACAGGAATTGTAGTGACGGAGAGTATGAAAGGTATTGCCATACACGCAGATACATGTACATCGACGCGACAAGAAAGTGGGTTCGTAGAACCACATGGTATCCGTGTAGCCCATTGTCTTGCCCTCTACAATCTCATACTGACCCTGCTTGAGATTGATGTTGGTGCGGCCCTCGGTGAACTCCACCGTGCTCCAAAACCCTCGCCAGGCCAGGCACGCAGCCCGAGGAGGTCTTGGAAGCCACCCTCAGTCAGAGCCGTGGTGAACGCTTCGAGGAAAGCTTGCTTGGCTGGGGAGTCGTCGAGGTTGACAACGAAGCTGTCTTTGCCGGCCACAGGGGAGAAGGCGAATTCGTATGGCATCCACTTCCTGGTCTCGTTGCCATCATCGTCATTGGTGCTCTCCTTCAACATCCATGCGATGGGATAGATCAAGCTGTGAAGCCGGCATCATCGGTCATGAGGCCGGGCTCGCAGGGCCAGGGGGTACTGATGTTATTGAACTCAACGAGAATCTCTTCAGGTTCGAGGTTAAAGTGGCGGTGGATTAGGCCCACGCCGAAATGGGACTCCATGCCGTGCTCGCGGATTATGGGGGCGAGTGTACCAGAAACGAAAGCAACAGCATTGCGCTCCTCGAGGGAGGTGCCGGCGGAGTTGATGGAAAGAGCCTTGTGGAAGGTCTCGGTGGAGTAAGGCACAGAGAGGACGGCCATCTTGTATGAGTGGAGGTGGAGTGGTCGAGAATAGGCTCGGGGCTTTCGAGCAATCGCTTCGCAGAGGTTTGGACCGTTCTATTCTGGGTTCCTGGCTGCTCTTCTCGAACGGTCTGAAGCAGCATTCATCAGTCAAATATATAGACCTGATGGAGTTGTGATGTTGTTTGCTGTGAGGCTTGATTGTTCTGACAGTCGTATGCATTGGGCTGACGTACCCACGACTTTCCGAACATCGAGCTGGTGAAGCACAAGGGTTGTGACCTTCACCACTTGTTAACAATCAGAACTGCTTGATAAGTCGACTTGTGCAGGACTCGTCACCATCTCAGCCATCATTCGGTCCTCTCGAGGCAAGGCACCGGTATTCACCGTTTCACGTATACACCATCTTCTCATATGACCACGCAAGCGGCGAACGAGTCTGGCTGAGGACGGTGGCACGGGAACAAGTGACAACTTCATTGTCTTGAGATCTACCGTCATCAGATAATGATGAGATAGCGGTCACATCTTTTGACGTCCCATGAAAAGTCATTGCGGTTCCAGTAGTATTCATATTGAGGTCACTGAATGGACGACCAGCTTCATTGGACTGTTGAAGAGAATGACACAAAGGACTTGCTCGAGCTCATCCGCTCTTGGCTACAGCCAATTCCTGTTTCTTCTTGTGCAGCTCAAAAACTTCCTGATGCAGCCCCTCGATGGGTCCCTCGACTTTGAGACCCGGCGCAACCTGGTTGATGGCAAGCGGAGCGACTGGTCCTGCAGGTGTACCGAGGTCCTTCCGCCACTTTACAAGCTGCTCGGTGGAACTGACATACACGATCCTGTCCAGACCAACCCACGCGTGAGCGCTCGAGCACAGAGGACAATGCTCTCCCGATGTATAGACGGTCGCGGCAGCGCGCTCCTCCGGGCTGAGGTTCTGTTGGGCCCATATGGCTATGGTGAATTCCGGATGAAGCGTTGCATCTTTGCCAGTGACTGTGCGATTGCGATCTTCCTTGAGGACTTCGCCTTTGGAGTTGACGAGGACCGATCCGAAGGGCGCATCACCTGCTTCGAGTGCTTCGCGTGCTAGTTCCACACACCGTTTGAGATACTTGAGCTCGTTCTCGGCGACCATGGCTTATGCTGAATTCACTGTGATGAGGTCGTAATAGATCCAGGACGATGTTGTGGACTGACTTGATCAAAGTGGACCAAAATGTGACGATGTTGAAGCTGGCGTTGAGAGTTGGGCAAATGAAGATGATGTCGATGACCTCGGACATCCCCGAGTGGGGAGGACTTGGCCGCTCATCGGGTGCCTTTCCCCGAGCCGGGTTGGTTGACACTTGATCGGCTCCTCGACCATAGACTTGTTTGGCACACCAGGTATGATGTCTGGGCCTACCAACGAAGGAGAGCCGAAAGCAATGGCCCGACACGAATGGAAAGGTCAGAATAAGTATCTGGCAACTTGCAAGTTGTGCAACAATGGCTCCTCGATAGACTGCTCAAACAGCCTCAACCTGCTTCGACGGCTTTTCCACAAACCTCACTGGATCAACCGTGTCCCACTGGTCTCTGTTATGCTCCGTACCGCGACTCGCTTTATATGACTCCTTGTCCTTGTACTGGGCAGTATTCCAATTCTTTGCCCGCTGCTTCACCCACTCATCCGCATTGAGGAGTCTTTCCCCAGTGTCCCCTTCCAGCTTCTTGACATCGTCCTCTGTTGGATAGGTGAAGAGATCTCTGAGCTTCACGTTCGAGTTCGGTCTGGCGAAGTATACCACGCTATGCCTGACCAATTGGCCTTGGGGTCCTGGTGGCGAGACGACGCGGTGGACCGCGCTATACAGCTTACCATTCAGCAGCTTGATCAAGCTATCACCGAGGTTGATGACAGCGCACTCAGGACGAGGCTGGACGTACTCCCAGTCTCGCTTGTTGGGAGCTAGAACCTGCAACCCGCCGAGCTGGTTGAACAAGACCGTGACACTGCCGAAATCTGTGTGCTCACCCAGTGTGATGGTCTCGGAAGGCTTGATCGGTGGGGCACAGGTGACGCGGGCTTGATCAACGGACGGACGGTCGAGCTCGTGCATGGACTCGAGAAGACCGAGAGGCAGGTCTAGGGATCTACCGAGGGAGGCGACAATGGTGTAGACGAGCCTATGGCAAGAAGTCATGAAGACTTTGAGCCTGTCGAAGTTATCGAGGACGACTTGGGGGTTGCCATCCGTTGAGGGCTCCTGAAGGGCTTTGCCGATCCCAAGGACTTCATCCTTCGATACATTGTAGAACTCGCTGTGGTCCTTGGTGCCCTTGTCGTCGACAAAGAACCCACCTGATCGCTTATACCCGAAGTATTTACCTGTCGTGCCCATGTCATACTTCATCTTCTCCGCGAGGGGCAGCGAGAAGACCTCGTTTGCGAGGTTGAATATGAAGCTAGAATCAACGTGGTGATTGGACAAATAGAAGAAGCCATAGTTCTGGCATGAATGAAGTAGCGCCTGAGCTTGAGCTTCGTCGCCACGTGAGAGCAGATCAAAGTCGATAGTGGCGATGTCTGCGACAGGTAGACCTGATGGGAATGGTGGTATATCGTCGTACATCTTCCTTGACGACCGTTGTGTTGGAGACTAGTCTAGATGTTCCACTCTCATCGCCGTCAAAACTATCGAGCTTTACGATATTGTCTGTGGACGGTCGGGACACTGAGCTGCGTGAACTGTCTGCAGGTGAGATCTGCCATAAGGCATTTGGAGACTCTGAGTACAGAACATATAAGTATAGGGCACTAACCTTGGAACCTCGGGGTTGACGATCCCCGCGTTTGAAGAGGGCGCAACAAGGGTGCGAGCAGGCGTGCAAAGCCTAAAGTCTCGTATCTCTCGTCTCACCGTGAGCATCATCCTCTGCGGTGTCCAGAGAGGCAGACAAGCTTCCGCTGTGTGCGTGTCTTCGGATGGCGACCATCGCCAAACCACACAGTTCCACTGCGATTAAGGCCATGATCGATCGATGCGTGGTCTGCGGTTGTAGGATGACAGCTTTGTTGTCATGCCGGTGCGATGGGCGCGACGGGCGGTTCGCGACAAAGATTCCTGCTTAAATGTGGAAGAGCTACCACGACGGTGAGCGGCAGTCGCACTTGTCAACATCCATGCCAAACGTTGATACTGGAACGTTGCCTGTGGTATTGTGCGCAGCAGGCAGGCGACCACGCGTCGCTGCCCATCGTGCTTTCTTGCCGACAATACTGCGGTTGCACAAAGCCTTCAGCGACGATGATTCAGCTGCATGCTGCAATCGTCTGCGCGATATATCTTCTATCGACAGTGTCACTCAATGAAATTTCTGGCTGTCTTCAACAGCAACAGAGCGCGGCTACGCCATTACGGAATCAAGGTAGGCCTAAATCTCAGCCAAGCTTCGCTGCCGCCGACGACATTGGAGGCGGTGCAGAGTGCGACGCTTAACCATTCCGGGCGAGAGTGATCCCAAATGAGGGCTAGCATACTTCGGCGGATATGGAAGCAATTTGTCAAGGTCGAATTGCGCAGCAAAATACATGTCCGGCTATCTGCTAATTGCTGTTAAAGACCCGCAATGAGGCAATCGCAACGGCCCTCGTGCTCGCAAAAGTACGAGGTTCCATGGCAATACGTTCCATTTTAGATCTGTTGCCTTCCTGATGCAGTCCACAACCTTCGCGACCATGAATAATCGCATCCATAGCATAGCCGATGTAGCGGATGTCAGATCTCAAATTCGACCTCAGCGGAAGGGATGGGAGAGATATAAGAGTCATCGTATTCTTCAGGTGAGTCGAGTCTGGGACACATTCAGATCACCCAAGACTACCATCCCCCGACGACATCCATTTACAAGACCATCAGAAGCCATCACTCCTGAAGCATACTTACGTCTCAACCTCAACCTCAAGCACAATCCGCCATGGCCAAAGACTCAGCCAAGAAGGAGACTGACTCCGCCGCTAAGATCCTCACCTCCTTCCTGAAGAAGATCCCACCGCAAGTCCTCGCCGAAGCCAAGGGCCTCGCCATCTTTTCCGGTTTCCGTGGCGGCATGTGGGTCGCCGGCTCAGGCGGTTCCGGTGTTGTAGTCGCCCGCCTCCCAGATGGCACATGGAGTCCTCCCAGCGCTTTCCAAGTCCGGAGTGGCTCGTTCGGTCTCTCTCTTGGCATAGACGTTTTCGACTGCATCGCTGTACTCAACACTCCTGAAGCTCTGGCAGCATACTACTCAGAAAGTGACGCCGGTGGGAAGGTCGTGATGGGTGGCGGCATTTCTGTTGCCGCGGGGCCGGTTGCGTCGACTACCGCGAGCACGAGTGATAGTGGGTCAGGTGGGAAGAAGGCAGTGTATACGTACACGAAAAGTATGGGGTTGTATGGTGGTGTGACTGTTGACGGGACGGTGATCAAGGCGAATCAGAAAGTGAATGAGGCTTGGTATGGACAGTCAGGGGTCACTGTGGAAAAGATCCTGAGAGGGGACGTCAAAGCTGGAGAATGGCCTACTGGGGGCAACGGCCTGCGGGAGGTGCTGGCAGGCATCCCTTGAGTGGATGTGGATGATTGTTTGATTTTCTTGCAAGCGTCGATTCTATTACTACTCATAATGAAGAAATTATCGATTTTTACACACATCGCGCTTGTTGTCGACGACCCACAGCTGGTCAGGAGTCCGAAGGCTGATTGAGCACGTTGTGGAGGTCATGCTATGATCTTTGGTCACAAGGCTTGAAGACATGATGGCGCAAGAAGCAGCGGCGGAAATCTCAGCATTGATTGTTGGGTGACTTGATTACATCGAGTCCTTTGGCTCAGTCCGACGTTTACTGTCTGTTGATCTCTCCGCGGGTCCAGGTTCGCAGAGCGAGACATGTCTCTATCTGCTCGTGACTCGTCAAGGCATGCCGTCGTTTGATCTGACAGACCCGCGTGAAGATGTCCTTACGGCCATCTTTCGATGTCTCAGGCCACGAGATCGTCTCGGAAAGCCTTTTAGAATCTTGACCTGGACATTGACTGTGTTGTGAATGGCGCCGGATCATGTGCATTCTGTGCCTCGACGCTTATCGCTACCAGCAGGACTCAACAAGCTTGTGATTTCGTTGTAGAATGCAACGAGCAGGCCGACTGCCACGTTCCAGCAACAACTCTGGAGAAAGGCCCCATAGGCAAGGAAGGGGTCATAACCATCAGTGCCTTGCGAAGTAGTGTAGAAGAGGATACTCGAGACCAGTTCGTCGATTAGGAGCCATGACCCAAACCAGCCAATGGCACAATGCCAACATATTCGGTGAATGTATCGAAGCCATGGTTTGCTTGGGTCTGGAATGATGTCGTTGGTCGCTATAAGAACACCAAGTACAGTGCTGCAGTACGTCCCGCGATCGAGTCTCCAATATCGACCGAGCCAGTATGGAACCATGACGATATGTCCGTATTTACCAGGGTTGAGAAGCAGTTGTAGCAGCTGGTACACGAGCTGAGTTGCGAGGTACCCGGCCAGAAACAAGACACATATACGGAGCATGTATCGGGGCCAGTTCTCGCTTCGGTCTGGGACGATCTCGCTGATAACCAGAGGGTCAGCGTGCCTGCTGTCGAGTCGATCGGTTGACATGGCGGCGGTTGACCTGTTCTCCTCAGAACCTAGGTTGTCTGGATCGCTGATGCGGACTTCGACAACCGGAACCTTGTACTGCGCAGGTGGTGCTTTGACCCGCTCCTGTTCGAATTGTGCTCGCATATCCGGATTGGTGCAGTGAAGGGATGACTTGAGGATTACTTCGAGAATGCTTTCCATGGTCTGAGGTTGAATGTCTGGCAAGTCAGCGATCGGCGGTTCACTGGGAAGTACTTATATGACTACTGCAGCCATTCAGGTCTTGTTCTGGCCACAGCTTTGATCATTGTCTCGGATCGTTGTTCGTGGCGTTACCCTGAAGGCCTTTTGTCGGTTGCTCTTGCAGGCATCCCGGTGTCACAGTTATGGGCTACCTGTCTGTGCCATATTCGTCGTCGCACAGCAAGCCTGTTGGCTTAGACAAAGACACAGAAGATCCGACAACAGCGTAGATAATGGACGTGATGACGATGCCTAAGGCTCGAGACCTACACGCAGTGCCTCATGTCGGCTTCCGCAGAAGTATGTCTCGGCTTCGTGAGGCGCACAGGCCACTTAATTTCGTATCTGTTCCGAATCCCGCCAAGGCCCTCAAGCGAAGCGAATGTCGAGCTTTCCTCATCGTAGTAATGTGTCTACTCCTGCTCGACGACCTTTGCAAGGCCACGAGGGACTTCCAGAATCTGCTGTTTCGCAGCATATGATATCGATGAACCACACGGCAACTAAGAGAAGACAGGCGGTGTCACGCGTAGACACTGTTGTGAAGGCTTATCCGCAGACGACTCACCACGTTATCGCAACCTTCTGAGACCTTTCGAGAAGCACTAGCCATGAACAACCGGGATCGAGAGGTTGCAAGGTTCGCCACGCAGTCCTTGGCGGCATCGGAAATCCAAGAATGGGCCTTCTCGCACTCTTGTACTTTACCTTAATTCGACCACAAACCACGTAGCACGTTGAAAGGTCGCAACCGTTCAAAGGCGTGGTTCTTGATGAATCACTTCGCGCGTCATGGCTTCAGAGATCCGTTCGGATGGCAAGCCAGGCTTGGATCGATGTGATTCGATGTCGACGGCTGGAGCAGGGCGAATACGAGATATACGATCGAGGGAGTCCTGCGAAGCCCAGATTGCCGTCCATCTTCGTACAGAGCGACCATGTCGGGCTTATCATGCGATGTGCTACCATTGGGCAGCAGAGGGCATCAGTCGAGAGCACCCGTCGAGAGCACCCGCGAGGTCTGTGGCAAAGTTGCGGCAACGGCAGGTCCCTTCGCTCATCTGAGGTCGTGTCATGATCATCGCTGTAGGTACACGATGGACGCCAACCTACAATGTTCGAATCAGCGCTGCGGTGGCTGGACTGATATGTGAGACATCTTGCAAATCGATCGTCGATTGTGCTGGTGAGGTAACACGTCAGATTGAGTGTCGGCCATTTTCTTGCATAGAGCAGCCAACAGCTGCCTGTTATGGCATCGTCAGACTGTGATGGTGGGAGGAGCTTGGTGGGCACAAAGTCGCGCGACTCAAGGGACAGGACGGACTCTTCTCCGAGAGGAGGCTGGAGGTCCCAGAGACTCGTCAGCCCATCGTACAGGGTTTGGGATGATGTTCATGTGAAGCTCTATGAGGGTGAGCGGAACCCACACAACCTGCCGCTTACCTCCGGTCTCTATCAGAGTTATCGGTAGCCATGCTCTTTGGGTGCAACATGTGACTTGCATAGAAAGCCAAAGTCTAACGGATAACAGCACAGCAGCACACACACAGGCTTCTGAAGTGCTCCATTGCGGTGCTATTTTCAGACATAAGCGGCCATACTGTACCTTGAGCTGTGTGAGATGTGTCGCAACTGTCATGCTGCTGGCTCGGGCTCACTTGTCTATGTCACTGGGCCTGTTGCAAGCTGTCGAATTCTCAAGCTACATTGTCGATAGGCAGCTTCGGATGGCGTGCAGGGTCAAGCCACAGATCTGATCGCGTTACCGACAGTCAGTTTGGCGATGTGGCTGTTGCGCCACAGCCCGACCCCTCCGAAATCGTCTCGCCGTCACCTTTGGGCCTGTAACGGCTGAATTGGGCTAGAAAGCAGCCTGCAAGTCGAAGTTTAAGCGAAACATTCTTCTAGCAGTGAATCATGCAGCTCCGTCTCTTGCGATCCCAACATCAATGGAGATCTAGATCAGCCTGTCGTCAAGTGCGATTGTGTTCTTTCTACCTCTGAACTTACGGACATTGCAGCCAGCTAACGAGCAGTAACACGGCTTGCATTGTACTTGCTACATCCTGCAGACACGGGATGGATGTAAGTGGAAACTCACTCTGACTTTGAAGGTGGCACCTTCTCAGTGCCGGGCCATTCGACACCTGCTGCGTATCTCGACACGCTGAAAGCTCCATGCATAGGCCACTTCAAGTCGAGCAGGAGCTAGTGGGCATCAGCTCGAGAAGACCAGGGTACCCACGGAAGACTCATCCCCATCCAACAGGAGGCACATGTGCACGGAGACTTCGTGTTCAAAGTCCGGTTGTAAGGCGTGCCTGTCGTGAAGCGTCAGAAACCTGCCAGTGCAAACGATGACCGAGACCGCGCTGCAAGGCGGACGGTGCCGTGAGTACAGATCAATGACTAAAGCCTAACCCGAGGCATAAGCAGCACAGTGACATAATTGACTGTAAATCAATGACTGAATCGGACGTATGTAGAGCTTTTCTCACGTCAACAAATTCATTTACGAAAATAAAAAAGGTTAGGTGGGTATCTGCGACCAAGCAAACTGGGGTAGCTACAACGCTAATGCAACTAAGAAGCCGAAGACTTCTTGGACTCTGACCCATTTCCAATCCAGCCGTGCACACCCCGCGCCCAACATGTTTCCCCTCTGCGACCATCATGTGCCTGCCATTTTCTGTAGTGCTACCTGGGCCACGCTCTGAAGTGCCGCCATCCGGACGAGTAAACACATAGGCTAAACAACATTCAGCCCTCTCGACGGAGATCTAGGCGTCATCAAATGCGCCAAACGCTCCCCAGAGAGACCTCTCAGATCGTCTGGATACGCCGAGGCTGCTCAATTGCCCGTACCCGCTAGCAGAACGGGACATCGGGTATTGTGAGGTGAGGTACGACGCAGAAGTGCCTTGCCTCGTTCTCTCAAGGATCATGAACTGCTTCGTGCGTTGTTGCTGCCTCCATAGCCTCATTGCCTGGAAAGTGGGTATAGATCATACTCAACAAGGTGCGGTCGGCTTCATTTCTGTGAAGACACAGCAGTACCAGCTTTGGTGATGCTGTCGTTAAGTTTTGCCACAACTCCAGCATTACGGCATTCGGTTCATGCGTGTCTCAGTTGGGCCCATCAGTCCATGGTCAATCCGTCATGGTGCCCTCGTCACTTTCATCCACTAGCATCCACCCCGCAATTAACATGCATGACACCCACAGGCATACGAGAGGATGATCCCACTCCGACAGAAGCTATGAAAATATCTTGAGCTGCTCACTGTCACAGCTCTACTTCTCAGCACAGATTTTCTGCACCAGGATCAATTCGCAGAACTGCTCACTCGCTCAGCAGTCTGCACACCTTCGCTCTTGCGTGTCTTCAATCAAGGTACTCCGACAATGAAGTACGCAACTGGTCTTGTGGCTCTGGCCACGACCGTACTGGCACTACCACAGGGTGTGACCGAGACCCTGCTGCCCTCGACACCAGCTCCTGCCGGATGCTCTGCAAGTGCCCCAGGAAGCTTCAACCTCCAGGTCGTCAACGTCAGCAGCACGCCTGCGAAGGTCAAGGTATGTGGCCACTCCTGCCTCAATAGATGACACCACTGACAGGCTTTCAGCGCCAACAAGCCGGCACACTCGTTCTGACCCTGCAAGATGGCATCATGAAGGACCAGGCTGGACGACAAGCATACATTGCTGCCAACGACCAGTGGCAATTCGACCAGCCGATTCAGGCTGGTGCCAAGATCACTGCCGGCTTCTCACTGTGCGCGAACAACTCAATTGCACTCGGTGGCTCAGCCATCTGGTGGCAATGCTTGAGTGGCTCATTCTACAACTTGTATTCGACCAAGCAAGGCAACCAGTGCAATGAGGTGTACTTTGAGGCTATCAACATGATGAATGCCATGACTGGTATGCCTGGTGCGACTCCAGCGCCGTCTGTGGCGTCTCAGATTTCTGATGGGTAAGTCATCAAATCTCTCTGAAGTTGCTGGGAGCGGAAGACGAGCAGGAGTGGCGGAAATTGCGATGGCGGAGATTGCGATCGCCAAGCCCTCCGTGACTCTTGTTCCTTCCGACGCCTCAATACTTCACGTTCATCATCTGTCATTTGAATACAAGCTAATCCTCAACAGTCAACCACAAGCATCCCCTGTGTCGCAGATTAGTGATGGCCAACCGCAAGCCGCGACGGGCAAGCCTGTCAGCCAGATCTCGGATGGCCAGCCACAGGCGCCTACCGGCATGCCCGTGACCCAGATTTCGGATGGTCAACCGCAAGCCCCTACCGGCAAGCCGGTGACTCAGATCTCGGATGGACAACCCCAAGCTCCTGTTGCTACTGGCAAGCCAGTCTCGCAAATCAGCGACGGTCAGCCTCAGGCACCTACTGGAAAGCCCGTTTCACAAATCAGTGACGGTCAGCCGCAGGCACCTACGGGCAAGCCCGTAAGCCAGATCAGCGATGGTCAGCCACAGGCGCCTACAGGCATGCCGGTCTCACAGATCAGCGATGGGCAACCACAAGCTCCTACAGGAAAGCCGGTCTCACAGATCAGCGACGGCCAGCCACAAGCTCCCACAGGTGCCCCAGCTCCTGCTCCTGCCCCAGCTCCTACAGGTGCACCAGTCTCCCAGATTTCCGACGGTCAACCTCAGGCTCCCACCGGCAAGCCTGTATCGCAGATCAGTGACGGTCAACCACAAGCGCCAACGGGCAACCCAGTCTCGCAGATTAGCGATGGGCAGGTCCAGGCCGCCACAGGCAGCCCGTCGGTCTCAGCATACGCCGGCAGTGGTTCTCACCTTGAGACCAGCCTCACAGGCGCCATCGCCGCAGTCCTCATGGGCGTTGCTGCCATGCTATAAGACACTCGCACCACTCATCTCCTTGGTCCCGTCGTCGCCATGTTGGAAAGTTTGGTCTCTCCGTCAAGTTATTGTTGGGAGTCACAGGAGCATGCATGCATAAGCGCTGCATAGACACAAGCCACTTCAAAGCTGTCGATGCCTTGGGCCTGAGAAATGGCCAAGCGTCGATGAGCTTTGGCATCGCTTGTTGTCAAAGAGATCGCTGCCAGCATTAATGAATGGCGAAAGCCGATAGCTGGCACTTCTCAAAATACTTACCTAATCTAATCCACGATCCTTACGAAGTCGATAGCGAGGTCGATAATATCAATCAAATGCATTGTACATTACGTCCCAGGTAGCGGCAGCGTGTCTTGTAAGGCCTTGCGCACCCATCCGTGACATGTTAGGTGAGCTCGTCGTCGATGAGGTGGTTGTCGACTGGCAACTCCTGATGCTCCAACAAACACGCGCGCAGGTACCTCGGCACGTGTTGAATGTCAGAGCATTAGGGGTTTCGGAAAGACCTTCGTAACCTGGTCTCAAACACAATGGACGAACAAATTGCAACCGCTTGAGGCAAATGATCTGACGACAACTTTGTCTGGGAGGGCGACGAACGAAGACAGGTGCGGTGACTCTAGCCTCGCGTTTTCTCAAACCGGATGACAAGGTATACACGTTTGGCCTGCGCCAGCGGCCCCTGCTCAACAGCCTAGTATAAATTCTCAACCACTTCGATGGGCACCAGGGCCTCCTGCAGATTCGGCAGACCTTTAGCAATCTCGTCTGTCATGGCATTGAGAATCCCGGCGACAATTGCCCTTTCATGATAGGCGTCATTCCACTGAATCTGCCAATTCATCTTGCCTCTAAAAGTCCAAACCGTCAAGACGATGCCCATGCCAACGGGATCTGCCCAGCCGTATATCTGTTCCAATTTGATCTGGGTGGCTTCGTGAGCTTCGCAACTTCTGATGTCGTATGTCTGCTGTAATAGTCCCCCTCGTTCAAGATCACCCAATGAAGTGAACCAAGGCGCGGCGCCTGACCCAGCTGGGATACTCGCCCAGAAAGCTGCTGATTGTTTGGAGAGCTCACGCATCTCCAGCAGCCATTGTGGACGATTTGCTATTGCTGCTTGTGCGTGCAACTCTCGTGTACGCTCAAGGAAGGTTAGCTGCTTGCTGCCAGAGCTAGTCGCAGCGGTGGGTGGAGGGCTGCTCAGCAACAGCATTTGCGCAGCGTTCCAGCATCCCATTGCCTTGTACATCTCCGTGCCTTCCGCTGACAGCCTCGTACGCATTTGCGCCGGCATCATACTCGCAAACCACGAGTCACGATTCTTGGGGAGCAGTGGCCAGATCGAAAGCAGATATGCGGCAAGACAGGTGGCGGTGACGCTGACGTTGGGGCTTGCCGCTTTGCAGGCTGCAATGACCTTGGACGTGTCTGCTTGCGAGAAGACAACACGATGCACTTGAACAGATCCGGTAGGGTGTGTTGCTGGATTGGTACTTGGGACTTCAATGCTAGGCAGTTTGAGCCTATGAGACTCGAATCGGGTATGGACGGTGCGTCTGATCGCTTCATTATCGCTCACGGACTTGTCTGGTACCGGGCACGCCATGTCTTCAGGTGGTGGAGTGAGGAGCGATATCTCATCTCCGGGCGTGTGTGATTGCAAAGCGAGGGTTGTCTTGCTGTGCGAGGATGATAAAATGTCACCTGCCAGTAACAGCAAGCGATTCAGAAGCATGTAAACGCCTGAAGCTTCCGTGCGCCAGTGGGAGAAGAGTAGAAGAATTGTTGCGTTGAGTGTAGGCGGCTCAGCAGCAGCCGGGGCGTAACTCGGCTTGGGAATAACATGGCAGACCGGCATGTGCTCAGTCCGCGACTTCTCTCGGCGTACGACTTCCTCAACACTCTCGCCTTGCGCGGCCACCATGAAAGTACGCTTGAGCCAACATTCCACCCCCGCTTCGTCCTCGACCTCGTAGACCTTCTCCATCGTAGCGGGATCAAAAGTGGTTGCGATGTCAGGCTCATGAAGCAGTCTCAGAGCTTTCCAGGCCATGCGAAGAGCAGAAGTTGCCGAAGTCGGTGATTCAGGAATTGCGACATCTGCAAATATGTGTATGCGGACCGGCTCGCGAATGAACGGCCTTGGCGCTGTAATGGCGTAGACGAAAGGTGTCTCGGTGTCAGATAGCGGCCGGCTGAAGAGCGATGGCTTGTCCGGAGACGATGTGTAGCCTGTTGAGAGAGGCATAACGATGGCGCTGCTTGTATGTTGTTCAAGTATTCTCACAGACTCCAGCCAACGGTGGTCAAAAGCTGAAGCGAATCTTGTGTTCCTAGCGATTCAGAGACACCGAGCGTGGAAGCGGTGCGATGGGTGTTGTCAAGGAGGATTCCTCTATGAAATAGCAGAGAGAACCTTCCAATACGGCGCTGCAGCCCGCTACAGACGATTGACTGGTATTTGATAGAAAGTAGATTGAGCTTACCGTATCTGGCAGTTGGTGGTTTTTGGTACCTAAGTAGGTATTTAAGGTATCGGTTTGGATGAAGATACCAGTCTATGTCAGTCTAGAAATGCCATCTTCCGATGCTTGAACATTGACTGCTGAAACCACTTGTGTCCAACTCGGACCATTGACCTAGGAGTCCTGTCTGGAATGCGCCTTTTACATCGGCGCTGGCATCGTCGGTCTTCGAGAGGATATCAGCAAATGAAGCGCATTGTACGCATACGCTGAGTCTCGAATGTGGGCAAGGCGGAAGTCTTGAAAGCCTCTGTGAAATATCGGAGCGCTTCGTAGCCCGGTTGAGAGCAGGAGCAATGGGCACGCCTGCGAGGAGACACTCTCGGACGAAGAACGCCGGTTGCGCGCAATTGATGAGATCTATGTGTCGCTGGGGACAGGCCAAAGCGCCCTAACCCTAGGGCCTCTCTCCCGGAGCCGTACGACGTATGCTCCTGGCCTGGCCTGGAACTCTATCACCGGCCACCGGCTGACACCAATTTCAAAAGCTCAAACGCCGAACGTGGTTCCTTCTGTCTTTCACCCCACTTCCATGCCGTGGATGAGATCAGATGTGTCGTGTCAAGCCGGGCATTTTCCGACGTTATCTATCATTGATAGCGCATACATCATTGCCCTGACTAAGATCGCGGACGTCGCGTCTTCTCAGTCGTCTTAGCGGATATAACGCATCCATGCTTGCACCTCGACCAGCCCAGTCGCGAGCTCTCGCTTGTACATCAGCTACCACCGTGTACTGAAATTCGCATGATACAAACTCGACAATGGATGATACTGTTGCATATCTCGCGGACAAAGCATGGGGTTAGCCTCCCTAATGTTTGGACTTACAAAGCTATCAGGTCTGTTGTTCTGATGATATGTCTGTTCCACAGGTCTCTACAAACGTCTTGAGCCATCGCAGCGACTACTCATAGCTGTCGCAGGAATACCTGGCTCTGGCAAGACGACCTTGGCTGCCTCGGTCGCTAACAAGGTCAACGCTCGCTACCAACAATCTTCCTCAAAGCCCGATGATGTTGCGCTCGTAATACCGCTCGATGGCTACCACCTTACGCGGAAGCAACTATCTCTCATGCCCAACAGCGAAGAGGCTCACTTCCGCCGTGGCGCCGCGTTTACATTCGATGGTGAAGGGTATCTGGCTCTCGTGAAAGCACTGCGCGAACCGCTGGGCTCAGGCAAAACTGTTCACGCGCCATCTTTCGATCATGCAGTCAAAGATCCCGTGGAGAATGATATTCCCATTCCTCCATCTGCCGAATCCTCATCTTCGAGGGGCTCTATGTCGCGCTCTCTCGGCCGCCTTGGTCAGAAGCTGCAAGCCTAATGAATGAGATCTGGTTCATGGACGTCCCGTTACCTGTAGCAGAAGCGAGAGTCGCCAAGAGGAATTTTGCAGCTGGACTTTCGCCATCACTCGAGGCAGCTCTCAGTAGAACGAAGAAGAACGATATGCGGAATGCGGAGGACGTTCTGGAGAACAGAGTGGGAGGTGGCTTGATTCGAGAAGTCATTGGCAGTGTAGAAGACGATGCATGGAAGAGCGAGGGCTTGAAGCGGGTGGAGAAGGATCTCGAAGACGACAGACACCGAGGGGACCAAAGTGATCAGGTAACGGACAAGCCGCCGATGGTAAGACCAGATTTGCCTTTGTGCTCGTCAAGCTAACGAGCTCTCGTAGGTTGGCGAGAGAGGCAGGATGGACTCAATTGCAGAGTTAGTTGCAGCTGGTGCTGGTATGTAAATCGCCAAATGCTGGATTCAAACAAAGACGGTCATCCTTCGGGGTTCAAGATGCGGCGGCACGGGTAAAACGCACGAGATGACCGCGAAACAGAAGTGGCACATCAAGTTGATTCATGTGATGTACGAGGCCTCATAGCATCTCGAAATGATCCAGAAGTTGATGCATGCATACAAGTATGAGCTAGCGAGTCGATACTATCCAGGTCAAATCGGATGATTTGGATGCCGCGGTCCGTCATGCCTTTGCGCCTACGCGAGGTCTGGTAAGGCTACCAATCACACACATACGCACGAGAACTACCGTCGATTGATAGTAAGGCATGCTACAGCAGTCAAACGCAAACCCTTTAATATGTCATGTCGTGCCTAACATCAACGTCGCTGAAAGATTTCAGGCCGACCCCGATCGCATCAGCTGAGGCAGTATAGAAGCTGCATTCACAATCGTACGAAAAGCCGGCCTTGGATCCTTATCACATGGTCATTCTGACAACACCAGAGGTGTACCAGGTAAGTAGGTCTCTGAGCTAGGAACATCAACAAGCCTACACACTACTCCCAATCACAACATGGCGCAACCCTCGACGCTCGAGTACACCACCCTCTCCGAACGCGCCCAATCGGTCGTCGACAACCTCATCCCACCCCATGACAAGACCGAAGCCGCGGCCAAAAAGTTCGCCCACGTCAAGCCGCTTCCTCCCAACAAAGATGGCGACACTGAAGTCCTCAAAGGCGTCACCTTCACCCACCACTTCGCCTACGGCCCAGGCGACTACGAGCGTGTCCTCTGGCACTACGTGACCACTGGCCCACTTGACGGCGAGCCCATCGTCTTCCTACACGGCATCCCCGACTCCTGGTACCAATGGCATCGACAATTGGCTGCCCTCTCATCCAAATCATACTACTGCCTCTCCATCGACCTCAAAGGCTACGGCCAATCCGAGAAGTCTGCCGGTGACTACCGCCACGAAGCGGTCTCCGAACAACTCTACGCCTTACTCACCGATGTGCTCCACCTCAAATCCTTCAACATCGTCACCCACGACCGCGGCACCGTGCAAGCTGACTTCCTCGTTGCCAAGCATCCAGAAAGTGTCCTCCGATATGGCCGCGGCGAGCAGCATCTCTATCACTTCCACCCAAGCCTCGCGCCCCAAGGCGACCTGTTCCGCGACGCGCCTTACAGCGGCATGTTTCTCGACCCCGTCAAGTTCGTAACGTTCTGCTACACGTGGATTACACTGCGTCCGGTGCCGGATGCGGAGATGGAGCGCACGATCCAGGAGTGGGCTTTCGAGGGGACCGCGAAAGCCGTGCCGCGGTACTTCAACAGCTCGACGTTTCGTCAGGAATGGATTGCGAGACGCAGTCCGGGGGGACTGTTGGAGAGGTGGAAGTGTCCTGTGTTGATCATGCAGGGCAAGGAGAGTAAGACCCAACCGTGGGAGTGGTATGTGGATGCGAGAAAGTATATACCGAACGCGAAGGATGTCAAGGTCAGGTTTATCGAGGAAGCGTGCCACTATTGGCCGACAGAGCAGCCGGAGTTGACGACGAAGGCGGTGGAGGAGTTGTTGGCGATGCCCGTCGATTGAAGGTTGTGTGAACTCTGCAGGCAGACGGTGGACGGTGTACGACAGATATAGCATGAGGATGATGCAGAACGGCACGCAATAATTGCGCTCATATAATGCTACTTGCTTGCTTCATTTCATTTCTTATTCGACTGTGAAGCACCTGCTGGACAGATCTCATAGATCAAAACGTCAAATCCACTTGAGCTTTTGTGATGCAGATGAAATCAGTAAGCTACTTTTCGCAGCCCTTGGACACTCTCGTCCGATATCCGCAGCGTGCCCTGCGTTAAATCATGATGACTTGTGGCGTCGACCCGTAAAGTTGGCCAGACGCCCCTGGTCCCACTCCAGAGACCATTTTTCATCCATGCGCTCCTTCCCAGGCAAGCTCAGGCGATGATGCAATCAAGCACTCGCTTATGCTCCTGTCAGCGCTCCAGATGCAAAAGAGACGCTCCCAACGCCAAAAATACAACCCTATGGCACATCAGCACAGCAGCCTCAGCACGCGTCTCGCCTGTGGGAACCGCCTCTTGCGACGCCCGCTCTCTCTGCTCCTGTCTGCGCGCTCTCTGCTCCAAGAGAAGCTCTTGCATGATCTCGTCCTGCAATCGCCCCCCCGTCGACGATGGAGTCAACGTACTCGGCTCATGATCATTCTCCCATCCCAGGATGCGCCACCAATCGTCCGGGAGTTCGCTCGTGCCAAATCGCTCCATGATCTGCTGGATCATCTGGATTTGCGCGCTTGCGCGTGGACCTTCTGTTGACCGTGGCGTGCTTGTACGTTGTCGCATCCGAGCCTCGTGCTGGCGTAGACCTTGCGCTCCGGTCATGATTGGCCTATCAGGCTCGTTGTGGTTGCGCCGCTGGCGGCGCTCTCTTGACCGATGCTCTTCTCGAATGTCGCGAGCAATCTCTTCGGTGATACCGGTGGGCAAGTCAAGGTCACACGAGTCGTCGTTGCCAATTTCTCCGAATGAAGTCGCTAGTGTTGTCTGAGAATCTTGCGATCGACCGTTGGAGCCGCGAGTTGATGCGAAAGAGGTCGTAGCCGAGGACCTGTTGTCGTCCATGGTATTAAGAAGATGAGCCCAGGTCTCTTCTTCGGCGGACGGATCTGGTGTGGGGCTGCGGCGACGGTCACCGAGCCCATCCACAGGACGATGTGAAGGTCTTTCGGGTCGTCGACTGGACCGAGAGAGAGGAGGCAGAGATGACTCCCAGGTCTCGGGTGGGGGAGTCTCGAGGCCCCGACGGTCAACATGGTCGGGCTGTCGCGCTGGTGCAAAACCTGGGGTGAGATTCTCTGGGTCTCGATCAAGCCAGAGTATTCCGTCTTCGACGTGATGTTCAGGTATGTTGCGACCACTGCCTGAGGACGAAGGTGGACTGAGCAGGCGGCGGCGGCGAGGCGAGACGGACCTTGATTGCTGGGCGCTCATCTCGAAGCGAAGACTGGATTGACGATCTGGTCGCGGTAGTCGCGTGTTGCGTAACCGCGGAGGATGCATATTCGTGTCTGAAGTGTCTTCCTCGTCACGGTACGATGGTCGCGACGACTGGAGGAGCTCCTCAGCATCGCGCCAGCTCGACTCTGACTGTCGGTCGCGGTTGCGCTGTAGGTCCTGCCGCATTCGTTGCAAGTCGGCTTCCATCTGCGCGATCTGGCGCTCCGCGCGTCGGTCTTCATCATTGAGATGGTTGTTGATTCTTTCTCGTATTCGTTCTCGCTCAGCACGGGCATGGCGTAAGGTTGGCTGGCGACGGATTGCAGACCTTTGCTGTGCCTGAGCCTGATCTAGCTTCGCAGCAACGACCTGAGCAGTGTCGTCTTCAGGCTCGCGAAACACTCTGTAGCAGTCATTGTTAGTATCGCGCGTTGTGACTGGGAGTCTCGCAGGCCAGGCTAGGCTTATGCGCAGGCTCAAGCGCGACGGAATAGGGCGAAAACTTACGGAAGACCCATCTTGTCCCAATGCCGGATGCGAGTAATCGCAGAAGATGAGAGGAGAGGAGGAGTGGAGATGGAAAACGACTGCGCAAATGCAAAGAACGTAGTATACACAACAACAATGGAGGGGAGATGGGCGACGACAACAGTGTTCAAAGTTGACACTGCGAAACGAACAGTGGAGTGAGGCGGCGGCGGGAGGCGAGAGGCAGACTTCGTTCAAGGGGATCTTCCTCCTCTCAGGGCTCGCTCACTGGCAGGCTCACACAGAAAAGACCGGCTGTCCAATCGTTGTCTTTTCCAGCCATCCCGTCGAGGATGACAACGCCAGACCAGAAACGCTCTAGACTGGCACGTGACCAAAGCATCGCCAAGATTAGCCCTCAACAAGTGCCAGTCCCTGAGCTCTCAACGATGTGACTTTTGATATGCTGAACATATTTCCATCACATGCCACATTGATTGGTCGTATGATTGCTACGTGACGATTGACCTCCTTATCTCATCGATGCTCCCTCGCTATCAATATTGGGACTTCTATCTCATATATGGTAAGAACTGCAAAATTTTTCTCGTCTAGAATGTGGCCACTCGTGCTATTGTCATACTAGTAAGTCATAAGTAGATCCAAACATTCCTGAGACACCCAACGACGAAAGCAGCACCACAAAATCTATTTATCCCTCCTGGAGAGCGGTGCAAATCACTTTGGCAGTACGCTGCCTCACTTGATCCGCTACCATGCCGTCATTCTCATTTGACAGCTTCGCCGCCGTAGGCGCACCACAGTCCGCGCCGGTGTCGCCAGCGCTGTCTCGATCAAGCAGTGTCTCTTCTATCACTTCTCACAAGTCGGCGCCCCATAGAACCCCGGTTTCGGCAGCGGGCAAGCTCGGAGATCGTAGTCGTTCTGTCGCCGCGCCCGTAGGTGCTTCCGATGGAAAGGAACATGGCTTGAAGCATTTCTTCTCGGCCCAAGGACGTGCTGAGCGGAAGGAAAAGAAACGGCTGGAAGAGGAGAAGCTTTCGCGCGTTGTCCTGACATCCAAACATGCTGCAACGGTCAAAACGAGGCTTCTTTTGGAGCAACGAACCGGGCAGAGAAGCAAGTCGGTCGGGCATACAGCCGGTGTTGTCGGAACGACTCAATCAGCTCATTTGACAGCCGCACAGCAAGAAGAACGTCTCCCTCACTCTGGTCCGCCAGCGCTGCACTCGGCGCACAAAGTCAAAGAGAGAGACATGCCATTGCTCACGCGCATAATTTCGATGGATGAGCAGGACGACGAGGAAGAGAGACTGAGGCAGCATCGGGACGACTGGCTAGTAAAGCGAGGAAACGCCAGCATGGAAAAGGTCCGAGAGATCACCAGCTCGACTGACGATGATGTTGTCGAGGTTTTGAACGGTCAGGTCGTCGAGATCAACCTCACGCCGCAGTCAAGTTCTGAACCTCGTCCTGCACTTCGCCAGAGCAAATCAGCAAACGAACACATTTTGGAGTCTGGAACCGCAACGAAGCGGGCGTGTGGACGAGATGAACCATTTCGATGTTGAGACACACCAATGCCGGAGCCGACTTGGGTGACTCTGACAACCACAACAAACCAACAACTGGTAGCTGGTGTCGGCTGCAATGAGGTGTCTTGCTTGTTAATCCATATCTGTGAAGGCTTTGAGTCAGTGAAAGAGCAGCTTGAGGCCTCGGCTCGGACTTCCAAGTCGGGGGTACTTCAAGGAATGCAGCCAATCCAGTAGTCTTACGGCATCGGATTTGACCACTGTTATCACGATTCCGAGCCAGCCCTACTTATCTAGACTCAACCACCCAACCACCTCCTCAGTCTTCTAAGACCTCTCAACACTTCATTGCCAGCCAACGGCTCGTTGTCACTCGTTGCCGCCCTGGGCGGTCGCTTCATACAGGACATAAGCATCAACTTTGCCACGTAAAAAGATGGCTATCGAAATACGCCCCGTCCAGGCCAGCGATGAGCCCGCATGGCGTGGCCTCTGGGAGCAATACAATCAGTTCTACAAACGCACTGTAGCGGACGACATTACTCACACGACCTTCACACGCTTCCTCGACGACAATGTTCGCATATACGGCGCGGTCGCTGTCGAGGCCACCCAGCCTGAGAAGATAGTCGGCTTCGTGAACTGGTATCCGCATCCGTCGACATCCAGCATTGGTGAGGTGGTGTATCTACATGACTTGTTCGTTGACCCGGAGGTCAGAAACAAAGGGACTGGCAGGCGGCTGATTGAGCACGTCTACGAGCATGCAAAGGCTCTGGGAGCGGAGAGCGTGTATTGGCATACTCAGTACTTCAATCACCGGGCACAATTGTTGTACACGAAGGTTGCTGAGAGGACTGATTTCGTGCAATATCAAAAGCAGCTGTGAAAGACCACAGGTCGGGTCCGCAACTCGCAGGATGACGTGCTGCTGTGTGGCCCGATTTTTGTCATTGCTCAACGACAGCATTGGGGACTGCCAGGTTCAACGACGCGGGTTTTCAAGCACAAGGCCGAGCTCGATAACGAGGCTGCCTAGTGAACCATCGAAGTGAACAGCAGCGCTAGAGCCTCGAAGAGTTTGTTAATGTCACGACCCATTGTGGGTCCTTGAACTTCACTGCAGGCAGAATTCAACACCTCTGTTACTCAATTGTCCTTGGAGCATACGAACCTCTCTCACACGTTATCTTCTGTCATATTCGGCTTTGCGCTGGCAGACCTCCATAGCTCTATAGATTTGGAAGCTTACGCAGATCTTGATGCAAGTGTGATCAAGTCTGAGGAGCAATCGCTCAGCATTGGGTCTGTGCTAGTCGACAGCTGCTCGACTCTACTCGCTAAACAGTCTTTCTTGTCTACTGCTGTAAGTTCGCTTGTACCAAGCGCAGTCAATGATGTGCTGACAAGTTCATCTAGTTGCACGGCGTCGATATGGAAGCCCAACCTGACATCAACTCCGCCACGTCTGACAACGTTCACGGCGTCTCTGGCCCACGTGATCAGGTCAAGAAAGGTACGAATACAGATGGAGGACCATCGAGCGAAGAGCCCAGCGGGTAAGTCAACTTCAGCGCAGCAAACGCTTCTGATCCGACAATCGAGCAGGGAGATAGTCGACGGAAAATTGTTCGCCGACATCATAATCAATCAACAACTGGTCAAGAACCTCAAGGGTTGGGGCAAGGGTTATGCTACACCTGTTCAGATTGCTGCCATCGAGGATCTTGCCGCATATGGCTATGTACGAAGCGCTGTCTGCGTTGACATATATGGTAAACTTAACAGCGTCCTCCAACCAGAACTGCGCGAAACGTCGACAGGTACCTGCACAGCTGCGGATTTCGTAATCCCCGCCGTCATCGATCTTCTTGGTTCCAAGACCCAGCCTGCCACCACCCAAACCTCGACAGGGGCTTTCGACACGTCCGAGCTCAGTGCAGCCCTCACAGACCCGAGTCCTACTTGCACGCTGTTGTTGTTCGTATGTCCAATGCTGATGCTGCACAAACAGCGAACAATCTCAGTACAAAACTAGAAGATCTGCCGGTGAAAGTTCTACTGGGTTGTGACGAGTATGGAGGCACCGCCAGCACAAACTTCGCAGACATCGCTTCTGGTCGTGGCCATATCCTGGTCACAACACCAGATCGAATGAAGATGCTGAATGGCACGCCCGTCTATCCCGAAGCAAATACTCAGGTGCTCCGAGCACTTCAGCGACGCCGAGCAGAGCCGACCAAACCAACGGAACGAGTCGATCCTGTCGACAATGTTCACAAGGGCGACCTGTTCAAACCGACGGAACCTGTCGATCTTGTCGACGACGTTCACAAGGTCGACCTGTTCGCTACTGTCAAGTCTATGGTAGTCGTCGACAACACATTCTTTTCAGGCGACCCTGCAGATCGTCACGCCGGCGATATCGCTGGCATTCGCTCGCTTACTCGCTTCTTCTCTGAGCATCTGACGGTCCAGCTGATACGCTCTCTCCATCTAGACCCCCTGGGTTGGAGGTCGGGTAACTCATCAAAGCAAGGATCAGTCGTTGCTCGATTCTCGGACGCTGGACATACTTCACCATATCCAAGTGATCGAGATGCCATGTGTATTGGTAGCAAGGGAGACTGGTACAAGCTCATCGGCGGCTGCAAGTACACTGCCTCTGACCCTGTTCTTCCCAGTGTCAAAGATACAGCGGCCACGTTACCAATGCTCCACCTTGTCAAGATCGGATGGAATGGTATGGACGAGGACCCTTCTGCATATGATCGGCCCGATCGGGATCCCAACATGGACGATATGGGTAGTGTAGCCCGCGACAACATCGACACATCTAAGAAGACCGTTATCATTGTTGAGGATCGGGATGGCGCTGATGAAGTCGATCGCGGTCTCAACTGGCGCGGTGACGAATGGCTGGCAGAGGCGGGCGCAACCATGGTCTACATCACCTCAGATCGTTCAAAGCGTGTCCGTGACCGAAATGAGGCATCATTGGCATCATTCAACGACCCAAGCAGTTCGTGCAAGGTCATGGTCGTTACCGCAGATCTTGCCAGCAAGATGCGGTTTCAAGCGGACCGAGTCATCATCGCAGATCTTCCCTCTATCGTCGTTGATGACCACGTCGAACCCGAAGACGAAATGGACTACCGGCGCGTTCGGTTGAGGGAATGCAGTGAGCAGCTCATCATGTGGATCCATCGCATACACTGTATCGGAAACGGCTGTGATGCAGTCGTCCTTTTCCATGAACGCTTCGATCGAGGTATCGCTCGTGTGTTCCGCGGCTACCTCGGCGCTGTCGGTCTGCCGCATCCAGCGGACACATACAACCACGTGGACTTCCTCAACAAGGCATTTCCTGGGCCTCTGACGGAGGAGCATTGGGGTTGAGACGCGTACCAGGGTGATCGCTTACGTTGTGACGACAGTCCACTTCTATACGTCTGGTCTCCGTCATGGGTAGAGACGGGAGGCTAGATTCGATGCAGCCTATTGTCCCTTCCGCAGAACGTCGGTCAACTGGCTAGCGGTAGCATCGATGTTAACAAAGAGATATTCCTCATTGCTCTTGGTCACGATCGCAGTGGTTCTCGAGATTCCTTTTTCACGCTCCAGCGGACTCATGTGAGGTCTGCGTCGATACCTGCACACGCAATCACCCTAATATGCTTTTGTCTGCTGCGACGACCGTCAGTCTCTATACGCACTGAAACCAGATGAGTCGAATCGCGCTTGGACTACTGGCTGCTCCTCTACTGGCTAAGTTCGCCTCTCTCAACACGAGAGTGGCTTGGACGCGGGTATGGCATTGTCAGCTTCAAAGCGCCCACTGGGCAATGCTGGCGTTGGCGCTTCGCATAGGACAATTGCAAACGACTGTGTTGAGAATATGGCGGCATACTCGACGTCGTCGTCAGGTAAATTGATGCGCCTAAGACCCAAACCGGTCGATGCGAGACTTTCGGACTTAGACAATTGCATAGGACGAGAGAATGACGGCAACAAGATACGTCGAAGACGAAGGCTTACCTTCAAAGCGACATGATGACATGTGATTGATGGTTGTGTTGAGGACTATGGACTGGGGACCGAATAGCCGCGCGAGGTGAAGACTCCTCACAACGGGCGTTCCAGTGCATCATTGCTAGGAGGTCTGACCGGAGGATTGTTACTGTACGGAGAGGAGGTTCATCGAGTTCTCATCATGCCTAGAGCAGGTAGAGTACGTGGATCTAGTAAGCTATGCTATCGTTGCCATGTGTGCGGCAGGAATTGACTCATTGCAGCATGGGACCTGTAAGTCGAATCGATTCACGCTCTCTGTGTCCACATGAGCAGCACTGCGAAGCCCTCCCCAGCAGCTGGATACTCTTGTCATCAGCAGATGTCGTTGATGCCATCGCTCAGAACCTCCGTGCGCACATATGACCACTCTAGACACCCCAGATACCTCAGAAGTCGCCTTGCCGTCAACAGCGATGCCGGTGATGGGTGCGAGCAAGCGGCCATGTTCCCAGACAAGAGCGAGTCGGATGGGTCGTACGAGTTCGTGTGGTATATTATTAGGTCTTGGTATCGTAGCAGGTCGTCAAGGATTCGATGTGACACAATTGTGAATTTGCCGGCGGATTTTTTGACTGTGGTGAGGTGCGTTCGATCTTGTCTCGGTCTGTCGTGGAGGAATGTGCCAGCAAACACGAAGTGCTTTCGAATTGCAGAAGAATCGCCTTTTCTTCCATTAGCTGAATTCGGACTTTGCGAACAATGACTTACCTCGGCGAAACAGTACACTACTGACTTTGGCAGAGAAGAATTCGGACACGCGCTTCGTATTGCCAATATGGAATCTGTCGGGCGACACGGAAGTAGCAACGTGAACGCCAACACACTCTGCGCCTTCCTCCGGATACCAAGCTGGCTGACTTTGGGTCGGAGCTGAGATTCTGATGGCCTTGAGCTTGTCGGACATTCGCTGCCGGGCGTTCGATGTGCGACTCAACCCACGGACTGCCATCGTTCCAATTACCGGGACTGCGCCAATGGAATTGAGAGCCTCAGAAGGTAACTGTCGATGATATGTCTCGCGGCCTCTGCCACCGTTGCGGATGCTCTAGTTCAAGGCCTGAAGAGTGAGCAAAACCAGCTCTGTAAGAGTCATTGGGAGCATGAATGGTTGTCGCGATGAATGTTGTCAATGACAGAGACAAAATACAGCGCATGGAGCACAGCGTGCGCTGCGCGAAAGCTTCTCGTGCTTGGACCATTATGAGAAAAGACTTTGCTGAAATTGCTGATGACTCAGAGATTGTCAACAAGATGGTCGCGTGGCGGCTCGTACCGTAATGGGTTGTAAAGTGTCGAGCTTGAGGGCGCATGATGTGCAGTGTTGGCCAACGTTGCTATTTGAGCGCATGCGGGTGCCGGGACGCGAAGAGCCTTGCGGATGTGCTTGTATTGCTCTGGATCTGAAGCATCACGTCGGCAAGATAAGTGCTTGCTTGAGCGGAAGGACTGCAGAAAATGTGTTTGTCGCAACAACGGTGACTAGGTGCTCCAGATTGCGAGGAAGGAGCGATTGTGAGGTGTCAATCGAGCTTTAGAATGTTGGGAGAATTCAAGTCATTCAACCGGGTACCGGAAGGTGGTGTGTAGGTAGTTTAACGTCATTTCGGACCCACCACACTGCTGACGATCGACCGGCAGTACATTTGCGAGGGAGGGAAGGTGCGAGTTGCAGAACGGTTGATTTGACTGTCGTGTGTAGAGATGAATTCTTGAGCCAGTGCGTGCAACTCGGATTGGTGTCAAGCTGGCAATTCGATCTTCGGACAGGCGAAAAGGCTTGACATTGACATGTTTTGAAGTCGTTCCAGACAAAGGTCGCTGCTGGTCATCGGTCTGGAGCGCAGTTCCGAAGGTGCGATGAGCAAGCGAGTTTAAGTGGATGTTGAATGTCGTGCGTAGATGTAAATGTTTCTGAGCCACTGCCTGCAACTCGAATAAGGATCTGGAACCTTCCTAACCGGATGAATTTTCGGCCTTCCCAGGGCCAACAAGCTGGCTGTCGAGGCGGAAAGCAGGCCGACAGGCTTCACGTTGTCATGGTTTGGAGTCGTTCCGGACTGAGGTTGCTGCTGGTCACCGGTCTGTACCGCAGGTCCGAAGATGCGATGAGCGAGCGAATTGGACTGATTGTTCGGCGTAAATTTGGGAGTCGTGGTCGTCGATGGGTTGTGAGGTAGTTGCGGATGTTAGAATAATGTCAGGACTGAGCAATCGGGAACCGAATGTTCGACGCCAACAGCAGCACCATAGTGCTGTCAACGGCCAGTTTTTGGTAAGGTCATGGTCGGACCAAATAAGCTGGCTATCAAGGCGGAGAACGGGCCGACGGACTTGCAGTTGTCTTCTAGTTTGTGATCGTTGCGGATGTGCTGATTTTGACTGATTGAAAAGGTGGAACAGAGCCATGGTTGCGACTCAATGAGGATATGGGCCCTTCCTAACCGCGTGCTTTTTAGGCCGTCTCTAAGGCCGCTTGAGTTTATGGCCATCGCAGGGCCAGTCAGCGTAATTCCGCCCATAGAGATCGTGTTAACACGATACAGAACATGCGAAATCAATTCAATGTTGGAGCGAATATTAGAAGATGAGAAGATGAAAGATGAAAGATGAAAGATGAAAGATGAAAGACGAAAGACGAAAGACGAAAGACGAAAGATGGCGGGAGATCTTTTCAGTCTCGGTCTTGGCAACGAGACAAACGAGCAATGAGGCGATCATTTTGTGAGTCATGTTCAATTCACTTGTAGCGATTGACTGATGTATGACTTGTTTGCGTTAGTTGACCCTTCGATATTCGGCCCTCAGCAGACGGGGTCTACCACAGGGTCATGCGAACCTTTCTCAGGCTGCAGGCGCGGCGTTCGCGACGGCAGATCGCGAGGCCGTCCATGACTGATGTAGAGACGGATGGCGGTCGCGATGAATGATCTCGAGGACGCCTTTGAAATGGCCTGGTGTGTGAGATGAGACGGGTGCTGTCGAAGTCCTCCAGAATGGTCTGAAAATCGAGACATGAAGATCTAGCTGCGACTCAACTCAAAGCGAAGACCGCGTGGGCACTGGGAGGGTGTCTTTAACCGTAAGTGATGCCTGGAGCGAGGCTTGAGCGTGACGCTGCGTTGGCAAATACCACAACTGACTCTTGAATGCTCTTGCTATGATGACTTGGCCTTCCCTCTGATACTGTTGAGATTGAACATCGAAGTCATGACCCAGTCGAAAAGACCACTCCACGCCCATGCTCCAGACCCGAACCAGACGACTCCAGATGATGATCCAGCCCATACCCATCTCTTCCTTGCGTCGAGAATCCATCGCCAAGGCCAGGGTCCTCCTCCGGGCAGAATCTGCGGGACGACTTCCCGGGCGAATGCATCAGGAGTGACACCAATCTCTGCAGAGTGTGTTTGTCTCCTTTGATACACGGCTTCGAGCGAGGAGTAATAACTGTCCTCTGGCAAAGTGCGCTTGACGTGTGTGGTAAGCATGCTAGCGACTCCTCCAGTCACGACGGTCTGAACATGGACCCCTAAAGGAGCCAATTCAACTCGAAGCGTATTTGCATAGGCATGAAGTGCTGCCTTGCTGGCGTTGTAAACGCTCCCGAAGACGTAGGGTATAACTCCCGCGAGACTACCAATCATGACTATACTTCCCTTCGCCTCAATGAGTAGCGGTGAGAAGATCTGGCAGATCTGCATAACGGCAAAGACGTTGGCGGCGAAAACCTTCTGTGCTTCCTCAATTTTGATGTCCAGCGCTGGAACAGTGTAGTTGATTCCTGCATTGTTCACGAGCATGTCAAGTCGTCCATCGTTCGCGGCCTTGACATGCTCAAAGCATTTCCGGATCGAGCCCTCATCGGTGACTTCTAGATCTAACACCTCAACGCCCTTTTGTGAAAGGTCGGCGGCTGCAGAGGCATTCCGGACTGTGGCAAAGACTCGCCAATTTCTCTTTTGAAATTCAAGCGCCAATGAGTGCCCAATCCCGCCAGGCGAGCATCTGCTCACATTAACGCCGTTCAGGAGTCGGTGGTCGAGACACTCACCCTGTGATGAGGACGCATTTGCGCTTGTCTCCCGCCATGCTGAATGTCTGGTCGCTTTGCCCCCGAACACCGTTCACTCGTCCACTTCTGCTATCACAACACGCCTTAGGCCGCCTTCTTCGACTCAGAAAGGCAGCAAGTCTACCACATAAGGCAAATAAGTTTCCACGTAGCAGAATAAGCTCCGACCTCCGCGATTGAAGTCGGCTATGCCAAGGCCGGATGACGTGCTGTGAATGTACGATCCCCGCGTTGCTTTGGGTGTTGTGTCTACAGCATTGATGAGCGTGCCTGAAGGCTTAACGAGCTGCATAGAGTTCATATACAGGGCTGGTCCTCGTGCGGATTTCAGCTCGGCCTCCTTTGTTCTGACCTCACTTGTTCCCGTGTAGAGGCATTGCCGAATCTGGTTCTACCACGAAGATAGCCGCGAAAATGGTTACGACTCGCTCTTCAGATCCCCTTTCGATCAAATCAGAAACCTCGCCGTCGCAGGATATTGTGGAGAAGTTTATTCAGCTACTGTCGAAATCCTTCACTTCTGTACCGCTGACGACCGTACTTTCCGCCCTTCCCACAACCTCGGCTTTGGAAGGACTAATGAAGAATAGGCATTCGTGTCAGAGATCGACCAAGTCCCACCCAGCAGTAATCACAAAACCCTCACATCGGAGCGGCTACATAAGCACTTCTCTCTGGGCATCCCGGCAGCAGCCAAGGCAAACATTTTGCTCCTGCACGATGACGCCTTCAATGCTGCTGCGCTGATTGAACCGCCTGATTTCTGTGGTGTCCCACCATCCCAAGCACGCCGAAACCCAGGTCCCATTCTCACCGAGTGGCGAACCATAGCGAGAGAACTCAAAGCCAAGCATTTGGCTTTACCTGACTCGGGACCGCGAAGTTGGGACACCCCCGCCGCGCCTAGTCAGTCTTCTGGCGGACCTTCGGAAGATCCCTACCCGTCGAACTTCAATAAGGATGCCAGCGTCGAAATACGTCCCTTCTACCACATTGCTCTGGCCACCAAGGACCCAAGCCTTGACCCTGCTAAGCAGGAAGCTGCGTTCAAAGCTCTTCTGAGTCCTATTCTGGAGAAAGCCAAGGAAGAAGGGGTGCCGGTGTGGGCCGAAGCGTCGCTCGCAGAGAAGAAGGACGAATACGAGAAACTAGGTTTTCGCGTGGCAGAAGAAGTCACTGTAGGCAAGGGAATGGCTTCGGAGCAGGGCTGGCCTACGGAGGGCGGGACCGGCGTGCGTTGTTGGGGCTTGATTTATGACGACCACATACAGTGATAGACCTCTTGTTGCTAAGCGACCCTCCTCATTACCCACGATCCGCGCCTGGACGACGCATACCATGTCAACAAGCTAGGGGCCCAAGTGATGTCGCTGGGCCGTTTCAGATGCAAGCACAAGGAGTTGTTTCTCAGCTTGGGTTCGTGGGCATGGTGTTGTTGTGTTTCGGCACATCTCAGGCGCCTGCCTCGGTACTCGTGTTTTATAGCGATCGATCGGCAGTCGTCGGACGCTGGGTTTCATGCCAAAAACACATGCGCACACCGTTTCTTGCCGATTCGTTCAAGCCAGGGTACACGGACCAAATAATAATTCATCAGACAGCAATGCAGAAGACAAACGAAAGTGCTTAACCATGCCTTGGAGCCGAGCCCTTGAAGGACGCAGCCACAGTGATCGACAGGCGATTGTGGCGCATCCGCTGGGCTCTGCATGCGGCGACCAAATAAGGACCAGTACAAGCTTTCCAACTTTTCCAAGCCTCTGCCATTACTTCAACGCCTGCTAATGTAGGGTCTTTATGCTTACGCGTTCACCCTCATGTGATTGCAAAACGCCTTGCTTCTTGCGAGAGCGCAAAGGAACACTCGCCTGCCGATACCCTGTAGTCCTACGAGCTATTTCCGTTGCGCAGTCACATTGACTTTCAGCCCAATCGCGGTTGACGTCGCATGACGTCGGTTGCCCGAACCCGATAGATGTCGTGTCTGCTCATCGAACGTTCAACGGCGAGCTGATGCCGATCGAGAGTCGCGCTTTCTCGAGCTAGGGTTCACGACTTCGACTTGTGGTTGCCCAGGTGGGTTTGAATGCTTACGCGGTCGTTTCCTTGACGTAGGTACCTAGTGTAGGTCGACATATAGAGCTGGCATTCCCGTTCCTGCTGCGCTGCACCCTTCCCCCAACACATTACTCGAATCCGTGCACAAGTCTGCACATTGACATAGCGATCGACCACTACTCTGCCACCCGATCCGCGCAGTCGAATCACTACTGCCACCACCCAAGACTCCTCGACAACCCTCAAACCAGATCATCCGCAATGGCACGAAACGCCACGTCCTCAACGAGCGACGTCCTCCTCTACTTCCTCGCCCTCTTCCTGCCTCGTAAGTGCCATCCACTCATGCCGCTCCGCACCAAGCGCTAACTAAGCTGTTCACAGCAATGTCCGTCTTCCTCAAACGCGGATGCGCCGCCGACTTCTGGATCAACATCTGTCTTTCGATCCTCGGCTGGATCCCCGGCGTGCTTCACGCATGGTGGATTGTCAGCAAGTACGAGACGCCAGCGCGCCCGAGGCAGCAGGTTGCTGTTGCGCCGGGAGGTGGACCGATGGTGCAGCAGCGGTACTAGAGTACTCGTTCTGAGGCGGACTCTGGGGTATGATTGACAATGAGGGTAGTGTAGGCGCTTTCGGGAAATGCTTTTGTATGATACCAGTCGCCAAAGTCTGCGGCAACGGTTGTGAATAGTCCATGTCAGGCTCAGTCTTCAAGAGCATGCGGATGTATTAAGAGATAAGAGCGATGTTTCCATTACCACTATTCCACCGATGAATGCCAGTCTAAACAGCACCTACCTTCCATGATGCTACTATTGGGGTATCTGAGTCCATATTACATCCTGAGTAATTCGTCAACAATGCTTCCGCCACTCCCACCGCCATCGACATTGAAAGTGCCGCTGGTCCCTTCAAACGCTGTGATCTTCCCTCCAAGACTCTTCCAATCTCCATAGTACCGTAGTCTATACACGCCCTTCGGCGTTCCCGGCTCAATCTCCCATTCCAGAGTGACTTCACTGGTCCCCAATATTGTACTGGTACGCTTCCAATTGTATACGAGAAACCAGTCCTTATCGGTGCGGACCTCAGACCATTGACCAGTTGCCTCGTCACGTTGCTCGACGGCAGCAAAGGTGCCCTCTAAACGGAAGTTGTTCCGCGGATTCGCGCCGACGAATTTTGCTGCCACAATTTCGCCAGCCGTGAAAATCTGGGCAGAGTCTGGTGACTCGAGCGCATCACCGAATTTCTTCAGTATTTGTGGGTTGTCTACCACTACTCCAGTAATAAACGACAATGAGTTGTTGACATTGATAGGAGGTGATGGTCCAAGGGCAAGTGCTGGAAGCTGGGTAACCTCTGCCGCATTACCCAGGTACGGCAGATGCTGAACAGTGAGGTTCACGTAGGCTGCCAGAGTATGTGGGCCGTACAGTGTGCTTGCACCTTCATATCGCTGGAACCCATATTCCTCTTCTGTCGCAATGTAGTGAGCATAGGTATTGGCTGGTCCGCCGATAACAACTTTTGGGTCTTCAACGTCAAGCAGGCCGGACGCGCCTTCAGCAATAGCCTTTCGCCAACGACGGCCTGACATGGTCGTAGCTTCTCCAGGCGCGATGATCATGAACAGAGATCCGACTCGAAGCATTTGGATGTCCACAATGTTGGGTGACCACTGATACGGCTTTGTAGTGGCACCCACGTCAAGCAGAATTGGCTTAGGGCTCTGACATTTCATCTGCGCATCAGATGGCTGGTGCAGAAAGAATCTTGCTGCTTTCCATACTGGATTGTCGAGTGCTGGGGAGTCATCTGTGTCATTCAAGCCTTGTGTGAAGTCAAAGGCCCCAGGTCCATCAGTTGTACCGCCTGCAAAGCTGTAGCCGAGTGCTGCGGAACAGGTCTTGGCTTCGCGAGATTGATCCAACGGGTTGCTGAAGGTGAAGTTCGACATGTCCTGGAAGAAATGGTAGGATGAAACCGTGGGACCAGTGATCGGCTGCAGGTCTGCGCTATCCAGCAGAGATCTAGCTGCCTCATACTGTCTTCGTCCGATATCAAAGCATGACTTGGTGCCTTGATCATTATACTGGAAGAAGGGACCTCGTCCATGGCATCCCTGGGTCTTTCCATCGCAGGTACTGTCATTAAAAGTACATTGGAGGCCGGTTTCTTCACAGTACGCACCCAGAGTGTTGGGTGTGGTGTCGCCGACATTCGCCTGAGAAAAGCCGGCGACGAAAGATGGATTTGTTGACTTCATGGCCTCTTCCATCAGATACGCTGCCACGCCTTTGTTGTCTCCAGTTATAAGCGTGTTGTTCTGATACAGAGAGGTGCCATGTACTGGAAACCACGACAGCAGCCCCAGGGTCCTGCCAGCACTGCTGACCTCTAGAAGAGTGAGGTCTTTGTCCACATCGTCCGTGTATTGTGCACGTTCAGATGCCGGGTTCTCAAGATACGCGGCTGGGCTGCGATTTGCGTTCCCATCAACAACCTTGGCAGATCCATAACGTAAGGTACCTGTCGTCAAGGACTCGTGCGCACGACGTATGGCGAGGAGAGAGCCGTCGACAATTGCTTGATAGCTCTCTTTGCTGAAACCATTGCTGGTGATCTGAGGCAGTAGATAGTTCAACCACGCACCTGGACCAGAATGGCTATGAGTACCAGTGACAGCAACGTTGCTCCGGCTGTAGACATCATATTCTGGTCCCATGCCCTTGAGACCCTCCAGAATGCCATGACGAATGGCTGTGTCGCCAGACTGCGTATCAAGAACAAGGTATGCTACTCTTTCGGAGGGAGACTCGGAGTTCGCAAAGATGAATGCTCGCGTATAGAGCCGTTGTCGAAGACCTGTGCCTGTTTGCGCCGTGTCCGCGTACCCCATCAGGTTGATCTCAACGACGGGTCTTGATGTGAATCAGTAAAGGCACGACGACCGCACAGATTGACCTACCCAGTGATGTCTGCTTTTCCCACGCCGACCAAGTAGTCTCCATCTTGCTGGGCGGAAACGATTGGATCTGAAGCCTTACCAATGGGTTCTGAGGACTGTGAGAACGACGAAGGGAACAGCAGAAATAGAAATCCTAGAAAGGTGAGCAACGCCATAGCTGCCATGACTACCGGTCTGGCCATCGTGTGAGCCATGCTGGAGACCTGCTCCGGCAATATATTTTTTCTTCTCGCAAGCGGCAGTCACGCTTCATCTCCTTTGCTTCGCGCAATCGAGTATGTGAAGGCGCGTCGACCAATTCACTGGTACACTGCTTGTTCGCTCGTGGTGGCCTCCTTCCGCAAGGTCTGCAGCCGATCGATGGACAGAAAGGCGAGATTACAGAGCCGGCGCAGGTGCCTGATTCGAGAAGGCGAAGATGACGACTTCCAATCGCTCCCGGAACCCCAGTTACCTGCACTCAATGGCCGGAAATCATTGCTTGGCAGAAATTCGCGCCGACTGGAACTTGTAGGGCGGAGCACTGTGTCTCATGCGCTGGCTGTCAGAAACTCAGGCTCGCCCGGCTATGACGTTGCTGGTGCTTCGACTGACCGGTGTGAGTACTAGGTATTGGCAGGTCAATCAGTGCCGTCAGTGATCTGATGTGAGTGAATGCTCTCAAGGCACAATTCAACTATAGACAAGTCCTACACTGCCTGCGATACCATGCCTCGTGTGCCTGAGGCCCTGCAGTATCACATGCAAGTATTCGGGTGGTTGATCCCTGGACGATCGCCTCGCTGGAGCTTAAACTGACCTGCTCGCTTCTTCTTATCTCGTTTGTTCTACAAGTTGGTAGGCTCGTTCACGTTCTCAACTTCCTCGGTACGGTGCTCGATTTCAATAGATGGGCTCATATACTGTTCCTTCTACGATCCGGCGTATTGTCATCATTGGCGCCGGTCCAACTGGTATTGCTTTCGCAAAGTAGGTCCTGGACGGACTCGTCCGGACCAGAATACTGATCAGGCATAGATTCCTGCTGGCGGAGAAGACTTTTGATCAGATAGACATATTTGAGCAGCGAACTCGAGTCGGCGGGGTATGGAACTGGTCTGAACCGAGATTGTCGAAGCATATACCTATCCCTCAAACAGATCCGAGGTACGGGCAGCAGCAAGGTAAGTCTGGTGTTCACGATGTATGCCATGGAAGGTCTCTGGAGCTCGAGTCACCGATTTACGACCATCTGGAAACGAACATAACTAAAGGTCTGATGTGCTACGCGGAGAAGCCGTTCTCGGAGGATGATCCACTTTTTCCATCTCATGAAAGGGTGCTGGAATACCTTGACGAGTATGCTGGAGGAATCAAACATCTCATCTCGTTTCAGCACCAGGTCGAGGACATCCGACGCGAAAATGAGGCGTGGTCGTTACGAGTCCGAGACCTTGAAACAGGCAATGCTAGTGGAAGACACTTCGACGCAATCGTCGTTGCCAATGGCCACTACACTGTGCCGAATGTACCAGCGATCGATGGCCTAAAGGCATGGGAACAGGCGTATCCCGGGTCCGTGATACACTCAAAGGCGTATCGAAGGCCGGAGGACTATCTTGACAAGAAGGTCCTTGTTGTCGGCAACAAAGCATCAGGTCTCGACATCAGCTACCAAATCGCACAAAAAGCACAGAAACCAGTCCTCATGTCAGCTCGGTCGCCTTCTGCATTGAGCGCTGGAACTCCTCCAGATTGGCGCCGAGATATCGAAGAAGTTGTGGAGTTTCTGCCGCCTGCTCAACACAATCGAGCCGTTCGGTGTCGGAGTGGTCACATCGAAGAAGGGATTGATGCGGTCGTCTTTTGTACTGGCTATTTCTATTCCCTGCCAATGCTTTCGAACATTCAACCACCCCTGGTGACTGATGGGCTCAGGATCCGGGGACTATTCAAGGATTTGTTCCACATTCAGCATCCATCACTTGTGCTACCAGTCATCAACACTATGGTGCTTCCCTTCTCCTTGGCTGAGAACCAAGCCGCTGTAGTTGCCAGGGTTTGGGCGGGCAGACTCGAGCTGCCGTCTAAAGACGTGATGCGACGATGGGAAGCAGACACCATCGAAGCAAATGGTCCGGGCAAGTATTTTCATCTGAAAAGGTTCCCCGACGATGTTGCGCAGCTGAACGAACTCTATGATTGGGCAAAGTCGGCCAACGCGGTCCATGGTCTTGAGAATGATGGCGAGGGCAAACTTGGAAGTCGTAGAAGCAGGGAGATGGTTTGGATCCGTTCGCAATTCGCATCGATAAAGTCCGCGTTCAATGCCAAAGGTGAGCAAAGGAAGTCAATCAGGGAGCTTAGTGAACTTGGTTTCGATTACGAGGACTGGTTAAGGACATCTACTGAGGAGGATCGCCAGATGTTCACCACAGCATTGTGCTGAGCATCTCGCAGTGTCCCGAAGCTGCGGCGATGTGTCTGATATAGAACCATAGAGGCAGCGCACTCCCTGGCGGGGACTCCGTAATAAGCAACATTTGCGGCTCGAGAATTGAAGACGGTCGGCGTAGGGAGGACGCCCATTACTGAGAGTGACAGCTCGAGTGCTCACTGTGCCCTGTGCCCAGTGGCGGCGGAGGACGCCAGTAGCCGCCGGCACGCCTCGGCTAAGTTGCCGCCCGAAGCGCTCCCCACGAAAAGCGCCGCGATCGAGTCCGCCAAAACAACCTTGGAAAGTATTAGCTCCCGCCTCCGTCACTTGACAATACTCGTTCACTTTCACGCCGTCACTTCACTGGACTTTGCTACCTTCGCACCTTCTCATACAGTATCCTGCGTAGACATCTCAAGTAACATGCCACCATATCACACGAACGTTGCTCAGATCGAGCGCCATGCAGAACACTCGTAAACACCAACTTATAGAACGAACAGACTATAAAGCTAGATCGCCCAAGCGACGGAAGTTTGGTACAACTGCTGGCGGCGGGAAGTTTCGGTCTTCAGCCTCAAGTCCACAAGCGGCGTCGAACAGTCGCATTGCGGAACAAAACTCAAGCAAAGAATCACACAATACAACCCAATCCACGACTGACGAGCGTATCTTCGACGAAGAGAACGGCATTTGGCCTGCACGCGCTATACTGAAAGAGCGCAGGAGGGGTGCAAACAGAATTGAGTATCTGCTTGCTTGGGAGCCGCATCCTCGTACTGGCAAGACATTTGAGCCGACTTGGGAACCCCGTCGGAATCTTGGAACAGCACTTCTAGAACCGTGGGATCAAGCGAAAACAGCAAGCAAGATCGAAGACTCGGCCTACCAGCTACGCAAGATCTGCCAGACGTTCCCCGTCCCTTTGCGCAAGGATTCAGCCCTGCGGAGAAGAGAAAGACCAAGCGATCGAGACCAATCATCGCAGATTCCTCCAGCGACATCGACGACCCGGCCGCTTCGACACCGTTGTCTCAGCCACCTAGTCTGTACAGGGAAAGCGATCTGTCTGCCGAAGACGACGACGGTCCAAATTCGCCGTCGCTGGAAATAGCAGAGACACAGGCGCAATCGTCACTCTCTACCGTAGATTATCAACACAACTTTGTCTTGGAGGTACCTCTTCTTCCAGCCGACCAGCGCTCAAAAGGTGGCAACGACTTCGTGCACCAGACACAGCAGTCGATCGGCCAGACGCCAGCGCAATCGCTCCCACAAATTACCTCACTACCAGAAACATCCCAGAGGGCCGCCGATCAGCACGTTGCCGAAACGCTGGTAACAGATCGCTCTGCGCAAAGAAGAACTTCAACGCCCGAGCCTGCTGATAGTAACGCGGACTTGCAATTTGCAGCGATTGCCGGACACCGAGCAGCCCGTCTGGCATCCCCATCGTCAGCGGCGGACAACGATCAAGACCAACTTTTGCCCACGGTCGTCGACGTCAACGCCGAGGTGCAAACCCAAGCACCTCCCAAACACGAAGAGCTCGGGTCGCAGATCCAATCATTTGAGAACGACGGTCTACTTCAACTTGCGTCTGGTGTTGTCGACAGTAACTCTGAGGTGCAAATCGCCGCATCTTCAGGAAATCAGGACATCCTGTCCGCCTTTGCTTCATCAGCACCAGCAATTCAGGAGTCACCTGTCGATAGCAGACTTGGACTCGACCACATCCTGAACAAAGGCTTGACGGACGTGCAAACAGGTGCCCATCCGCAACTGCCGCAAAGCGCGGTCGAGCCACAATCGCTGCCAAGCCTGGAGCCGATCGTTCCTGGACTAGCTCAAACACAAGGTACTCCCTCCGTTACATCCTCGTCCTGGCACTTCGAGTCTCAACTGCCTGAAATTCGTCGGGCGATAAACTCACGAACCATAGATACTCGTCGACAGAAAGGCTCGCCCAAGCGCTCCGCGCCTGTCACTCCCAAGAAGATGGACGTACCAGCACTTCGGCAGTCACCCCGCTTGCAAGCTGCGACACCTGTCTCTCGAACACGATCACCTCAACGTGCCCAGCAACTCCGTCGCGCGCGTACGCCACAAGCATTTGGCGAGAGTATAAATCACGATGCTGCATTGGCAAATGCAGTGACAAGTCCACTTGCAACAGCGCCTCCCCACATTGCAGACTACACATCACCAAGTCGTGCAGAAGTCTCACTTCGAGGCGATGTGTCGGATGTAATTCCACCAGCTGAGAACAGCTACGACCCGAGCCAAGTCAGCGCGCTTCCTATCCAACAATCTATCGAGGAAGAGCCTCCTGCAGCAGAGTCAGCCACGTCCTCGAAGCCCAGTTCTAGTCAAACCTCAATGCTGAATGAGCGCATCAAACTCCAAATCGACGGGGCCAGTCTCCCCACCCAACCGGTCGTTGGCCAGGGAGAGTACCTAATTGGTCTTCCAGCAGAAGGGAAGATTCAGTCTGTCTATATCGACCACATCAATGCAAAGCGAAAGCTGATATTGAAATTCATCCATCGCCGTGGATCTGTAGGTTCGGCGACCGGATCTACCAGCAGAACTATTGAGCGCAACGAGATGATTGAATTGATTGAGTTACTACAGGATACAACAACACATATGGACCTCGGTCTGCCTGGCTTTACTCAGTACTCAATCCGGTCGGAAGAAGAAGTGGCATATGCCGAATATGCAGGATCGAAGTTCGTCTTTCTCGGTGCACTCGTGAACATGCTCAAACGAGTGGACTGCACGTTGATCATCGCTTGCAAGCCGGGCCCTGTGCAAAACCTGCTCACGGAGTACCTGACCATGCGACAAATCCAGGTCAGAAGACATGATCGTCCACCATCAGCTCGCGCAGGAACTCCCGAGGCTCTGCGGGACACCTTGAAGGTGGACATTATCAGCACAACTGCGGATGCCGACGTCTTCGTCTCTCCGCGTCCTGTCATGATGCTCGCATTCGACTCCTCCTTCGACAATCAAAGCCCTCACATCCTTCGGATCCGGGAGCTGCACTCCAAGGGCCGCAACCAGCTACTTCCCGTCGTGCACCTTCTGGTGACAAATTCAGCAGAGCACATAGATCGGTGCCTTCGCAAAGCAATGCCGTCACCGCAGAGGCTGAAACTTCTTGTGCGAGGCACGTATCTTGCCCGGACACATCTGGGCGGCAGCTTTGCCTATCTCCCATTGCCTGAGGAGCCGGCTATCCCTCTGATGCATTCAGGTGAAACTCAACGGGTGGTCCGCAAGAGTGCAAATAGAATGATCAATCACGCAGCTGCCATTGCAGCCAGAGCTGCTTTATGCGCAGATTTCGAGGCAAATTGGGACATCGTACCCATTCAGGAGGTGGAGTACGACGAAATGGACGATACGCCTCCAAAATTGAGCGAGAACACGACTGCAGCTGGCACGGCAGCACCAACACCTCGCGACGGTCGTCTCAGGACAAGATCCCCGGTGTCTCGGTCAGCCACGCCAATGGGCAGGAAGCGTATGCTCGATACGGATGCATCGACCTCTGTCTTCTACAAGAGGCAACGTGTGACGCCCATGCGAGACCTTACCCCGACCAGAGACAACTCATCAGATCATGCAGCGATAGAACACATGCGAGATCAGCTCAAGGCTATGTCCACAGAACTTGCTGCTGAGAAGAAAGCGAGAGTCGAAGCCGAAGAAGCTCTCAAAACAGCAAAACAAGAGCAGGCGAGATCTGAGGCTACCGCTGCAGAATGGCAGAGAGATCACAATGGTCTAATTCAACGCTACGAGAAACAGCGCGAGCACAATCGCACGATTTACAAGCAGAATAAGAAGCTGGCCGCGACCAATGAGTCTATCAAAACCCAAAGCGAGAAGATCCGTGAGACCAACACGATGCTCCGTACGGAGAACGCAGACCTCAAGAAAGACCTAGCGGATGCCCGGGCTGCCCTTACTTCCTCTGATAACCCAGATGTCGCTACGCTCGAGATCGCCCGCGCTCGCGCACAGACCGCCGAAGAGCGTGCCAAGGGTCTGGAGCGATCTCTCGAGAACACGAAGCGTGACTTCGAATTCACGCGTCAGCAATACCAAAGTGCTTCAGCTCAAGCAGTCGACCTGAGCTCCGAGAACAGTAGCCTCGAGAAAGAGGTCGCAGCACTAAAGATCAAAGCCAGCGACGAGCCGCGGCGCTTGAAAGAACTCAATTTCGCTGAAGAGAGGCGTACCATGGCAATGGAAAGCGAGAAGCTTCGCGCAGAAAATCGTAATCTAGATACGCTGCTGCAGAAGATGTATGCTGAGAACAATATGTTGAAGAAAGGAAGAGGAGTGCAGACCAGGGGTAGCAGCGCACAGCCGCCGAATTCGCCAGGCTTAGGAGGATTCAATCACGGTGCAGGTAGGAGAAGTCGGCAGGCGAGTCCGGCTGTGGGCGTTAGGGGAGATAGGAATCTGGCTGTGCCTGCTAGTTCTGGAAGAGACTAGGCGTCGCGACCGGAGAGCGCAGGGAAGGCGTTGGACACGGAAGACGAAGGAGCTGACTCGATTGCAGAGAGCGAAGGGGAGGCGTCGAACTTGGACAGCGAGGGGAAAGAGTCGGACGCGGACATCGGGGGAGAGCAGTCGGACTCAGACAGCGAGGGCGAGGAGACGAGACTCGCCGACCACAACGATCCAGGGCTTCGCGAGACTACGAGGGAAAGCTTGATGAGTCTACCTCGTTCTACAACACGATCCGGCGCCCGTTGGTAGCCTGAGATGAGGGCATGGAGGCAACGACCGACTTGCAAGGCGAGCGGCAAGGACTATGAGGCTGGCGCACATCGAGGAGTGATGAGCAGAAATGAGGATGAGCTCGAGCTCGCAGACGCGCCTGAGTACGAGCCAGCGGCGTATGCAGTATTAGAGCTGGGCCCATGTGGCTCCTGCTGCTCGCTCTCAACACTTTACTGGTGATTCATGCTTCCGCTCCTTTGCCTGCCATGTTCAAGCCCCAGTCGCCTATTGAATCTTCGTTGACGCCAGGCTGCTACACTCGTGTTGTCGGGGCCACGAGTGTCAACTTCAGATCACTGCAGTGTTCGCGGAATGCGAATACATACGCCTTCCTGAGCGAAGTCACTGTACCTACCTAGGTAGTGTCTAGAAGCATTATAAGAAGGCACGATGCCTAAACTTGGGTGACTCGCGGGCAGTGGATCCAGCGCTAGTGGAAACATTTTCCAAGTGATGCGCCGAAACGCGACACTTCAACGCTTCCGAGCAAATAATTCCGCTTTACGTTGCCGTTGGTTCTGGGTGAAGGCCATCGAGTCTGCAGCTATTCCGGGATGCCATGGAGGCTCTCTGGGAGATCCTGCCGCCTCTCGAGCCCATCGAGAGCCATCACTAACTGCGGGCGCCCGGACATCCTACGCACAGCGCCCATACCTCTGCTCCAGCTACGCAGTTGGCACTCATCGCCATGCACACAAGACCGAGTGACGCACGCCCAACTCCAGGCTATAAACCACGATGAAAGGGCCGCTAAGTCCGTCCGAGTCCAAGGCCTTGTCCGGAGCATACGCCGGCAAAAGCGCATAGCGTTCATACACATTGCCGATGGCAGCACCTCCACGCCTGTCCACGCAGTGGTCCAACCTCCCTCTCTTGCCGCCTCGATCACAAATGGTTCATATGTCGATGTCAGCGGTCGCTGGGAAGTGAGTCCTGGCAAAGGACAAAGTCACGATCTGCAGGTTGAGGCAATTAACGACGTCGGACTCGGCGATGTCCTTGAGCAGGATGGCAGCGTGGGAGAGAACCCTATACAGAAGAAGGCCACGAGTGCAGATTTCCTGAGAAGTGTGCCACATCTGCGGATGAGGACTGGGCTAGGCTCTCTTGTGGCACGAAGTCGTGCTCAACTCACGCGAGCAGTTGCAGACTACTTCGAGAATGGAAGCAGTGAGCCGGCGATACAAGTTCACCCACCTGCAATTACGAGCTCGGACTGCGAAGGCGCTGGAGAAGTCTTCACTATCGCGCCAGCTGACGCGGCACAGCTTCCACCCGTACGGAGCGAGCAACAGCACTTCTTCGGTGGGCCAAAGTACCTTACAGTCTCGAATCAGCTACACCTGGAAGCATACTCCGCTGAGCTAGGCGATGTCTGGTGTCTTGCACCTACATTCCGTGCTGAGGCTAGTGAGACACCTCGCCATCTGGCTGAGTTCTACATGTTGGAGGCGGAATACCGGGGCACTAGCTCTGTTCACGAGATCATTGATCATGCTGAAGCATTGATCAGACATGTTGCCGGAGACTTTGTATCATCGCGCGTGGGAAAAGAGCTGGCGGCATACTACAGCGATCCAACCAAGGCGGCCACCTCCGACGTTGAAGAAGGCGCAGCGAAAGATCTCGAGACCAGGTGGAATGCTGTATTACAGGACGAGCCGTGGATGCGGTTGACATACTCCGCTGCCTTGCAACAGCTTCAGGCGGCTTACAAGGAGAAGGAAGAGCTATTCGAGTTCAAGCCCTCCTGGGATGGTGGTCTAGCGCTCGAACATGAGAAATGGCTGGTCCGTGAGGTTGCAGGAAATCATCCGTTGGTGATCATGGATTACCCGAAAGCCCAGAAGCCATTCTACATGCTGCCAAATGATGATCCGGCCAACCAGTCACCGAACGAATCAACCGAGCAAAGGCAGACAGCAGCCTGCTTCGATATCCTCCTCCCATTTGGCTATGCTGAGCTCTGCGGCGGCAGTCTGCGTGAGCACAGGCTAGAGGCACTGATTGCTACGATGCGCAATACGGGTCTCTTGAAGCCGAAGAGGTCGGAGGAACCATCGTCAGCACCTGCTGCAGCAGCTTGTGGTGCTGGCCCGTCTCAGGTCTCAACGACTGCCTCATCTCCGGCCAAGTCAGCATATCCATACCTCCATGAAGGCGAGTCCCTGAATTCACTCCAATGGTACGCGGACCTTCGCCGCTTCGGCAGCTCGCCTCACGGCGGCTTCGGAATTGGATTTGATCGCTTGCTAGCATATCTGGTGGGTGTCAGTAACATCAGAGACGTCGTTGGGTTCCCGAGGGGGTTCAGAAGATGTGACTGCTGAATCTCGTGGTGTACAGCGCAAGACTATTGCCAAGATAGATTGTACAAAATTGATACCCTTCACTTCTTGTATCAAGCTCCTTCGAACGTCCTCAGCTACCTCGTGGACATGAGCAGAAAAGCCAAAAGTCTTAGTAGCAGCACCCAGAATCGAACTAGGATCTTCTGTCCACGGGCTTGGTTCCCTGTAGAGCAGGCCCGGGGTTAACCGACTGTCGAAGGGGAACGGAACTAACTCTCAACCTCGTGCGATGTGCTCGCCGTTGCACCATGCCGCTGAAACGTGATACTGTGTATCGGAACCGTGGTCGATTGATGGGCAAACTTTGGTGGTTCCAGATATATGAACCTGCAGAGCTAGCTTCACAGCGATCTGATATGGAGTGAAGCAAAAAGTCACTACATGATCAAGGACGCAAGAAGGGCACGAGGATAGCCTGTGGCCCAGGTATGGGATCCATGCACGCAGAGATTCTGACAGCGTCCTCCCCAGCCCGAAACTCTACGATCAACCCTTTCTGCTGATCGGCGGTCAAGTCAGACGGATCTCAAAACCACCGACTCGGTCAGTAAACCATGCTTAGATCATCAGCGCCCTCCCTGACATACATCCACCACGAAGTTTTTATATCACCCCTGTCCCACTTCACCAACGCGATTCTGAAGGAGACAATTGCTGCGGACGAACAGTGATGTCTTCTGCTTGGCTCAGTGAAAGACAGCGTACTGTGGCCGACGAATATCTCATCTCAAGAGGGCGACGTGTGCAACCAGACGGCCTCCAACAGACCGGATGACTGGGGATGTAAGGTGAGCTTACCTCAAACCGGATGACACGAGGAGGAAAGAGGGCCTATCTTAGCAAGATGACGCTGACGGCTCTTGCCTCTGAACTTGCAAGTTGCCAGCCACAGCGGGAAGCAACGATTCGAGGCATGAATCCAACTGGAAGGGCATAAGCAAAACCGGATGACCGACCAGGAGTACCCATCGCTCGCACATGTTCGTGCAATTCGCTCAATAGTGTATCTTTGCCTCGCTTTCATGTCCCGACACGGATAACGTCAACATAGCCGTCTAGCATGGCTTGTTTAGCTTCAAGTACTCATGATTCGGCCGCCCCAAGTCGCACGCTTGCTCTCTTTTCCCATCTCATCAAGCCTTCTTCTTCTTCTGCCCCGCCGCAGCCTGCAACTCCTTGACCTCCGCCGCCGTGTCGATAATCGCCTGCCTCGCACCCTTCCACGTCCTCCTCTTCCCCGTCTCAAACAGCCTATGCCCATACGCCGTCGCTGGTCCGTACGCCAAAGCATTGTACAGCGCCCGATCACTCCACCACAGTTTCCACGCCTTGGCGCCCCAGCCAATGTGCTCGTACATGTCTGTCCCGGCGGCGTCGTGCAGGAAGTACATGTATGGGCGGGTGACGATGTCGCCTTGATGGAGATTTGGTTCTTTCGTGATACGTGGGCGACGCCATGCGTCGTGTTTGGCTATCCAGGCGTGCATTTTCGTTTGGGAAGGAAGTGAAGAGTTGCCGGCCCATATCTGCGCCAAAGCCATTGCTGTCAACTCGCGGACTGGCGGTTGTGCGCCATTGACGTGATTGAAGCTCGCTACAGCGATCGAGTCGGCATATTTGGGCGGGAAGATGTTCATGTACAGGTTCGGAGGACGTGCTGGGTTGGTCTTGGTAGGTTCGGCGTACGTGACGGCTTCCGAGAGCATCTCCATGTCGTTCCAGTACCCGGTGCACATGATGATTGCGTCGATGTTGCTGATCACCTCGCCGCTGTCGAGCTCGATGCTGGCTGAGCCGGTGATGCGTTTGATACCTGACTTGGACGCCAGCTTGCCGTTCTTGACGGATGGAATTAGCCCGTCGTTGCAAGTGATAGTGTGCAGGCCGTCGCCTATGCCTGCCTTCTTACTGAATCCCCAAGCTGGGTCCTCCTTGCCGTACTTCTTCTTGAAGTTGGAATCGAAGACCATGTCCAGCAGCTTTCCCGAAAGTGAGGGCATGTTCTGCTCGATCCACCACATCACTTGGCAGACTACAGGATTCTGTAAGAGGTCGCCCGGCAGGCCGTCCGCATCGGTTCTACACATGATGTTGGCTCCTCGGCGGTGGGAGAGATATACTTGTTTGGCGTGAGGGATCAGCGCGACGGCGATGTCGGCGGCAGTGTTGCCCATGCCCAGGACTACGACATTCTTGCCCTTGAAGTCTGCGAGATTCCGTACGTGCGTCGAGTGTAGCACTTGCCCTTTGAATCCCTCCTGCCCGGGAAGGTGAATAAGTTTCGGCTTGAGGAACTGGCCTGTAGCCCAGACGACCTTGTCAAACGCTTGCGGTGATTTTGGATCGTCTGCCACGTGCAGCAGCCACTTTGCGTTCTTGTGGTCGCGTTCTAATCTGGTGATGGACTTTCCGAATTGGATGTTCTTGCGAAGGTCGAATTGATCTGCATACGCGCTGAGGTACTTGCCCATCTGGACAGCATCGAGGTGCGGTGCGTACTCCTGCCCCATTGGGAAGTCGCTCAATGCCATGTAATACTTGCTGTTACAAATTTGTGTCTCCCTCAACGCGGTCGTGACAGATGTATCCTCCGTCCAGCACCACAGTCCGCCAACATCGTGCCGCCGCTCGAACAGCGTGACATCTGCGCCGACCTCACGCAGCTCCTTGAGAGCTGTTAGGCCTCCTGGGCCGGCGCCGACGATGGCGATTTTGCTGCCCGTCAAGGCCATGTTGCTTCAGCAGCGATGGATTGTCCTTGCTGGAAGGAAGTGACGTTCAGATTAAGTACGACTGCTGATGCTGCTCTTCGTATCAGTAAGGCGACCGACAGTCATGAGAAGCTGCTGGTTTATTAATATATGGATCAATAAAGTTGGTAGGAGGCCTGGCTTTCATGTCAGCATTCATCGGGCACCTGCTACTAACATACGACCAGGTCAAAATCTTGGCAACCTAATTCGTCCAAGGTTGCGACGCAAGGTCCGCTGAATCCAAATCATTTTCGCGTGTGAAATTTGAGCGGAGAAAGCTGGTAGAAAGAGATGTGGGGGCTGGTTTTGTACAATTGCCGGATGCTGGCTTTTCTGCTCGTGTCGACTCGCGACAAGAGACAGCTGCGAATGGTGCTGCATCACTGCATGCTACCCCGTCGGTAGCTGGATAGTCTCATGCTTTGCTCCCGGTTTCCTGCTTCGCCTGAAATGTAACTTTACCATCCTCACTCACGCTCTTAACTTCCAACTTCGGCTGTCCATTGCTTTCTGCTGCACTGTTCGTCGCTGCGCTCACAGTGGCACCGTGCACTCCCATCCTGCTCTGCTCCGCGTGTCGATCCCGTGAATCATGTACAGTTCTTACGCTTGCCAGTACACTGCCTGCCGGTGCGTCGGCAATCTCATTCACCTCCTCGCGCGTCAATACATCTCGTACGCGGCTTGCTCTGGATTGAAGCAATATTGTCGTCGGGCCTTGGAATTTTAGGAAGAGTCGGTCTCCCCAAATCGTCCTTCGTGACCATGTCCGGAACCGGAGCACTAAGCTCTGCATAGTTTTGTACGTCGAAGAGTCCTGCATAGCCCTCACGAACGCTGGCGTTGGAAACCAGTTGCCTAATTGAAGTGGTATCTGCAGTCGCATGGCGGAGGATCGAAAACGGTATGGTTGAGGCGCCGGGTTCGAGTTGATGCTATAGGCGAGAATGTTCGATGGATGCGCAATGTAGGTTTCGGATGGCCCGAGAGTGAGGCTGTAGATCTGACCAACGCCAGAAAGGCATATCAGACCACGGCCGGTCGCGAGAGAGGTACCGTATGCGCTCGTGCTGAGTGAGGTTGGCAGAGTTGGTGCAACGTTCAGTGAGCGGCCCGTCCACGCGAGGAGGGCTTTGCGTTGAGTGATCTTCCAGTCGGTTGTCCCATCAAGGTGGAGGATGGAGAGAGAGGTGCTCGTGGAGGGTGTCGAAATTATCGCAGAAAGAGGCGTGGTAGATGTGATTCGCTGATATAGAAAGGGTATGCCACTGATGGCGCGCCGGAAAGGCGTCAGGAGACGTAGAGTAGATATTGCGTCATCTGCGGCATCGGAAGACACGCCCACAAGGGTACCACGGCGCGTGTAGAGATCCTGGGATGGGGAGAGCGTGACGGAGAGTAGCGAGTACGGCGCACCCAAGACTTCGAACGTGGCATCTGTAGGCTGTTAGACTGCGTAAGAAAGGCGGTTGCGGAGTGCAGTACCTGGGGATGACGCCGATGCAGACTTGCCAGTCACATCAATGGTTGCTGTGTCTGTCGAGGGCGTGGTCTGCACCGAAATGTACCTATATCCGCCAACTCTCCTTCCCGCGATCAAATGCGCTGGGAACGCCCAACGCTGATGTGGGCTGCGAGGCAGTCGCAGCAGGCTCGCCGAAGGTATCCGGGGCATTTTGGTAAGGAGCGACTGTGGTATAAGTGCCCGGTTCAATGTCTACAACCGCTGTCCAAAAGAATTGGAAGCTTTGAGCTTGAGCTCGGGGAAACAGTTCCTGGCCGCGAGGCTGCATGCTGAAATCACGTGCTCTGAATCAGCCACGAGAAGGCTGACATAACAAACCAGATCGCGACATCGAGTTCAAGTTTGAGACATTATGACTGGATTGCCAAACGGGCAGAGAACCTTGCGACGATCGATGGAGGACGATCAAACAGCTGAGAGCCGGTCGAGGCGTTGAAGCTGTGCAATGAGAGTGTCAGCCGTTGATACAGCGCATTGTAGCAGGAAGCGATGTTACTGAGGACAGGCGTCGGCCCTGCCCGGCTCTTGTGTCCAGCAGTATGCAGCAGCCGGCCCGTTCTCCATGCAGTTGGACTGCGCAGCACATTTACTCCACAGTCAGTCAGCGCGAGATGGTTCTCACACCAGCAGCGACGGAGGAAGCAAATTCAGCCCAATGCGAAACCGCCAGCTCAGACGAGGATTGCTGATGATGGACCGGTCAAGTCCGAGTCACCAGAACTAGCCAGGCCGGAGTCTGCGATCAAGTCGAAGGCCCAGGATGCAGTTCCGGCAGCAGATGGCAATGATATGCTTTCCGAGAAGGTAGTGTCCAACAAGGAGCAACGAAAGGTAGACCGGGCTATCATGAAGGAAATGGTCCAATATCTTTGGCCCAAGGGTGACTTTGGAACGAAGCTACGTGTCAGTACTGCACTCGGTCTGCTGGTCGGTGCCAAAGTCCTGAACGTAGAAGTGCCATTCTACTTCAAGAGCATCGTCGACTCCATGAACATCGACTTCCTTGCAGTTGGCGGAACTGCCTGGACCGTGGCCGGATCGATGATCATAGCCTACGGTGTCACGAGAATAAGCGCCACAATCTTCCAAGAATTACGCAACGCTGTCTTTGCGAGTGTGGCACAGAGCGCTATCCGCAAGGTTGCCTGCAATGTCTTCCAGCATCTCCTCAGACTGGACATGAACTTCCACCTGTCCCGGCAAACTGGAGGTTTGACTCGAGCTTTGGATCGAGGCACGAAGGGCATCAGCTTCTTGCTCACATCTATGCTCTTCCACATCTTTCCGACGATACTGGAGATCTCGCTGGTCTGTGGCATTCTGACATATCAATATGGCCTCTCCTTCGCTGCCATCACAGCAGGCACGATGGCTGCATACTCCGCCTTCACTATCACGACCACATCCTGGCGCACAAAGTTTCGGAAGCAAGCTAATTCAGCAGACAATCAGGGCGCAACAGTGGCGGTGGACACCTTGATCAACTATGAAGCGGTCAAATTCTTCAACAATGAAAAGTTTGAGGTCAATCGATACGATCAAGCCCTCCAGAAATACGAGAAGGCGTCGATCAAAGTGACAACATCACTTGCTTTCCTCAACTCTGGCCAGAACATCATATTCTCCAGCGCACTAGGTGCAATGATGTACATGGCAGCACAAGGCGTAGCCGCTGGAGAGCTGACGGTAGGCGATCTCGTTATGGTCAATCAGCTAGTATTCCAGCTGTCGGTTCCGCTCAACTTCCTGGGCTCAGTATATCGAGAGCTACGACAATCGCTGCTGGACATGGAGACTTTGTTCAACTTGCAGAAGGTCAATGTAAATATCAAGGAGGTGGCACATCCAAAGACTCTGGCACTTACCAAAGGTGGCGAGATCAAGTTTCAAAACGTGAATTTTGCATACAACGCGGAACGACAAATATTGAAGAATCTTAGCTTGACGATACCAGCAGGCAAGAAAGTCGCGATAGTCGGTCCCAGCGGCTGTGGCAAGTCGACGCTGTTGCGACTGCTCTTCCGATTCTATGATACACAAGGCGGCACCATCACGATTGATGGACAGGACATCCGAGATCTGACTTTGGACAGTCTCAGAGAATCCATCGGAGTTGTTCCGCAGGACACGCCGTTATTCAACAATACCATCGAGCACAATATCAGATACGGACGTATCGATGCTAGTGACGAAGAGGTCCGAAAAGCAGCCCAGCGAGCTCACATTGATGGACTCATCGAGAAGTTGCCACAAGGTTGGAATACAATGGTTGGAGAGCGAGGCATGATGATATCTGGTGGCGAGAAACAACGACTGGCGATTGCCCGATTACTGTTGAAGGATCCACCCTTGCTGTTCTTCGATGAGGCAACATCAGCCCTTGACACGTACACGGAGCAGACGCTGCTGCAGAACATCAACAGCATCCTCAAGGAGAAGCAACGGACGAGCGTATTCGTTGCACATCGACTTCGCACAATATTCGATAGCGACATCATATTTGTTCTCAAAGATGGCCAAGTCGAAGAGCAGGGCACTCATCATGAGCTGTTGGAGAAGAACGGTCTGTACGCAGACCTTTGGGCGGCACAAGAGGTCTCATTGGGGCAAGATATGGGACTTGAAAGAGAACTCGATGCAGATCGAGCAGACAGTGTTGGTGAAGAATCACGACGGCAGTGAGATTGACAGCCGTCAAAATATACTAGCACGATTCAAAGTTCGGACGGTGTCGCGATCTATCGGAATATTTAGATGAAGAACAGACCGTCCTGTTATCCCGCGCTATCGTTTCATTGCCTCTCTCATATCATGCCGTAAATACGGGAGCACCGTGCAAGCTGCGCACACGAGTCTCATCGAAGTCGTGCTCCTTTTCGCTTCGAAGCACACCATGATTGAGACAACATTGACAAGCGAGACAGGAACAGGAGAGAAACTCGGGCCTCGAACACGTGGAAGACCAATGCCGAGAATTTAGAAGCGACCTAGGCGGGAGCTATGCTTTTCCAGGCTTGAAATGCTGCAGGTCATCTGCAACCTTCTCCAAGCGTTGCACCTTCATGCCGCCCAGAACAATGCGATCTTCAGGTACAGGTACCACTGACAAAGCAGCCATGTGCTACACCATCGGCTTGGTGACTTGAAGCCAAAATTGATCTCAGGTATGCACAGGTAGAACACAGCGTTATCGTCGAGTAAAGCATAGATTGATACTGGAACAACCAACACCGAGAACACCAAACAATGATCTCGATCAGCCATAACCTCGCGTTGCTGGCCCCGGTCGGCCCTCCATCCTGCCCCTATCCATGCAAAAGGCGCAGCGCCGCAGCCACAGACGCATCCCGCCAGGCCCGTCTCCAGAGATTATCAGTCTCCATATCGAAATTTCTCTGTTCGCAACGGAGCTTGCGCACGATCTAACCCTTCAGGCGGCCTAGCGCTTGGGGCCCGTCCTCATGGCGCTCGCTAGAAGCGACAGAGACTAATCCTGATGAGGGGAGCGAGGGCGGTGGTCGGTTGCTGGAACTCTTCGCCTATGCACTCAAGGGCAACTGCAACCTCACTGTCGACTCTCTTTTCTCTGCGTACTCGCTTCCTTATCTCTCTGTGCCTCCGCCCACCTTACAGACACCTCCTCTTCTCTCACAAGCAGCACGTATAATATATGGGGAGGGAAACCGCCATATAACGCGTACCGGCATACTTGATCGGTCCACATACGTATCGTGCTCATCATCCTTGCAATATCCCACTCCAGGCACGAAACGTCACAATCATCGCAACATTCGAACCTCTCTGACACACGCACTGCGTTGGCCGTAGCTGCGCAGTGAGCACGCGTTTACCACATGATCTCCTCGCGACTTCGGATATAACGAAGCCACGAATTTGTCGCGACTGGATTCATCTTACAAATCTGGCAACGCATCTGACCACCTGATCGCGAGGGCCCTGTCAGCATACGCTACATCATTGCCTCCCCTAGCCACACCAATACTCCTGCGCTATAAGCCGCACACGGCCGTTCAATATATCATTTACATCGACTACACGCACCAGCACCCTCAGACACCATAAAGGACCGCCAAAATGGGCTTAATGAGCAAAATCCATCAAAAGATCGAGCTGTACCGTCTCGAGCAGAAGTACACTCGGAGAAAGAACCGCAGCACATTCACTACGGGTGCACACTACGTCGACGGCGAGTACGTGTACCAGAGCGATGGGCAATTGAGCGCGTCCTCAACCGGCTCGACTGGACAGACATCTACACAAAACAAGAGGCGGAGTATGTGGATGGGCGGAAAGTAGGAATAAGACAGGAGAAGGCAGGGATGGAGGGAGAAGAGGCAGAGGACATCTTGGACACCCATGAAAGACACGGACGAATTTTGGATAGTCCTGTTTCCGCCCTCGTGGGCGCAGCAGTGGCAGCAGATATGAATCAACGGCCAACTGATGCCGACTTGCGCACGTTCCGGTCGCTGGATGATACGCAGGACTGCGTGTGTCTACAAGCCGACGACACTGCCTTAGCTCGCAGCAATTCGATGCCCGTCAAGCCATCCTTGCATGGCGCTGTAACGGGGACATCATCCTGAACCCGACGGCACAGGCAGCATTTATAACGCATTTACGACCATTCACACCGCCCGTACCATATCCGCACCGCTGGGACGGCATCCGATCCATCGGTCCTTCACCCACGATGAGTTCTTCCCACGCCAGCATATTGTACACAACACAATCACCTCGTACATACATATCCACCACCAACCAAATCAGCATCAGTCTACAACATCTCATAGCGTTACACCAAGTTTTCTAGCATCAGCATAGTTCATTCATTGTCTCTCACGATCTCTGTCGCTGCTTGATTCACAGTCTTTCATCAACCCGTTTCAGCAGACCCGCCCTGGCCGAATTACTTCTATTAACATTAAACCCTGCCCAGCGCTAACTTCGAGCACGCGGGATCATCAATAGCTGCACCTCGGAAAACGCAAAAAAGATGAACGTATCATCCTGACAGCACCCAGACTCGAACGGGGCTCTTCAATCGCTGGTTGGAGTAAGAGCAAGCATGGGACAGAACTCGTCCCCGCTAGGATGCATCGAACGCTACCATAGCATGGCATGTAATCGCTGCACACTGCTGCGATGGGAGAAAAGGAAAAGATGAGGGTGAGGGGCAACGTAATTATATATACATAGGTAATCCTTCCACGAAAACGAAAGTCCGATGCATACCAAGATGGCCGCTTCACCGGCTCGGCCAGGAGACATACACTGCAATTTGCGTGACTCAAGTCAACTCTTGCCTGTCGTAATCCAACTGCAAAGGCTGTCTGTAGCTCCTTCTTGCCTCATATGATGTTCACAGATCTCTTGGTATGTCTTGAAGTTCATTGCATTCGTTCTGTCTGCCAGTATTTGCCCGGCTCGTTCGGGTCTGGGCTACTGGGATTGCAGGCTCAAGTGCTCGTGCGGTGGATCGATCACATGGTAAATAGTCCTAGTCCACTTCCTGCTCCTAGCGCTTCTCCTTCTTCCCGCCTGCACCACCAGATGCATCGTCACCTTTCCGATCTCGACTCCCACCTGAGCGAAGGTTACTCGCAAACTTCCCCATCGAGCCTGCCAATGAGTGTCTGGACTTGTGGCCCTTAGCATCCCCAAGTGCAGCGCCTGGAGTTCCACTGCCACCCGTCGGCGGACCCATACTGCCATACTGTTGATCACCTTGCGAAGGCATACTCATGTCGTATTTGTTGAGCACAGCCAAGCCGGCCCGTCGTTGTTGCGAAATCGTGCCAACGCCGCCCTGCGCCCCTGTAGGGTCACGAAAGGGCTGCGGTCTTGAGAATCCGCTTCCAGGCCGTGGCAAACCCGCGCCAGCACCACCACTGATTGGCTGACCATCGCTATTACGGCTAGTCCTACCACCGGCACTAATGTCGAGCTCCATGAGACTGCGTGTCGCCGGACCGCCACCTAACGAATCTGAGCCTGCCGCGGCAGCCTCGCCTCTCATTAGCATTTCACTCCGCCGTCTTGCCTTATCCTGAGTGTTGCGGAACTTGTCCAGCAGTTCCGGCCACTTGACTGGATCATTCTTCTCATCGCGTGCGCGAGCAACACGGCTAGTAATCGAGGTAGAGCTTGACGAAGGTAGGTTCGACGAGGTCAGACCCGCCACACTGGACGAGGATGGCTTGGTCAGCGATCCGAGAATCGACGAAGAGATGGCTTTGTCGGTCGACTTGGCGCGGGAATGCACCAAGCCCGAGGTCCCGAACTCGAAGCCGCTTTGCGAAGCAGACGATGGCGGAGGAGAAGGTGCGGCAGTGGAATTGAAACTCAAAGGAACTTGTACATACGATGGACGCTGACCTGTCGACGCAGGCGTTGTTGGTGGCACGTGCAGCAGGCCGATGGCGGAGACGGAGTTGAGTCGGTTCTTCAGAGCTGCAAACGCGCTCGACTGCGGGAGCAGCATCAACAACCCGTATAGGCACTTGTAGAGAAAAGGGTAGCGGTCTGGTTCAAGCAGCTGCAGACGGAGATCTAGGAAGTCAGTTCGAGGAGCTCGTTGAGTGATTGCATGACTTACATGTGAACACTGGACTCTCGAGGAGCTGGACCAGCTTGTCGATCTGGATCAGCATATTCACCGTCATTTCTAGGTCCGCAAAGACCTGGAGCAGATGGTATGCCTGCTCGTAGGATTGTGCCAGCAAGCAAAGCGAGAATGTTGCCACAGCATTGTAGCACCATGCCCTGAACAGAGCCACGAAGAACATCTGTCCGTCTCTGCTGTCCGGGTTCCGCAATCGCTTTCGCAATTCCGCAAGCTCGGGAGCTGTGATGAGGTTGTTGTTGAGATTTTGCACCATTATGCTAGCAAACTCAATGTCCTCATCCTTCTCGATACAGTCGGCAAGCGTGCGGTAGATACGCTCTGGCTGCAGATTGATACACAACTGCCGAATGATTAGGTTGCCCCGAATCTCAAGTAGCTTGCGATCTGTCGAGAAGAGCTGAAGCAGGGCTATCATGAAGGATGCAAAATAGCCATCGTCGGAGTTGTTGGATATCTGCGACAGAAGTTGCAGGTCCCGAATGACCACAGCTTCGGAAGGGTCAGACAGCGTCTTGAGTAGTGCCGGGAACGTCCCGTCATTGAAGGCGAGCAATTTCTTAGGTGCTTTTCGGTGAAGCATGATCAGCCAGCTCAAGGCAGCCACTCTTGTCTCCTCGTGCTCATTCAGAAATTGCAACGTCAAAGCGTTCACTGCCGCGGCATAATCCAAATCATGTGAGGACAGCCCTGTCGCTCCTTCTGAATCTTGGACTGGTGGCTCGGGCAGCGGTTTCTCAAGCTCGCCTGGGGCCTCTGGCTCAGTGTGTGATCCTTCGGCGGTGACGGCTCTGCTTCTATCCAACCTTGCGTTGTCCTGCAAAGTGACAATATAGTCCATCAGAGACCTGTTGACTCTGCTTGCCGTCGTCCTGACCTGCTCTGACTGTGCAGATAATGCAGGCAGCACCTGTGACAGCAGTCGAGGAACGAATTGAAGGATATCTTCTGGGCTCACTTCAAAGAAGCTGTCAATCCATCTCAGTGCAACTATGCCTATTTCTTCCTCTTTCTGCTTTGACAACCCCTCCGTATATAACGCTGGCACCTCGTCTTTGCTGGAGGTCACGTTGATGAATTTTAACAGAATGTCAAGTATGCGAGTGTGGTCGACCTGGACGTCCTGGCCTGGAATCCAATCACCGTCGACTTCGTCTTGGTATTCTGGCACGGTGTTTGAGTCAGAGTCGTCAATGGCATTGTCCTGCGAGGCAGAATCAGGAAGCGTCGCACTATCAGCTCGGCTCTCGGCTCGCCTTGTTCGTTCAGCTCGGTCGCGTCGACTTTCAGCAATGCCCTTCTTTATCTTGGCAATCTTCTTGATCTCGTTCAAAAACCTCTCGAGTAAACCCTGGGTCGCCACGTAAACGTCCCTATTCGGGTCTCCCAGGAACTTGAATAGGCCACCAAGGAAGTCGGGCAAATAGTAGACCAGCTCGAGATCCGGTATGGTATCCAGCAGGGTAAGCCAGGCCACGAGGAATGTTCGAACGAAGGGATTGAGCACATGAATCCTTTCTTCGAGTAGAGGTATGAACCGAGCCAGCGAGAATGCAGTGGGCAAGTCATCGCTCGACTCGTCCGAGCCATTTCCTGCGCCAGCCTTTTCTCGGTAGTCGACCTGAGAGATGTATGATGAGGCAGACTCAGATACAATGTCCTTGACGAGGCGGTCGAGGAGTTCTGCACCGTTCTTTACGGAAAGTTCTGAATCTGCTGCGAGCTTCGGAATGTCAGTCAGCGTACATGCGTGTTGGCACCACGGGCTCACCTTGCAAAGTGCGTCGAAGATAACATTGAAGAACACCAAAATCTCACCCTTCGCCACCTTGGCGATGTTGTACATGGCCTCACACGCATAGTAGCGGACCCGTGCATCTTGATCAGTGAAACAGGCAAGCACCGGTGGGACGACTTCCTTCAAGTATGGAGCTACCTCGTCCTAGCACATTGTTAGCTATTTCGTTGATGTTTGACACACTGAAACGCACCGAGCCCAAGGCTATGCAGGCGGCCGCAAGACCAATGAGGCCACCATTGCGGGCATGAGGCTGATGGACTGCATATGCGAAATCATGGCAGAGCTGATCGATTATTTTCCGGATCTTCTCGTGGTCCTTGGCGGCGGTTGCCTCTCGGATCAGTCGCTCGAGTCTGTGACATGGTCAGCATCAGGCCCTGTATGAAAAGTAGGACTGGGAGACATACTCTAGAGCGCCTTGCTTCCTCTTGTCGTAGAGTTTATCTACCAAGAGACGTTGTACGGACGGGTCCATGGTGAGGACGTGGGCAATCCCAGATCAGTCGTGTGAGGGGCCCACCAGCTCCAGGTCCATAGCTTTGGGGCTCAAATCGCACACATTTGGAGGTGCCAATCTTGCGGTAGAACCAGTCGAGACGATCGAATATCTATCTGCAGACTTCGAGAATATGGCCTAGGGATAGCGATCGAAGACAATGTCATTCAAGTTGAGCTGTGAAACCGGGAAAGAGAGACAACAAACTTGAAGCATCGCGACCCAGCCCGACCGTTGACTCGCTCAAACGCGTGGGAGGCAGGCGCCCCACGCGGCTTCCCACTCCGATTGGCTCAGCTGCAACGTTCCTGCTCGACACACACGACCTGCTGAGCAACCACGTAAAATGGAGTTTTTCGAGTTCGCCGTTGCGAGATAAAATTCTATGAATATTCTATAAGATCATGTCGTCGTGGACACTCCGTGATACGGTCTATGGCAAAGGTCTACCACCTGCTATTCGCATCTGGCAGCTTGCCATCTGTGACTTCCACTATCAGTGAGATATGTACTGGAATACTGCACTGATCGCATCTTCCGAAGCCTCTTGTCGCAGAAGCAAGTCTTGGATTCGACCGAGCTGACCTTGTTCGCCGCTGTTGACAAAATGATTCCATGTACTTGTGTCGCCATATAGCATCGCCGGAGCTTTGATCGTCTGCGTGCCGTCTGGCTTGCATCTCTTGCATTTGAAAGTATCGTGGGTATCGCTTCGTGTATCTGGCTTGAAGTGGAACAGCTCTCGTAGAGAGTCCAAGGAGAAATGACGCTCCACATCTTCGGCGGAGTCGACCACTGTCGATGACAGGGCTTGCTTGTGGGACTGGCGCTGGAAGATCTTCTCCTCGATGGTGCCAGTACCCATGAAGCGATACACGAAACAGTCCTTCTTCTGACCATCTCGCCAGACACGAGCCAGAGCTTGCTGATCAGCTGCTGGGTTCCAATCCGGATCAAACAAGATCAATCGATTCGCACCAATCAGGTTGATACCACAGCCACCAGCCTTGCTGCTGAGCAGGAACACAAACTCGTCGCCATTCGGATCATTGAACTTGTCCACCAGCTTTTGCCTCTTGTTGACATTCATGGTTCCGTCAAGTCGCAGGCAGCCATAAGAGCGAGCCCGGCACAGCCTCTCGAGCACATCCAAGGTCTGCGTGTAATTGCTGATGAGAACGATCTTGTCCGTAGTGTCTTGTCGAATGCGGGCCAGCATCCTCTCGAGGACCTGAAACTTGCCGGACCACCAGGACTTGACGTCACGGTCTCGACCTCGAGCTTCTTTGGGGACGTAATCGCTTGGCCAGCATCCCTCACTGCCAGGCAGATCGGCCTCGAGGTCGAGAAGATCTGGATGATTACAGAGCTTCTTGAGGATGCCGATGGCTTTCAAGGGCTGACTGCCTTTGCCTCGCAGCAGACCTTTGATTTCAGGACTCTTAATGAAGTGATTGTAAAGATCTAGCTGGAAAGGCGCCATCTTGCAGAAAACGACATGCTCGTATTTGATGGGCAGATACTTCGAGAGGATGTCGTTCGTGCGACGGATGATCAACTTGTTGACGAGCGCACCCAGCTCTGCATTCGCTGCCGCTCCTTTCTCTTTGTCGGCATCCGAACCGTCAGCGTCACGCCCTCGCAGAATAGGCAATTCGTATTTCTTGCGAAAGTCTGCTCGGGTACCAAGATACCCCGGGTTGGCGAAGTCGAGCAAGGCGAAGTACTCCGTAAGATCATTCTGGATTGGTGTTCCGGATAGAATGACTCTCCGTTCGACCTTCAGACTTGTCAGCGCTGTGTAAGTATTGCTTTCGCAGTTCTTGAGTCTGTGTCCCTCATCGCAGAGCATAAGGCCGATGTTAACGTCCTTCAGATCGTCCATGTTGAGTCGCAAGGATTCGTACGATACGATGAGCACCGGCCTGGTCACGGCTCGACCAGACGCAATGGCCCATTGTTTAAGCTGCGATGACAGCTCCTCCTTGGTTGCTTTGCCATCGATGCAAAGGCGTGAATGGCGCCCTCGCCTAGCCACTTCACCAACTCGTTGGCCCAATTCTTCACTAGACTGGCGGGACATGCTACTATACACTTCTGAATGGTTGTTTTGCCGGCCTTTGGACTCTGCTTCAATAGAGTCCACATCAGAGCAATGCACTGCAGAGTCTTGCCGAGACCCATCTCATCTGCATGATGCAACCTTTAGCATTCTCATCGATCAGACCGGTGGTGGCGCGGTACAGAAATTTCACACCCTCAACTTGATGGGGACGCAGGGTCTTAGCCAGTCGAGGATCGATGACCACGGGCACGTTTGGCCGCTCGCCTTCAACTTCTTTCTTGATTCCAAGTATTTCTGCCAGACTTTTGTGCATCAGAGGCGCGTCGAGAGTCTTCACTGCTGGATCAGTTGTAACAACAGCCGTCGGATCGGGTTTGTCGTCGATTGTGGGATCGTATAGCACAATGGAAAACTCGCCGCTCGGGTCATGAAGAGGCTTGTTCTGAAAAGGCACACCCTTCCTCATGCCCAGACTGGGAGCTGCTCTTGATGGGTCGTAGGCATCTTTGTTAATGAGCGGCACTGCGAATCTTGCTCTGAAGATAGTGTCTTTGTCCTTCGGCTTGAATACCGGGAATTTGTCCTTCAGTTGTATGCTTTCGCCATCGCCATCAGCACTATAACCTCCACTTGCATCGTCTTGTCCATTACCCTCCTCGGCGTAATTGACCTTGCGACGCTTTCGAGGCGGCTCTTCCGTCTTCCGGCGACCACTCGAGGAGCCGGGACATCTGAAAGGCTTCACAAGACGATCGAGGGCAGCAGCGGAATTGATGCTCAGTCGACCGCTCTGAGCAGGTGGGATATTCTCTTTGTCATGGTTGGAACCAAGACTGGGTCGAGGTCGAATCATCGTTATATGGACATGAGGAGCTGTTGTTGGTACAGGGCAAGCAGCGAGCTTGTGTTGGGGCGATCGACCGAAGCTGTATGGTGGCGACTTCCTGACGCGTCGAGAAGAAATCGGAACCGCGTTTCGAAGTCGCGGACTCACGTGACTTCACTGCGGAAGGCTGTCGTAAAGCCTCGTTATCAGAGTAGCCCACTTTAAGTACAATTCGAGGAAAGTACCACCGAGAACTGCAGTCGTGGTGGACGAACGACAGGCGCTACCAGTAAGAGGGACACATGACTGCCAATCGACATCAATTGCAATGACGACAATGGCGGCGCTGGCGGAGGCAGGGTCGACCACCAATGCCCGAGGCATCCCAAGTTTTCCGTTCATGAACAATATCAGTGACTATGTCAAGAGCATTGAAGATGTTGAGGCCACACTGCAGCGTTTCCAGGAGATGGTCTCCAAATATACATTCATGCAACAGAACGTCGATCGAAGAGCAGCAGGCTTGAGGGAAAAGTTGCCAGAAATGAAGGACACACTTGACACTGTGCGATTTCTCAAGAAAAAGCGAGCAGCAGCATTAGAGGCACAGAATGGATCTGCTGAGGACCTGGACGACGAGTTGGAGGAGAAGCAGCACAATCCACTGGAAATGGAAGCCACTTTCAGCTTGCAGGATACGTTGTATGCGAAAGCCACGATCAGACCAGCAGAGGTGGATGAGGTGTATCTGTGGCTTGGTGCAAATGTGATGGTCGCATATCCACTTGATGAAGCAGAAGTGATGCTGCAGGAGAAGATGGCCAAAGCAAAGGATAGTTTGAAGGCAGCCGAGGAAGATCTGGAGTTTCTGAGGATACAGATCACCACGTTGGAAGTTGCGACTGCCCGTGTCCATAATTGGGACGTTGGAGAAAAGCGAAGACTGCGAGCAGCGGGCAAGTTGAAAGATCATGAGTCTTGAGGAGATGGATGGACGGAGGGTCCGCTACAGTACCTACAACAAAGCAGGGAGCAGCTCGATTTGTGCGAGTAGGAAGTCCAATTCAAATCCGGATCCAACGCGCCAACAGGTCGTCTATGCAGTCGCAATCTCGAGTCCGGACGAAGGCACTTCATTTTCCAGAGACCCAAAGACCACCCTACGACCAAGTTGTCCGACTTGGGAACTGGTGTGGCAGTGCTTGGAACATACATTGTTTGTCAAGCCCGCTGTGTCCCAATCTGCAGGGTCACCAACCAGCAAATCACTGCACAGTCTACCTACAGTTCAAAGAACATGCACGTGCTGGACTTGTGCGGATTGAGATGTCAGGAATGAGTTTACTGGAAAGGAACCAGTTTCTGTTCTGCTCCCGTTCCTTCTGGTCACCATAGCAATACTGGTTGCCAGAACGCTCACTAGGTGCGCCACGCCAGCAGAAGGGCATAGCCTCCAGCACGGTTTGTCTCGAGCCTGCTGCGCCATCTCGAGAGTCTGCCAGAACGCTGTTGCAATATACATAAGTTTGTCCAAGCCCTGAGCCTGACCAGCTTCGCCAACGACACGTCGATACGGGTATCAGCCATGCTTCCAAGCAATCAGATTGAGCAAATTAGGAACGAGCTCTTCTTTCTATGGCAGAGAGCAAAGCGAAGACTCAGGAAGGCAGTGAAGGAAGCTCGAATAGTTCTTTCTCGTTCCAAGGGCACCGGTCCTGATCCAGACCTTGCCTCGAGATACACCGTTTCCGAACCTACCGAGTACAGGCCGAATCCGATAGCAGACGGGGACCTCGACGACCCGTGTTGGCTCACAAATCCCCGCCCGTCCCCTTTCCCGCCAGAGACTCGGCGCCGTTATCACCGAGAGTCAGCACTATGAGCCAATCATCAAGTCAACAAGCACTTAATGTAGGCGGGGAGGACTGACAGGGCCACGGCGCCGCGGCACGGAAGACTCCTCACGACTGAAAACCTGTCTGTTGGACGATCATCCACATGTCCGAGCTCTGGAAAGGCATTGTCGCCGATGAAGGACGCCAAATCAGGCACAAAGATAGATAATGGAAGTCGGGATCAAAGCACAAAGAAAATACTACGATCTCTAAGCTCGGATACGGGTTACTCTTGATATAGCCTTCTTTGTTTCATGTGCGACTCTATATGGCGGTACCAGCCCCATGTAGCAACTGCGAGGTCAATCCGGACACCACTCGAGTCTTTTGGTCGACCACCATCTGCCACTACCCGCAAACGTTTCCTTACCTTACGAACCCGCAATGAATCAATCACGCTCGGACACGATCACGAGCCAGGCGTCCTCTATCTCTGCCTCGTCTCAATACGTCCCTGGGCGGGGCTACAGGGCTCCATCATGTCCAGTATCTCCCATTAGCAACTTTTCCCGCCCATCGTCAGCCGTGCCACCCCTACCAACTCTTCCCGAATCTTCAACGCAAGCTCCATCACTTCCCCTTCCTGCAGATCTGGACTCTGCAATCAATTTTGACGATAGCTACGGCTATGCCACTGATCCCAAGCAGGTACCAGCTGTAAATTACACACCACGCTCAAGCGTGCAGCCTACATATCACAAGAACGCTTACAGGGAAAGCGAAGATTTCGATTCACATGAGGTCGCGGGCGGCTTCGGTCAGCGCCGACAAAATGCACATGTCAAGAGCATGGCAGCAAGCGCTCACGACTATTCATCGCTATGTTCCCCTCGCATCGACTTCGTGCGTGAGTACGATGAGCCCGAATGGTGGGGTCGTGGGTCGGTCGAAATTCCACAGCCTCTGAAGCCTACACCACCACCGAAGCCGACGAAGCCTGCACCGCAACAGCCATCGAAAGCCCAATTCCACAAGCCCACATACACAGCTGGCTCGCTGGATCGCACCTTCGCATTTCCCAGCCCTCGCCGCGTTCCCACCTTCCCCAGTCCTCGAGTTCCCAGCGAAGTATCCATCCCTCGTCCCGCATCCTCCTCTCCTCCCCATATCCCCATGTTCGCCACCTCATGACTTCCCGTCGATACCTCCTCACAGCCCTGGAAACTGCCACTCTCCCCAAGACTGACCCAAACAGCCCACCCAAGTTCTGGTGGCAAGACGAGTCGATGACCTCGACTCTTCCTCCACTCACCACCCGCACACATGCCCGTCTCCGCACCTCCAATACTCGCTTCGCGCCCACGCCTCCCTCCGCCTCAGACTCCTCCCTGGTACCCACGGGCGGCCAAGCACCCACTCGCCCGCCTGACTCCCTTCCGCTTCACCACCCACACCCGCACGCACGGCCCCGCCACTGACTTCTCGCACCCATCCTACTGCGCTAGCGTCGCCGCCGGTCGCACCCTGTGGCAGAAGATGTACCGCGACGAGCACTACAAGGTTCTCAAATCCGACTATAAGCGCATGACTATGCTACAGCAAAGCTTGAATCGGAGTCCGTTGCAGGGGCATTGGTTGAGGAAGGGGGTGGCGCCGGGGCGGGATGTTGAGGCTGAGCGGACATTGGTCAGGGAAGGCGAGGAGGGAGATTTGGGAACGTATTTGTCGGGTGGGGGTAGGAATGAAAGTAGAGGGAGAAAGGGAAGGCATAGGAGGGATTGGTCAATGGATACGGTGAGTTCGATGTCGAGTGTGAGGACTTTGAAAACCGCATTTAAGCGAACGGGGTCGAAGTTGAGGCGGACGTGGACGTCTATAGTTTGAGACCTTTATGCCAACTTCGACAAATTTTTCGAAGTCCTACGCCTGTCTAGCCTGCCTTTGATTCCAGCTTCCGCTTATACGTGGTCTGCAATGCTTGCACTGTGAAGGTCTGGTCGCCTGTTGAGTATGTCTATCCGAAACCGACAGAGTCGAATTGCGTCAGCGAAGACCGTCATTCGTTGCTCCTTTCCTGTTCGAGCCCAACACCAATCGGGCTGTGCTTCAAGGCCATTATGTCAAGTTCGAGGAGTCCTTCCCCCATACTAGCACCCTTCATCTACGTCGAAGTATTGCCTTTGCCCACTAGGGAAGCTCGTGGCCGTTTCAATCCCCTTCGTATGTGGCAAGGCGAGCAAGGCCGCCAGGCTTTCTGCGAAGCGTGTTGAACGTGCCACCCAATAGCTTGAGCTCGTCAACATCACCCACTCCTTCAAAAACCTTGACCTCGACAAGGCGATGCCCGGCATAAGCTTCATCCTCCCACAAGGTGAACTTGTTGCCCAATGTATGTCGATGCCAGAGTCCTGTCTTGTCCTGCTCTAGGACCGCTTCATCTTCTGCTCGGCCCACACGTCATGGCCATGTCTCAGCGGTCGCGAAGTCGCCCACAGGGATCCATTCATGACTTGAACCCCTGGCAGAAGTTTTGTAGCCGTGTGGAAACCGTGAACCCTTCGTTGTGGTCTGCCATGCATTGCCCTCTACAGGTTCTTCGATATCTCCCATGCGACCTGCGACGTCTGAGGTGTCGCTGCGGCGCAGGAGGAAAACGTCGCCATGCGGGGAGTGGTCGAGACGTTGCAACGGGTACACAGTCGTTCGAGTTGCGAGAAGATCCCTGACCTCGATCTGTCCGATGGCGTTTTCGTAGATGGTCCAGCCAGATATGACGTTGAATTGTCGCAGTGTGGGTGAGGTCGCCGTCACATGTGGGAGGGACGCAACGAGATCCTGGCGTCTTCGCGCGGACAGCTCCTTCCCCTCCCGCCGTTGCCGTAGTGTGTCCTCGCTCAAAATCTCCCGACAGCTAAACGCTAGCCCTTTCCCGTGCGGCCACAGGAGATTTATGACACAGGATTCAAGGCTCCGAGAAGGTTGAAAGAATTCTGGACACAACTTGGCCAGTCTCAGCCGGACGTGTCGTAGCCGGGATAGTCGGTCGGCAATCGCGGAACACACATGTCGAGAGTCGTAGTTGAGAACGGGACGATCGTAACACTTGGTGTCAATCTCGAGGTTTTCGAGACTCAGTGGCAACGCATCGACCAATTCACGTAATGCGGAACGCGATATTTCGACTTGTTTGAGGAGGGAGTCTGAGGCAGGTTGAGATTTGATATAGAAGGAGAAAGTTAGCAGACTGCTCATCCGAGGCAATATTGTGGCAAGGCTATAGAGGTGCGTGTTGAGCTGGTTGACTCGTCTGCAAGGGCGGTCGATGACATTGTCGCTCTTTGGGTCTCTTACCCATCGGACATCCGGACGGTCCGACGAGAAGGTGAAACTCTTGACAAGCCGAAGGTTGGATGTGAGTGGCGCTGCAATGAATCGAGCGAGCCCTGCGCGGTCGACGACGATGTCGGACCAGACATGACCGAGGCCGATGTCACGCCATGCCGAGTTGACGCACAAGAGATCGCAGAGGTTGACACGAGCACCTTGCCCTGCCGGTCGTGATGTGATGGCATATTTCAGGAAGATGTCGACGATCTCTGGTGGGATTGATTCAGGCATTCTGGACCGACGATGAAGATCATGGAGGTATCGGAAATAATGACTCTCGAAGCGGCAGTGAGGACGACGACAACTCACAGTCCGACAGTCATGATCAGTCGAGCGACGGGCATGTCAACATGAATGAAGATAATTTCGAAGACAATGTCAACCTTTTCGTGGCGCCCCTCTTGAACGACAGAGAACTGGGAGGAGACCGATTCGGGCCATCAAATATATGTTGTCGGGAGGTGGAGTCTCTGATCGTGAAGTGCACTGGAAGAGTCATTGCAACAGGCAAGTGACATATTTGAAGATCTTCACTTCCCGTCGTCGTTGTCTGTGTTCGGTCATACTCGCGTCACTTACAGGTCAATGCTTGGTGTGGTCCACCATCACGGACAGTCCTAGCCATGGAGCGCTCCCAGGTGGTACTACTCACGTAGGTATGCGAGTCAACTAAAGGCGTACCAGTCTTTGCTGGGAATGGTAGAGGCGCTGTCACGTCCCTGTTTGTGAAGCAATCGATGAAGTAGGAATAATATACATTGGGTACAGTGTAGGCCATCGCCCGTCAATCAAGGATGCCTCCATCCGCGTTGGTTCGCCAGCCTGGATTTCGGAATATCTGAGCAGAGGCTTTGTGAGCTCGTGAATGAGAGACAAATTGTCCGTCGGTGTATTCTAGGTCAAGAACTGACAGCACATGAAGTCACCCGGTTTCGGTTAAGGCTTCCGGAGTCTAGCAATTAGGAGCATGTCATCCGCCTTCATAAGATTCCGCCCGATTTCCCTTCTGTTTCCACGCCTCTCGGCTGCTTGTGCACCTTCTCGTTGAGTTCTAGCCATCCTACCTTCCAGGCCGTGACGCAATACCTGCCATGGCAGCTGCCACACACTGGACGTTGATGCAAAGCGAGTACATAGTGGCTCTAGTCGCGGAGGAAGCCGCTCATCCCACCACCTTAACTAACATCTGATGTAACTTGGCGAAATTTGCGCCCAACTTCAATGACTCCTCCTCCAGCTCGATTCTTCCTGTATACCATTTGCTGTCACCCAACGACGCTTTGTGAAACATAATAGCGGCCCCTAACGCGTCCCTTGGTCCTCCGCTATGGCAACAGCTTTCACAGATATCTCTGTTTCGCCGGTCACAACAGAGGATCCTTTTCCGGATCTTTTCGCCGTCACAGCTGCAGCTTTTGGCGGGCAGACCAACGACGCGTTCTGGACATCCATCTACCCCGGCTGGGATACACCGGAGGGATCGGCTCGTGGAGCTGAGCGGATGAAGGCAGGCTGGCGCAATATGCAGCACGACAAAGATGGGCGGCCATTTACGGTTATGCTGCAGGCCAGTACTCCCACTCCTGACGAGCAGGGACGGCGGATTGTAGGCGTGGCGATCTGGTGCCAGTACTCAGTCGTTGATGGCTGGGGCGTTAAGCCACTCGAGGGCTCTATAGACCACATACGCGAGAAGATGGGTCTTGCTGAGCTCTACCCGGATGACGAGGACCGGCAACGCTATGTAGCGCGTGGGTGGCAGTGTCTAACAGCGGACCGCTGCAAAGCTATCCAGGAGGCCTCTACACGTGAGATTCCCGCGACGTTCGTGCTCGACATCCTTGCTGTGCATCCAGACGCCAGAAGCGAGGTATTGCTGGGAGACTGGCGAGCTGGGGACTCGAGGAAGCTCACAGACGCGGTGGTCTCGAGTGTACCACCGAAGGATCGAAGATGGGACGAAGCGTGTACGCGAAGCTCGGCATGAGACCCGTCAAGCAGATCGAGTGGGACATGGGGGATACACAGAAGGAAGGGTATAGGGACATGCCTGACAGTATGTTCATGAGAACTGGATTTGCATGAATGTGTTCGAATTGCCGTTCCCTGTTCACCTACGTTTTGCTTCTCTGGTTCCAACACTCTACCCTGATGCCAGGCGCACTTCTGGTTCCTACGCCTAACCCCGACCACAAACTATATATTCAGCACTTCTCACACAACATCTTGCGCTGCTCTTTGTTCAAAAAACACATCACATTTGCCGCTGAAGCCCTCCTCAAAGAAACCAGAAACAAACCAAACCTTTTCGACCACTTCAAAACAGAAGCAATGGCCGCCACCAATCCCGCCGCCGCTCCCACCGCTCCGGCCGCCGGCCCTACCGCTCCGTTCATCCCCTCGTGGGACTTCGACGAATACATGCCGAGCGACATCCAAGCCCTCGTCCGCGCCGCCTCCGCCACCCCTCCCATCGGCCACGTCGCGTGGCTCATCGGCAAGCGCTCCGTTTACAAGAGGCAGGTCGACATCGCTGCTGGCTTTCCAGAAGATAAGTGGAAGTATAGCTTCCACCATCGCGATCTTCCTCCTCGTCGCCGCGCCACTCACGGTTAAGTTTTTCTCCTGCACCACCAGGAAGAGAAGCGGGACCGACCAGGTGGGCGTACTGGTAGAGTACAACTGGGATGGGGAGCCTTGGGTGTTGGGAGTGAAGCCTGGACAGAAGAGCAGCACGAATCCGATGGAGTACGGCGTGTGGCTCGGGGTGGATGGGCAGGGCAACGACGTGTGGCAGGAGGACGACAATGGCGAGCCGGTTTTCGATATCATGCGCATCAAGGCCGAGGAGGACCCTGCAACGATGTGGTGAGCAGGGAGCGCGAGGACGCGGCGCGTTGGCGGTTTTCTGGCAGAATGAAACGAGATGATACCCCCAGGAGGACTTCGTAGCAGAAATGGCAGCAATGACGATTGGCTATGGATACCCTATTTTGACGCAAGACCAATGCAGAGAAGAAGCTCGTGTGTTGTGCATTCGAAGCCACTCAACGACTGGTTGGAACATCAGGACAGCCATGGTCGAAGCGGGTGGGAGACAACAGCAAGATCCACATAAGGCCAGCTGCCATGAGAATGTGTCGAGCCTCAGAGTCTTCATAATTCACGATCGACACGATTTAGAGCCTACGATGACATAGACGTTCAACACAATTCAACGGTGTCTACGTATGCCCAAGCACTACCCTCTCCGTTCCTCCTGCCACGACCGCTCGATCCCTCTCGCGATCCAATCCGCTGTCCCCATCGTGCTGACCATCGGATTCACGCCCGTCGCAGTGGGCAGCACGCTACTGTCTGCAACCCACAAATTGTTATAACCCCAAACCCGTCCTTGCCCATCAACTACACCCCTATCCTTGTTCGCACTCATCTTACATGTCCCAAACTGATGCGCCGAATGCATCATTATCGGCTCACTGTTCGCTGTGAGACCCTTCGTCTTGACATCATTCAACCACAGCTCAAATGCCTCATCGTTGATCTCCTGTGTGGCCGTGGACGAGCGCACGAACGCGTCTACATCGGGATGCTCCACGCTGATCTCACGGGCGCCCATTGCATATGCAATTCTCGCAGCTTCGACTTGGCCAACGACGATCTGCTCCTTATCACGCTGACTGGTGGTGTACTTCATATGTGCCATGCGAGGATTGTGCTTATCTGCGTAGATCTCGCCGCTGTCCTTGTCACGGACCATTGAGAACAAACCAACCGTATGGCCGAGTTTGGCGAGGTCCACTTTATACTGCGCCGCGGCAGCCTCACCAGTAGCTTTGCTGCTGACGGCAAGAGGAAGACCGGTCTGAGTTGGCATACCCATACAGATCTCGATGACAGGGCCGTGGTAGTCGCCTGTCCCGTGGCGAAGGCCAGTCACGACCGAAGTCAACAGACCACCACCTTTCCAGGGATCGATGCGGTCGGGCATGGTCGCGAAGATGTACCAGACTGGGTGGACGTGGAAGTTTTTGCCGATCCATGGGTTCGTCAGACCAGATCTCTTGAGCAGGAGAGGCGACTGAAAAGTTCCAGAGGCCACGATAACGCGCTTGGCCTTGATCGTAACTTCCTTGGTGACTTCGCGGTCCTGTGATGTCCACTGGCCTTTCACGCCGACCGCAGTCTTTCCATCATCGGCGAACAAGATCTTCTCTGCCCAGAACCCAACGATGAATTCCGCCCCCTTCTCAGCCGCTTCTGGAAACCAAAGGTTGGCTGGTCCCTGCTTTGTGCAACTTGGGCAGCCGAGATGGCAATGTCCGCAGTCATGTACGCGGCCACCCGTGTTTTGTGGCACCACCTTAACCTCCAACCCAACCTTCCTCGCACCTTCGAGCAACAACTCATTGGCATAATTGTGCTTGATCTTTGCTAACGCTTCATGGTCGTTTGCCCTGGCTGCGCCCATCTTGTCGCAAACATAATCTAGCGATTCCTGGTATGCCTGGCCAACAGCAAAATTTAGTCCCTCCTCATCTTGCCACTGCTTTCTCACAAATGCAGGTGGCTGCAGCGTGGCAGACCAGTTGACCGTGCCGCCACCACCAAATGTCGAAGCGGCAGCGGTAGCAAGGCCGCCGTCGTCAGATACGACAGCCCCGTAATTCTCGTACAAATGCTCCTGCGCATCCGAGTGCTTCATGGGAAAGTGATCCGAATTCCAGTGGTAGCCTTTGTCGATTACAATGCATTTCATGCCTGCAGCGGCGAGCCGATTGGTCACAGCCCCAGATCCAGGACCTGAGCCAATAACGACGACATCAGTCTCGAGAGTTGTTGGGCTGTCACTGGCAGTGAAGTCGTGGAATTTGAATGCATAGGTAGGTCTGCGCTCGACATCGGCGTAGTGGCCCTTGTACCCAATGACCTTGGGAAAGCTCTTTGATTCGTGGATATACCACTGCCTCGACAGACCAGAGAAAGTATTGTGCAGCTTGCGCAGAGTCGGAATGTATGACTGTGACCATTTTCGAATGATGGTGGTCCTCTCTGCAATGGGCTGCTGATGTATAGGCGTAGTCGAGCCCGTCAACAATAGTGACCCGGCTGTTGTGTTGAGTGTACCGAGCACCGTCGATAGGCCTGCAACTGCCGGCTTCGCCACGGATTGCGCGAAACGTCGTCGAAGGTTATCTTTCAGGCCGGGTATGCTGGTGACAGACTCGGCAAGGTAGGTTTCGATGTCTTTGCGACTGACATCCGGCGGTACGTATAGCTGGATGTCCTCAACATACTTCTCATAGTCGTCCGGGTGCAGAGCACTTTTGTCGTCCGAGCTTGCTGGGGCCAGCGAAGGGATGAAGACTTCCAGAATAGATGTTAGGGTCTTCCACTGGACGTCTGTGAAGATGTCATCGTCGGGTATTGGAGCTAACGGTGACGCCAGTGGGGCGAGAGACGTGACACGCTGTACATCGACGGCCGTGTCCATGTTCGCGGCGTCAGTTCAACTTGTCAAAGCCGTAGAAAGTGTCGTGTTGAGCAGGAGCAGCCAATGCAACTTCGCACCGGCAGTCGCTCGATCTGCAACGAAGTGCCGAGAAGCTCAAGTCGTTCTTGCCGTTGCTGGCTTCGCAGGTGTACTTCTTGCGACGACGAGTCTGAGTAGTTTCGAGGCCGCAGTGCCTGCTCAAAGAGTCGCGAGCTATATCAGTTCAAGAGACAAACTGTAAGCAATGGAGTATTTCGATCTGGTCCAGATCGTTGGCTCGGGCTCTGGAGTAGTAGTATGATAAGGTAAGCATGCCACAGCCCAATTCGGAGATGTGAATGGGTACCGCTGCCGGTAGGCGTATCAGAAACTCAGAAGAGTAGTACACCTACGTATAGCGTACTCCGTACTATGCAGGTGCAAATTTGCTGACTTCTCAGCTCCGAGTCCAAGCGTGTGGTCAGCGGGGATTTGGTGCTTTATACAGAAAAGTCAATGAGGAGTAATGTTCTGCCCTACAAACGACATTCCTGTAAACGAGATACCGACTGGGGAGACGAGGGTGAGCACTGGGGCCTATCTTGAGGGGCAAAGCTGCGCAGCGAACGACATTCATTATTTCAAGGACAACCCTCGCAAAGTGTAGGCATACTCCGTGTTCTGCGAGTCGAGGATTCTACGATGTCTCGCGTAGCCAGTGATATTCCACTGCAGTTGCCTTTGGCAGTTAAGAGCGATGAGCGCTCGCCACGCGCTGACTCGCCGATCAACTCGTGTGCATTGAGATTTGAGCTGAGCATCGCGAACTTCTTCGATTCTTGGCTGCCGCAAGATTTGAGAACTACATGGTCCGAGCACCATCATCTGCACGGTGAGAAGCTCTTTAGGCGGTGTTTGGATTCCTTTAACGACACCACGAAACGTACAAACCTGAGAGAATCCAAATATAAGACATGGACCGGCAACCCGAGGTTGCGAATCATGGGATGGATCTTGATTTTGACAGGTTTGGCAGTAGGTCACCCGATTTGCCCTGCAGCGCCCAAAAGACTATGCCAGAGACGGCCGCCGCCCTCCTAAGCGAGGATGCGTGGACCCAGTATAAATACGAGGCGGCCTCGGCATGTTACATAAGGTTCATAACGGCTTGACTCAGTTTGACTGGCTCCGGTCATCGTCGCTACCGAAGCGAAGGGATCTGATGTGCAGTAAGGCGGAATATTCTTCCTTTGATCTTCACGACTCAACACACATTCGATGTCGCTTGCAAAGTGTGAGGCAAGATTTGCGTCTCAGAATAAACGTCGAGGTTGTTGGTCGCTTCGCAAGGACAATGCAAAACCTTTGACGGTTAAGCTCGGGGAAGTCTACTCCAACGGCAGTGAAAGAAGCGTCCTTGAAGTATAAGCGAGTCAGAGGTTGCCTACCTTGAATCGACCCTGGCCGAGCAGATGCTCTTCTCACTTCGTGTTGTTGCCGCGATGATCTTGACTGTTGCTAACGAAGGAACGATGAGCAGATGCTCCTCCCACTTCCGCCGACCACCAAAATTATCAACAGTGAATACCACGTGGCCGACACTGTGAAGCGATAGCTTTGGTTTGCCCCGGATCTTTGCTTTATTGAAGAGCTATACGTAGTCGTGTGGCCCTCGACCTGCTGCGTCTTTCTCTTCTTCTCTTCTCCAGAGATAGAGAGTCAATCGGCAAGATCAAATGCCTGCCGTGCCAAGATAGCATGCGCTGCTTCTTGATGGGACGAGCTTCCCCCAAAGCCTCCGTTCATGGCGTCAGACTCACTCTCGCAAGTATAGCCAGTGCACAAGGTAGATCTATGCGCACGTCGCGTACGAAGCCAACCAGAGTAGTGCGATACCATAATCATTATGATAGCAAAACCACAGGATAAGCACCCTGTGTCCCTCAGGTCTTGTGCCTGCTTTAGATCGCGAGACTCGCAGCACACCTCGCAGAGCAGACAGTACCCGTTCCAGCAGCACGGCGTGATGGCTACGCTCCTGCAAGTGTAGTCATTAACTACTCCTTTCCCAAACGGTTGACAAAAACATCAGAGAACAAATCCAAAAACATTCACGGCAGCACCCGAGTTCGAACCAGGCTCTCCCTTATCCATCTGTTCGGCGGAAGGATACCTACCACATAAGGAACAAGGATGTGCTGACCAGCTAAAACCATACTGTCAAAATGGACCGCTCTCCTCCCAACTGTTCCATTGATGGGACAACTTTTCGATACACTAACATATCATGGTCGTAGAAATCGGTGTGGTTGACCAAGGCATGATCTATCTGTGACTTCTGTCTCCGGTAGGAGACCTCCACTGCTGAGAGGAATCGACGGACCAGACATGCCTACGTACTAAGAAGGGAGGTACACCTGAGCTTTCCGACCGAAAGCTGATCCCTACATATCAGACGTCGAACTTCAGACAGTTGTGAGGCAGCCATCAGTGTCATGAATTAAGCATTCGTCTCGTCCAGATCCAGGAGTCAACCTGCAAGAACTACTTGCTACATCCATAGCATGCTCGTGAACCGCGCCCAAGTACTCCAGTACTGAATGCCCAATAATCGTAATGTGATCGTACAGGGTCCCGAGCCCCAAAGCAACCCACTCCGCTGGCATGCCCTTCCAGTGCTGTACGGCCATCGTCAGCCCAAGACAATCGTAGCGAGGCTTGCCATGACCTAACATCGCATGCCAGAGAACCCCAACATCAATACATCAATAACCGACCAAACTGACATTCCCATTTCCCCACCCAGCACAAGCCAACACCATCTTATGCGGATGATACGCTGTTGCCACGATGGCATTACTTCTCCTCCCACCCCCAACACTACCCACGAGCCCCTTGCCGCCTCCACTACTCGGGTCAAAGACTCCCAGTCCTTGTCCTGTGGTGCTGAAGCTCTTCACCTCTCGCTTATCGGTGCCCACCGCGAATACCGGCGCATGCTCATGCACGGAAAGGGTACGCAGCGTAACATCTCTACCCACAGCATCACCGTTGATAGCGCCAGCAGCGCCCGTAGCAGCAGGGGAGTGTCGCTCGCCCAGGACGTTGAAGCTCAAGATCGACTTGTCGTTCCGCAGATCCCACAACTTGACCTCGCCATTCCGACTAGCGCTGACCAGTTCTCTCGTACCACCTCGCTGCATCTTCACATTCGTGACCCACTGGTGATGCTCCCGCCAGATCTTAACCATCGAGGACTTGACGTGCATTCTCTGGTCGAACACTCTAACGACACCATCGCCGAACCCAGCGACAAAGACGTCGCCCGCAACCTGGTCGCTCGTCAAGCTTGTGACGCAGCTGCCACTTCGCGCAGGAATATCCGCAACGCAGAGCTCTGTCGCAGCATTCCAGATCTTGATGATCTTCATGTCGCCTGCGGCAAGCACACGGCCTTGGCCCTGCTGCCAGTCAAACACGAGACCCGCATTGCGGTTGCTGGGCAGGAGTTCTGTCAAGGCTCGCCAAGCAGCGACGACGCTGACTTCCTCCGGATCGTTGTAATGTCGATAGACCTTGAGCACGCCGTCGCTGCTGCCAACCATGAGCAATGGGTTGTGGTCGTCTTCGTTCATAAAGCGCGCGTCGTTGATCCGTGTGCCTTCGGGATTGTTGTTTGAGAAGCGGTTGAGCTGCTCCTTCTTCTCACAGTCCCATATAGTGACACCGTCTTTGTCGTCAGTTATGGCTAGAGTGTCGTCGAATTGGTGGAAGGTCATGTTCATGGGCTGGGAATTGTTGTTGATAGAAGCCTCCAGGCGAGTCCATCTCGAAGATCCCGCGACGCTCTTGAGAGGTTGAGTGTCGGCAATAGTGATCTCGTTGCGCGTTCTACGCCACAGTCGCGAGTTGTAGTCTTCAGATCCTGGCTCATCAGGGTCATGAGCTCGCATCTGAGGCTCGCGGAAATACTCAGTTGACCATTCGAAGAGTTTACTGGTCAGAGGAATGTCTAGTTGTTCTTTCGTGTTGTCCGCCCTTGCTCCGGCAGATCTTGGGACTGGTGACTGGTGGTAAGAGCCGCTTGCGGACTGGTCTTCTGTTGTTGGGGCTTGACTCCATTCCGCCGGCAGTTGGCCCCTCGGGGTATGAGCTGGCGGCTTTGGCTGGGTCGGCTTGATGCTCTTAGCAGGCGATGTGACAGGTGTCGATTCCGCGGTGGTGGTATCTGTGGGTGTGCCGAAGGCAAGATGTCGAAGCGAGCTTGCCGTGCGCTTCAAGCTGCCTAGAGATAGGTAGCTGTTGGTCCGCTCAACTTGGGGCGTAGGCGTTCGAGGGACAGGCGTCTTGAGAGACCGCATCGAGTCCATAGATGGCGTGCGTTTCATTGGAGATTCCTTACGTCTAGACAGTCGGAGAAGCTCGTCGATTGCTGAAAGTGCCTTAGATCGTAACGGAGAATTGACCAGTATATCATGGACATGGTCTACCACAGCAGTAGCATTGCGGGAAACTTCCACGTTCGGATCCACAGACATGATCGCGATCTGCGCCCAGACCGATCCGTAAATTGTGTTCGAGGAAAGCATGCCTGACGAGTAAAACTCGATTTTCTCGTTGTCGGCGAAACCGCGGCTCTTTTGCAACTCGACCTCTTGCTCCAGCTGCTCCAAAGCAGCAATCAGAAACTTATTCTGATGACGCTTGACGAAGACAGATAGGAAGACGAGCAACTCTTTCCGTACGAGAGTGCTACCGTCAGCCGTCATGAAAAGCACTGATGCAGCGATGTCCTCCTCAATCTGTACGATCTGATCGGTGAGATCTGGAATTCCCAAGAATGAGGTCAAAGTGTGCAACATTGCTGCTCGTACTTCGGGCACAGGGTCGACAGCAAGCTCGCAGAGTCTGAGATGTGCGCCTTGCCGAATGCCCATCCATTTCGCGTCGGTGTAATCGGCCCACAACGTGCTGAGACACAAGCAGGACCACTGGCGCAATAGCGGATTCTCTGGCTCAAGCATGTTCTCGAGACACGAATTGACCAGCTCGACCAGTAGACACACTGTTTGTCCTTGCGGAAAGCCTCTGCAGAATGTTGCCACAATAAAGGAGCACATAGCTCGATGCTCGCTGGCATTAGCAACGGGCAACTCGGATTGAGGCACCATGATGGTGACGAAGTAATGGATGCCGTTGTCCTTCAGTAGCTCAGCGTGGACAGAGCTATCGACCGCCATGATTCTCGCCCAGATGAACACCATGACAGGTTTCAGCTCTATCGAGGCAGCTTGCAACAACTTCAGCACATACGGAAAGATGCCAATACTGAGTGCTAAATGTACAGCCCAAGGTCCAAGATCGAGGAACTTGCTGAGCAATATCAGCGCGCGCAATCTGTGCACCTGACTAAGGAGCACCTGCAACACGATTGGAAGCTGATCAGGAGCATGGTCTTTGGTAGGGCCTGAGCTCAGGTAGACTTCGAAGGCAGTCAATTGCTCCGCGAAGAAGTTCGAATGCTCATACTCATACAAGCGCTTGCCATTGTCGGCCTCAATCAAAGCAGGCAACTGTGTCAGAACGTTGTCGACAGCCAAATCCCAGCTCTGCCAGAGTGGATGGTGATGCGTCTCAGGCATTGGCGGTGATGATTGAGGATGGCAATGGTTTGCTCGCATGATTCGGTCGCTGAGCAGGAAGTTGCGGAACAATGCGGCAACAAGCAGATCCTGCCGGAAGAGCTTCTTGAACAGCGCCCGTGGTAGTGTGTTCCAAGCGATAGTATCGGTGATGGCGGTGAATATCCAATTGAGCTCACCCAACGGGCTTCGGCGATCCTGTAGTCGGCCCGGGATAGGTATTTTGGAATCGTTGATCTCGACATTCGTCGGCAATGGGTTCTGCAGAACGAACCACCTTAATGCGATATCAATAGGCGTAGTCAGACAGCATGTGAAGAGATCCGCCGGCAGGTCTGGGTTGGTGGGTAGCATCTCATTTCGACCACAAGCAGCAAGTTGAATACAGTCGCTGTAGTTCTGAATCGCTGCTTGGGGATCTCTCTTACGGATCTCCTCATTCTCCTTTTCATGTTTGACGATGAATGTATCGAAGTTGTGCAAGATGTTGCCAGCGTGCGATACATCGTACACAAAGAGAGACGGCCCGGCTAGCCATGATTGGAGATCGTAGACGCCGATCGGAATGTACTGCGTGTAATTCTTGTTGAACACCCAAAGTTCGCCGGAGGCAGTGGGCAGCGGAACGCCATGACCATTGTAATGAAAGAGGACTCTCTCGTCCTTGGCGTTTCGTCTTAGTGAGACACAGAAGCGCTTAGTTTCCTCAATTGCAGGATCAAGGTACTGCTTGTAGCGTGTCCTCAAGCTCAATGTCTCGTACTGTTCCTGTAATCGTTTGCCGATCTGCTCCATCATCTTCGTCGAACCGCCGTTGCTGCCAGACGGGTCGAGCCACGCCTCGAGCTTCGCGGTGGGACTTGTCTTGATGACATCTGGAGGGTCAACGCCAATATTCAAGCAGAGCGCCAGTGCTGCAGACACAGTCTTCATTCTATCTTTCATGCGCCAGTCACTGTTTGGATATTGTTTCGAGTCTTCCGATGGATTACCGCTGCTCTCATGGCGCTTCTCGGTGTAGTACATATAGAAGGTGTCGTTGAGCAGGGACAAGTACTCGTCCGAGTATTGCTCGCTGTCCCACCCATGCCGGATATGAGCTAGTCTGTCATCGGGTGACAGATGGCTGTCATTCTTATCCCGGGACAAGATCGAAGGCGGACCGTCACTGTTGGCCCTGCGTCGTCCAGACTGAGAGGTGTATTGGCTTTCGCTGCGCATGTCTGCGAACGGAGGTCGTTGACGGATTGCCGCCTCATGTTCCCATGCGGCCAATCTCTGGCCCCGTGGCGCGGACCCCGGAGGATCTGGGCGGTAGCCATTCGTATGGTCGTTCATATGATTATGATCTGGTCCATTCCCGTTCATCATGCCCCTCGAAGCATTCTCCTGTCTCGGCTGGTAGTTGGGTGTCCAACCATTGTCGGTCGACCCGCGTGCTTCGAGGTTGCTGGTAGGTCGAAAGGACCCGGACGGTAGCTGTCGCGGAGACGGCTCCTCACTGCCCATGTTAACGTCTCGCATGTCTTTGCTGGTAGCCAGCAGAAGCACAGTGCAGAGCACTAGCTTCGACTGCTATGAGCCTCATTCGCTCCACGGCGGACTCAGTTGGAGGATTTTACTATATTTCGCTGCCGTTAACCAAGACGTCGTCGAAGCCGGCCGTGCGAGACGAAAGCATCTGCGAGCAACCCTGCCTCCGTCCTTGAAGCGAGTCAAGGTCGCTTGCCTGAAGTAGAGCAAATGTGATTTTCAGTTGCAAAGCATGCGCATGCGACGTAACGCGGATTTGCGCCGTAGGCGCAAGGCAACTGACGCCAAGCATATGCTCATGCCTTATAGTGGGGTTGCAAAAGCTGTACAGGTGCAACCATGCCTGAACTCACCTTCCAGACCACAGAATCATGGCGATGCGCAACTGCAAATCTGGCACAGCAAGGAGCGACAAGAGAGTTGGCGTTGACTTGGAGAGAGGAATGTGCAAAAGTTGTGCAAGAGCTTTCATCATTCCTGCTAATCAGGTAGATGGCTTTCACAAGCCCAGTATTTCCTTTACACCTTGAAGAAAGGAAAAGCTACGCTACACTACATTACAGAGCTGCCCAACCGGTGAATAGCTCAATGGATGTGTCGTTGATCATGGCTCCCCAAAGCTCAAAGCAGTCAAGTAGCGGTACAATCCTCCCAACGCTCACAAAATCGATTGCTCCATCAAAACTCGCTTCCACCTGGCATGTACAATGAACTGCCTCCAATTCAGACCTTGCTCATTACTTCTGCTTCAATGCGGCAGGCGGCGACGTCTTTTCCTCCTCGTCCAGTCGGCGTCTCCAATCAGCAAGACTGTCGCTCATCTGCTCACCGCTTGCAGCTTCGTTGGTCGGAGTTCGTTCGAAGTCCAACCCGCTCAATCGGTAGTTGTTTCGGCTAGTGCTCTCCCACTGCGACTTCAGGGTCTCTAATTCTGAAGCGAGATGGTCGAGCGCAACAGAGCCTCGCTCGTCAGGCTTCCCGTTGTCATCGGGTGAAGATGTGTCGGTCGCAGTCGACTCGCTTGGATCGCGGAGGTGAGAGATGCCATTCGCCCCTGGAGGCGGTAGTTGGGACTGTCGTCGATAGTTGCCAACCGTAGTGCCAACCTGGTCGAGGAGCATTGTGACACGCTGCTCGGCCTCTTCTGCGCGACCTTGGAGCATGCTGTTCTCGTGCTTCAGCTGCTCGAGCTCCTTCTCGGTTTGCTGTGTAGATCTCAACAGCTTCTCGTGTTGTGCCGATTGCTTGTTGTGGTCCTCCTGAGTCGATGCCAATTGCGCTCGAACGGCGGCCAAGTTGCTCTCAAGTGTCGAAATTTGGCCTGTGAGTTGGGTCTTGAGGGAGTCCATCTCCTTCTGCAGACCGTCCTGGTTGGCAGAGTCGGGCACGACTTCTCGACTCGTACTCTGCGCAGACTCGAGTTCGGTCTGAAGCTGGGCATTCTGCGTCTTGTATTTGGTGAGCTCTTCCTTCATCTTTTTGAGCATTTTCTCCGTTCCCTTCACATAGTGGACAGCAGACTGGTAGTCATTCTCCAGTTGCTCCAATTTCTCACGATATGTGCTGTCAGCTTCTTGCATTCGGCTCTCGAATTGTGATCTGGTCTCCTCGTGAGACTTCATGCTGTTTTGTAGTTGGTGTTCGAGCTCCTTGAGACGACCCTGCTCAGGAGTCCCGAATCGGGATGCTGGCGATTCGCCAAAGGCAGGCGAGCGGCGCGCATTCGACATATCCATGCCACGTTCACCAAGGAGATCCTTGAGGGCACCATGTTGCACAGCCAACGCGCTTGCATCGCGCTGGTGGCTTTCGTAAGAAGACTTGACTTCACGAAGCTCAGCCTGATACGCTTGAGCATCTCTCAGCGCGGCTTGCAGCTGTCGTCGAATTTGGACGCCGTCGCGGCTAGACTGCTCTTGATACGCTTCAAGCCCAGCGATTCTCTCTTCAGCAGCACGAAGCTTGTCAGCAACGGCATCGGCGGCAGCATGGTGCTGTTTAGCCAACGCGTTAGCCTTGTCCGCGTTCTCCTGAAGAGCGGCCAAACGCTGCTCGCTTGGGCCTCGATCAGCAACGTCACGATCCGATGTAGACAGTTTAGCAAGACCTGCCATCAATGCTGCACGATGGGTGTTAGCCTCTTGTGCATGGGTGTCTGCCAACTCTTCGGCATCACGAAGACGCTTCGTCGCCGTTTCGAGCTCATTAGTCCGTTCTTCATGCTCCGACCGAAGTTGTGACAGCTTTCGCTCTGCTGTCTCGCGTGCTGATCGCTCTTGCTCAAGCTGACGTTCGTAAAGTGTCACTTTGCCACTGGACGCAGCCACAGCAGCCTCGAGTGCAGCGATTGAGGCAACCGAGTCTTTGAGACGGGAAGAGCCATGATCGTGCTTCTCTGTGATTGACTCGAATTCGGCCTGCAGTATGCGCAACTTCTCTTCGGCTTCGGCTCTGAAGCTAGCCTCTGATCTAGCATTGCCTTGCGCCTCGTGCAACTCGGCGCGAAGCCCATCCAGCTCGGCAGGGTTGCGGCCTTGACTGAGCTCCTCCAGACGGCGATGAGCAGCTTCAGATGATTCTTCTGCAGCCTCTCTGGCTCGTTTCTCGGCAGCGAGATCGTTATGCATAACGTCGATCTTGGCCTTGTGATCATTCGTAGCGGCTAGTGCAAGTGCAAGGCGGCGGCTGATGTCTGTCGATCTATCGGCGTCGTCCGAGTGGTCAGGCTGAGGTGTTGAGCGTTGACTGCCGCCATGCGCAGCTAATTTGGCTCTGGCATATGCAGCCTCGGTGACGGCCGCATCACGCTGGTGCTCGACTTCAGCAATTCGCTTCGCGGTTGAGCTAGACTGTTGCTCCATCGCTTGGTGCATCTTGACCATTTCGGCACGCATAGCCATGAAAGCTTCGATGAGTGGTTTGTCATCGTCCGAGAATTGGTTCAAGTTCTTATCATCGATTGTCGAGTTCGAGGAGCCAGACGGTGCATAGCCAGCTTTGCGAGCAAGGGCGAGCTCCGATGCATACCATGCATTGGTGCGCTTTGCTGAGTCTAGCTCTTTGACAAGTGCTTCCTGGTGAGCTGATAGCTTCGGCGACCGCGGCTCATCGTAGTGACTCCGGACGCTGCTCTGAGTGTCAGAGTGATGACGGTTGGAGCCGCCTCGACCTAGTGCACCTTCTTCAGTGCTATCGATAGAACCTTGAGCGCGCTGCGATCGCAGAGAGCGTTGGCGAGCGACAGCAGGTCCCACCATAGGTGCAGCTTCACCAGCTTCCATCGCGCGTGCTTTGGATGTCTGCGTTGGTGTTCTCCGACCATGAGATGATGGACTGTTGTCGCGGCTGGGTCGGGAGGCTTCCTTCTGGACCGCCTTGACGGCTGGCGCTTGAATACTCTCAATCTGCTGGCTCTTGTCCTGTGCCGGCCGATTTCTGACACCATTGGGAGGCGACATTGTGCCGTTAACACGAGGATTAGGAGGTTGGCCCTGTGGCGGCGGTCCCGCTGGTGCTTGTGATGCTCTTGGCAGACGTGATCCTTGTGCGCTGTTTGTCGCACCGTCGGGTCGAGAACCATCAGGTCGCTGAACAGGACCACCCATGGGCGAAGCTCTCGCAAATGCATCGTTCGCGATTTGACCTTCGCGCGATTGCGATCGCTTTGGATTTCTGGCCTCACTACTGGGTCGTCTCTGAGGACTGCCGGATCGCTGCTTCTCGCCTGATGGTGGTGCGGCCGAATCGCTAGGATATCGAATTTTACTCGTGTCCAAGACGTAGACCATGCTCAATTCGCCCGAGTCTCGAGGTGCTGAGCTTGGCTCACCAGCCAACACGATAATTTGCTTGCCATGTGCGGTCATGCTGTGGCCAGATCGTGGGGACGGAGAGGGACCCATGTTCTGAAACGTGTACCATCGCTTGGATGTGATCCGGAAGGCAGCCAAATCGCCCAAGTCATTGCCCTCTTCTGTGCGGCCGCCGAATATGTACATGACGTCGCCTACCAGAGCAGCAGAGTGACCTTCTCTAGGCGCAGGGATATACCCGATGCACCCCATTTCGGTCCATGCGTTCGCTTTTGGATCATAGCTCCAGACATCATTGAACCAGCGTGTGCCATTAGTACCGCCAAACAAGAACATCTGATCGTTATAGCTGATGACTGTGTGATTCGTGCGAGGAGCTGGACGTGGGCCGTGTAAGCCTCCATCGACTTCGTTCTGCATCAGGAATTCCCAAGTGTTGCCAGGATTTTGCAGCGCATTGAGATCGAACGCAAGCAGATCATTGAAGAAGTAGCCTTCGACTTGACCGCCGAAGATGTAGATCTTGGAGCCGAGAATGTTCAGGGTGTGACCGTATCGTCCTGGCGGGCGTTGGCCGGGCGGCGTGGCTCTCGACCACTGTCGCGAGGCTACACTGTATCAGCAGGTGGCTTATGGAAAGGTGGTGCACTTACAAGTATTAAGCAAATAAAGGGTATCATCGAGCACATCAGAATCGTCCATCTTCGTATCGCCTCCAAAGACAATGAAGGCATTTCCAACAAGCAAGCTGGCATGGCCAACACGCGGACCAGGGCCTTCAGATACAGTCGCAATGGGATAACACGAAAGGTTGCCGCCGCCTGACTCGAGCATCCACAAGTCTCCTCGAACCATTGAGCCGTTTATTAGACCGCCCATCATGTAGATGTCGCCTTCCTTAGAAGCAACAGAATTGACAGCGGCGCCATATCGGGGAAATGGATTACTCTGAGGAGTCGGGAAATTGAGTCGTCGCTGCGACCACGGATACAGGGCCGCATTAGGTGGTTGTGCGCCTACAGTAGCTGGTCGAGTCTAGAGAATAAATTAGCATTTCTAGTCGCGTGTTGGGTACCGTTGCGCTTACCCCGGATTCCGATTCTGCGCGATCTCTTCTCGCAAATTGACCGCTTGGGCCCGTCATTGACCCTATGGACGATATGGAACCATCAGGATTTGATGTAGGTTGTGGCGACTGTGTCTGTCTGGGATCTAGCTGTTTTTCCACCATGCCATTTGGCCCGGATGGAGTACCATCGGAAGTATGAATACTTCGCGACGCACTCGGCAGCGCTGATGGTGCGGCGTCTTTTTCGACTTGCCGAATAGGAACGACATGTTGTTCTAGAGAGCGGAAATACGTGTTTCGTTCGCGAGGTAGTCGTTAGGAGTAGTCGTGGAAAGCAGTCGATATCGATGACCGCATGAGAACGGCCTCGTCGGTCGAAAGCGCAGTATGGGCACGCCCGCGAATATTACTGAGCGCGCATTGTCGCTGTGACTGTTGCGGGAAAGGGAATCTGACAGACGTAGAGACCGTATTGAAGAATAAGGAGCCCGACGGCGCGTGGACTGGCGATGATCTTTTCCAGCTGGACTCGGGCCAAGTTCGTTTGGATCTTATGCAGGAACAGGGAAGTGGATGTGCGAGTTAGAAGACCTGCGCGCGCGGTAGTGGCTGGGGGAATGCAGTGTCGAAATATGCGATGTGATGCACCTTTTCCAACAATCCGCCAACGCGATCTGACAGTTCGGTAGTGTGCTTGTATCGACAGAATATTGATCAATGACAAAATGTCAGAACGATCTCAGGAGGGGACCTGTCGACACCACGAACTGGATGATTGAAAAGGGTCACCGACAATTAATTTTGGCGGCTTTCCTCGTCCGATGGCCGTCGATTGGGGGGTTCATCAAGGCTCTTCCAGCTATGCCCGCCCTCAAATTCTCCTGAAAGATCCCAAGCTCCAGGCCAGTGTTTCGGCTAGAACAGAAGGCGTTAGCGTGTAGTGAGTAAAGCCACAGTGTGTGGCGTAGGCCTGTGGCAAACGCAATCAGGAGTTTGACCTCCAACTTCCAAGATAACCTCTACGGATATCATCTCCTTCTTCTTCTTCAGTAGAGATAAGCCATCTCAGGCCAGCACAGGTGAGAGTAATCACAGGTATAGGGACCTCATTGTCGCTATCCAAGCCAGTGACTGGGCCCTGTCCAACGCGTCTGCACAGTAGGAGAGTCTGAGAAGCCTCTGAAACACCATCCAATATGGCCAATGCTAGTCCAGCCAAGCATGGGGACGATCTCGAGGCCTTCATCCAGGACATGCCCAAAGGAGAGCTCCATGTCCACCTGGAGGGCTGTCTCACCCCGGAGCTCGTCAGAACATTCGCAGAACGCAACAACCTCGACATACCATCCGCGCTGTCGACGCTCGATCAGTCTGGAGGAGGGTACGCGTTCAATGATTTGACGAGTTTTCTTTCCCTGTACTATGCCTGCCAGAGCATATTGCAGACAGCTGAAGACTTTCAAGAACTGGCCTTTGACGTAAGTTGAACGCGTGGACAGCTGAAACATTGCAGCTTTGAATTGTTGCAGGTAAAGCTGGCAGCTGTCTGACCGCTGATGTTAGTATTTGTCTCGAGCGGCCAAACAGAACGTTGTCCATGTCGAGATGTTCTTCGATCCCCAAGCACATACCTCGAGAGGCATTCCTTTCTCGACCGTTGTTTCTGGATATCATGCCGGCATCCAGCAGGCATATCAGCAGTACAAGATCTCTGCCTCATTGATCTTGTGTATACTGAGGGACGAGTCTGCCGGATATGGAATGGCCACTGTTCTTGTACCACACCTTCCCCAATGTATCGACCTCATACTCACGCGTGTAGTCTTCTCTTCCTCACAAGCATCTCATCGCTGGGATAGGGCTCGACTCAGACGAGCGAGACCACCCTCCAATCGAGCATGCCGCGGCCTTTGCTCGTGCCCGACGTGAAGGCTATCAGTTGACTGCACATTGTGATATTGACCAACAAAACACGCTCGAACATATTCGACAGTGCCTCGAGGTTCTCAAAGTCGACCGTATCGACCATGGCACTAACATCGTGGAGGACCCTGCTCTTATCGAGGTTCTCAAAGCAAGGAACATTGGACTGACCTGCTGTCCGATCAGCAATTCAATTGTAACAACGACTGCAAAGTTTCCGGAGATATTGCAGTTGTTGCGTCAAGGCGTCAAGGTAACATGCAACTCTGATGATCCAGCATATTTCAGAGGATACCTGTTCGAGAACTTGTTGAAGCTGGCCAAGGAAACGGATATTACGCGCAAGGAGTTGATTCTCTTGCAACGAAACGCATTCGAGATTAGCTGGGTAAGCAGTTGGAAAAGGGATGAATTACTGCAACGGTTAGAAGAGTACGAGCATCGTACACTGGGGAAAGCAGCATCCTGATGGCGTTGTTGGTTGGTGTGGTGCGCAACCTGGCCTCGGAGTTAGTCTGGCCTCGCCGCCAACGTTGCTACGCGTTCCTCGCGCTTCGTTCTTCGACATTTTGAAAGTGTGGCAGTTCCAGACATAATTCCTTTGTTTGTGAACCACAGGCAAGACAGCATCCCTTTGGAACGTGCCAGTAGCAGACACAGGCATCTACCATTACACTCCATATTGACGGTGACGAGAAGGCAAGGCAGCTCTAGAACAGTGACACAGGCAGTCCTACACAGGCGTTTCTGCTGCATTAAAAGCCAGTCTATCCTTTTCGTCCTTCAATATGAGTCTTCCGACACGCTATCGGCCCATCCTGCCTGCTCCACAACGCCTGTCTCAGCCATCCGACACCTCATTCAGTCCATTCACATACCAGAACATGCACCGCAATACGCGTCAACTGCTCCAGACATGGCTTTTCAACAACTTCCTCCCACTCCAGAGTCCTCCCAAAACATACCAATCGACTACGGATGGACTGCAACGGTCGCTTTTCCTCCTGCTGGCCATACATACCATCCAAACCAACTGGAACCATATCAGCAACCACAGTCACAACCATACCTCCAGCTTCACACTCCTGCCGACACCCCCCTGGAGCCCGCCTCACCAACCACCACCACCGCAGCGCCCGCCACACGCCGCCCACGGCCCCGTCCCAAGCCAGGACGCATCATACACGTCGGAGCAGTAGACGGCTTCCCTCCCCGCAACGCTCCCATTCCCACCAACCTCTCCTGCGCCGACATCTGCCGCCAATTCCCCAACAGTCTCTACAACGAGACCCTCGACGCCTTCCTCCAACACAACTTCAGCAGCACGCAGATGTACGAGCTGCTCCCTGACGCCGTCAAGCAAGCAATGCGCGCCAACCACGTTAACGCGAAGAATCCCGCCAACGCGATCGCAAAGCGTTTGGTCAAGCGGCGCCAGCGGCACGGAAAGAGAGGCGTGTTGGATGAGTTGCTGGAGGGGCCGAAGCAGCGGGAGCATGGGATGGAAGAGGGATGGAGGGGAAATGGGAGGGCGGGGTTTTATGCGCGGGATGCTGGTGTTTTTGCTCCTGCTGAGCCTGCTTCTCCTCCTGCCCCACCACCAGCAGCTACAGTAGCAGCGAAATCTGCCCCTCTTCTCCTCCCTCTTTCCGCCTCCTCCACCACCACCACCAACACCACAGCAGCAGCAGCCGCAGCCGCAGCAACTTCGCCCGGTTTCTGCTCCTTTTGGCCCTCCTCTCGCTCCTCTCGCTCCTCCCACCACCTACAACAACTACGACTTCAACCCGCCCACCTACATTAACGAGCTGCAGGAGCACCAGGACGCGGTGTGGGGCGTTCCTGCTGCTCCTGCGGCGGAGCCGGAGCTGGATTGGGAGGCGATGCTGGGGAGGTATGGGTCGCAATTCGGAGAGGCAGAGGGGGAGAATTGGGGCTGGTAGGCGCGGAAATGGAGCCAGGGAGGGCGCTGTGGAGTTGTAGATAGAAATCGGAACGACGTGGCTAGAAAGCAGAACGGTGTAGATAGAAAACGAAAGCGAGAGCTGTGCGCTGACATGCAAATCAACTTGATGCAAGCCTTCTGTGAGACCGTCCTACTGTGCTTTAGCCTGACTTGTAGATTGTCCTGAAGTCAGCGACTTATACATCTGAGCCTCGAACCTTGTCGATTCGAGCTCATCGTCCATGCCGTTCATGCTTCGTCGAGCCCACCACCTAGCTCATGGCTTCTTCTAGTCAAGCTTGACAGCACCTTCTGAAGCATTCCGCGGCACCTCAGTTATACACACCATCTTGAGCATTCTCTGCCAGACTCTCTGCGCACCGGTAGAACTTACTGGCTCCATATAGTTGTTCTGAGAAATGCATCCAGACAAGGCAGCGTGGAAGGCAACGAGGCGACACGCCCAACTACATTGTTCCCCTTCTGCGTCCTTTTCCCACAAGAAGTTGCCAGAATACTGCCGGCACCAGATATAACCTCCTTTCCAACATGAGCACTCAGCAGATTCCTTCTCTTCACCTGAAACAGCCAATATATATCAGATATCACCCCTCGCAACCACAACCACCTCACCTGCCACGTTTCTGCACTATCACTACCCTATCTCCGCCAGCACATTCGGCTACTTTCCGAAAATGGGGGTAGTGCACGGCTTCACCCAGCAGCCAAGGCCAGTTGAAGCTGGTAAACATCAAAATAATGGGGATCAATCGATCGCCCACTTCTGCCTGCACGCCTTCAACCCTTTGTCTTCTACCAACCTACCTTCACAACCACAACCCATTGTTGTGGCAGACACTTGCGCTCTTTGTCGGAGCGCGAAGCAACGCTCTCACGTGTTCACGCTCGCATGTGTTCTTCCTACACCTGAAGAGCGACAAGACAGTAAGTGAGTCCTCTCTCTCTTGTCCAGTTTGGCGCGTGCCTTGAGGACGCGAGGGCCTGGCGACACTTGATCGGACCCAAATACTGACAGTCCAGCACCAGAGCAGAAGGTGACACTTGATCTCGACGCGTACTTGGTGAAAGAGTGTCGCAATGTCTAATCCAGGGTCAGATGACGGTCGCAATGGTGAAGATATAAGACCATCGGGGTACCCTGAGATTCTAGATGACTTGATCGACCCCATCCTTCGTCATCCAGATCTCAATCAACCCACACCTGCCTTCATTCCACCCCTGTCTCCCCAAGAAGTTACTATGGGTAACCTCGAAGGTGAGCTGCAAGATCAGTCAGCCAGCATCGGCAGTGAGGACACCAGTACGTGGCAGCAGGGTACTCTGCCTCCAGCAAGACCTCCCTTCATGGCTCCTTCGGCTCCTGGTGGCGTGCTCGTTCGCAACAACGCGTAAGTTAGCCACAAAACATTGACTCGATGTACTGACGCTTGTTCAGTCACCACCAAGTCGGCCAAGGCCGTCAAGCAATTCCCTTCGGTGACGGTACCTCGTGAGTCAACCACCTTCAAGTATAGACTTCACACTCACTCCGTAACAGAAGCAGTCTTCGCCCGACCACTCAGACCACTCAGACTGAGGACGATTCGCGACCTACCAAGAAGCTGAAGCTCGATAGCGACTCGCAAGAAGAGTATCGCAACGCGCAATCCACCAACTTCCATCCCAATCGATCAGCCTACCCTCCGCCGCGCTACTTAGACTACCAGCCCCAGAGCGTATTCAGCAACGCGTATCCTCCACCTCCATCTTCCGCGCATGGTCCTCCCCAAGATGGCCCTGGTCATGTACCGAATGGCAACAGCAACCCAACGCGCCGTCCTCTGGTTGACATCACAAATGCAACAGCTGATGCCGACCAAGCCGCCTCTCCGCAGCCAATAGATCGTCCTGGTAATACCCACACTGTGCCACCGACTGATCCCGGTAATCATGCTGTGAGATATGGACTCCACTACATGACCACTCGCTCCGAGATGCTGTTCGCCTCTGCTGGGGACCTGCAACGATATGTTCAGCGCCAGAACGAGCTCCGCCAAATGTTAGGCATGACTAGCTCCTTGCAGTCCTCCTGGCACCAAGGCCATGTTGTCAACGGAAGACTTGTTGATAGCAACGGAACACCAGTCGATGTTGACGACAACGGCTGCACTGCTCCAGCATCCAATGAGACTGGCACCAAAGAGTCGAAGCCTGTGAAGCGCAAGCGCCAGAGCAGCACAATCAAGAAGGAGACCAAGAAGACCAAGTCGCAGATCAAGAAGAAGCCCAACGCCACCAGTGGTCCTCGTCGACAGTCCACCAAGGCTAAAGGCTCAACAGGTTCCCGGTCGCAGATCGGCGACTTTCCAGGCTTTCTTCCCAGAACCGCGACAGTCCCAGGGGATCTCGCCGAAGATGGCATGCCTCGTGGTCTCAACTTGTATGAGATCTGTCAGCGTTATCCCAACCACTTGTGGTATGACGTCTTCGATCCTTTCCTGCAGCGCCAGTGGTCTGCCAAGGAAATCTTTCACAGTATGCCTCAGTCGGTGATTGATAACGTCCTTAAGCGTCGCGAGGGTGCCCCTTCAGGAAACTCTCCGGAGATGTTCTTAACCAAGCGCAGATCCACACGGTACCATCAACTGCAGGAGCCCGAGAACCATGAGCGTTGGAACAAGCTCATTCGTCCAACCATTGGCGACCACCCTACCTTCTTGCGAGGGGATGGCAGGCCCGATGATCTGAAGCGCTACTCGAGCGCGACTAGGGTGTGGGAGGAGGACGACCTACATTATGATGATGACGGTGAGGACGAGGTTGAGGATGGCGCTGATGTTGGCGATGAGACCAACAACAACGATGAGGATGAAGAGGACGCGCCTGGTGAAGACGACAACGATGCTCAGGGTCGTGATGATACGGAGGGAGCGAACTAAGTGCATCAGCCACGATTGTCCACCACAGGCACGGCGTTCGTTGTGCGTATCATTTCTTCAGCAAGGCGTTCATGGGGATATGCGACAAGCGTGTGCACTGCCAATAATTGCTCCCTTCGAGTGGCAATGGCCCCATGGGCCAATGGCATTTGCGATGCTTCTCAAGCAGATACAATCTGACCAGGTAGTATCTTCATGCTCGCTTCGGGCAGAGTTTTGCATTTCGTACGACTCACAATGTAACAAATACCACTTCACCTCGATATCCAACTGCTCTTGACGTGGTCTCTGCCGTTTTCGCAGCTCTGTGTCAGTGCCAATTCATTTGTATTGCCGAACCAAGCTGACAACGCGAACAAGGTCCTTCTATCGAGGATTCTCTCGGGTTAGGGCATCCAGACACACTGAAAGACAGTGCGTGATTTGAACAGCATGACGGCGCTCGGATGCTAGAGCGGTCGCTCTACCTCGCGGCAGGAAGACGAGGTCACCTCGAAAGTGAACGTGCCCGCTAGGACAGAAGATTCACACTGGGGGAGTCGCGAATTTGCGTTCAAATGACACAGGTCAAAAGTCACACTGACGTCAAAGGCGCGATTTCTGAGTCTGCCAGTGCCAGTGCTGCCATCAACACGCCTTCCACTACATAACTGCCCTACAACTTGATCACTGGTTCCGGGAAGCCGCGACAGAGTCCGCTCAACGAAAGAAGATGTTTTGCAAGTACCATTGACGAGACTTGCTCCTGTAGCCAGACGCCGAGCAAAACGTGGCGCCCATATCGCTGAGAACCTCACGCCAAGTACGTCAGCATCAACATGTCGACGCTGGCTCCTAGTCGTCCAGATCTCCTTTTGTCGTCGCATCAGATACGTCCTTAGAGCTTACACGATGCGATCTATCACAGGTCGTCAGCTTTCTGTCATATCCGTCAAAGCAACGCAGACTCACGATTGGACCGCCAATGCCTTGCTGCAGTATCATAACATGCGCCAGTCCTTGCACAGACGGTAGATCTGGCAAATTCACAATACGTGGACCTCCCTGCCACTCATCGATCTTCAGCACCTCTTTGACGACGTTGTTGTGCTGAAGCTTCTTCCCCTTGTTTGGCCCCTTGCCAACTTTGACGGTCTGACCCTTTGTGTCACCATCATAGCTGATGATTACAACATCATACACCTCAGTCTCAGTCGTGTCGCTTGCGATCTTGATGACTTGCCGTCCGTCTTGTGAAGCCGGCTCCATACCAACCACCAGATTTGATTCGTTGCGAGCCTGAATCGCAAGGGACAGGATACCGCTGAAGTCGCCTTCACGACGGCCGTTGCCATCAGCGATTCCGTCGATGATCAGCTGAGGCGTGTATAGCTCTTGTCTTTTCCAGCGCGTTACGTACGCGCGCTGTCGAGCATCCCAAGAAGAATTGCTGAAGGTATCGTTCCAGCCCGATTTTGCGTTCCACTATGCAAGGGTATGGTCAGCACGATTCGGACGCGGAGACTCGCTCTTTTCTGGAGTGGAGCCACTCACATATCCAACATTGTAAGTAAGCAGCAGCACGTTCGGATTTGCCGAAGCGGCTTTGTGAATCAGGGGCAGAGCTGGAGGCGAGGCCTCACAACCCTGTGAGATGAAGAACTCGACGATCGAAAGAGGTTGAATCTCGACGTAACAAGCTTCGCCGTGGACGTGAGTTGGATCATCGTGCAAATCCAACGTGCAGACCAAAGGAGCCTTCTTCTTACGAAAGAAGAGAGTTCTGAAGAAGGACATGATGTTGCTTGTACGCTAACAGAAGGACAGGTGGAAGACGGGATAGTTGTCAAATGTGATGGATCTCCTCGAGCTGCACGACTACGTCGAGATATATAGCACATCAAGCACCGGTAGGCAGGCGCAGCGAAGGTACGGAAACCAGAGAAATACAGTCGACGACAAGAATAGAATCGCTACTAGCCAGCGGGCTGTGTGTGTCGTCATAGCACGTCTGCGCCGCCATCAAGATACGTGGCGGCGCTCACAGATACTGGAAGAGATCGACCAGAAGCTACTCGGTCTGCCGTGAATACCGCTTACTGGTCTTAGCTCTATTGGTGGCCAAGCCTCGTGCCAGGGGCGCGACCAGTCAATTCACCAATTCAGCTAGTGGCTCACCAATCTTGCAGTATCGCAAGGCGTCCACTTCGCCAACAGCTAGACTGATCTTGCAAGTATCAGTTAATGGTCAACACAATCATTAAAGCCAAGTGTCCAAGCCACAGGTACACAGCAGCTGGTCAGTGCTCGCATGGAAGTCCGGCGCAGCCAGCCACTCATTCGGTTTAGTCATTGTAGTCACCAGCAACACGGAGACGCGTGCGCCTGTGCAGTCACGAGAGATTCACCATGTCGTCCGACCATGTAATCGGACTTATGCGCATCGAGGCTGCCAAGCACGGGGCTCGTCGCGGACAGATGTCGTTCGCTAGGTTCTTCTGAGTCCGCCGAGAGCGGACGTCTGGTCGATCTGCTAGCAACAGCTAGCCATATTCGAACACTTTATTCAGGGAGCACACTCACTACGTCACGACTGTTCAACGGAATTTCCTACTGAAGTCTCAATTTGGCAAGCATTGAATTTGCCCCGTCGGCTATGGCTTACATAGCCTGTTTCATCTATTTCGACAGTACGACGGATGGTCAACTTTGCATCCACAGATGCTCAGACCGATGATCGCGAACCCGGCACATAGTGTCGGATTTTGAGATGCTCTGGCCACATGTCAGCAAAAGGACGAGCCTTTGGACGCCTTGTCCGTTAAGTAAGCATGCATTGACGATCGCTTAGCATACCCCACTGATGCAAAGCAGCAGTTTTGACGGTTTTGACTCGTGCGACACTGCACGTACGGTCCGAACGAAGCTGCCAGCTCTATGCAGATCCGACCTGCATGATTACAATATCTGATTTCCGCACCATGAGGTTGCCTTGACTTGGCAGATGGAGCACTCGGCTATCTCTTGGCGAGCGCCTCAAGTGTCCGCATTCGGAAACTTATGGTACCTCGGTACTGACGAGGCTGAGCCAATTTGATATAGAAAGGACAACGGCGCTACGGTTGATGCAATAGTTGGCTGCGGCGAGAAGGCTAACATGCTAGCAGGATTGTTCTGCTGTGCAGTGCCACCTCTCATGCTTGGGGGCCATGGACATTCAGAGTTCAAAAGCAGCCCACGCCTGCTGCTCGATGTCAGTCGTATCTTCTCGATACCAATGTCAGCGCTCGAATCTCCGGAAACGCCACAGACGCCGTTGCAAGACGTGAACTCTCCATCGACAGAGATCGATAACTCGGGATCCGACGACGACGCTCCTGGAGAAGTCGAGGAAGTACCACCACCGATAACCAAACGATCACAGAAGTCTCCGAATTAAGGACCGGCCCCTCCGTCCCTCCTTGAGACACAGTGACGAGGCGATGGCTGCCGCGGAGTCGTTGTACATCCACTTCTCCTGGAAGAAATTCCGGCACCTTGTAACCACGTCGCCCAACGACACCACCAATCCTCTCTACCACGTCTCCATCCGCAGCACCATCGGGCCACACGTCATCATTCGATACCCAGCCACAGACGGCATAATTGGCACGGGCACTCTCCACGCCTTCTCAATTTCTCCGCGCTACTCGCTCCGCTCCCGCCCCGGCCAGCTCAAAGCCCTCGCCCGGCTGCGCACCGAATACAACCACATCTCCCACACTTTCGATCCCTCCGGTAAGCCGCACTCCATGCGCTGGACCTCGAGTTCGGGCTTTAAATCCTGGGACTTTCTCTGTCTTGACGAGCACGACAACGCAGTGGCACGATTCAGTGCGAGTATCTGGAGTGCGACGAAGGTGGGAAGGATTGATTTCTTAGATGCCAAGATTGCTGGAAATGAGGCCTTCAGGGAAGAGATGCTGCTATTGGGGCTGACGTTGTACTATTGTATGTGGTTCAGGACGTACAACGTGTTTAACATTGCGGGGAGTATTTTCACGAACACCAAACCACTGGACAAAGACGGAGCTGTGGATGGCAGGGAACTCAAGGCCTTGGGCAGGGCTGACTCGAGACTGAGTATTGCGGATGAGGCAGGGCTGGTGGGGGAGGGGAATGGGCAGGGAGGGCAGAGTAGGTATGCGCCGCGATTGAATCGCGCTTGACGGGCGCAGGCGTCTGTGAGGTTCAGGTCAGACTGAGGTGGCAGTGCACGAACATCCGCTCTCACACGACCCTTCAGTACTGTCCCAAACAACCTCAAAAATTGCAAAAAGTCATCGGATAGAGCAACACTCAGAATCGAACTAGGATCTTCGCGCAACAGCTCCCTCGCAAGGGCATATAGGGCCGCGGCCGACGGCCAGCTATCGGTTGATGTGTTCGCCGTTGACACCATGCTGCTGAAACGTCCCTCACCCGAATCCCAATTGATGAGCAAATGTGAAGAGCTACAGATATATGTACCCTCGCGATTGACTGACTGGGTGAAAAGTCAGTAGGCAAGTTTACCGAGAGTACCTAGGTTGTGAAGCACCCGGCAAATCAGTGCTTAGTTATTGATCATTGATCGAAAAGAAGGTGAAGAGCGCTCGAACACTCCTCGTGCCGTGGGCTCTGGGTTTTGGGGGCTAGATAAGGCTCCTGACCCCTGAAGCATCTCCAGTTGTCATTGGCGCGGGAGTGCGGAGCATGCGTTCGGGACCTGAAACGTTGGAGAGGGCGGAGAAATGCTGACGACAACGATCGTCAATCGGCACATGTCGTGCCAGGCATCAGGATATGGTCTTCTAAGCAGGAGTATTGTGGATGTGCTCAAGGAAAAAAGCAGTCGTTAGGTAGTCAAGAAGACCGATTTGACTCTTCAGTACCGTCGTCGACCGCCAGTATCAACCAGTCGCGCCGGATGACAGGCCGCAGCATCGCAATGTTGAATACACTGACAGCGGCACTCACCTGCTGCCTCCTCCTCACAATACCCGCACATACATTCTCTCTCCCACCAATCCTCACCAGTAACGAGGATCATGACCACCAGAAACCGATCAAGCATCCCAAGCACCACCCGCCCCTCGACATCCCTTTCATTGGCCTAGGCCTCTGGAACTCCAAAGGTTCAGACGCAACCCATGCCGTCGACGCGGCGTTTGGTACAGGCTACATCCACTTCGACTCCGCGGCCGCCTACTCGAACGAAGAGTACGTGGGCTCAGGACTCACAAATGTATCTATTCCAAGATCCAGCTATTGGATCACCTCCAAACTTTGGAACACCGCTCACCAACCCTCCCTAGTCGAACCCGCGCTCCGCAAAACCCTCTCGGATCTACAAACCCCGTACCTGGACCTCTACCTGATGCACTGGCCCGTCGCCTTCGTCCCCAACCCACCAAAGGGCCGCAACAGCATCATCGACCAGGACACCAGCATCCTGAATACCTGGCGCGCCATGGAAAGCCTCGTGCACAAGAACCTCACGCGGTATATCGGGGTGAGTAACTTCAGTCCAAGACAGCTGGATACAATCCTCGCTGCCTGCAAGACCGAGAAGGGCGGGATCTGTCCATATGCGCATGAGTTCGAGACGCATCCGTACTTGCAGCAGACGGAGTTTGTGGAGTGGCATTTGAAGCATGACATAAAAGTTATTGCGTACTCGCCGTTGGCGAATTTGAATCCGACCTACAACGGCACGCACTCGGACGTGCCGTCGATATTGGAGGATCCCTTCTGGCAGGACTTAGCCGCCAATAAATCCATCACGGTACCGCAGGCGGTACTGGGATGGGGCATCCAGAGAGGCACCGTCGTAATTCCGAAGAGTGTGCATGCCAAGCGTATCAAGGAGAACTTGGGTGCTGTGGATGTGAACTTTACTGGGTTGGAGATGGCGAGGATTGCAGAGGAGGATCGGAGGGTGAGGTTCAACGATCCGACGAAGGGTTGGGGAGTTGAGCCGCCGCTGTTTGAGGGTTTGGATGGGGGGAGTAATCGATTCGTGGTAGAGCAGGAGGAGCTGTGACAAGCATGAGTCGGGCCGTCAGTATTTGGTCTGGATTCGGCGAGCGAATAGGCCGTAGCCAGGTGTGGCTGCTGCAGGATTGAGGCATTATGAGTTGGGCACGTTGTTAGTCAATGAGGTCGCTTGACGTGCAAGTTGTCATCTGGCTGTCAAGGTAAAGGATAAGACGCATGAGCCGATGAACTGATTTCGATGCGTTGGATCGAGTTTCGGCAAAACACCTAGCTAGGTTGACATGTCGGCACCGCTGGTCTCCTTCAACTTGAGAAGGAAGGCGCACAAGGCCGGCTGGTTAAGTTAGTCGTACTTGCAGGTGCAGGCCATTGGATGCCGGTGCGAGACCGGTCGACAACGGACTGACTGTAGCGTGGAGACTTGACCTCACGATTTCACGATAACAAATGGAACACTGCTGGATCGCTTTTGGATAAAGCCTGTATAAAAATGCTTGAGGTCCAATTGATTACCAAAGTCGGCACTGGAATTGTTTGCTTTGTACAGTATAAGATGAGACTTTGCCTGCGCCTCCCCCTGGATGACCAAGCGCCCGACGGTTTCCAGCCGCTATGCAATGCCTGCCCCAAAACCGATGTCCTTCGTTCAGCTCAAAAAGTCAGATGTATAAGGTGGCCAAGCTCCCGCTCCGTAAAGCAAAGCTCGCTCGCTAATGCGCAGCAAAACGTATGAGCATAAGATAGGTCAACGCCAGCCAAGGCCGATGACTGCCCGCCAGCTTCCATGTGTTTGTGAGTCGACGTCAATGGCAGGCTTTCGATCTCGTTAATACCGCTGTATGTTTCTTTCATGGGGCTGACGTGGGTACAGGTCACTCATCAATGTCGCGGTGACGAGCCAGGACCTTCCGCTGATACTCAGCCGAGTCCTTCTGGTGGAGCTGAGCAGCCTCGTTATTGAGCGGACTGGCATTGTTGGGCTCGCCGAGCAGACTCTGCAGACTCAACAGCACGGTCTCCACATTGTACACTGCGCTCCATTTGTCCTTCAGGATATCCAGACAGATACGGCCGCTGAAGTCGACGTTGGGATGGTAGATGGGAGTCTTGAAGAGCACCGTTGGCGGGCTATACGGGTAGTTTGAGGGAAACTCGAAGGACAATTTCAGGTTGAGGTCGGCATAAGGAGTATCTTTGGGACCAATGATGGTGGCGACCCAGTTGAGCATGTTGCCATCAGCGCCGGGAAACGCCGAGATGCCCGGTGTAGGAGACATCATGAGCGTCATGAGTTCTGACTGTAACCTGCAAGCGGCCGTCAGCTTGTGCTACTTACTCGTTTGCTGCAAAATGTACCTCTTTGTGACGCTCTGGGCATCTGCTTTCCTAGTGGCAGAGCCGAGTTTCTGTTGCTCCAACATGGTGGGCTGGCCAGGCATCGAGTTCTGAGTGTCCTCGAGAGCGAAGTTCATGATGAACAGCTCCGTCTTTTATTCTGAGCTTGGCCGGGAGCGGTATCAAAGCTGAGAATTCCAGTGAGAGAAGGAATGCTGAAAGCGGAGACAATGGCCTTGACAACGGCAGAAGTCTAGGCTGGGCTGGGGGGGCTGTGACGTCGACTGGAGCGTGCACAGATACTCTTTTGATAGAAGGAAATATGCCGGGACTGTGAGATGCGACGAGACTGAATTTATTATGAGGATGGTAGACAGATGAGAGGGAAGAGAAACGAGGTTGGTGTAGGTGTGGTTGCTCTTTCTGTTCGCTGGTGCCCGCCTCGAGTCGCCCCCAATAATTGGGGAAGCCGCCGGTGTTTACATATGGGCCCAGCTAGTCGGCTCCCGGGTCGCGCTTGTGGTCGCTGCAGTGACAAACCCTTGAGCCAACGCCAATCACCTTCACTGCCCCGCCATCGGAAGGTGAATTAAACGCGAATCGAAAGTGACTGCCACGCGATCGATGCTGTCGGATATTCACGTCAACGCGTTTTCGGTAGATCGGCGCATTCACCGTCAAGCTCGATAATAACAGCACATGCATCTGAAACAGCGTTGAATGGCGACGGTGCAACATTCGCAGCTGGCACCGCTGCCGACTCGAGGAGTTCCTTTCCGGCTAGTATCCAAAACAATCGGTGCTGGTGCATATGCATGGTAATTCAACTTGTCCGCAGCCGGTCTCAGTAAGAAAATGTCCAGGCTAACATAGCCTGCAGCATCAAGAAAGCCGCCCCGAAAGCCTCAGAGTCACCCATTTTCGCCGTCAAATTCATCAACAAGGACTACGCTCAGAAATATGGCCGCATCAAGCAGAAGCAGCTCCAGATGGAGGTCACCTTGCACAAATATGTCGGCCAACACCAGAATATCATAGAGTTCTATGACAGCGGCGAAGATAATGCCTGGCTGTGGATTGCCATGGAACTGGCCGAGGGAGGCGATCTGTTCGACAAAGTCGAGGCCGATGCAGGACTGAAGGAAGATATCTCGCATGCATACTTCACTCAGCTGATCAACGCTGTGAGCTTCATGCACTCAAAAGGAATCGGTCATCGAGACCTGAAGCCTGAGAATGTCCTACTCGACGCAGACGGGAATCTCAAACTCGCAGACTTCGGCATGGCATCTCTCTTCGAATACCACGGCAAGCGGAAGAAGGCAGTGACATTATGTGGCAGCCCACCCTATGTTGCGCCAGAGGTTCTAACATGTGGCTCGCATGACAAGAACAAGGCCAGTGGTTATGACGCAGACATTGCCGATATCTGGTCCTGTGGTGTCGTGTTGTTTGTGCTGCTAGCTGGAAACACACCTTGGAGCAGACCCGTCGAGGGCACGGACGAGTACGGTCGACCTAACGAATACAGCGAATACGTCAACTCAAACGGCAGACCACCTGATGAGTTATGGCAGGCGTTACCTCAAGCAGCATTGTCCCTCATTCGCGGCATGTTGACGGTCGATCCCACCGAGCGTTTCTCATTGGAGGCCATTCGACGACATCCTTGGTACACACAACCGAACAAGCAGATCACCGAGAAGGGCTTGTTCACAGACCCGCTTACCACAGCCACAACCATGTTCGAGTCATTACGAGTCAGCTTCGATGCAGATCCTCTCAAGGGCAGCCAAAAGCGAGATGCGGACGACATGGACATCGATGGCCCAAGTCAAGATCGTCTCGCCGTCCCACAGCTTTCATCGACCCAACCGACGACACCGTCCGAAGACATGATCTGGGATTGGGAAAGATTCCAACAGCCCGACATGTTCTCAACCCAGCCATTGAATGGCCGCGCCATACCCGCGACTCAGGGCACAGCTGCGCCTGCCTTCCTCACAGAGGAACCTTCGATGTCGCAGTTCGCACCTGTACCCAGCGTACCCCTAAGTCGCACTCAGATGGCCCGCAAATTCCGCGACATCCTTCCTGCGCAGAGTCTCACCAACTTCTACTCTTCCTGGTCGATCCAACTTCTGGTGCCACTGATCCTAGAAGCACTGAGCCGTCTAGGCATACCTACACCTCATATACCTCGGCCGTCCTCGAGCGACTACGAGACGATCGTCAAAGTCTCCGCATTGGACACCCGGGGCTGCAAGATCGCTGGTCACATCGCAGTCAAGGTCGTTGCAGTAGTCGATGGGAATGTGGTGGAGGCGTCGTTCGTTAAAGGATCAGGTGATCCGTTGGAGTGGCGGAGACTGTTCAAGAAGGTGGTCGTGTTGTGTCGGGATGCGGTCTATCGGCCAGAGGAGTAATAGTGTGTCCAGACAATAGTTGCTGATGCTGGGCGAAATTACATGTCAGCAGGCTGCTGGCTAATGATCGCTCTAGTAATAACCGTGGAAGGACGATAGATGTATGATACAGAGCGCTTGGACAATCAATCTCACTGGAAGTGGCCTTTGAGCGGATGCTCATCACAGCTACACGGTCTTATGACGACGCCTACTCGATCGATCGCTGAAGCTCGCCCCACCTGGTAGCAGAAGATGCTAACAAGGCATGGTAATGGGGCTTCCCGAATTTGGGTGTTGTGAGCGAATAGAAGGAGAAGGCAAGAAGTATTGCACCTACTTATACCTCTCCCACAAAATGAAGAACCGATGCAAACCGATACGATCACTTCACTGGCTCGAACGGAGGCATTCACCGTTGTATATACGTTCCAGAGTTATTCACTATCTGCCTCGTCATGTTTGGGTTAAGGGGGGGGAAGCAGAGACGACAGCAAGTCTCGTGCTTGTCTCACTGTGGACTCATTTGGATCGTGTCATTAGCTGCCTCTGCGGCGAGACTGTATGCTCGCTGAGCTCGTCAATTTGCGCCTTGTAGAGTCGCCACTATCGTGATCGCTGGGTCTGCCTGAGGGGACCGTTCAAAAGTGCGAGTTACTGTCTACCGGTTTCGATATGTATCTGGACAGACCGGTTGACTGTGGCAGCCCCTTCGCACTCATCCTGACGGCCACTCACCAGTTCTGACACCTGCTCGCAGAGCGAGTGCAGCAGACATGTCCAACAAGCGTCGTGGACAATAATTTCTGGCTTGCGACACCTGGCTCTGCATGAAAGGATGCGAGATCGCAATCAACCGGCTTCAGGAGTGCCATGCAGAGACCGGTTGACTAGCATCCCCTTCCAGCACATCCATGGGAAGGCACGATGGCGCATGCCCCACCTGCCGTGCGTTCAGGGTACAGCAAAGCGGCAGTTGCGCTGCGGTCGATCGTGACTGCTCCTTCTATGATCTGACCGAAGCCAGGACGGCAAGCGCGACCTTTGTCAATCGGCTTCGGTAGGAGTTTGGAGAGACCGGATGACTGCGGGGTTTTCGCGAGACCGGATGACGTGAGGACGTCGAGCTCTCTTCGTCGCGCTGCTTGACAAGACAGAAGCGAGAACTCTCGGTAGGAACGCGAATAGACATGGTAGTGTAGACGCGCAGTGCACGCTCACGAATTCATGGGTATGGACAGTTCGAACGTACATTTACACTTACTTGCATCGTGCTGGAGGTTCGGAACCTGTGGATATATATTCTCTGCCGCGTCATGACTACACTTTGCCAATATCCATGTCTACATACAGATAGCGGGACCCCGCTGCAGACTGATCGGTTCGTATAGGTCGGCAGGTATCAAATGCACCAAGGGACCCTACTCCCGTATGTTCCATCGTGGCACCCTCTTAGCGACACCTCCATCTTACTTGATCTGAAGCCATGGAGCGTCATCATCTCCTGCCATCTCAGGGCCAGTTCCAATCCCAACCCGCCGATCACAGGTCTCTCTCATGCAACGGCGCACTCCTCGGCAGCAACACCGGCCCAGGCTGCTTCTGAACCCCCGTGAGACAATGTTGCGTCGATGTGTGCACACACGTGCGCGTCCAGACGTGCGTGAGGCAACAGTGGGGCTCAGTGATGGTCGCGAAATTGGTGGTAGTGGTAAGGGTTGAAGTGGAGATGGAGGTCGGGTAGGGTTTGGTATTCCCGGTCGATGCTTGGGGGGAGGAGTGTTGATGGGAGGGTTGGGGTTGGTGGGGGCGTTGGCGGGACGAGAGCATGTTGATGCGGACAGGTAGCCGTCTTTGAGGGTGTTGTGGCCGTGAATGTTGCCTTCTGCGATGCGGCCCTGGGAGTATGGTACTGTCGAAGGTTTGAGTGGCTGGCTTGATAGTCGCCTTGTGCAAGTGCCGAAGACATGGAGGCCAAGGAGCGGAGCGTTTGCTGTCGCTGCGTTCCAGGAGTTGAATGGAGGATGAGGACCCAAGGCGTGATGGTGCGATTTTAGGAAGTGTGAGGACGTGACTGTCGGTTATATAGCCGGAGCTACGTTGCAAGTCACAGAGAGCCTTCGCAAATCGTGTAAAACTGTTCGACCAGCATGGTCGTTGGAGGCTATAGCTTCCCGAAGCGCTTGACGCTTGGAAGTCCTGTTTCTTGTGCTGGGGTAGGCATATCAACGTAGCATGAGATGCACGTTGCGCAGTGGATGGCAGCAAGCACAATGTATCTTGCCTTATTGGGCTGGCTATCTGCTGTGATTACACTCCCAAGCATCGCGGAACGTCACGGAAGCCAATCATGTCCGAGAGCAATTCAGGTTCAAGCTCACTGTTCTGACAACAACGCTCAGAGTAAAGAGACTGGTAATGGCCTGTCGATAGTAGCGAATCTTCGACTTGCCCATGCAAGTATGGCGACCTGCATCAGTTCAGGGTCTTAGCTGAACAATCAGTGCATTAACTGGCAAAGGAACGAGCAGGTTTTATGCACATGCCACCGGGACCCAGAGAAAGCTCCGCCAACGCAGAGACGACGCCGTAGTCTGGACCCTCCTGCGTGAAGACATGCTAGCAGATCGCATATCAAGATCGACCACATCTGATGTTGGATATTGGCCATCACCAGAGTCGACATTCCGACAGAGTGTTGTAAGGTTCGTGTCGATGCGCAGCTCGGCTGAGCCTTCCAGAAGCCTTCCATCCTGAGTGTTCAGGCGACGTCGCATTAGGCTCAGCTCTCTGAGCTGAGATGGCAAGCAGACGGCATTGGCCGCGGTGTGCCGATGTCTGTGCCCTCGGAGTTGGCCACTTACCGTGTTCAGGTCTCAACTCATCGCTTTTCCTGGCTTGACGTCTAAGACCTTTGGCAGGGACTGCGATGTCACATCTGTGCGATGTGAGGAAGATAAGAAGCACATGAAGCTATCATAGTCGCTGTGCATTACATCCCCGACTGGGAAATATTCCCATCTGGTCTCGTGACTCTTCGAGAAGACTGGTCGAGAGGTCTATGGCATCGATAAGTGTTGCGCCAGCATCGGAGTACTGCCGGACATTCAAGAGATGCCTGGTCGTTCCTCAGGCTGCATGCCATGCGAAGGTGTGTTTATAATTGGTAGCCAGCCAGCCGGTCGAGACTGACGGTTATCGGCGGAGTATTTGCCTGAAGTCTAGGCGGAACCCTGACCTCTACAAGGAATTGAGCCGTGTAGTTTTGCGACCGGGAAAATGCAACCGGTCGACAAACAGCGTTCAGCTTGGCTTGGATTTGCGACTGTCAGAAGCACTCAGCTGCTTCACCGCCACGATGGTCCTCCAGCAAAGAGCGACAATCGTATACGCGCAGCTACCGGGCATCAGTGAATTGGGAACAGATCGCGATCATGTTGACCAACATAACAACGCTCTCTTCCTGAGAAAGAAGGCATCGACGACGATTATTGACGTAGCTCGAGGGGCATCGCTCGGGGGTTGTATACCTAGCTCCACCGCTAATTTCTCGCAGTCGTAACTATGACACTCGAAACTCCCGGGGTGCGCTCCACCGATCTCCTCGTGCTCTCACTTTATGTGGAATCGCCTGAAATGTCTCGCAGGTAGTTCGCGTGCTCATCACCGAGCTTTGTCCTGCACTCATACTGTTGCATATCGACACCATAACTTGCTCGCCGTTGTAAGAGCGGGAAATGATTCCTTGAAATCATGCAGCTTCGAAAGTATATAGTGAGCTTGCAGTGATGTTGACCGACTGATTCGTTAAGTAGTCCTACGTGTATGCAGAGGCCAGTGACAGAGTGCCGAGTCAGTTGTGGCCTAGGGATAGCCGATGCGTGCGAGCCAGTCTAATCGGGTTGTCAAGTCCCTGGCGGCTTGAAAGCAAGCGCTGCTATTGGGTGCAGCTCGAGTCTTATCTCTCGGGCATCTTTTTAGGGTAGGGAAGCGCACATGTTCGCCGCCACCTATGCCCTCCATATGCTTTCCGTTCAACTCTTTCTCACCACTGCGTCGCTCCTCCTCGTTGATACCTCCCCTAACCTCTTTATCTTCTATCTAGCGACCTTATCCCACTCCTCTCTATCTACCTTTCCACCCCACGAGTCTCTCCTCTCCTCTCCATTTCATTAGCGGGAGGAAATTAGTAGGGCAGAGTACGCTGGGGGTCTCGAGCACGGACTAGAGCCCCACCGGATCGCCCCAAAATTGGAACACAGGCACGCGACAGTAGAAAAGAATGGCCACGATGGCCTCGAACTATCCGTCCCACGCATACACAATACCACAAGATAATCATCCGTCGAAATATGGCTATCCACAACAGCCATCGCCGGCAAACTCGACGTCGCCTGTCTCACCACGGATGAGTGAATATATGCCGCAAGCACCCAATCCGCGCAAGCAGTTGAGACCCTTGAAGAGTCCGTTATATGTGCCCGTTGCGCTGAGACCGACGGAGCATTTTGCAACACCGATAACACCTCCCAAGAGTCAACATGGGTCACTGGACAGCCTGCCTGAGGCTGAGGTTGATGCCACTTTGCGTGCGGCGCAGATGAAGCTGGACATGGAAGTGATGGAACACCAGTGGGCGAATGATGAGGAGCTGGGCGAAGTGACGGGACCACCAACACGCGACCACTGGAGACCAGACGAGGCATCATCGACATGCGACTCTGCTCAGTGCCGTGCAAATTTCAACCTGTTTGTCCGCAAACACCACTGCCGGCACTGTGGCCACATCTTTTGTTCGTCGCATATACCGCATACCATCCCACTGGATCAGGAGGCTAGGTTTCATCCGGACGGCGAAGACTCCAAGGCTTGCGATACTTGCTATCGCCAGTACCAACGTTGGGACACAGCAAGGTCATTGAGACGCAAGAACAGTGCCGAGGCTCAGGATGAGGACAGCCCACCGACACCCTTGGCTGGACCAGGGAGTCATCGACGCATGATCTCTGGCGGGAGTCGCGACCAGCGACCACAACAGCCTGTCAACTCTGTGCCCAGAGATTGGGCATGGAGCACCTTCTGAGGCAGCCACACTCTGTTGCGGTATGTCTATTCTTGGTAGTCTGGTCACGGTGACACAAGGCTCAGCTTCGAGATTGTGAGTCAGCTCGTGGCGGCCATGCCGGGGTGTCCGGCTATCAACGGGTGTAACAACCTCGATCCAGAACCATGGCTCTGGAATTCCTGGTACGTCGGAGAATGGCAAGTATCGCCTGAGATAGCTGCCGCTACAACTTTCTGATTCGTGCATGAAAATGTACGATCTGCACATTCTGCAGCCCGGCTGCTATCGACGGGATCGCTCGGAGAGGACGATCAAAATCGAAAGAATGCGATTCTGTTATTCGACGAGGGACGAACGAGGCGTCCGTATAAGGAGTTTGCAGTTGTTCAGGAGCAGAGAAGATGCTCAACAACGGCATAGCGGACCCGTGCTGGTCGGCATGTGCTAATGATTGATGCAAGGGCACGGCGTTCAGGTGATTTCACGATACCAGGTGGCGAGGAGAATCTGCTTTTGACGACTCGCTTGTATATCAGCTTAAGATTGATGGCCGAAGATTAGAGTAGATCTAGATTGTTGTTGAGATCCAAGCATACAGAGATGGATGGCTTTCTGCAATCAAGATTTGTGCTCCATTCGTTTCTGTAGCTGCTGATAGTGCTTCGAGTTGGTAAATGGGGCAGGTGCCGTGCTCGAGTCGAAGATCGTGACTGCTTATGTCAATCACAACCATGCAGGCACGTACCTACCAGGCGTTGATGCCTGCAGAGGAATCTACCTACCGATTTGCTGCCCATCAGGCTCCTCAAACTTCAAAGACTCGGCTGGAGGTGAGGAGGGCTTTTCCTTTGGCTTGAAGGCGACTTTGAGTAGCTCTCGCTTCTTGTCTTCTGACGAGGCCATAGCGGACGCTGTTGCAATCACTGAGCTTCTGCTCTAGTTATCACTTGCAGCACAAACTCCGCTGAATTCAAAGATGGCAATAGCAGAGCCACAACACTGTGGTGAAGATCAGCCACGTGCGTGATCAATGCTGTAAGTGACCCTCCCCCGCGCTTGGCGTCTATCCCGCCCCGGACAAAGCGAGCTCTCTCCCAATTCGTTTCAGAGACTCGTGCACAGATAACCAAGTCCGATATCGCAATCGCTGTTTCAGCCAGCGAACAGACCAAGCTGGAGGATCAACGTGCTTCACTCGACCTTGAGGCTTTACCAGCCGAAAGCAGCCCGACTGACAGTCGGAAGCGCAATGCCTCCATTGCGGGCCTCGATGACGACTCTTTGAACGTCGAGTCACCCGACAACGACCAGCTAGGTGACGATGCCTCGGGTAAGAAGAGGCCCATAAAGAGGGCTTGCAATGAGTGTAGACAGCAGAAAGTAAGTACTCAACAGCATGCTGGTTGCTACAGCTGCTACCGTGGGCCTCAGGTTCTGAGTCACTGCCTGCGAGGACCATGTTGCTGACCATGAAAACAGCTTCGGTGCGACGTGGTGCAGGAACCATTCAAAATATGTACGCGATGCCGACGACTACGGCTCGAGTGCAAGATCGAGGACAACTTCAAGCGGATCGGCAAACGCTCGCGCAATGCCGAAATGGAGAGGGAGATCGTGGAGCTGCGAAGGAGAGTAGCCGAGCAGGACAAGATACTACAAACCAATGGCGCACAACAAGTCAATGGCAACCTCTCGATACCCAACCATGCCTATGCAGCGGACGCAGCAGCAGGGTTGCTCGATCTCAGGAGCGGCCTTGACAAGAGTCCTGGCCGAGCTGGTGCGACATACAAGCGACTCGAGACTGTCGTGCTGACCGTTGACCGCGCTCGTGCCCTGCATCAGCGATTCTTCACCTTCTTCCACCCATTCTTACCATTCCTCAATCCGGATAGATCGCCCGAGGACTATTATACTCGCTCACCTCTGCTGTTCTGGACCATCATGCACTCGGAGCTCGACACTACAAGGCCGATGAAGAGCTCTTTCCTGCCTTGACCGGACCTTTGATGCGATTGGTCTGGGCAACCCTGGCAGAGGTGCCCCAGAACTACCACGTCGTCAAGGCGCTCATACTACTGTGCGCGTGGCCCATGCCGACGAGCAGTACATCCACAGATCCGACCTTCATGCTCTGCGGCCTCATGATGCAGACCGCGCTGCAGATTGGTCTGCATCGGCCGAGTCATTCCCAAGACTTCTCCAAGTTCCGCGTAGAATTGCGCGAGGTCGAGCTACAAGATCGCGTAGTGGTCTGGAGTGTGTGCAACATTGTCGCTCAGCGAATCTGTACTGCGTATGGCCAGCCTCCATTGACCATCTATGACTGGACTTTGGGTCCTAAGCCCATCGAGAACAACCCAAACTACGAGCTTCCGTCACCTGTGCTCAATAGACTACTGATTGAGAAGTTTGTTGACAAGGTCTCAAGATATCTGTACATGAACAGCAACGACCCGGTCGGGCTGGCGCCAGACAGCGATCGACATACCTACGTCTCTTTACTGACTGATCAGCTCACTCATCTGGAAGACGAGCTGCGCAAGGACAGCAGTCCCATCACCAGGATCTACCTTCGAGCAGCCGTCCTGCACATGCACCTCAGCGCCTTCTTCTCGCCGCCGAGCCTGCCATCATACCGGGCCGATCTGCTCAAGCTGTACAATGCAACGACGGAATTCCTGGATGCTTGCTTGAGCTTGGAGAACGAAAGCACCGTCAGCCTACCGTCCAGTTACACACATGGACTGTCTTTGACTTATGGGACCAACTACATCTTCCACATGATGCTTGCAGCAGGCTTTTCACTGCTCAAGCTGATGCACAACTTCCTCAGTGAGCATGAAATTGATACACAAGGGGCATCGACATTACTAAGGCGCACGATCTGGGCATTGCGAAGCATGAGCACAGTAGACAATGATTTGGCGGAGCGTTTGGCAGAGGTGTTGCATCAGGTATGGAAGAGCGGCCGGCTGAGGGCCGAACCCAGCAATAATATGGCGAGTCTCTGTCGACGACAGCCTGCAGCTGAGGGTCAAGTGTCGCATGTCTATGTCGTTGGTCTTTGACTCTGTCTGGAGGTGGCGCAAGAACTTCCACTTCCAAGGTGGCAGGCCATCAGAAGGTAAGTATTCAACTATGGAGAAGGGCTATCACGCTGACATGGTTGTAGTTCGCAAGACAGACCCAGTTCTGGCGGCTGAGACTCGACCAGCATCGCGCACAGGCATGATAGAGGACAAGAGAAATACTCCAGGCCTCAGTGCTCTCGACGGACCGACATTGACGGTGCCCGGCATGGCTGGTATGTCAACCGGAATGCTGGATGATTTCAGCATGGACTATGGCTCGGCAGCCAATTATGAAGTGTTTGATCCGCTGAATTGGATGCTTGATGGCATAGTCGACTTCCCATACAACTTCGCCGGCAGCAATGGATCAGATACTCTGTAGTACAGTAGTATCAACCAGCTCGCCGTCGTTGCCGTCAATTGTACTTGGGTACATCTTCCATTAAATAGATGATGATAACATGCATGAGTCTTGGCGAGCATGACGACGCCGACCAATGATTAGCCTCATTAGATTGGGCCAGGGCCGTCTTCCCGAGCCGAAAAAAGCTCCCAGTCCCAGAGTGCCATTGGCCACCACCAACCTCTTCCTCCCTTGCATCTTCTGCTCACTTCCGCTGCTGTCATGACCTCGACAATCTACGCATAACATCCTAATAGTTCTTCCGCATCAACGAATCTACGTATCGAGCCACCGCTGTCCTGTTGCGACGCAATTAATCCCCCCACCACCGAAAATTGACTCGTCATCTTGAATGCGACAGCCCCGTGTACCACCCCCCAGCAGAACAAAAACCGCAGCACCTCTAGACCACCAGTACCGCTTCTGCGCAGCCTTGCGACTACTCGAATACTCGCAAAGAACGAATCCCGATCGACAGCCGCTACAGCTGCGGCCACTCGACGATCAGGAAAAGCTTCCGAGTCGTGCGGACTACCTTCTGTCCTCGAGCCTCGCGGATTGAACCTGCCGGGACCGTCGAACAAATTCACACCCGTATCTACCATTTACCATGGCATGAGCCAAAGAGAAGCCTTGGTCATCAAATCTGGCCACGACAGTGACGCCAATGGCGAAGGCGGCCGAGTATACGATACACGGCCCCTTAGCACATGAATTGTTCGCCGCACATCATTACCACAAATCATTACCGATTCGAAGGGACTCGAAGCGAATACCTTCAGATCTCAGGGAGCAGTACCGAACTTCTGAAGATGTCTACGACCCATCTTTGATCGAGCAGCTGAAGAACTTGCCAAATGGACTTGGCGCGGCGCCGGTTCTGCCGCCCACACCGCCCACACCCACCGGCAATGGCGATCGACAGGATGAAGTGGTTCCCGACCAGGCTTCCGAGGCCACTGTTCCTTTCTTCTCGACGCCTGTGACGCCTATCAATCAGCACAGCCCTCCTACTCCAGACAACACTCCGCCGGCGGAGTTCAAGCGGCCCGTACCGAGACCGTTCCTCGGAACGCAACCATCACTAGCTTCAACTCAAGCAGAGTCTTTCAAGACCGCCAGAGAAGAGATGTTCTCGGACGACGACTCCGTGGATGCCGCTGGATCTGAACACCTCACTCCACGGGCTACTCGTTTTCCGGCTCGTAACCTCAACAGTATTTACCCGTCGATCGGGAGCAATGGGGTCGCCGCGTCACCCGGGCCAAGTCGATTGAGGCTTGCGGTACCGATGGAGGAGACCGAGACTGTCCACCAAGCAGTAATGAACGACGCTCCGCTTCCGGTGGTCGCAACGCCGGAGGCCGCAGCTCCTTCTGAAGAGCCTACAAGTACTGTCCGGCCCAAACGTGCATACTCACCCAGTCCTCCGAGAAGAGTCTTCACTGAGCCGGTACCTGGAAACTACGCCTCTCCAACAAAGGGGGAGAATCTCCGGCGTGGACCGAGCTTGCGGGATCGCCTTGAAGCGGTGGATCGCGACTCACCACGTGCGTCGACTGAAAAGTTCGCTAACATCATAGGCTGGAGTAGTGGGGTGTCGAATGAGAATATCGACAAGCGTGCTTCGGGCGCGTCGACGACGTCTACGATCGGTGCAATGGTCTTCGAGCCCATGCCATTGCCCAAGAAGCGAATGACGACGATCAGAAAGGTTGCCAAGCATGACTCTCTCAGGGCCGCGAGCTCACCACTTCCAGCATCTGGAGGGAGTCCTGGTGGCGATTCTTCTCATCGCCTCGTTCACAAGAAAGCTAAGCTGTGCAATGAGAACAGGAACAGCTATAGTTCAGAAGGACCTCGGTCGATCAGCATGTCACCAAGTTCTGCAGTCCACAAACCTGAGGTCATCAAGGTTGCGATCATTCCCGAAAGGAGCTCGTCATTGCAGTCGTCGGCACATAGCAGCAAGCGACACTCGTTGTCTGGCAGCTCCGGGAAGGATGTGAAGAGGCACCAAATGAATGGCAAACCGCCTTCTTCTTGGCAACGCAAACGTACGCTTTCCGAGTCGCAATCCGATCGAGGCAGAGAGCAACAGCCGAAACTGATCGTGCCCCCAAGAAGTTCGTCGCTTTCGGCACCCACTTCTCGGACCACATCTCGAGCCAATTCCATCACTTCGGACCACTTCAGGAAACAGCGCAAAGAGGCGGAGAGTGATTTGCGGCGGACATTAGATCGCATGGAATCCGATCGACTGATTTCGTCCCTGCGAACTCAGTACAAAGAAGCACAGCCAGACGAGACGCCTTCGAAACCGCCTCGCCAATCCACTGACTCGCAGAACACGAAGGGACTTCTGGCTACTCCAGGTACCAATGAATGGGCAGCTCTGCGACCGCCATCTGTCCTGCAAACGCCGTTCTCACAGCCTTCATTCATGTCTGCGTCCCCAGAGCTTAGAGATGCGACTGCAGTAAGCCTGTATCCACACAACAATCACTCTTTGCAGTTGATCGAGCCGAACGTCGCAAATGAATCCCGAGCTGTAAAGGAGGTCCGGGGACACGCTTACCTCAAAGATGATGCGTCTTCGACTCAGAGCCCGCTGAGACATCCTCGAGTTGCACCGGATCCGCCCGCTTTCAACGTCATTGCACCAACACCTACTCGTGACTCTGGTGTTGACTTCCAGCCATCTCAGCCAGCCAAACGCCCAAGTCAGCGCAAGCAGGAAAGCTTTATGTCTGCCTTGACTCGAGGTTTCAGCCTGCGTGACGCGAAAAATCGCAAACGAGGTCAGTCCAACAACGGTGATCTGTCGCCTTTCTGGCGACCACAAGGCTTTTGGGAAGAGTTTGAAGAACCCCATCCAAAGCCAGGCGAGGAGCGAGACATGCAAGTCCACAACTCTCTGGGCATGCCACAGGAGAGAACCGTCGTTACTAGACCAGTGTCTCTCGTCAGACGGATTTCGCAGCGTCGGAAAGAGAATCAAGCGAGAGCACTAGCCAGTCAGCGGAGCAGCTCTAGTCTGGCAAAGCTCCGAGCCAGCCATAAATTGTACAAACACTCCATCTTGGGTCTGCACCTGCCCTTCCCACGCTTTGGCGATATGCGAGATCGAATGATGTTTGCGAGGCAGCGCAAGGAGTATGAAAGGCGAGAACGGATCAGGCAGGATATCAGGGGCAAGATCGGGAAGGAGGTGGTTCCGCAGGGTGATAGCCGGTTCTTGAAGAGTCCAGAAAGTCTGCAGCAAATGAGAGGGAAGGGGTCGGAAGACACCAAGCGGTCATCAGGCAGCACGGCACGGAGAAGTTTGAGGTGGCAGGAGTACTCAAGTGGAGTGGCCTGAGCAACATGAAGAGTAAGAGCGGCACACAAGCAACTGTAGCAGCGCACAGCACAGCACACAGCACGACAACACCAACACCAAAGTACCTCAAAGAGAACGACCCAGCCACGAGATTTACGACATCGCGCACGATATACGACAGGAATGAGCTTTTGCTTTCTGCGTTGCTTTCTTTGCATTCAACGAAGAGAGCATTGAGATTGGGACATGGGTGGATTTCTTGGGTTATGAGAACGATGATCACGAACTCTCGAAGAGATACCTCTTGCTTTACTGCAGTTTGCTCTTGGTTATAGTCTGGGTTTGCATGTACCACCAACGGGCGGAAATAACGAAGAGAATGGATGGATGAGCACGTGTCGAAGGCAGTGGCATTAGTTTATGCGTTGCGAGAAATGAGAGGCGCTCTTTCCGTCGTAGATTCAGAATGTGAAGCCACGAATGTGTTCGCGTAGTTGCTCTCATGCAATACCCATGCCTGCCCTCGTCTCTTTTTCAACAATTGAGGCAATTGCCCATGGTGCCCTCTCTAACTCTTCGGCTTGCTGCAAGCCATTGCCGGGATTGACAGATCTTCCAGTCAAGATCTCAATACACGTGGCATTTACCTCGGGCGCGCACGTGGTCGAGATATTCATTGATATGGATCCTTTGTCCGCTCTTCAGCGACTGGTCACCGTTATTCCGCAATTGCAGGGGTCAACCTCGCCGTCTAGCCGGCTACGTCAGAGTCAGCGATAGTCAAAGGACTCCATACGTGTTTTCCAAGTTCGAATCATGTTGAGCGACAACCGAAAGATCAGCATATGACGGAGGAAAACGTTGTTGAACTTTCTTTGTTGTGCTACATTGCCTGGTTGCACGCGCTGGTGTCACTGTCTCAGGCAAGCACTTCAGTTGTTGTATAACCTGGACGTGCCACTTCACTGTTTTCCAATAGTAAATCCCAACATTCACAACCGACCAACTCGACAGCTGACAAACCCAATATTTATATACTGTTGCACCAGTGCCTTTGACTAGACATATTTGACACCCTCCATTGAACATTGCCGCTCTGCAGTGTCACTTTATTAACTCATAGCATCGAGCACCAAACACCTCGTTGATTCCCTTTGCCACGGCAAGGCCGACAGACGCTACAGACACCTCTCAACCCTCCAGCTACGACTTCACCGAAGCACGCCAACTTCGGACCCAACCCGCCACCATGGGAGTCGACGACCCCTCCTCTGGCTCCTGCAGCTGGAACGTCAATCTTGCCAGCATCCGCCACGACATGATCTCCATGGCCAAGCAAGCCTCCGAGATGATCGCCGCTGCCACTGCAGCGTCTCTGAAATCCTCCTCGACCACAAACGGCACCGCCCCAGTAAACACCAAGAAGAATACCGCCGACCTCGTTACCGAAACAGATCAGGCAGTGGAACGCCTCATTTCCTCTCGCTTATGTACCAAATACCCAACCTTCAAATTCCTCGGCGAGGAGACCTACACGCCCGGCCAACGCCTCGGTCCCGAACCGACTTTCGTCGTGGACCCGATCGACGGCACTACGAACTTCGTGCATAATCATCCTTACGTCTCGGTCAGCATTGGATTCGCAGTGAACAAAGAGCCGTTGGTGGGAGTGGTGCTAGATGTAGCGAGGCAGAGGATGTATGTTGGGACTAAAGGGGAAGGGTCTGTGGTGGTGGATATCGCTACTGGGACCGAGCGCAGCTTGCCGCTACGACAGTCGTCCGAGCCGCTGAAGGGCTTGGATTCGTGTCTCGTGGCGATCGAGTGGGGTAGTGATCGCGAGGGCAACAATTGGAAAGTCAAGAACGACACGTGGCGATTACTTGGTGCGAGCAAGTCTGAGGGTGGCGCAATGGTCCACTCTGCACGAGCGCTAGGATCAGCGGCGCTGAATATATGTGGTGTGGCGGAGGGCACACTGGATCTGTACTGGGAGGGCGGGTGTTGGGCGTGGGATGTTTGTGCTGGATGGGTGATCCTCAAGGAGGCCGGCGGCGTTATTGTGGATGGGAATCCGGGACAATGGGAGATCCCTGTGGATCATAGGAAATATCTGGCCGTGAGAGGATCAGCGGGAGGGCTGGAGGAGCAGAAGCAGCTTGTGCAGGAGTTCTGGAGCTTTGTGCAGGGGGACATGGAGTACGAATCGTGAGCCACCTGTAAAGAGATGGGTCGAACAGACAGTCCTTCTCGAGCTGTGAGTCTACAGTCGACGATCTCTCTGATGCATGACGAGCAGTAATGCGTTCTTGGCGTTTTTACAAGGCGCAAGTTGACGTGCTTATCAACTATAGAGCTGCTAATCCATAAGGATCTTGGTCAAGTCTTTAATAACTGAAGTGAGGGACGAACAGGCAGCACCCAACGCCAAACCATGCCACGACAGTGAATGCCTCCCGGCCAAATCAGTGAAGCGAGTGGTCTCGGTTTGCCTCGGGTCTCCTCTCCATCGAACAGGTATAAGTACGTGCCATGTCCTTTCTGCGAACCTCGTCTCTCCGCTCATAGCACGGCGTATGGATCAGACATTCGGGCATGCCATGCCGAGCCAACACATGTTGCTATCGGTTGGGGCGAGCATAATGTACATTAAGTCCTAAAGGCGATACGATCCGAGTCGACCACAACGAGATATGACTTGCTTGTGTCACTGCCGTCTGCAACCAGCTTCATTCGACTGACCACGCATCGTCAGCAGAGACGTACTGCAAGGGAATCCAATACTGGTGAGGGAAAAGCGATTGAGTTGACTCGTCAACCGGTTCCTTCAGAGGCCGATCGAAGCCGGTTGACCAGACTCGCACTTGCTTCAGTATCTTCAGTCAGGCAACGCAGCAGTCACAACCGGGCCGTACTTGCCAGTGTGCTTCATGCTCTACGGAAGGAAGGTGATGCATGATGGGTCGTGCCTTCTCAAGGACGTATGGAAGGCGCGCCATCCTGGATCGCGCTTTCCCAAGGATCATTTAGAGAAATCCAGTCATCCGGTCTCCTCAAGTCGCAGACGAAGCCGGTAGACGGCGAGTCGCGCTTTTCCCCATCGTTTGCTGTCAAGCAGAGCAAGCTGCTGCGATCGTGACATGAACGTTACTCAACAATGGCTGGAAGGAAGAGCTGCACGCTCAACGCCGTGCTCTTCAGGGTCGACGAGATATCGTGACCAGCGAGGAGGTCTTTGGACACAGCTTAAGTGAATACATCAGACAGCAACTCACTCTGAGTCATCTCATCCGCAAGCCAGTGAATGCTTCCTGACAGAGTCAGTGAAGCGGTCCGGTCGGATTGCCTCGGACTGCCGATCTGCCGAAACGATATAAGTAGCAGTCTTGCCATCGACCTGTGTCCGCTTCTCTTCCCTTAACCCAACCTCTCTTCCTGGTCGACCGTTGTCATGCTTTGGTCGTGTCTGCTGCTACCTGGTGGGACGAGTCGGTCCGGGGGAATGTTTGTCATCACTCGCAGCTTGGATTGAAGGAGAGGGAAGAAGGTTGCCACTGAGCTGGAGGTGGGCAATGTGGTGTGTGCCGGCGTGGTGAACACGATCATGCGAATCAAGCTGTTGCCGGAGACTTGCTGCTGGCTAGCACGACACCTCCGACTTAGTTTGAGAGTGAGAGATCTGGACAGACGCCTACAGCTCCGCAGGGATGGTTCGAACTCCATTGACAAACTACCTCGAGCTCTATTCTCGCTCCCTCGCTCGCTCATGTATGCTTGCTAAAGACAGAAAAACGCCTCGGGCGAGAGCCATGCTTTCGAAAATGCAGCACGTATGTATGCTATCGCTTTCAAGATCACTCTCTTTTGCTCCCCTTCACCTTCCCTAGCCGTGCGCTTTGTCCGAAATCCCAGTAGTCTCCCATATCCCAGGTCAAGGTTCCCATATCCACCACTCCTTGCAGCGACTGGCCAACCAGCCGGATCCCCGTTGTTCCCATCACTCATTATAGAACTTCCGCATAATCAAATGCAAGAATAAGTTAACATTGACCCTCAACCCACCACCCTCAAAGAACTCCAAGAACTGCGTGTTGTTGAACTGCGCCTGTAGCAGCTCATCCAAAGTCACCTGCGCGTTGGCACCAGGGATCATCATATTGCCACTGCTGCCGTCGATCGTGAAGACACCGACCGCATTCGAGGAAAAGGTCAAGTCCACACGATCCCACTGCCGCTCTTGATACCCTTTCCAATGCACCAAGACGCCTTTATCAGCAAGATTGCGGGCCGAGTACTTGTATGACCCGAACTTGAACGATCGGCCAGAGCGTTGGAGTTCGCGCTCGTGGTCCCATTGTTTCGTAAAGGGAAGCACGAAACGCTTGCGGCCTCGCTTGTCTTTTTGGAGGGTGACCATGGCTTGCTCGATGTAGTCATTGTATGTCTTCAGTTGCTGCTCGAGGTAGACGGCTTGTTCGTTCAGGCGTGCTAGTGTGGTCTTGACGTTCTCGAGCTCGCGTTGACGTTGCAGGCGGCGACGATGCTTGGTGCGGATGTCCACGGCGATGTCGTTTAGGAGGTCTTGGTAGTTGTTGTACTGTGAGAGACGACCGATGCGTTGAAGCTGGAGGACATTCTCAAGAGCGATTTGTTTGAGGTCAGGGTACGAGAGGGCGCTGATGTCGAGGATGTTGTTCGCATCGGCATAGGCGCCACGACGGCCATTAGAGAGAAGCTCCTCGTTGACAAGAGTCTCCCACTTCTCCTCGTCCTCGGGCGTTATTGGCTTGACCAGGATCTCAAGAAGGCTAGGTCCAGACTGGATCCGAATGATGTGAAGAACACAGCGTTTGGTCTCCGTCCACAGAGCTTTGATCTCCGCGTCAGGATCTTCTGCATTATGCATCTTCGGGGTCAATGTCAGGCTGATCTCTCCCGAGCTGACACTTCTGCCAAGCTCATTTTCGGCGCTCTGGACACTACCCAGCTCGCGAAGGATGTCGCGCAGAATGTCGTCCTGATTCGGGCTGACAGCGCTGATCTCGGAAGTAAGGAGTTGATGTATCGAAAAGATGTCGGACATTTTGATGTACAGTGTTGGTTTTGTTTTGGCGTACAGATCGTTGAATTCGTCGATGTCGTAATGTTCTTCCGCCGGCGGTATCGATGTTACTGCAATGATTAGATCTCAATGAGCGAAGAAAGGGCAATCAGACTCACCATGGTTCCAAATGTCTCCAAACCGCTGAATAGCCTCGCCGACGTAGTTGTTCAGCGGCTGGAGATAGACATTCTCGCCTCCAAACTCCCGACCAGCAACAGCTTGGCTCAGAACTTTGCACACCTCGCCCAAATTCCTCTTCTGTTCTTGCGTGACCGCACGATCAGCAACACCGAACTTCTCCGGCTCGAGAAGAGCAGGCTGCAGGTAGTTCTTCCATAGCCACTGCCCGACCAACTGAAGGACGAAGCCGGCATCTTCCCCTGGAAAGCGCGTAGTAAGATGAGATTGCATCTGTTGGGCGACATACCGCACGCCGAACGGCATTCGGTGAATCGACTCCTCCAGGCACAGCAGGAACTGGTCAGTTATGTCTCGCAGTACTTGCATATGCTGGATAAAGGTCTCTCTGGTCTCACGATCTCGGATGGCCTCTTCGCGTGGGACGTTGGGGTTTCTTGAGCTTCGTCGGCCCGTACGTAGTTCCTCATTGTTAATGGCGGAACGGTAGATCTGAAGAGGGTCGCTTTCGAGATCCAAGTGAGGATTGTCCAAGAAGTTCTCCTTCACAAGGCCGCCCATGATATCTCGTAGGAATTTCCGATCTCGAGGTGACTTGACATATGCAGCGAAAAGCTTGGTACCAAAAGCATGCAACCGAATGTAGTCCTGCAACGACATCGCCGAATCGACCTCTTCTTTGACTGATCGCGAAATGAGCTTCGTCAGATAGTACTCTTCTCGTCGTTTCTGAGCATATCCAAATAATCCCATAACGACATGCTTGATTTTCTCGCTTTCCTTCTCCGCAATGTTCTGTTCACGGACTCGGCGGAAAAGCCTTGCCAGATACTGTGGCTGTGTCTGGAGCAGGAAGAACAAATCTTGGTAATGCTCCAGCTTCCGCCTTGATGTCTTGTTGAGAGCTTTGAGGTCGGAAGGATCCTTCGATGATATGTCGGAGTTTGGCAGCAGTGAGCCAACATGGCCTCCAAAATGTCGCTGGTGCTTGACAACTTCATCCAAGGTAATTTTGTTCTTCACCAGAAGAGCAATCTTGATGTCGAGCTGTTGAATGTACTGGTCCGCATGCTCATTCTGACGGACATGCTGAACGACCAGCTTCCTCAATCTCTCGAACTCAATCTCTTCCTCGAAGTCGAAGTCGCTGTCATTGAGCAAATGAACGAAGCCTTTCAGCGTGTTGACTGGAGGATTCTTGCCAGATGTCAAGCTCTTATAAGCCTGACCCTGAATCTTGGCCCGCATTACGCTTTGGATTTTGACGACTTTCTCCATGTTCTCCTTGAAATACTTCTTCTTTTCTGCGAATCTTTTGCGTACCAGACCTCCGAGTATCAGTGCCTGCAGATCTGTCACTGCATCATCGTGCTCATCAAGCTCGGATAGCAGTGCGCCAACACGCGATCGTTCCAGCAAGCCCCTCGAAAGAGACTGCAGCGCGACAACCTCTTCGGTATGTGACTCGAGCTCTGCTAATTGAAAAGCGACTCTCTCTCGAAGAATGGAAGCTCTAGACGCTGCTTGTAGTTTGCTTATTGACGCTGTGTGCCGTTCGAGAGCTTGTCGCTGACGTTGTATACGATGCCTGAGCATGAATCCTCGCAGCTTCGATTGCAGTGGCGCTGTAGATGCAGACTGTCGAAGCAGAGACAGCCGTAGCAGGTTGTGATCTTCGCGGGCATTTGCACCTCGGATTCCAGCTTGGATAGTCGTGATCGTTTCTTTGTGAGCTGAGAGATCTTTCTTGAGCGATTTGATATCCTGGCGAACGTTCCTCGCTCGAATGACTGATTGTAGGGTTGTCCATTGGCGAGTAAATCGCTCGAGAGACTGCTGTTGCAAAGCCAAAGTATCACGCGAGACCTGTGCACGCATGATGGCTTGAAGCCGACAGATCCGAGCTTCGTGGGACTGAAGTCTTTCCTGGTCGTCATTCAGCTGCTGACGGAGAATCATGCCTCGCATGGCCGCCTGGAGTTTGAGGACTTTGGCACCAGATTCTCGAACTGCGTCGTATTGATCGCAAGCGTCTTTCCGGGCTAGTGCGCCACGAACAGCCGCTTGAAAGGCCTTGATGCCCTCAACTTCTTTGCGGGCAAGAGTTTTGATCTGCTTGGTCTCGACGCGAGCTTTTCGACCACGGATCAAATTCTGCAGCTTGACAATGTCCTTCTCACGAGCTTTCCACATCCTCTCCTTGCGCTCTTGATTCGATCTGGCGAGGAAGCCGCGTGTGCTGGCCTGCAGATTCGTGGCGAAGCGCTGCATCTGCAGCCTGTAGTCAATCACCTGGCGAGCCCAACCACCACGAATGCGAGATTGAAGATCGATCAGGAGCTGCTCGTCGTCCCAGAGGTTCTGCATGGTATCTCCTAACCTCAGCCTGACCAGTGCCCCACGAATCTGGCTCTGAATATCCGCTATCGTGCCTTCCTGCTCGTGAAGCTCTCTTGCGATGCGGTCTTCTTCGGATTCTACTGGTTCTGGCTCTGGCTCTGCTCCGAAGCTGGCTCCCATACCGGCGAAGCTGGGCATGCTGACACCAGCTTTGTCGAGTCCGCGCTGAGTCTGCTCCAACTCATGGTGGTCGAATTCGAGTTGGCCAACCAGGTTGCCTATTCTGAAGTCGACCATACCCTTCCTGAACAATAGCCATGACAGTGCATGTATGCAGTAGATGACCTTGGGTATGTTCTTCTTTTCGTAAAGATCGATAAGCTCGAATCGAAAGAGGTCTGGCAGGCCGATCTCCTCGCAAAAGCGAAAGAACAGGACGATATTGTCAGTGAGCTTAAACTTGAGCTTAGGATCTCTGACAATCTTGAGCTGCTGGTCGGGATAAAAGATTTGCACTATCTCGGCAAGAGTGACGCCGTTGCGAAGGGCTTCTTCCAGCTCGACGATAGGAGGGATCGGCTTCCCGATGATGTCTTCGATCCATTCTTTTGCTTCGCCAATATGGCAGAGATACTCATAGGCTGCCAGGAACTGTCGTTGTTTGTCCATCCAATTGCGCTCAAAGCCATAGCCTCGGGGCTTTTGCCTCTGGCCAGGCGCGGAATCAACGCGCTTCAGTTGTCGTCGATTCGTCAGACCTACGACTGATGAGTTGACCTGGGTGATTCCGAAGTCTTCGGGTGCGGCGTCATGGGTGAACTTCGAGAGTGCTCTCAACTGGCTTGTGGAAGATTTCTGCAACTCTTCGAAGTCTGGAGCTTTGAAAGTCGTGTGGATAGGACTTGATGCGGCATTTTGTACTTTCGGTCGTGGCGTATATGGTGATGATGACACGGGCTGTACGGGCTGCCGCGCAGGCTCGACGAAAGGATCATCTGAATAGTTCTGTGAAACACGGTCGATAGCCTTGGCTCGATCGTGGTATGAGCTCTTCCGCTTGCCCTGTGTGGGTGTGGCGGCGGTATTGGGAGCTTGTGGAAGTGGGCGCAGCGATTTCCGTGCGCTGCGGTAGTACTGATCAGGGCTATTTTCGATGCTGCTGTTGCCAGCATAATCTTGGACTGGCGACATAACTGCCTCACTTCTTCCTCTCTTGTGGCGAATGCTGTTCGTCGAATAAGCGCTCGACGTTGTGGATGTGACGGTACTCATGCGACTCGGGCCAAACATGCTCGAAGCGGCGGAGAAAGAAGATGCTGTAGATGTAGTGGACGACTGTCGATATGGCAGTTGCGATGGAGCATCGTCGGTTTGAGCTCTACGCAAAGCGTAATGCGACATCACGAAGGGTCAAGTGATGATGCCGACTGCAGCTCAAGACGTCTTTCGTGGAGATCCGCAGGCTCTAGGCGTTGCATAGTCGGTCGTGCAAGACTAAGTTGACATATGGTCGGGATTGTGGTCGCAGAGAGACTGTGCAGGCTATGCTCTCGATGGTAATGCTAAAGTCAGACAACAATTGCAATTTTTCTTCAAGGAAGGCTTTGACAAAACATCTGTTCAAGACTGTCGCATGCGAGACACAGAGATTTGCAGAGTCATCAAGCGAGGACCGTAGTGCACGGATCATGTCAAGAGACTAGATCGGTGGTGAGAATGTCATTGTTTATTTGCTTCTACTTGTGGCAGGTTAGCCGACGCTCCACACGCGCGGGGCAATAGTCTTTTCGGAGCCAAGTTTTGCCAGCTCCGGCCCGAAATTCGAGGCCTCGCGTGCTGAAAAGACAAAAAAGAATCTGCGCACACCGCGCTCTCTTCTTTCCTTTCTCTTGGGAAAAGACCACTTGGACCCCAGCATTCACGTTTCTTCGCGTCTGCTGTCATCATCTATCGACACTTCCCCAGATAACTCATTTCTGAGCAATTCTGAGCCACAATGCCTATCCTCAACGGCGATGCCATGACTGGCGGTGTCCCGCTCCTCGCCAACAAAGAAATTTTGCCTTATGAGAAGGCTCTCGAATATTTGAACGAGTATGACTCCCGTGATGGTCTCTCGATCGACCAACTCTTGGACTCGAACAAAAATGGCGCTCTCACATACAATGACTTCCTCGTTCTGCCAGGATACATCGGTAATGCTTCTCGATGCCCTCACCGATGAGACGCGTCTAACAAGTACCAGGCTTCGCAGCCGCTGAAGTCAGTCTCGACTCGCCCGTCACTAAGCGGATTTCGCTGAAGACACCGCTCCTTTCATCACCTATGGACACGGTCACAGAGGACAACATGGCCATCCACCTGGCTCTCCTCGGTGGCCTCGGTGTTATCCACCACAATTGTTCTGCCGATGATCAAGCAGACATGGTCCGGAAGGTCAAGAGATACGAGAATGGCTTCATCACAGATCCCATCTGCTTGTCGCCAGAGACTACCGTCGCTGAAGCCATCGCTCTCAAAGAGAAATGGGGCTTCGGTGGCTTTCCTGTTACCGGTATGCTCTTCCGTTTCATATCATGTATTTGCTTCCAATGATGTTCAAACACATTTACCCTTTTATAACTTTCGTTCAGCCGCAGCATGAACTTGCAATGGGGAAATTCATGGAGATTTCTGTCTGAGGAAACACCATACATCAAAATACTTGTATCGAATGTGATTGACATGTACTGACTTGTATGGAATAGAGAATGGCAAACAGAACTCAAAGCTCATTGGCATCATCACAAACCGCGATATTCAGTTCCACCACCACGACAATGATCCCGTTACAGCGGTCATGTCGACTGATTTGGTCACCGCTCCAGCTGGCACCACCCTCTTGGAGGCCAACGAGGTCTTGCGCCAGTCCAAGAAAGGCAAATTGCCCATCGTAGATTCGAATGGCAACCTCGTGTCCTTACTGTCACGCACCGATTTGACCAAGAATCACAACTATCCACTGGCATCGAAGCTGCCACACTCCAAGCAGCTCATTTCTGCCGCCGCTATTGGCACGCGCCCTGACGACAAGAACCGACTGCAGAAGCTGGTCGATGCAGGCCTCGACATCGTCGTCCTGGACAGCTCCCAAGGTAACAGCTTGTACCAAATCGAGATGGTCAAGTACATCAAGGACAAATACCCAGGCCTGGATGTCATTGCCGGAAACGTCGTCACCAGAGAGCAAGCCGCTTCTCTGATCGCTGCTGGAGCTGATGGTCTACGCATCGGCATGGGTAGCGGCAGCGCCTGCATTACTCAGGAAGTCATGGCTGTCGGTCGTCCACAGGCCACCGCTGTGCGTGCCGTCTCGTCTTTCGCAGCACGATTCGGCGTCCCCTGCATTGCTGATGGTGGTATCCAGAACGTTGGTCACATCGTCAAGGGCCTAGCAATGGGCGCCTCCACCGTTATGATGGGAGGTCTTCTCGCCGGCACAACCGAATCTCCTGGTCTTTCATTCGTCCGTGACGGTAAACTTGTCAAGGCGTACCGTGGAATGGGCAGCATTGACGCTATGGAAGACAAGAAAGCTGGCGCTGGCTCCACAGGAAACGCAAAGGCCAGCAATGCTGGCACAGCTCGATACTTCTCTGAGGGCGATCGCCTGCTAGTCGCGCAGGGCGTCTCTGGATCCGTCCTGGACCGTGGTTCAGTCACCAAGTTCGTTCCATACCTGATTGCTGGCGTACAGCACTCACTGCAGGACATCGGCATCAAGAGTCTTGTCGAGCTTCGATCCGGCGTCAACGAGGGCTCTGTCAGATTCGAGCTCCGCACTGTGAGCGCTCAGGCCGAGGGCAATGTCCACGGTCTGCACAGCTATGACAAGAAGCTGTATTCTTAATCTCTTTCCCACAAAGCATTCTTAGCATGGAGAACGGAGCGAGATTTCAGCACGATCTAATGATTTGGGGAGAGGAAAGATGATGATACCTGGCGTTCTTGGGTCAGTCGAGACGGGACTTGTACTCTCCTTGTATATACCGCAGGCCATCTAGTACAGCATAGCCAGTCGGTCTTTCCAGAAAAATAAATTTCGTTGGCTCACGCCCTTACAACCAATTACACTGCGCGTGATCTTCGTCTTCTACAGCATCGCAGGTCGCGGTTGCTCTTCTTCGTGACTCCTTGCAGCTGATCGACCCGGATGGAGTCCACCCAATCATTATGTTACATTGAACGAGAAGGTCAACTTGAACCACCATCGTCAAGAAAGTTTCTCCACAATCGTGCGAGCCGAGGCATCTCATTGCTTGAAGACTGACGTCTCTGGACCGAACTTCTGATTCTCGGTTGCAGAACGACTCTGCTGGAAGCGCTGGCCTCGTCCTCGGCATGAGTGTTGTGAGGACGCAGCTGGGAACATCTATACCTCGTCGATCCATAGACGCAACGACGTCTGTACGATCATTCTACAACGCCGTAAACCAGACTGCAAGGCTGGCGCTGTCGAGCAGACCTTCATATCGACCAACGTTGCGCTCTGCGCGATACAACATCAGGACTACAGCCTCAACCTCACAACCCAGCATGGCGCCCTCGAAACCTAGCGGCGCTCCCAAGCCGAAATTCGAAGTTCGCGAATACACCACGAAGAAGGACGCAGTCCCACCCTCCCCCTCTGCCTCCATAATCCTCGTCTCCCCGTCCAACCAAATCCTCCTCCTCCACCGCGTCAAATCCTCCTCCGCCTTCCCCTCCGCCCACGTCTTCCCCGGCGGCAACCTCGACCCGCAAGACGGCACACTCCCATCAGACCCCACCGACCCCGAACGACACAAAGACTCCCTCGCATACCGAACAGGCGCGATCCGAGAACTGTTCGAGAGACCGGCATCCTACTAGCGAAGGAAAGCGCCAGCGCCACGAGTCTACTCCCCCTCAGCCCAGAAGTGCGACTCGAAGGCCGCAAAGCGGTGCATTCAGGAAAGATCAGCTTCAAAGACTGGCTCGCCCAGCAGTCAAAAGATGCGGTGCTGCACACCGATGGGCTGACGCCGTTCACGCACTGGGTCACGCCACCGTGAGTTGCCTCATACTCGTTCTCGATTTCTCTCATTCGACCGACTTGACCCGTCCCACTAACGTCTCCTTCCCCTTTCACTCGACTGACAGTGTCCACAGCAATGTCCCAAAACGCTTCACAACCCAAATGTACATCTACTTCGTGCACCTGAAAGAAACCAACAACCCCAGCATCCACGCCTCCGCCGACAAGATCGAGACCATGGCGCCCGAATACCGGCCCGCGCACGCCTGGCTGTCCGCAGCACAATCCGGCGAGGTCATCCTCTTCCCGCCCCAATTTTTACTATTACACCTCGCTTCCGGCTTCCTCGACGCAAGGAACCCAGATACCGAGGCAGGTGCGCCAGTATACGGAGCTAAAGGAACAAGCGGGGACGACGCAGGAGTAGACGCAGCGGAAATCGTCCGCCGTCGAAGAGAGCTCTATCAGTTCATCACCACAGACGGCTCGCCGCCCTGGAGCGACAAGTATATCTCGCCGATAGGCAAAGGCACGGCCAAGGACGGGAGGAGTTGGTTGGCGTTGGATAAGCCGGGGCCGGAGTTGAAGGATAGTGGGTTGAAGGGGGATGAGAGTAGGGTTGTCATGGTCAAGTTTGCGAAGGAGGGGCCAAGGCAGTTGGATGTGAGGTGGGCGAGTGAGGTGAAGGAGATGGTGAGGGAGGGGAAGTTGTGAGGGTTGTTGTTGGTTTGGGGGGGAAGTGTCGGAGGGTGGTGGTGGGCGTTTGAGGGTGGCTATACCAGAACATCGGGTCAAAGGGTAGGCCTAGATCAATGCCCCATCTAGATTCCATGATCGAACTCAAGCGAATCTTGGTCCTGGCCTGACAACACTGACTGGCCCTCGTGTGACGCAGACACGTCCGTCTGCAATTGAACCCTCGAAGAAGCTCGTCCCACCACGCAGCAGCAGGCGCTAGCATGGCATGGCAATCAGTCGGTGAACGACTTGCCGCAGTGTCGAAAGAGAGAAGGGTAACGTCCAGGACAAGGCGCCTACTTATACCTCTTGAGCAAAAAAACAATCCGAGGCAGACCGAAACGATCACCTCACTGTCTTGGCCGGATCGCATTCACTGTTCCTTGCGTGGATCTGAGCCGATTGCCATCGGATGAAGTCACGGGAATATGCCTTGAGTGACTGACTTTACACAAAGGCCCTGGCATGGTTTAATACAGAGGAAGTACTGGCTGTGTGTGCATAGTATCACTCTGGCATGGATATCGAACGAAAGAAGGAGGTCAGATACACACATCAACATGCATCTAGAGAGACCGGAAGGTGTTTTGGTTCCAGGACTGACTGTGCGTGCCCTGTGAACTTGTCCGAGATTTGTGAGAAGTCATCCATCTACTATCGCCCCACCAGATAGCAACAGATGCTATCATAGCATGACAAGTGAAACTCGGTCTTGCAGTCTTGCGACAGGTCGCATGAGAAGAAGAAGTAGCTGAGGGTGAGACAGATACTTATACCTCTTCAACAGAGTGGAGATCCGAAGCAACCCGGAACGATGACTTCACTGACGTAAGAAAGGCTTCACCGCCGTTCGAGGCATGATTTAAGATCGGGTGTATTCAATAGCAGGTGCCATCACGCAGCCCGGGATCTAGACCAGTCCGGATGACAAGGATACATCTGGTGTTGCGCATGAGCTACTCGTGCTGTTTTTATTCCTCCTTTCACTTCGGGTAGTCGAACTGATCAGCCTGAGAAGGAAAAAACCTTGCAAGAGGATTGGCAAAGCGAGAGCAGATCGAAGCACTTAGAAACTCGTATAAAGCAGGACACACTCGTCCTCTCAATCGTAATTATTCATTCTCACATCACGAAAAAGGTGTGAAGGATCTGAAAGATGTGACCTACAAGAAAAGGCCGCTCTCGTCCCCTTTTATTCTCCTTCTCGTCACGACTTGCCCGACTCCCTCGAATCCGAGCCACTCCTCGGCTGACTGACATCCCTCGAGCTGATGGAGAATGTGCTTTGCACAGGCGGGTGCTTCTCGCCGCTGGGCTTCGAAACATGCTGCTGTGCCGCCTCCGACACTGCCGTTTTTGGTGCGCTCTGACTGAACTCCTGCTGTGCTGGTGTGGGTGTAGCTGACGATGGCTCGTTTCGTGAAATGGGACTGAGCATCTCTGCCCCGTCTGCATCGAGACCGACTGCGCTGAGGCCGTTCAGTCCGCCCTCGATGTCCCGGACAAGTCGCACGAATTCTTCGGGTACGAGCCCACTTTCCCCTGTTCGAGGATCTTCAGCCACGAGCCAGCCTTGGCCGTGCCGGTATGAGACTAGGATGATTTGGCCTTCTCTTAGGGGCAATTCGTTTTCGTGTTCTCGGGTAAAGTCGAATAATGCTACTGCTTTGCCGTGCATTTCCTCGTCCGGGCTGGCAATTGTGAAGGAATAGTCCTTGGAGAAGCGGCCGTCGCCTTCGTCTATATCTGAGCCCTCTTCCGAGAGCTGTTCTGAGCGTTCTTTGTATGGTGATTTTTGCCGTTGTATTGGTTTGGCGAAGTTTGAATCTCGGTGTTCTGGTGGTTGTCGTCGGTCGGGATACTCTTCTATGACGCCGCCTGGCTCGCCCTCGTCGTCTTCCGGGTCTAAGTATCTCCCGTCCGCATCGCCTGGCGAGCGACCTCGCTGAAAGCCGGCCTGTGATCGGCTCTTCTTGTGTCGGGAGGATGTGACGATTGGTGAATGTAGATCTTCGTCTTCACTGTATGGTGGGCCGCCATCTGAAAAGCTCATTGCTGGCAGTCTCTCTTTCTTGCCTGAGTCGTTGACTTCAGACATCCATGGCGGTGTCGCTGACCATGTATACCGCGAATCTTCCCATTGTCCTACCACTGGGTCCGAGAGCCTCCTAGTCTCACTGGCCGGTGTGGTGACACCTGATTGGTTGGGTGGCGGTCCATAATGTATTGGATGTGTAGTTGGGTAAGCGAAGTCGCGGACAAATGTATAGGATAGACTCGAGTGGAAGGCGGGAAACACGTAGGATACAGGTCGGGAAGCGGCTGGGTGGGAGGCTCGTGATGTCGAAGAGTAGGATGACATCCTGTGATTTGCGAACGAAGTTGGACGCTGGTTTGAGGGCGCGCGGCGTGGTGCTGGCGAGCTCGTTATCAAGGGCGGTAATGAAGGTGCGTCCTGGTTGTTTGAGGAGTTGAGAGGAGGAGACATGGTCGGTGGAGAGGCCGTCAGCGTCGCCATGTTGGCGCAAACGGTTGGCTGACAATAGGAGCGATTGAGAGCGCGCAGCGGCAATCGTGGCAGCCACTTGTACTGTTTGCGCGTTGCAACTGCTCAGTCGCGATTGCCTAGGCGCAGTCAAGCTCGCGAAACCGAGGGACAAGGGCCCGTCAGTCGCAATCAGCCGGGCTGGCAATGTAGACCGGCACAGGCTGTCCTCGCAAACTCGTGTCCGTCTGGCGCCGTTCTATATTGTCCACGAGCTTGCGCGTCGGATGATGTTCGCTAAAGAGATTGATCGCGATGGCTCGTGATTGCTGACTTTGAAGAGAAGCGTGAGGCCGTCAATTCCCAAAGTTATAAATAGAAACAGAAGGAACAAAGAAGGAGGTACAAGCAGGCCGGCTTAGTGGACAACGCACAGCGCAATCGTGAGAATGAGATGGGTATCGATGTTGATGGAACGCGAAATCAAGACAGCGCTCAGAGGATGGGTGTGGTCGAAAAGGTGAAGAAGGAGGGTCCGGCAATATCGCCATAGACAATCGAACAATAACGGCAATGTTCAAGTCGAGGAGCAGCGAGGCCCGCGCAGTCTGCGCTACCTAGACTTTCAGGCGGTGATTGGCTACAGCGAGCGCCAGAGGCGCCTATGCACTGGAGAACCGAGCTAGTGTTTCACCTGGGCAGCCATGGATCTTTTTCACCTAAACATTCCGCAGTCTACAGCACCGACTAAACATATTGACCAGGCTTCGCACGTTCCACCGAAAGGCACACGATCACGAGGAAGGGTACGCAGAGATGAGAATATGAGGTACGTGATATAGAATACTGCTATTGCGTTCTTCACCTGAAAAGATGAACCACTTATTGGAGCTGCCATAGTCACTTCTGTGGCCTTGATGAGACACCATATTTTTACGCTTTACAATTCTGACCAGTTTTTGCAACTTCCACCGCTCGCAGACAGAATCGCATATCCCCTTTGTGACAACCGTGCGCTGACAGAATCGGTGTGGGTAGTCATGCGATCACGAATATCTGACGACGCCTCGCTACCTCAAGTCGTTGGATACGCCCACAGCCAGAATCTCACAGATACTTAAGTCAGTCATGTCAGTCGACCCTCGCCTGGCCAGAAGGCAGGCTGCAGCTGCGGCAGCCGCTGCTCGTACTTCGACACCGCAGCCTGCTCCTGCGTCTGCACCACCAGTCGCCTCGCCACCTGCCACATCACAACCAGTCCAACCAGTTCAGCCGGCTCAGCAAGCGGATGGGCAGACAGAGGTCTCGTCACCACCAAAAGATTCGTACAAGCTCAAGTTCTGCACAGTATGCGCTTCGAACAATAATCGCAGCATGGAAGCACACCTGCGTCTCTCGACTTCACCCAACGCCTACCCTGTCATATCCTTTGGTACAGGTCACTTCGTCCGCCTCCCTGGTCCGTCAATATCGCAGCCACAAGTCTACACGTTCAACAATACTTCTTACAACAAGATGTTTGAGGAGCTGCAGGCACAAGACGAGAGGCTATACAAGAACAATGGTATTCTCAACATGCTCAACAGGAACCGCGGTATCAAGTGGGGCCCGGAACGATTTCACGACTGGAACGCTGGTGCAGCTCGGATAGAGGCTCTCAACCGCGGAGACAAGGGCGCCGTCGGTACAGAAGGCGGTGTGGTCGACGTGATCTTCACTTGCGAAGAACGATGCTGGGACGCAGTTGTGGAAAATCTACTCGAAAGAGGCGCTCCTCTCAACAGACCTGTACATGTCTTCAACGTGGACATCAGGGACAACCACGAGGAAGCTCTGGTCGGAGGCGGCGCTATCCTAGAGCTGGCCGACAGTCTCAACGAGGCCGCAATTCAGGAAAGGCAGGCGCACGGACACTCGGGATGGCAAAATGGCTCTGGCCCCGCCAGGTCCAGCTTCGACGAACGCGTTCCGGACATACTGGGCGCCTGGCAGGAGAAGTGGCCCAACCTGCCTGCATTGTGGACTTTGTCCTGGCTGTGAGGCTTGCACGCTTTCGCAGGCGGCGACAAAGGTTGCCGAGGGACATGCTAACGATATTTACAATTTGTATTTGAGCGAAGGCGTTGGTGGGATTTCGTCGATCTTTGCCAAAGTTACACTATGAAGGGAAAGGTCGCCGACTTCGGATGGGCCAAGGGGTGCTCTCAGCAGGCCGCCAGGGGCACAACAGGTCATTGCTACTGAGGCAAACACGACGCTTGCGACGGACGTTCAGAATCAAGCCCCAAGGATTCCGCCCGCGGGCCGTCCTTGCTGGCTCGGTCACTCACATGGAAAGGAAAGGAAGAGCCGGAGCCCGCCCAAGCAGCCCTTGGGCCTGATACCGCCGCACCGCAGATTTTCATCTTCTACAAGACCAAGCACAGTCGCTGAAGACAATGTTGGCGGAAAGGGCTACATTTGCGAACGCAAAGTAGTACTATCACTCAAGCACAGCACAGGCGCGTCGACAGTTCACATGTCTTTCACGAAGTCGATGTAAGGTGACCGCTTCCGCTTCGGCATGATCTAGGCTTGGAGCAGCTGGCAGCCACTGTCTCAACCGTGCAACTATATGTGGATGCACCGTGGAGTTGCGATGTCAGCAAGGCCCGACGGCTAGTAACCAGTCACGCTAGCTGTTGCCACGCCTGTACAGGCAGGATCAATGTGGTGTCAAGCGCTTACTGTCGCCAAGCGCCCCAAGGCGAACGATCCGAAGTCGATCGCGTGGTATACCCGACGTTCCAGCAGAGCCCACCCAGATTAGTCGAGATCTGTACGTTCGTATACCTGACCGTTTAGCTCCAGTACCCCGGGTGTCCGTGCCCAAATCCCAATACGAAGGTTCTGTGGCTATCCCAGTTATACGGTGCCAGCGTCGACCAATGCGCATGACGCAAGCGGAGCTGACGTGGCTGCGACCAATAAGCTTCTCCGTTGTTACCCAAGATTAGACACCAGCCCCCATATTTATGCTTATTCCGGGATCGTTCCAAGACACTCAATGTGAACCTCAACCTGCTTCGCCTCAAACATCTCTGCTGCAAACTTGATGTCCTCTTGCACCAGGAGTCGCTGAGAGGCCAAAATACTCGCAATATGCATGGAACTGTCAAGTCAAACGACAGTCCTCTGCTGTCTGGGCCAACTTCGTGGGTTGGCGGACAGCACTGGAAGCTTTTTCCAGTTAGGCTGGAGATCCCCAGCCACTCTGTACCAGAATACGGACATCCAACCTGTCTACACTGTAATCACTGCGGCCCATGGCTTGAATCTGGGCGCGCAGTCTCATACTCTTATGATCCGTAAGGTGAGCTGAAAATTATAATATCGTGGCAGGAGACTTCCCCAGCCTGCTAAGGCTTCATCATCGCAGAAGGTAATTCATTCGTTGTACCATTCTTTTGCAGTACCACGCATGATAAACACTCGCTTCATTCCCCTGCACTTCCCTGCCTCTTCTTAGGCATTCTTCATTGACGATCTCACTGCATTCCATTCGCTTCTGTGCTACCTGCACGACACTCGCTGCCGCTGCCCGGCATGGCTCGGTCAATAATCGCATTGTTCTGCGCATTGCTTTCGGTGGTCACAGCAACAGGCGAAGTGCCAGAACGGCCGATAGCAGACGTCCATGATTTATTATTCCCTCCAGACTTCAAAGCAAATCCGATAACACCAGAGTCGTTGGTCTGGCAGAAGCCATGGTTATCGCAAGAAGATACTAACGGGAAGTCCTTACTCGGCACACTTGATGCGCCAAAGCTACATTCTTATGTCGGCTCGAAGGAGTTTGGATCTGGCAAGGCGGGCGTTCGTGGATCATCAAAACTTGCTCAACCTCCTTGGGGGTCAAAGGCTGCTAATGGTGCGGTCGACCCGAATGATGTTCCGGTGACCAACCAGACGAGATCATATTATCTGATCGCAGAACGTGGTGTAAAGGCTCCAGACGGCGTGTCTCGCAATGTCATGCTACTCAATGGCTCCTACCCTGGTCCAACGATAGAGGCGAATTGGGGTGACACGATAGAGGTGACCATAGAGAACCGGATCACGGGCCCTGAAGAGGGAATCTCTCTACACTGGCACGGTATCCTCCACAAGGGAGCACCTTGGGAAGATGGAGTACCGGGCGTCAGCCAGTATCCCGTTGCTCCCGGCGAGACCTTTACCTATAGCTTCACTGCGGATCTTTACGGCACATCCTGGTACCACAGCCACTACAGTGCTCAATACGCCGATGGCCTGTACGGCGCCATGATCATTCACGGACCAAATCACGTCGAGTACGACGAAGACCTGGGCCCAGTTCTACTCTCCGACACCTACTTCCGCGACTACTGGGACCTTCTGGAAGACATACTCGGCACCAACCTCACCAAACTCAGCTCCGCCCTCTTCTCCGACAACAATCTCATTCAAGGCAAAGGCACCTACGATTGCAGCCTGACTACCCTCCCCTGCGCGCGTAACGGCGGCTATGCCAAATTCCACTTCGAAAGCGGCAAGACCTACCGAATGCGCCTCATCAACTCCGGCGCCGACACAATGCAGCACTTCTCCATCGACGACCACACCATGACCGTCATCGCCAACGACTTCGTTCCCGTCGTCCCTTACGAGACCAACACCGTCGCCCTGGGCATCGGCCAACGCACCGACATTCTTGTGACCGCCAACTCCTCCCTCCCCGCAGTCTGGATGCGCAGCACCGTCAGCGCATGCTCGCTCGCCCACCAACCGAACGGCCTTGCCGTGATCTACTACGACGACACCGACACCACCTCCGAGCCCGCATCCACCGCTTGGCCGCCCCGCGCTGACCCTTGCGCCAACGACGCACTCGACCTCACCGTCCCCTTGTTCCCCATGCCCGCACCTTTGACTCCAGACAGGACAATCACAATCGACGTCAACACCACCGTCAACGCCACGGGCAACCTCGTCTGGACGATGAACGAATCCACCTTCCGCGTCAACTTCAACGACCCAGTAATGTACCGCGCCATCGCCAACGATCCAAACTACACTTACCCGGACAGTTGGAACATCTACCCCATCGGCACCTCCTCCTCCTCACAGCCTGAAACCGTCCGGATAATAGTCAACAACTACTCCCCCCACGGCCACCCAATGCACATGCACGGCCACAACTACTTCGTTCTCTCCGAAGGCGCTGGCCTCTGGGATGAAAACAGTATAACAAGGCCGAGCAATCCGCAAAGGAGGGACACGCAGATGTTGCTGCCCGCGGATAAAGACACGAAAGTGCCGAGTCATATGGTGTTGCAGATCCAGGCGGATAATGCCGGGGTGTGGCCGTTTCATTGCCATATTGCGTGGCATGTCAGTGGGGGGTTGTATGTTAATTTGTTGGAGAATCAGGGGGAGTTGGTGAAGATGGGGATGCCAAAGCATATGACGGCGCTGCAGGGGCCGTGGGATGCGTTTACGGGGGAGGGGCCGATTAATGTTATTGATTCGGGGCTCTGAAGCGTGTTTTGTTTACGCTGAGCGATTGTGTGTGCTTCGAAGGCATAGCGATGGTGTTTTGATGTTTGGGCATATTTGGGAGGCATAGATTTGAATGAGGCGGATGGGAAAGGATAATACCCTGATGATATGTTGATGCTGACGATGGATGGCGTCCTGCAAGACATCGAAACTGCTGTGGGACGCATGTGTAGACGGCTAGATCTGGCGATACTTACTTAATGTTAAATGTTCGTGATCAAGAAGTTGCTCTTTTGCTCATCGGCTTGACTTAAGCTGTGCGGACAGTTTCTGCCTTTGGTACTACTGCAATGCTGATGATACACTGTCTGATTTCTCCTTCTTGCACCTCACCTGCTTGGCCTTAACGACCTGCGCCGTATCGACCTGCGACTTGTGCAGTCCGTGGATGGCTAGAAAGTCACTCTGGCCCACTGTTCGGCTTTCATCTAGATCACACTGAGTCACTCACACCTTCGCTTAGCCGTCCACTACTATCCTTCACTTACTCTGATCTGATCCTCATATACCTATACCATCCAATTTCTCGTCATCAAATAGCACGCGAAATCAATCGCAAACTCACCTTCGGGGTTCTGGTCTAGTGGTATGACGCTCCTTTAGCAATGCGATACGCTAGAGGTCGGTGCCACAGTACCTTCCTGCAAAGGACACGGGAAATGGGGACCTCGAACATGCGGTCTGCAGAGTAGGAGAGGTGACAGGTTCGATTCCTGTGTACTCCAGATGACATTTTCTTTTCTTTTTTGGCCTTTTGGTGGAGAGAGGGTTGGACTCGTATGCCTATCGACGAGTGCATTCGGAAGGCGTGCTATTGATTTCCGTAGGAGACTATACTGTGACTTATCGCATCTTCATCTAGACTCATTAGATCTTTCCCATGACCTTCATATACTCCTTCCCACCGATTCTTGCTCAACAATCCTCGCAGAGAGGTCGAGCTCACTTTCGGGGTGCTGGTCTAGTGGTATGACGCTCCTTTAGCAACGCGGTGCCAGCCCGAGCGAGAGCCCCCCTCCTGAAAAGGAGCCGGTGAATGGCATCGTTGAGGCGCCGTCTGAAAAGTAGGAGAGGTGACAGGTTCGATTCCTGTGTACTCCAGAGATGTTTCTTTTTTGGTGTTTTTGAAACTGTCGAGAGCTGCTGTCCGGGAGTTAGGTAGGTGGTCTGAAGTGAATACTGTGGACGGAGTGCACTTAATCCCTTCCGCTTGCCACGAACCCTCGCCCTCCACCGTCTTTCCTCTCACTGAATCAAATCTTATATACCCATTGCATCTGATTTCTGGCCATCAATCAGCACACACTAAGCTCGGAGTTCTCAAGTTGGGGTTCTGGTCTAGTGGTATGACGCTCCTTTAGCACAGATGGACTCGTTATGCCTAAGACCCAGCCTCTCGAGGTTGCGTCCCATGGCCGAGGAAATCCTAACTAGGAGAGGTGATAGGTTCGATTCCTATGTACTCCAGAATGATATATTTTTTGGTGTTTTGAGGCACGAAGTGTTTGATCGTCTAGGTCGTACATATACGACGGGCCCGATGTGAAGGCGAATGGGAGTCAGTGGGCAGCGAGTGGATGAACATCAGTAAGTCGCTAGTGCTGTGATATCCAAGGCCATGCACCGTGTTGTTCGTCGATGCAGTAAGGGAGCACCAAGAATGTGAGGCTAAACAGAAGCTATGATCTTACCGCGGTTCTCTTCAGATAATGGAGGCACAGTACCTCGATGCAGGTTGGAATCAGGTCAAACTGCCACCCACCTACCTACCTAGGAACCAGACGGTGAAGCTGCTAGGGCGCTGCGCGTGGTCTGCGTCAGTAGCCAGCCGGGCCTACTACTAAGCGTGCTTGCTGGGCTAATCGAATGTGTTGTGTCCGGTGGTCACCAAGGAGCGAAGTAGGCTGGCACACACTTAGATTATCAATTCTGCAGCGAGTCTTTACGCCCGAGCTTGGCAATCGCCTTGGCAGCAATGTAGATCAGGAGGTATACTTTACTACCGGAAAGTATCCGGACAACAGATATTTGCCTGATCTCGACCGGCTTAGAGGCGCTGCACGACTCTAGCGATCAACAGACGCGACAAGTGTCTTGATGAATGATGGGCTGCAGTCCCATAAAGTTTTGCATTGACCCGAAATTGTGCTACGAACTTGGGCGGCTTTGCTTAATGAAAAGTCATGAATGACAAGATGTCGGTTTTCGTAAGATGTGTTGCTGAACAGTTTCATGGCGGAGTACCCTTTCACCCACATGCGCAACATTCACTTCTTCGCTTTGGTTCCCTCAGCTGTGAGTCGTCCCATCTAGGAGACAGTCATGGTCGCATGCCCCGTGCCAGAGAAAGCCTCAACGGCCACAACCTGATAATTGAGATTGTTGGGGTTGAAACCCGATCGGGACCAGAAGTTGAAATGGTTGGACATAGTCACCGTACCGGAGGAGCGCTTCTGTTGGCGTACCGAGAAGTATTGCTTGAACGTGGACGTTCCAGTGATTGACGGCTGGTTGACTTGTGTATGAGTGCAGACCTGGTATGTGCCGCCGTCCGAGGAGAGCGAGCCTAGCTGCGTGACCCCGCTGCCAGTGCATGGGTTGAAGTTGCCGTAGTTTTCGACGACGTAGTACTCGGCTTGTGGGGAATTGACCCAGCCGTAGACCGCGAGGTAGGAGCCGCCGTTGGCAGTGTATGTGCCGGAGTAGGTGATTGAGCTGGAGAAGGAGTTCAGCTCGCCGATTCTAGCGTGGCGATGGAAGTATGCACTTACCGAGCAGCACCCGTGGTCCAGCCCAAGCCGACGACAAAGTCTCCGTTGACGCCTTGATCCCAGTACATGGAATAGGTGCCGGCGTTTATATTGGAGGAGAAAGCACCCAAATTGCTGTTGTAGTTCTGGATGTAATTTGTGCCTCCAGGTCCTCGTGCAATGAGACTAGGCTCTGCCTCTGGTTCTGGCTCAGGCTCGGCAACGGGAGCGGCCATGGTCAGAGTGGCCAAGAGGCCGGTCAACGCTGTGGCGATCTTCATGCTGAGGATTATTCAGGTGATTCTGGGTGACCGAATGTGTCTGCTGATGATCCTCACTGTGAGTTGGTTGGGAAGGAACGCCTTTATGTTGTTTTCTTGACCAACCTCGAGCAAATTAGCCAGTTTATCCGGGATTGAAGTTCCTCGAAGCCTCGAAAACTGTCATATGACCTCTTCTGGCCGTTAAGGTCGTCGCCATCGGCAACGATTCCAGGCCCGCAATATGCCGGGCACAAGCATGCCCTTGTACCCGGTCACATAACCAAGGCAGGGCTGGAAAGAAGACGTGCAGCCAAGGCTAATTCCCACGCGATTACCGGAGATTCTTGATTGGTCAGGACTGCAGTAGATCGTGTTAGAGACTGACTCAAATTGACGTCGTCGTCGGTTGAAGGGTCATGAGCTGCCTTCATTTCCTGCTTGCTTATTTCGATCAAGCTCGGCTAAGATAACGATGAATCTCGGCTAAGATTGTTGAAGCTCACGAAGCTTTGAAGCCGCTGGCACAATTCGAAACCTGGGGTAGAACTGACGGCTAAATGCCATCGACTAGAGTCATACGATGATTCGATAGCTCTTCGTGAAGCCTTCCCAGGGAAGTGTATCCAACGTGCGGACCGGGCCAGAGCTTGACGCGACCTAGGACATCAGCGCTTCACTCGCAAGGTCGCTCGCCTGAGATTCAGCCTGGCTGTATTGTATGTTGCATGGCCACTTTCGACACTCTGGATTTGCTGGGTAAAATTGCGAACATGGATATACTGTGTAAGCAGTTGGCAACCCTGGCTAGAGGACATGTTTCATCGACGTCATAAGGGGTCACCTGATATGCTTTGGACCCCCTATCGTTGTTGTACGCAGCTGGCAATGTTACCATCACGACCGGCGCGAGCAAGTACTTAGAGCAAAGTCGACAGCATTTGAGGCTAAACGATCGTGAATGCCAGCTCGCATGCTTGGGTCATTAACGCTAACTTTTCAGTGGCATAGGTGGCAACGATAGGGCGGTGATGCCGCAGAGATAATTCTTCCAGGGCGCCGACATGATGTTTTGGCTAAAGGTGCTTCGTTTAGGGCGACTAAGAAAACACAGAACATCCGAGGAGGCGAAGTGATGTGGAACGGCGTCGAGTAAACCAAGTCATGATATGAGAGGAGGAGGTGGGGGGGCATGGTATGGCGCGCGAGGTCGCTTGCGAGCATGAGCCCCTGCGAAGAAAGTCGACCGCATATGCGCAAATGTTTAGAGGTGATCAAAGTAGTGTTCAAGTACTTGACAAGACAGCGATCACAAGGAGAGCTACACGTTCTGACAAGTCAGCTTAATGCTGAGCTGAAAACAGCAGGCTTCCTGCCTAATCGAGACTTCTATCTGTCTCTGCAAAAGTGGACCATGGTCTACTTCGTAGGATCCCATGGACCAGACCGGGTCTGTCGCAACCAACGTGAGTGCAGTTCCTGGGACTCAATCGATGCAGATTAAATCATGCTTTATGGTCTCGTGTCTCGACGTCCAAGGCCCTGGCTTCAGACATCGTTAATAATATTGCCGGTTAACGTAGACAGTATGCTCCAAGACCGGCTGACGATATCGCCAGACTTACCCGGGACAGTTCCTGTAGACGCCGGTTGACATAAGGGTCCACACATAACCGGTTGACTGCAGAGAGAGCTTATCTATCAGCGGCTGACGAGCAGTGCAATTGACGCAGATTTCACCCTACTTAGCATCTCGAACAGACTCACCGTTGAAGGACTCGCCAAAGCTCATGCAAGGTACCTGCCCGATCTTGATGGAGAGCAGCGACTGGCGATCCATCGAGTGAACTCACCTCCTCCAGCTTCTCTCCAAAGGCGCGTTTCGGTCCCGTCCTCCGGCCTCCTGAGGCGTGCGAAGTCATGACGTACACCATCAGACCATCTAATTTGCCTGACCTCGCAAGCAGAGCACGACTACCGCACATCACAATTATTGCGGCAGCGGCAGCCCTTTTCGACGAACCGTAAATAACAGAAGTGATGATGTCGAACGGCACCGAGCGGAAGCATGATCCAGCGACCACGACATCCGAAGTTGTTCAATCTTACTTCTTCGATCAGCCGCGTCGATGCCAGACAGTCTCCACCCGTGCATGGATCACGCCGATTCATAGATCTTAGCTCGATCTTACCACGATTGACATGCTCGACCATACCTAACTCAGTATCTTGTCCAGTGTTCCAAACCACTGCTCGACGAAGCCATTAACGCTTGTACCTGCATATTCAGGCACTCGATACTTATCCCCGGCAAGCCATTCCACATGTGGTGACCCTGGTGTCCTTTACGCTTTACTGCACATGGAGTGATGTGATCATTGACTGTCGTGTGAACGCGGCAGGGGCTGCAATCATGCAGGTAAGTTCATTCCCGTTGGACACGAGCCGTGAACCGCGAGGCGTGTATAGTGCTTGCATATGCCCCGTGTGTTGGACAACGTCTGAGCATCCAAAGATACACAACCTCAGCAAACATGCCTGCCTCCACCAGATCCAAAGATCCCCAGCCTCCCAAGACTCATATTCTTGATTTCTTCTACGACGATGACGATGGCTGCGCATTCACAGCCCGCATCAACGATGAGTGCTTCCATGTCATCGTTGACCCAGATAGATTGAAGGGGAAAGGCGAAGCTAACGACGATTTGCTTGCGGAGTACCGAGCATGGTTAACAGCGGTTCGAGAGCACGACAAAGCTGAAGAGGGCGGGGACGATAATAATGATGGTGAAAGGACAAGCAACCGCAGCACAGATCGTGACAGTGGCGTCGATGTTAGCAATGATGACGGACACACTCACGATAAGAAGATCTCAGACAAGGTATTAGCCGAACGCAACCCAGCACTCAAGCTGCAAAATTGGATATTGCAACACTTCGCAAGCGAAGTCCCTCAACAACACGATAGCGATGACACAGAGGAAGCAGATTCGCAGGATTTGCAGAAAAATTTACAGCAGTGGTACGAGACGCCAATTCATTACTACGAGGTCGAACCCGCGGAAGACGGGAAGAGTCTGAACCCAGTACAGCTGGAAGAGAGCGAGGAGCTTCGAAAGAAGGTCGACGATCTCCAACCACATGTAGCGCTTCCGAAGGCTCTGCGCTCACTGCCGATACCCTGGGTGCATCCGTCCTCCATTACAGTGCTTGCCGAATCGGAAGATCCGCCACCAGTGCACCCCAGCCTCGTCTCGGCCGCGATCAAAGACGGCGACAAGCAGAACTATTTCTTCAAACAAGTCGACACCACCCAACCGCAAGCTACCAAGCGCGAGATCGACCTACTGCACAAGATCCATAGCAAAGGTCTCTCCTCCCAATTCAACGTCCCACGAATCCACGCTCTCGTTAGCCACGGCAACTCGCACGTCGAGATGATGGGCTTCCTGCTCACCGCCATCGACGATCCCATTCCACTTACGAAGCTCTTGGACAGCGAAGTCGACGAGTCGAAGCGCAAAAGATGGGCTAAGGAGTCCCAGAGGATCATTGACCTGTTGCATGAGAATGGCATTGTTTGGGGTGATGCGAAGGCAGATAACTTCTTGGTGGACAAGAAGAACGAATTGTGGGTGATTGACTTTGGTGGGAGCTATACTGAGGGCTGGGTTGATCCGGAGTTGAATGAAACAGTGGAGGGGGATAATATGGGCGTTGACAGGATCGTCAATGGGTTGTTGGAGCCGGATGAGATGACTTGTGATCCGGAGGCTGGTCTTGATGGGCCAGGGAAGGCGGAGGATGAGGATGAGGACCGCTCCACCGCCCCTCGAGAGCAACAATCGCCTTCGCTAAACGGCGATGCCTCGAGCACACACCTTGTAGAAGAGGAGGACTACACCATCAAATGCACATGCAGCTCCGCTGAAGATGACGGACGTACTGTCTACTGCGAGAAATGCGACACCTGGCAACACATCGAATGCTATTACCCCTCGAAGAAGGTACCGGACGAGCATTTCTGCTCAGACTGCCTTGAAGAAGAGGGAACGGAGAAGAACGTGAAGGGCAGTGCTAGACGAAAGCGGTCAAGGGACGAGGCCGACGATGCTAGCACGAGCGAGAGCGAATCCAAGGAAAGGAACAAGCGTTCACGACAGTGACTGTTCATCTTTTGCTAGATAGCCGTGTATGATTAATGGCACCTTTCTTGTACAACACATGAGGCATTAAGGCACCTGTTGCAAGACGTACGGTGTGATCTCACACCCCATGTAGCTGTGACTTTAGGAAGCGAACGCGGTCATGCTGTAGCACTAGTGCACACCTAAGTCGCCGCATCAATTGACCTGGACGAAGCCGGATGACAAGGGTCAAGCCTTCGGGTAAAAGGCACTCGACGATTCCAGCTCCGCCCCCGTGGGGGAAGGCACGTTGGAGAAATTAAGGCAGCGCCACTTTCCCCAGGCGCCCACTCACAGAGCAGCCCCTCCAACACTCAGAAGCAAGGTCAGCAGAGTTGCAAAGCAAAGGGAGAGACGGCACGCGTTCTTCCGAGGTTAGACTGCGTTGCATTCCGGTTGATACGAGAAACCAAGCTCCGGTGTCACCATCTTCTCTTCCTGTGGACGTCTTCGTTCGAAAGCATCAATCAAAGCATTCGCATTGTTGTTGGCGAGGTCGAGAAGAACCCCTCACTCCGACGCGTTTCAGGCAGGTGACAAGACCCGCTTACGCAGTCACTTGACTTCACGTTCACACCTCACTTCGTGCTCTCACCGCTACCACAAACCTCACCTGTGCTACTCGTACTCATCGCGAACGACTCTCAACTCATCTCACGTATCGCGAACTCGTCGTCTGACGACCATCTACCACATATTTCAGACCGTCTGCCCACCACTCCGAATCCACTCACGCAACTACCGAACTATCATCCCAAGCAAACGCCATCCAGTCCAAAATGGTTCAAGCACGCTACCTAGCCGGCGCAGCCGGTGTAGTCGGTATCACAACCGTTGCCGTCATGCAGATGGGCATCGGCGCGCAAGACCGCCAGTACAAGAAGACGCTCAACTACATGCACGATGGCAGAGAGAAGATCGCGGAGAAGATGCGACAGGGCGCGAACAATGTTGACCCGAAGGTCAAGTAGCTGCGATTGCTGGCTGATGGATGGAACGGGGACATGAGGCGAAAGGGTGTCGTGGAGGTGGTACTGAAGGAGAGGACGGACGGATGGTGAGGTTGAACGGGACTATGGCATGCGATTGATCATATATATATGGCTACCCAAGGCCAAGGCAGATACAATTATCGGCACATCGACATGGAACCATCATCAAGTTTCCAATTTTGGTAGACCACCGAACAGCAGCAAATCGAAGTAGTTCTATGCAATTACTTCGTCTACCGTGCGGCCAACGAACTGCCCTCTCTCAAGCCTCAAACGACAATCACAAAGTGTAAGGCCTACCCGAAGGATTTCGCTCCTAAGCCGATGCTTGAATCTGCAAAGTTTGAATATAACGACACCGTGTCATGAGCACTTTCAACTTGATTTTCCCCATGGAAGGCCGCCCATAAATCTGTCCTTCGATTATTCCTTCCACCTTCGTGGTCACCGCCGTCACACTATCATCAATCAACGGCTTCATTTCGCTTGTCATCATCTCATTTGTTCCACCTGATCAACTACCGTGCCCATGGATCATCCTCAGGACGCCTGCATACCCATAGGGTGGATCGGATATCCGATTCTTTTGATCCTTTATCTCCTGGTAGCCGTAGTGTATTGGCGTGCGTTCGTCTATTATCGCGCTAACGTCCATCCGCTACTATGGTCATGTAACGATCCTGCCGACAGGGACACAGAGATTGGCGAGCCGCTGCTGGACCCTAGATGACGCGGAAGCCAGACTTAACACGACCGTTATCAACGCGATCACCACCAGTGAGGCTAGCCGCCCGTATCTCACCAGGCTGGAGTCGATTCAGCAGCGTGGTCACACTGCAGCTTGAATACTCTGCGCAGCCACAACCTATGCTAAGGATACGAGATGTGCCAAGCCTGTCGCCATTCAAGCGATGATGGCGCTGCAGTCATGAGGCAACTCTTCCATATGTTCGATAGGATCGCAGCCACCAAACAGCCGCCGCCATCGCGGCTCTACTGGACGCGCAGTGCTTCCAAAGGTTTTCTGGCTCGAGCCATGCCATGCGACTGCTCAACACGACAAACCGGCGTCTGGAGCCTGATCACTTCGCCGGAAAGAGGATTCCGCCTTATGCAATCTTGTCCCATACGTGGAGAGACCGCGAAGTGACCTATGCGGACATAACAGCACCCAACCCAGAGGAGCTCACAGCATGGGATAAGGTTGTCTGGACCTGCCGTCTGGCAGAGGCCGCGGGCATCGAGTACGCATGGATCGATTCGTGCTGCATTGATCGAAGCAGCAGCACGGAGTTGAGCGAGGCGATCAACAGCATGTACAAGTGGTATGAGAGAGCTGTGGTCTGCTATGCGTGGTTGTCGGATCTGGTTGAGACTGGCGATCTGGCAGACACCTTGTCAACTTGTCGTTGGTGGAAAAGAGGTTGGTGCCTGCAGGAACTTCTTGCCCCTGAAAAGGTGTTGTTCTACGATAAAGCATGGAATCTGCGAGGTTCTAAGTATGAACTCAGAGCTACCATATCACGCATCACCTCCATCGACGCAAAGGTACTCACTCGTCAGCTGCCTCTCAAACGCGTACCCATTGGTGCAAGAATGTCGTGGGCATCCGGTCGCGAAACAACCAGGATTGAAGACATCGCATACTGTTTGCTCGGCATATTCAACGTCAATCTGGCACTCGTGTACGGCGAAGAAGAAAAGGCCTTCAAGAGGTTGCAACTAGAAATTGTTGCCTCAAGTTCAGATGCGTCAATCTTTTACTGGAAGCTGCCGAGAAGCGACCATGGCTTTGGACATGCACTCACTAAGTCAGTTTACTGCGGAGTTCTCGCACCATCACCTGCAGCATTCAGCTGTGCTCGATCCCTGACGGCGCGAGATCTCTATCGAGCTCAAGAATACACAGTGACAAACATGGGAATCAAGGCCAATGATCTTGTGGTGACTCAGTATTCGACTGACTTGAGCAGCATGAGGTACGTGCTTCCACTGAGCTACGAGGGATTCCGTCTGCGGCGAATGACAGCCGTTCGACTGCGAAAGTGTGGTAGGGATACCTTTGTCCGCGAAGATCCAGAGACGTTACTGGACGAAACGGAGAACTTCCAAGCAACCGAAGCCGAGAAATACTTGCTCACCGAAGTGCCTGCGGAGCAGACTCCCTTCGGCATGCTACCTGACTCGGCATTCGCGATTGCACATACCAGACAGTCTGTCCTGCAGATCGAGCATTCTCCCTGGGTCAACCTTAGCCGAGCTTTCCCTGGAAGTACCTTCGATTTTCAGGACAAGGTCTTTTTTACTCCAGTGGAGCTCAGCGCAAACCACGATGATTACGATCGTGCTTTGCTGAGATTGGTGATACGCCCGTACCATGAGACAAAAGGAGATCGGGCAGCAGAGACCTTCGAATGCTGCCTTGTTGCGCTGGGCTGGTCCGGCTTCGAGGAAGAAGATCTGACTCTCTCCTTGGTCAGCAGGAAGTCTTCACATCGCCAGTCCGTAGATATGATTGAGTCTCGTGCGGCAATGTGGGATATCACGACCGCCGACATCTTGCGACTGATCAAAGAGAATCGCATACCATTCGCACAGGAGATTCGCTTTCATGATACGGAAAGCAATCGGATGGTTGTGATACGAGTGCGGGCAGTGCGCACAACTGATGTTGCTGTGTGCCCCTATCCTTTCTGGAAAGTTGGAATTACTTGCGAAGAAGAGCAGGTTCCGCGAGAACAGAAGCGACCACAAAGAATGGTATCGGCCGCGTATAAATGGTTGCAAGGCCGTCATGATCCAGATTTGGCGGAAGGCAATAGCAAGGTGAAAGTTTCCCATCATTCGTACAAGGCGAGTGGCTGGGGAGATGGAGGCGGAGGCTCAGGATGGCGTGGTCATTCACCAGAGCCTCCACCGCGTCCAGGACATGGCCCTCCGGATATGCTATAAGTGTATTTGACGGCAATGCGCCGCACACACTTCTAGAGTCAGTCGAGACTCCCAACACGGTGCAAAGCTGCAGTGCGTCTTGGGACGGAGTTATCGGATACACCTTGGCTGACGAGCCGCCACGACTAGGATTCGTTGTCTGCACCTCATATACTCCGGGCAGCTCACATGTCGAAAATTCATGGTACTTAGCTTGGATATCAACACGCGAGCGACGGTACGTCGGCAAGTCTGAATAGTGCGCAACCCTCAGTAGTCGCCTCAATGTGCTATCAACTACGTACTACGTTGGGATCATCGAGGCTCGCCGCACTTCACCACCGAGATCGAGGGTCTGACTATCCACTTCATCCACCAGAAGTCGAACAAGGCTGACGCGATTCCGTTGTTGATGTGCCATGGTTGGCCGGGAAGCTTCTATGAGTTTAGCCAGGTAATCAATCCGTTGTCGAGTGGTGCGGATGGGAAGTCGAGCTTTCATTGTGTGGTTCCGAGTCTGCCGGGATTCGGGTGGTCGAGCGGTCCACCCAAAGGCTGGACTTTGCAGCAGACGGCGAGGGTGTTCCATACCTTGATGCAGCGGTTGGGATACAAAGACTTTGTGTTCCAAGGCGGAGATTGGGCACATTGGATCGGCCGCGAACTCGGCGCAAACTACAGCGACTCCTGCAAAGTTGTCCACTTCAACTTCGCGCCGGCGCCGCTGCCAGAAGGCGTCGAGCTCACCGACCGCGAGAAGGAAGTCGCAGGTCGTGTTGACGACTGGCTCGAGAACCACATGGGGTATGCGATCATGATGCGGACCAGGCCACATACTATCGGGTGGATGTGTCAGGATAACCCGGTTGCAATTATGGTGTGGCTGGGTGAGAAGGTGCGTACAATGTTCCCATTTGCCGATGTCCTCAAACTGCTGAAACCACGAATTTCCGTCGAGATCGCACTTGGTTCTCAGCTAAACTGCTTCTTTCACGTAGTACAACGAAGCCGCAGCCCCCCAAAACCAAGACTCCGACTCCTGGCGCACACACATCCTCACCACTGCCTCGATCTACTATTTCAGCAACTGCGTCATGACCTCATCGCTGCCCTACTACGAGAACGTGCGCCACGAGAACTTTTCAGAATTCGCAATGAAGCCCCAGAACCGCATCAAGGCCCCATTCGGCTACACAAGCTTTTACTGGGACACGGAACCCTCGAGTAAGAGAGCCGTGGAAAGGACGGGGAACCTGGTCTTCTATCGTGAGCGGAATGACGGGGGCCATTTCGCTTGCTTGGAGAGTCACGATGGGGTTTGTGAGGATCGGAGGGAGATTGTGGGGAAGTACTGGAAACCGTAGACAAGATTCTTTTGGGCCTCTCGAGACCGAGTGCACTGTCTAGAAGGGAAGAGCCATTGTATTGACTCACTCGCTGAATTGCCATTATGGGCAACCAATCATCCCGAATTCGTTGCGTGTCCTAACCTTAACGCCTCCTCCTCCCCAGGTGCCATCAATCGTACACTCTTCCGCGACGACATCCCAAACGCACTTGTTGTGCTCCCACTGCCCGTCCCGCCACCGCTGACTCTTGCACTCGATCTTCGGCCCGCTCCGCCAGCACTGACTTTCTCATCACCGCTCTGCACCTCCCTCCCGCTATCCCGACTCGCCGCCCTCATCACCGCTCTTGCGCGGTCCACGGCGGGCGACTGGCTTGCCTTGAGGGAGTCCCTCTTGGCTGATGCAACTGTGCTTGAGCCGTGGATGAGTTGTTGTTCCTCGAAGGCGCGATGTTGTCGGTCGATGCGTTTGTCGCGTATAATTCCTGGACCGCAGTCGCAGGTGCAGCCGGGTGTTGGGCAGATACCGTGGGTGGAGGGGCGGAGAAGCCATTGGGTCATGCAGCTATGGTGGGCCGTGTGTCCGCAGGATTGGCAGGTGAGCCAGGTAGATCGATGGGTGGATGTTGGAGTTGTTGTGGCGGCGTCCAACGACGTCTCGGGCGGCTTGCTACGTGAACATAGTGGACATGGTGCCTGTGTGTTCCGGCATGCATCGCAGACTCTACGACCTGCTGTTATCTCAGTACCGCAGTTCGAGCACGCAACAGGAACAATGCTCGAGTCTTTGTCGACTGATCGCTCCGCAGGTTTCGGCTCGCTGGAGAACAAGTTCTTGTCGTAGCCCAGATCGACACATGTGCTTCGCAGGGCAGCGTAAGCAACAGTCTGCTTGATCTGCTTCAAAAACGTCAGGTGTTTGCGCAGAATCGCTTCTATGCATCTTTGAGCATATTTCGGCAGCATGAGCCGCTCGGCAAGGGACTTGGGATAAGGAGTGATGGCATTTGCACTGCTTGGTCCGAAGAAGTACGGCGCCATGTGGAGGATTAGGTGCGTCGCGAGCTGACCGCAAGCAACTCCTGAGTCCACGTCGTATGCGATCATGTGGCAGAGGAGCGGAAACGCTGACCAGGCAAAAGGTGTGCTCGGTCGGTAGGAAGCCATGTCGATAGGTCGGAAGTCTTCAAAGATGAGTCCGTCTTGTTTCAGCTCTTCGTCGGACAGATCACGGACTGAGGACGACACAGCTTTGGCACTTGCTGCCACGGGCTGCAGCGCTGGGTTAACGACATGTATCTTAGGTTTCCTTGGCGATTGAGAGCGAACGAAATGTGACATGTCGGGAGAAACAGAGATCGCAGCCACTTCCGAATAAGGCAGTGACGCTGAGTGCTCTTGTGAAGCATTGGGGACTTCAAACTCGTCAGCCTTCAGCTCAGGAGTTTCGTCCATGTTGAATTGTGGCGCATCGGATCCCATTGAAAAGTCTCGTAGCATTCTTTGCGCAGCTGGGCCGCTTGACTTCCCAGCAACGGAGGGCGATTCAGAGCTGTCCTCGCGTGATAGCCAGCTACTTTGTCGCTGCACCGAATCCGGCTCAACCTTCGATTCGGTCGATTGACCCATCAAATGCGCCTTCTGAGAGCTGCCAGTCGACGCTGAGAACATCGGAAAGCTCTCAGCCGAGTCATGCTGTGAGTTCTTCGAGTAGTCTGGATCCGGAGCCTTGGTATCGAGCGAGAATATGGGGCGGGCTTGAACTCGGTAATCACGAAGAGCATTTCGCTTCTGCTCCTGCTTCTGCGCTTGCAGATACGGCGACGCCCGAGGCACAGCTTCCCCTGGCTTCAGCGTCTGTCTGGGAGATAACAAGCCACTGTTGAGATCAGGCGACTTCACTTGCTTTGCACGAGGCTGCTCTGGCGAGGACATTGGCGAAAATGAGTCATCCACGGAATCAAGACGATTGCTATTGTGTAGAGCTTTCGATGCCGCAGCAGCTGTAGCGTGTGAGTTGAGCAGAGACGGTGGCAGAACCGGTAGATCATCGACGAGGTTGAGTGACGAGGATGAACCTTTGCTTCGATGTTGACGTGGAGTGTGCCGAGGGGAATCATTGACTGGTCGAGCTAAGGGTGTTGTAACGTTTGAGGAGCTATCGTGCTCCGTCCGTCCTGGCTCTTTCAAGCCCTTGAAGAGGTTACTGATGATCTTGTTCTCCTTAGGATCGACCTTTGTGTTGCGGTCCGCGGCAATCACCTTGGTGAAAGCCGGAGAATTTTCGGTTGTTGTAGGACGCCCTGCCTTCTGTAAAGACTGTCGTCGTGCGATCTCGAGCTTGCGCGACTCTTGGTTGCTTTTAGCCCAAGCTTCAAGCTCTGGCACGATGACTGCAGCCAGCATTCTCCACGACTGAGCCTGACGATACAACGCTGCATCATCAGAAACCTCTGCGTTGTTCATGAAGGCGTCGCGCAGTCGCGACAGAATTAGATCAGGTGAAGCTCGTCGCTCATCCTCAGTCGCAATAGGCGCGTAGTTGTTGGCTAGGAACGACGCAACGTCTTTGTTCTCCGACGCACTCGGAACACGTCCGATAGCCCCAATCTGAGTGTTCTGATGCAATATCCGCCCAGCGTGCACGGTCTTGTCCAGTTGTTGAACAGGGCGCTTCTCCGGCGGCGAGTTTGTTCTAGATGTGTCAGAGCGGAAAGACAGCTCGCGATTCTGTCGTGAGCGCATAGACGACGCGAACGACATGCGGGAGAAAGATTCCTCTTCATCCTCTTGCGGCGTCCTCTCCTTCTCACTTTGACCGCGCGGGTTCTCCTTCGACGGCCCAGAGAACATCTCTGACTGGAAACGAACAGGGATGGGAGCTCTTTCTTCCATGAACATTGCACTTTCTCCACCAGGGACCCACAGCAAGGTCGACGGTGAAACACTTTCGCTGACCTTCGGCAGCGCGTTGATATCGAATTGAGTGAAAACTCCTTCCTCACCAGCAGTCCAAACATGATCGGCTGAGGCCCAGAGAAGATCTGTAGGTGGGCGATTTGTCGTGCACAGTTCGAGCCACGGCAAGTGAGGGCGCGTCAAGTCCCAAACATGAACTCTAGGGTCGTCGTGATGGTATGTCGTGGCAATGTGGGTGGTCTGCCACGTGCCTTTGTAGTACAACTCGCTCGCAGGTCGCCAGTTTACACTTCGAACAGCTTGCGAGACTCGGAATTGAAATGCCGGCTTTTGTCGACGATTGTTGCTCTTAAAATCCCAGGTCTTGACATACTTGTCAAAGCCGCCGGTGACGACATGTCGACCGTCAGGATGCCAGTCTAACGAGTAGCAGCCCTTGTCATGAGCATGTATGCTGACTTTCGGGGCTAGATGGCTCCTGATGTCCCAGTTCTGGACGAGCCCTCCGTCAGCGCATACAGCAAAATCGAAGTCATTGCCATCTTTGGGCGACCAACAGACGTGACGAACCCCATTCCGGACGTCAAATCGCGATTTCGCCTTGCCTGCTCGAGGATCCCGAATGTCCCACAGTTTGACAGTTTGATCCTGACTCGCAGATAGCAATAGACGACCAGCGAAGGGGTCTATGTCTATCTTATTGACTTGTGCAGTGTGCTCGTGCATCCAAGCAAGCTCGAGCCGTGACCCTGCAGCATCCACATCGTAGAGAGCGATTCGACCATTGGCCGCGGCTGTTGCTATGATATTCGGAAAAAGGCTGCCAGTAGACCACTTCACATCTCTTGCGGGCAGGTAGTCGCGTCTGCGCTTTGCCGAGTCTCCATCTGTCGAGGCATATCTCGAGTGGAATGACAGAATCGATGCGCGCAGGTTGATGTCCTCGCTAGCCTTCCCGTCCGCCACACGCACCGTCTTCAGGATGTCCTTGCCGGCTAGTACTGCATGTGTCTTGCCTCTGTTTATGTCGATGGCGGCGATGGGTATGCCTGTCCGGTGTTGGACCGTAGATCTTGCGACTTCTGAGCCATGGCTTGGACGCGCGACCGGCCTGGTCGGCGGCAGAGGGCGGTCGGAAAGGTGGTCGGTGGCACTGCGCGCAGGCTTTGCGAGGCCGCTGAGTGGTGCGATGAAGCGTTGCAATTGACTCAAGCGAGACGGCGGCAATGGCGGTGGTGGAGGAGGGTGGTCTAGTTGAGGTGCTGTAGGAGAGGCCGACATTGGCCCCTACATAGAATGTCGTCTACCGAACATTCCATGCTTCTACCGCCGATGCTCTGACTGTATCGGTCGTGAGCATCGCGATCCGTCAGACTCGTGATGAAGCGTTGACGCAACTCGTACTCTGCTTACTGCGTTGCCGAGAGCTCGCTCGCGAGGCGATCGATAGACGATTGGCACGCGGAGACTTGCGTGGGAGCAGCTCAACGTGTTTGCTGCACTCGATGCAAGCTGCAGACTTTAGATCACTCGGGAGAGCTTCGCGGATGCAGAGAAGCAAGCAGCATCACATAAATCCTTGGAGGGATGTCTGCTTGTGGGGGTGCGTGGGCCTATAGGCTCGCATGGGGGCCATGCTCCGGACAAGCGCCACCAAAGACCTCGCCCCAATTAGGCGACAAGGCACCTGAACCTCCCTCTATTGGCACAGTGTCGATGCACCCAAGAACCCACACATGTACCTAAGTCACTGCCGGGCATATATTGAAAGGCTAGTCTCGCCTGGCATTACTGGCGATGATATCGACATCATCCACACAAGGCGGTGAAGGTTGGGTCTCAGCATCGAGTATGCACGACAAGTGTCAGGCCGTTAGAGGTGCAGTCCTCGTGAAGGGCTTTCTGGAAGTTCGCTGAATGGACGCTACCATCCTTCGCTTATAAGCCGATGACAGAGGCGACTAATGACATACGAATAGTTGTGATGTAGGATACTCATGCTGCGATGCTGTGTTTGCTGCTGAAATACTGTTGAACCTTCTTCATTACTGCTGTCAACATATCATGCAGTAGATGTCCGAGTACCACGCTGTCAGACCGAAGCCGTGTCCCACAGAAGACGGTACATCAAGCAGCAGCCCTCGAGTCGCTCCTGCCCTATATCAAATCCACCTCACCAGTCGAAATTGCAAGACAGTAACCACCTACTCGATCACTATCATCTCTCGTTGCCAATTGTACTATTGCTATCATCAATACGGCCGGCCATATCCATAACCGAGGCCTGGGTACTACTAGCAGATTTCTCTGAGGACCATCACCTGCTCCACGCGAAGTCTGTCTCGAACTCAAGTGCATCACAAGACTCAATCTCAGTGCTTGTCAACGACTTCGCCTCCCGCTTTCAGCTGGCCTCGAGTCGACTCCTCCTCTTTCGGGGTCTTGCCATCGCCACGGTTTGCCTCCTCTGCGACACAAGAGGTGTCACTACTAGGCATCCGAAGGTTGTCGTCACGTTTTGCTTTGTCAAAACCATGTTTGAACATTGTACATTTTATTCTTTGCAAGCAAACTAAAGTCACGGTCGTTATCATCAACAACTTATCACCTCCCGAATAGCTGGACTTGAGCCTCCACCTTACCGAACCACCCCCGATCGAGTCCACGACGTCTGAGTCTTTCGGCCCAGACCAAAATACCCCAATCCGATCTGCGAGCTGCCCGCCACAGTCAGCTGACTTAGCACTCGCCGCATCTGCGAGACCCTGGTCAATATTTTGAAATAGTCTTGACTTCATGTTCGATTGCTAAGGAGGGTCTCGACAGTCACTCGTTATCATCATCGTCGAGATGGGTGGCAGCTCGCCGCTGCCGATGGACATAGCTATGGACACTAGCTATCGAATAATGAACTGGTCGAGGAAACTTTATCCAGCAATTCTCTTGGTGCTGTTCATTGCCGGATTCGTGACGTACGGCATTGTCAATGCACCCGACGACAGTAGCAATGTGCAGATTCATTCTATGAAAGGACCAGGAGGACGACCATTGCCTCAACGACGGAAGTCTGCCAACCAGGTCAAGCAAGCAGCGGCTGTCAAGGATTTCTCATCGGCGGCAAAGATATCGTTCAAGCTGCTTCAGACCGTGGTAGTCTCCACCTTTGTCGCGAATGGCGTCTTCATACTACTCCAATGCCTGGCGGAGCGAGAGAAACGGTGGTGGCCTGGCGAGGCATCCATCATCTACGTGGTTGGATCCTTTTTCGTCTGGTCGATAGTGCTGATCAGTCTCCACGAGACAAAGCCGTCGCCAACGATTGTTTTTCTGTTGGTGTGGCTGATTTCCTTACCGCTGGAGCTGTTGATTCTCGGAAGCAGCCTGAAGATCTACAGCGTTCCCCACCACGAGCCGACTGTAGGAGATCAACGGGGAGGGCCGCTGCGTGACAAGATAACGCCATGGGAAGCGATCGAGGTCATTGTTGGATTCATTCGTATTGGTGGACTGCTTGGCATGTCAATTCTCTACATCATCTTCAGCTTAACGTCGAATAAGACAGGCGATAGCGACGGCTCATCTTCCGAGACTGCGCCACTCCTGAATGGCGGCAGTGACTCGGCTCACACGCACACTAACGGCAACGCCTACGGCACACCCCAGGCTCAGGAATCTAAGGAACACCAAGCTGGATGGGCAAAGTCAGCCGACCCTCCCACGGTGACCTGGTACCAGTATCTACGTGGCTTTGCAACGCTGTTACCATATCTGTGGCCTAAGAAGTCTCTCAAACTCCAAGCACTTGCTGCAGGATGTTTTCTGATCATGATATCTCAGCGCGTCATCAATGTATTCGTACCAATTATGACAGAGCGCATCACCGACGCACTCTCCGGCGAGGATGGACAAGGCGTACGTGCTCCTTGGCTTTACATCGCCCTCTACGTCGTTTTCAGGTGGTTACAAGGTGGTCAGGGCATCCTTTCTGCGGCGAGGACCATCATGTGGATACCTGTCGAACAGTACTCCTACCGAGCCATTTCGACTACAGCTTTCGAACACGTTCACGGCCTCTCTGCGGAGTTTCATACGGGCAAGCGCACCGGCGAGCTCATATCGGCCCTCAACAAAGGCACTTCCATCAATAGCTTTCTGGAACTCGTCACCTTCAGTGTTGGACCAATGATCTTCGATCTGGTCGTCGCTATCGTCTACCTCACTCTCACATTTGACATCTATTTGGGCCTCGTCGTTGCTATCACTACTGTCGCTTACATCTACGTTACCATCCGACTTGCCTCGTGGCGGGTCAAGCTGCGAAGAGAATATGTCGCCAAGGACCGAGAAATGGAAGCAGTAAAGAACGACTCGCTTCACTCGTGGGATACGGTGAAGTACTTCAATGCTGAGGCTTACGAGTTCGAGCGTTACAGGGTGTCGATAAAAGAGATGCAAGGCTGCGAGTACTATGTGCAACTTACATTATCGTTTATGAACACCATCCAGGGAGCACTATTCCTGTTTGCGTTACTGATTGCCTGCTTCATTGAAGCATACCAAGTGGCGGAAGGCAGCCAGACCGTTGGTCGATTTGTCTTGCTCATCACCTACATGTCACAGCTGCAACAGCCGCTGAACTACTTCGGCTCATACTATCGGACTGTCCAGAACAACCTCATCAACGCAGAGCGCATGCTGGAGCTCTTCAAAGAACAGCCGATTGTCACGGACAAGGCCACGGCTACACCGATGGAGAAGTGCAAGGGAGAGTTGTCGTTCGATAAGGTCACGTTCTCCTATGACGGCAGGCGCGACGCGGTGGCGAACCTATCCTTTCACTGCCCAGCAGGCACAACGACCGCCCTTGTTGGCGAGTCCGGCGGAGGCAAATCAACGGTCATGCGCCTTCTCTACCGCTACTACAATCCGAGTTCAGGAAGTCTTTCTGTGGACGGTCTTAATGTTGAGGATGTGACCATTGACAGTCTCCGCAGACACATTGGCGTCGTGCCTCAGGATTGCAATATGTTCAACGAGTCCCTCATGTACAACCTCAAATACGCGAATCAGGACGCAACAGATGAGGAAATCTTCAAAGCCTGCAAGGCAGCCTCGATTCACGACCGCATCATGGCATTTCCCGACGGCTACGCCACGAAGGTTGGCGAGCGCGGTGTGCGGCTTTCCGGAGGCGAGCGTCAACGAGTAGCTATCGCTCGCACCTTCCTCAAGAATCCGAGAATCACATTACTCGACGAAGCCACCGCTGCACTCGACACTGATACCGAAGAAAAGATTCAAGAAAGCTTCGCTCAGCTAGCGGAAGGCAGAACCATGCTCATTATTGCCCATCGGTTGTCCACCATTATCAACGCCGACCAGATCCTTGTTCTGCACAACGGCAGTGTCGTCGAACGGGGCACCCACGATGAGCTCCTCGCCACTCCCGGCGGTCGCTACGCTAGCATGTGGCGCAAGCAGAGTAGAGCTCAGAAGGCGAAGGAAGAGGCAGAGCAGCTCCATAACCAGGCGCGGCGGAAAATCGAAGAAGCCGAAGCTGAAAGTGCCAGTGTCAGCGAGGACGAGTCGGACATGCACGCCGGCGCCAGTAGGAGAACAGCGGCGAGTCGGAACAGCAGCAGACCAGGCAGCAGTCGCGGCCAACGAGCTCCCGGACAGAAGTACGGACACAAGAAAGTCAACTTCAGCCAGAGCAGCCTGGCGAGAGGTGTATGGAACGCAACCGAGGGCGATGTCGAAGCACAGTCGGAGAACGACAGTGATCCTGCATCGACGCAGGCATTGGCGCCCGTAAATGGCAACATCCCCAATGGGCAGCAGGATCGATCCGGTGCTTCGTCGCCGGGACGTACACCACAACCTCCAGCGGAGAGGTCGGAAGAGGAGAAGAGGCGGCGAGAGGAGATGCGTCGTGCATACCAAGCTAATCAGACTGACGAAGGCGGAAGTAAGTGGCTTGGGGGAATGCCGCCAGGCCATCCTTAGGCGGATTTCTGGAAAGGCATCAACCGTACCTTTACACCCCTCTGGATCCCGTGCATGAGATCTCAGGAGATTCACCATCGACTCCCGTACTAGCATCATCCGAGATCGACGTTCCTCCACTCGAACACCACAACTTCTGCAACTCTACCATTCCCTCTTCATCATTCATTCGGATTGTCATTTCTCAACTTCAAGCAGGCGGCAGGCATACGGCGTTTACAGTCCATTCCTGTCCTTTCGCAGAATCACTTTGTGGGTGGCGGTGATATGATTTATGCAGCAAAAGCACCCAGAATGTCGACTTTGGCTATGGTCAAGTCAGATACTTTTTCGGGAAAGATGAGGAGCCGCATAGGCATTTTGTCGCGAGAAGAAGGAAAACGATGAGATGCTGGAAGGGTCTTTCGAGCGGCAAATCTTCTGAAGGGGAAAGCAAAATTGAAAAGTATTTGCTGGTGATTGATATCAGTCAATCACTGACTTCGTAAGCGAGATTCATAATAGCAGAAATGCGCGGCGCAAGCCATTGGAAGCAGTCGGCCCATTCAATCAATCATTCATCAAGTCTAGCTAGCTGTGCAAGAAGCTCCATTCACTGGCACGTAGATTCCAACCAGTGTGCCCGTTCCACGACCAATAAAGCCCATGTTAGAAGAATTCCTCCACGTTGATTCAAACCGCCCCCAACCCGTGCTTATATGAATAAAGCTCCCTTCCCACAGTAAGCAAGCGTCGCAGAGAAGCTGAATAGAAACCAGAACCAATCTCCCCATCGCGGATCAACGTCTAATGCGCCTAAGCAGCGGCCACACTCCAGTCGCCGTCGCTGTGGTGCCAGCGTCTGCCTTCTTTCCATCATGCACGGCACCATCGTTCTCTTGGTCGCGATCAGACTTGACCTCCTTCACAGTAACGAGCGAGCCGCCGCTGAAGACGCCGGCGAATTTGCTTTTCAGGTTCTCGAAGGACTTGAGTTTCTTCGGCTTGGCTGGACGGTTGTTGGTACTGGAGATTTGCTTCTGAGACTGCATCTGGGGTTGAGGTTGGGCTGGTGTCTTCATGCGTTCTGGCGAAGGTGGCGTGGGCAGGGAGAAGTTCTGGTGAGTCGAATATCGTTGTTGAGGCTTCGGCGGCAGCGACGGCGGGGTCGAGCTTTGCGTGCTGTTGGCGGACTGAAGGTTTTTGGTGGCGAGTTCGAGGGCTTTCTGCGCGGTAGCGAGAGTCTGCTGCATCTGTGTGAGGGCAGTTTGGGCCTTGACAACAGCGGCATGAGCTTCTTGTACGGCTCGGGAGGCGTCTAGGACGTCAGATTGAGTTTGTTGAGCTGGCTGCTGTGGTTTGGTTAGTACTTGTGTTGGCGCAGAGGAGCTGTTGCGCGCGGAAATTGAGGGATCGATTGGAACTGGGGTGATGACTGGAGCAAGTAGAGCAACTACTGGGGTGGAAGAGGCGACTGACGTTGGTGCAGGTTCTGTCTCCGACGCCGCCTTCTCTGTGCCATTGCTCAAAGGGTGCTCCGCAAGGAACTTCTCGGCCTCCTTACGAACATCGTAGCCGAAGAAGAACTGGCAGATGCCCGGGCTGTGCGGGACAGAACCGGTGGGAGGGAGGGGCCCGTCGTAGTACTGCCGGATCACGCCTTCCTGTTTCTTGTAGTTCTCCATTGCTTGCGGGCCCGGGATGACGGGCTCGGTGAGAATCTGTGTGGCGGAGACGCGGCCGAGGCGGAATTTCTCGAATTGTTGGAGGCGTTGGAGGAGGAGTGCGGAGGGGGCGGAGTCGACGCCTGATGAAGCGGGGAGGTTGTCGAGGAAGAGCTCCAGTGCGGCGGCGTCTTCGATTGAGGACGAGACGCCCTGGGCGTGGGTTAGGAGCATGGGGTGGCAGGCGTCGCCGATCAGGACGGTCTTGCCGCGTGTCATTTTCTTGAGGGGTTGGCGCTTCATTTGGGTGTACACTTTGACTTCGGGGGCCTTGAGGAAGGCTTTTTTCACGTGTGGGTGGAAGCCGTCTAGGACTCTTTCGAGGTCCTCGTGGGTTGCGGGGTAGTTCCAGTCCTTGATAACTTCTTGCTCGCTGGTGCCGTGGGTGGCTAGGGATCGGCAGACGGCGAGGACGTTGAGGATCTTGTTGTCGCGGCAGGGGTAGGTGACGACCATGACGCCCTTTGCTGGTAGAGCGGGAGCCCAGAACCCGGGGGGTTGATTTTCAAAGAGGCCTTTGGTTTCTTCGTCGGCCATGATGTCCTCCATTGGGATCAGGCAGCGGTATGCGGTCTGGCCAGATCGCTGCATGGGGACTTCTACGCCGGTGACTTTGACGTTGATCTGATCGTGTTGGCCGTCGGCGACGACGACGAGATCCTTCTGGAACTTCTGGCCGTCTTTGATTGAGATCGTTCCGGATTCGATGTCTACGTCTACCACTTGGTGACCAAGCCGGATGATGGCGCCTTCTGCTTCAGCAAGTTCCCGGAGCGTCCGGTGCATGTCCACACGGTGGTAAAACAGCCAGCGAGTGCCGAACTTCTCCTTGACGTCCGCGAAGGAGAGAGTTGGCGCCATGGGTTCAAGCGTGTCGCCTTTCGGTCGTCTGACCTGGATGTTGTCGATTCCTCCGGCCTTCACGCTGTCGAAGCCCCAGTGGTTGAGGATGCGTCCGCCATTGGGAGGTATTGACACTGCTGCGCCTGCTTCATTTTTGAACTGCGACCTCTCGAAGACCTAAGCACAGTCAACCTAATGATCTGCTTAGATGTTCGTCTTTGCTCACTTCTACATCGTGGCCGATTTTGCGTAGTGCTATGGCAGCCGACAGCCCGGCTACACCTGCGCCGACAATACCGATTTGTAGCGAAGCTCCGGGCATTCTGACTGACGATTGTCGCTGTTGTTGGCGTGTAAGATGTTGTCTGCCGACAATGCTACTGGTGTACTGTTACAACGAAAACAGAGGTCACAACAACCTCAACGACAATGACCCTTTTCTGTACGGTCCGTGGACTGAAACAGTATAGCTCATTATTGACAAGCACCCACATGCTCTTTTTATAAATTGTCGATAGATTAGCCACATTCAGGGGCCTAGGCCAAGGTTCTGGGCCAGGCGTCCAGGCGCCAATAGGACGGGCCGACGGCTGAGTTTATTGTACGCGTCCTACATTTTTCGGTACGTGGCTGTCGTCTTGATGTTGACGGTGGTGAGCTGAGCAACGCATATACACTGTCTGGCATCCGGCAGGTACATGGCTGTTGGTCACAATAATCGACACGAAACTGTGAGTCTGTAGTCCCTCTAGAGACAACGTCCACGACGCTTCAAAGCACCCGTTTGAATTAGCGTTCGGACTGGCATTCATAAGGGATTCTTGGTCCTGCAGGCTTGAGCCGTGTGCAGACCTCCGATCCTCTTCAGCCCTTCCATCATCTCGATTGATGAGGACTGAGTTCATGGCTCATCACAGAGATGACATTGCAAGAAGATTTGGAGATCAGCAGTTGCGCAGTGCCACGAGGTCAATGCTTTCAACCCGACTGTATGGTCGTCTCCATTTCCGCATGGCTGGATTCATTGTCCGCGCCGCGATCCTGGATCGACCAGTTCTACATCTGCTCATGATGACCGGTTTCGGAGGAGATAATATTCTTGAAATATGCATAAATGCAGTGCTCTTGTCTCGCTGCTACTGCCCATGGCAGTCACTGCGAATATGCCTACTTGCTAGAATCGGACATCCTTCGGACTCTTCAGGCACCAGGCCAATCGAAATGCCGAGAAAGCCAAGCCACAGTTCCGGACTTCTGTACAGACTTCTGTGCATATCCGTGTGTCTTACTACATGGAGGATGCACCTGTAGGCTGCAACAATGTCTCTTGCATGTGTACTCAGGCCTGGTGAGTAGGCGAAAATTCAACGCGAGAGTCGTGTCCAGAGGCCAGTGTCGACTGAGTGATGTACCACCTGCATAAATATGCCCAGATGTGGTTGGTCAACCGGCGTGACTGAGTGATCGACTCCTTCCCCGTGTCGAAAGTACTTCATGGTGGTTGCTGCTACAAGACTCATGGTCACGCTCACAGGGCATGGCCTCGATCATCTCCTCCATATAGAGTCATTGCGCAATGTTACCTCAAGTCCCCAGAATCAAGCCTGACACACCGATATTGGCAGAATCAAGTGACTGATACAATCAGTCGTGTAAGCTTTCCATACAATCCCCAGAGCCGAGCTCTGTCCTCCAAAAACCAAAAACACCAACCGGAGTGCTCTTCACCGGCCATGCTGACCAAAGGTCAGTGCTTCGTCCCCGGCAGCGTCGCCTGTGCTTCAGCCCCTGGCAACCCAGGCGGCGGACCCTTCATTCTCCTCTCAACACCCTCTCTCCCTTTCCACCCCTCTAGCTCCTCTTCCACACCCGTCCTGTTGCTGCCACTACCATCGCCTCTTCCCTGCAATCCGTTGTCATTGACCTGCCCTCCACTGGCCCTGTATAACTCTCCCATTCGAGTTCCCTCAACCCTCTCAAGCATTCCATGCCTTCGCAGACTCTCCCTTCGCATGTCTAGTTGTCCACCGTCGGCGGCGCGATGTAATGCGGCATTTCGTTTGGCGGCGTTGATCGAGGAGACAGAGTAGGTGTATAAGATTATGGCCATCGTGAAGGCGGCTAGCGGGGCCGCGACTGTACGTGGCGTGAATGTGCCTAGGAACCGTGATCGTTTCCGAGGAGGTGGAAGTTGAGATTTGGGGGTTGTGTGGGATTTGGGTGGTGTCCAAGCAGGCAAAGGAGCGTTCGACTGGGGCATGCTGGCGGTAGTGAAGAGGTGGCGGGCAGAGGCGCCTTTGGCAGGTCGTAGTGTAAGACCGAAGACAGGAAGCCTTCGCTGCCGGCTTGTTTGTGGCCGAATCTGGGGTCCTTTAGAATTATGTGCTCGTCACCAGCGAGCACTGCAGAAGGAGGGCTATCTCGAAAAGTCCACTGAATCTTGCAGTTGTTCACTGACATCCGCACTTCTTACTTCCGTGGTGACTGCGTCGATTTGTTGATGCAAAATCCTAGACCCGACCCGAATAACTACAATGGTGTGGTGGAAATGCGATGAGGCTCATGTAGGAGCACGAGGTATATGAGGCAGGCGAGATTTGATTGGCCAACCGACACCTGATGTCATGCGGGTATCGACAATATCTTTTCTACGCGACTAACACGCACCGCTCTCGTCCATAGCTACCTCTGTTCGTGCAAACGTGTACAACTCGCCTCGTAATTTGCTAGCGACAGCTCAATCGACCTGCGATCGTCACCGCCTGACTCTGCTCCCATGCTCCGGTAGCGAGGAGTTTCCTTCGCTCATGCGACCTATATCTTCCGCCCCAAGCCTCGGCTGGCGTGCTGCTTGGACATGCCGGCAATGCACTCAGAGCACAATACAAGCCAGCAAAAGGCAATTCAGTAGTCGCCCTAGACCCGTTCGTGTTGTAAGGCCGAAGCAGCGACGGATACTATGGTCGGCTGCGGGCACTGGCTCCCTTCTCGGAGGGGGTCTCTTCTTCCAAGACGAGATCAAGCATGCCTGGCGATCGACAGAACGAACCTCGAGAGTCGCCTCGACTTTGATGGTGTGCATCAACGAGTAAGTCTGATTTGTGGGGGGCTCATCAGTAGTTAATCTGTCCAGCTATCGGGTAACTCTCAAACAAGAACATACCGATCCTGACACCGAGGCGGCAATGCTAAGGGCGTGCCATAAGAGATGTGCAGACAGGACGCTCGAGGTGATCGAGAAGAACGGCTCGATATTCATTAAGCTGGGACAACACCTGTCGTCCATGGGATATCTCTTGCCACATGAGTGGACTGACACGTTCATCCCCTTGCAAGACAAATGCCCTGTGTCGTCGTACGAGTCGATTGAGGAAATGTTCCTGAAGGATACTGGACGGCGGATCGAGGACGATTTTCTGGAGTTTTCGCGAGAACCCATCGGCGCTGCATCACTGGCACAGGTTCATACTGCAACTTTGCGGGAGGGCTCGCAGCAGGTGGCTGTCAAGGTGCAGCACCCGAGTCTGGAGGAGTGGGTGCCACTCGATCTTTCCCTCACTCGATTCACGTTCAAGACGTTGAAAAGAGCCTTTCCTGACTACGATCTGGAGTGGCTTAGCAACGAGATGGAGTACTCCTTACCACAAGAATTGGACTTTTCGCAAGAAGGCAAAAATGCTATCGAAGCTAAGCGCTTCTTCAGCGAAAAGACAACATTTCCATTGATTATCCCAAGCGTTATTTCTGCGAGCAAACGGATCTTAGTCATGGACGCAGTGAGAGGAGCCAGGATCGACGATCAAGAGTACCTCAACGAACACTCCATCTCGCGGTCAGAAGTGAGTGCTACGCTGGCACGAATCTTCAACACCATGATTTTCCAGACTGGGGCGCCACTGCATTGTGATCCCCATGGTGGGAATATCGCGATCCGACACAACCCACGGCGACGGCGTCCCTACAACTTTGACATCATTCTGTACGACCACGGCCTATACCGACACCCTACAGACAGTATACGCCGGAACTACGCGAAGCTGTGGCTAGCGGTGATCGACGGCGACGACGCCCGTATGCGAAAGTACTCGTACGAACTTGCCGGCATTACAGACGAGCAGTTCCCACTCTTCGCATCCGCCATCACCGGCCGAGACTACCGCGTGCTCAAGAAAGGCGGCGTCGCGACAACAGCTCGAGATCAAACAGAAAAGGAGGGCATTGACGAAGTGTTCGGCGAGAACCTGCTTCGTCAGCTGGTTCAACTGCTGGGCAACGTTCCTCGAATCATCCTGCTCATCCTCAAAACCAACGATCTGACCAGAAGTCTTGACGAAAGTCTGGGCAGTCCCGAGCCAATGCGGCCGATGATGATTCTGGCCAAGTACGCCAGCTGGACAGTGTGGGAGGAACAGAAAGAGATCTTGCGTAAGGCAGGGGGATTGCTGTGGCCCCCGGGTAATGCGATCCGGCTGTTGGTCGCTTGGTGTGGGTTCATGCGTGTGGAGTTGAAGCTGTTTGCATTTGAGCGGTATCTGAGTGTTAGGAGACATTTGCATCTGGATTCGTAAGAAGACCCAGGCGAGTGGTGCTTTGGTCGAATAGATAGATCTGTACGAGCGTGGCGTTGGCGGGTAGATCATATCACAATTGCGAAAGATCAACATACTTCCACACTGTCCTTAGACGCTTGTACGTCGGAACTCGCGCCTTGCGTTAGTGCTTGCCGCTCCTTTCAACATACTACTGCAGTTCAAGTTCTCTTTTCGGCGAACGCGTTCCTTCGCGTCGACGTCATTTTGGAGGCACAACTTTCACCTCACTTTTTGGTAAGAACTCCTGAGCCGTGGCCGCCCTCCAAAAGTCAGGTCGCAACTACCCAAAGTATACCGCCAAATCCCTGCTGTGCTGTCGGTTGGTCAAGGTCTTCGTATCATCATCCACGCTACCACCAAGATGGGTCTCATCGCCCAGGCCTTCGATCGGGACGTTGGCCTCTATCAGAAGATTCTTCTTGCAATCGGTAAGATGTGGCGTCCGGTGCACAGCGGCACATGGGAGACTAACACTATACAACAGAACAAACTCCTTCGAACAAGCAGCTTTTCAATGACATCGCCGCCTTCCACCTCAAATATGCGCAGCCCGCCTCAAGCGCCCAGATCGAGGAGACCCCAGATGGACCAGCAGCGAAGAAGAGAAAGCTCGACAATGGCTCTGTGCCGATTGACACCGCAGACGTACAAGTGGACACTTTGCTAGAGATGAGAGACGTCTCCTTCTCGCTCCCGCAACGCAAAAAACTGCACTTCCGAATCAGACAAATCAACTCACCAAACATGCCAATGCCAATGATAATGATAGAAGTCATCAATCCAGCAACCGATCAGACAGAGCACTTGATCACTCCCAACGCGGTCGCACAGGTCCTCAAAACACCCGTGCCCGAGAAAGCCACCAAACAATACAACTACATCTTCATACCACACCCTGGCACACCCAAATCCATAGAAGACCCAATCCTCTTCACCGTTCCAGCTACGGCCCCAAAAGGCGGCACATACACCTTTCCGGACGGTGCAAGTACCCTCGAAGACGCCCTCTCCGTTGTTCTACAACCCTATGGTCTAAGCCTGACCCTCCCCGACGAGAAAGAGTTCGCCAGCGCAACTCCCGAAGCTCACCGCAAGAACGAGAAAGCCTACCACGTGAAAGCCTTCCGCGGCTCAAAAGACGGCTTCCTCTTCTTCCTCTCGACTGGTATATTCTGGGGCTTCAAGAAGCCCCTCCTCTTCATGGGGCTCGAAGATATCGAGAGCGTCAGCTACACCAGCGTTCTACAGAGGACTTTCAATTTGAACATTGCATATCGCAAGCCGCCGACTTCGAAGGCTGAAATCGACCAGGCTGAAGCAGCGGGGCAGTTGCCGGAACCGGAAGAGATCGAATTCAGCATGCTCGACCAGTCCGACTATGCAGGTATCAATGAGTACGTTCAGCGACATGGGCTGCACGATGCGAGCTTGGCGGCGGGGAGACGGGCGAAGACTGTCAAAAAGGAGAAAGGCACAGCTATGAATGGCGCTGGCGCTGCTGCTAACGGCCCAGATGACGAAGACGACGAAGACGACGGCAGGACAGAGCTTGAAAAGGCAGAAGCAGAGCTCCAAGACGCAGAGGACGAGGAAGAGGAGGATTTTGAGCCTAGTGATGACGACGACGATGGCAGCGGGTCCAGTGGCTCGGAGGACGACGATGAGTACGAGGCCGAACGACCCACTAAGAAGAGAAAGACTGGGAATCTTGTGCAAGACGAGTTGGGCAGCGAGGCGGAGGACGTGGAGATATCTGATGACGAGGAGGACGAAGAGGGCGATGACGAAGACCATCAAGGTATCCCGGGTGTTGAAGGCTACGAAGATCCGCACGCTATGTCTGAGATTGAGGAGGATGAAGAGGGTGACGAAGAGGAGGAGGGTGAGGAGCCAGAAGTCCTCGAAACGCCGCCTCCTAATCTGAGAGCGCATGAGACAAAAGTCAGCATGTCGATGACTCAGCAGCAAGGTCGTTGGGGCGCTGCCGTCAACGGCGGAGGCGAGCCGGATCCTGATGACGATGATCAGCTGTAGCTATTGGTAGTCAAGGCTGGTACCATACGATGAGTCAAAGCGTTTCACTATTATTCTTTTGCTTTCTTGACGCTTTGTGCTAATGCAAAGCATTGCCTAATTCAGGAATTCTTTGCGTGCTCGAGCACACCGAGTATAGCTCGCTGCATCTTCCGCATATACACCTGGCAGCCGCCCGTGGGGAGATGTGACCACACGCGTCCTAAAGCCGGTAAATGATGGGCGAGCTGTACACTCTTGTGGCCTGAATGTCAGGACTTCGACATTATCTCGTGTCGGAGCTCGCGCGAGACTGCTCCGTTCATTTGTTCTGTAGGACCTGGCTCTCCGAGTCTGCAGCCTTCCCTTGATTGTTGTCCCGAAACGTGTAGCGCGAGGCGATAAGATGAAGTGTATGTCGCCAGTTCGTCTTCCTCACGGTAGGGTTAGTAAGAATGAGACCCCGTCGTGAACAAGAGTCTGAAGTAGACCATCCTCATCTTATGGACATCAGTCGGCACGTGAAAAGAACTGGAGACCGATCTTGGGCGGATCTCAAAGTCGACACGCTCAGCCAAGACCTTTTTGGCAATCTGGCGGATGGTCTTGGAGACGAGGAGAAGACTGGGCAGCCATTCTGGGTTCCACTCGCAGGGGAGATGCTGTTCCCAGGCTCTGGGGAATACAAACCAGGTACCATCTGGGAAGTTGTGTCGTGTGGTAGATGTGTATGTATATGGTATGGTGACTTCGACTGTGTCTGGGATCGTGAAGGAAATGATCTTCTCAGGATTTCGATGGGCATGTTCGCGAGGTTTGCGGAGGGTTTGTGCTTGCGCGGAGAATCAGCGGCGAACACACCCTAGTGAGTTTGTCTGGCATACCCAAGATGGCGCGACGATAGCTTGAGACATGGTAAGTCTGGTTTTGGAGGCTGGTTGTGGCGGATGGCGGGTTGCGTATGAGAACGCGGCGACGTGTTATCGTGTCGAAGGGGTTTTTGACGATAAAGACTTGGTAGCTGGATATATGGCTGTCAAGATCATGGCGCGCTTTGAAGAGGCAGAGGGTGGCTTCGTGTCATTGTTCGAGGGGTTTTAATTTGATGCCGTTGCTCAGGTGACGCAGTGAGCGCGAACATCGGCTCAAGTGACATCCATCTAGCACTCCGATCTACTGACTTTCTTCTCGAACCTGATCTGGAACGCGTCCCACTATTCCCTTCCCGCCCTCAAGAGGCATACATCAGCCATCGGCCCGCCGCTCCGTCGATCGGCTACGCAATGAAATCCAAGGCGTGCGCGAATGTGCTCGGAGCCGCTTGGCGGAATCTCTTGGGGACGAGCAGCATTCAGAAGGCCATGTCGATGCATTCGCTCCTTACTGGTGAGAGAAGCAAGTGCTGTTGGCGGCGTACCTGTTTCAGTATCTTTGCTCATCCCGAGACAGCCAGTCTTGCCTGCACAGATGTGTCTTGACCAATGTCTGAAGTGACGGGCTGAGATATCAGCGAAGCAGGTCGGGTCGCGAATGCCTCATATCTAACAGAAGACGTCCTTCTTGAGAGCCAGGTCGACGAAAGCAAGTACGCAGTCACCTGCAGCGCTATTTTGTTCTCTCGGGCAATAGTCCCATGTCTTGATAGATGGGGTCGTGTGGAGCGATGAGTCAACGCTTGGCCCTGAAAAGGCAACCATCTCGCAAATGCTCACACAGGACTTAGGGTAAATGTTTCATGAATGGGCTGCAGGCCCGTTACTGTAGGTGATCGCATGCTCGGGATGAGACGCGGGAGTGATAAAGTTGTCATCAGAAAAGGCGAGAGTCATAACGTTACCGCGTAGTAGTGCGGCCCGGATGTCAGGGTTGGGCTTTCGAGAGAGGCAAGTGCTGCCAGAATGCGAGCGCGGGAGTTCGTGTTCGTAACACGTCGCGAGAACCGGTATAAGTACTTAGCCTCAATGAAGGGGCAGGCTTCTTGAATGGACGTCTGCACAGCGGCAAAGGTCATTTTGCACAATGTTGCAGCTCGTCTGGCTGATCACAGGTTGCAGCTCTGGCATCGGCGAAGCGCTCGCAAGGGCCATCCTCAAGCGTGGCGACAAGGTCGTGGCCACTTGTCGGGCGCCAGTGGATCGACTGAAGCACCTCGAGGATGCTGGCGCCACGATTCTCGAGCTTGATGTGACGGCCGACCAGGCAGTCCTCAATGCAGTCGTTGAGGAGGCGGTGGAGGCGTACGGAAGGATAGACGTTGTTGTTCCCAATGCGGGAACGCTGAGAGCAGTCATGTCGGAGGAGATGTCGTAGGTCTTTCCGAGGCTAAAAGGAGAAGATGAGCATGGTCGCTGACTCCACGCAACAGGCAAGAGGAGTGGGACGGTATGCTGCGTACGAGCTTCTTCGGTGTCGTGAAGACCGTGAATGCGGTACTGCCCCATTTCCGAAGCCGACGCGCTGGTACCATTTCTTTCATGAACTCGGTCAATGCATATGCACCCTTCGCTGGAGTTGCTGGGTACATCGTGAGTAAACATGCAGTCGCTGGTGAGTTCTAGTCAAGAAGGGCAGACACCTGGGATCTGGACGCTGAGCATCGCACAGGCTATGCAAAGACACTCGCAATGGAGCTCGTAGAGTTCGACATCAAGCCCATCCTGTTCGAGATTGGCTTCATCCGAACACCACTGCTTGCGACGTCCACACACGAGGACCCGAAGATTCAAGACTACCAAGCGTTATGGGACAAAGGGGTGCAGGGTGTGGTAGAGGCGCTTGCCGATAATCAGCCCGGAGACGTGGACAAGCTGGCCGAAGGTATCATCGATGTTGTCAAGCAGCCGGACCGGAAGAGCACGATTGTTCCGATGGGGAAGGACACGCTCGAGACTCTGCGGACGTATGCGGACAGTCTGAAAGCAGCGTGTGACGAGTTCGAGGATGTTGCAAACAGTGTTGAGCGAGACGAGCCCAGGAGGGGTGGTTTTGCGCAGTTGAGTCAGTATTGGCTTCTGTAGTCTGTCGATGTTGTGGAAGTAGAGAAATGTAGAGCAGAGGGCTCGATGCTGCGATGAATCTCGAGTCAAGTGCCAAGACTGTGTATAATGACGTCGTACAAGTCTTAAGACGTATGGACATTTCGCTTCAGCCGTCTCTTTTCGAGCTGTCCATCTCAACCTTCGTGACGCGGTTTGCTTCGCGTCCGATATGAAAGATGTGCCTCTTGTACGACTGCGGCTGACATCATTGCTTCTGAGCGAGCGTTCGTTCTCGACTTGTCGCGTCAATGGGAGATTTTCCCGATTCCTTCCAGTAACGGCAAAGCCGTTATGCAGACACAGTTCTAGCTCGGCGGCGGCCTCCAGCCCATCACCATCACCGGCCCCGGATATTGCGCCCCGAAAATGGTCGACGCCGCTCGCGAAGACAATAGCTGATGCCATCGAGGTCACTGGCCCGATATCCCTGGCAGCGTACATGCGGCAGTGCCTCACCTCAGACCTCGGTGGCTACTACACAACCGAAAATACATCGATAGACCAGTTCGGAAAGAAAGGAGACTTCATCACGTCTCCGGAGATATCGCAAGTGTTCGGCGAGCTGGTCGGTGTATGGTTCCTGAGCGAGTGGATGGGTCAAGGTAGACCGAAAGAGAGCGTACAGTTCATTGAGCTTGGCCCTGGGCGAGGCACACTCATGAGTGATGTGCTGCGCACTGCGGCACAGTTCAAGGCATTTTCGAGCAGTATACGTGAAGTCTGGATGGTTGAGGCTGGTCAGGCTCTTCGACAGAAGCAGTGTGAGCTACTCTGCGGCACGCAGCAGATGACTGAGAGCTATGAAGAACTTGGCGAGAGCAAGTGGAAATGGTGGGAAGCAACTTCCAAGCCCGAGTATGGTTCTGTCAAGGTCAAGTGGGTCGAGGACATAGTCCTGCTTCCTCCTTCAGCTCAGTCAGTGCGTGACAGTCCGAAGACACCCTTCATCATCGCCCACGAATTCTTCGATGCTCTGCCCATCTCCGCCTTCGAGTCCGTGGCGCCCACTGCGCAAGATCAAAAGCCAGCACCTCTACTCGACAAAGCTGGCGTGCCTATGGTTCGCCAACCATCTTCCAGCAAGACACCGCAATGGCGGGAGCTTCTTGTTACGAGGACCGAGCCGAAGATCGATCTAAAGGGTCTTCTTCGCACCGAAGCCGAGAAAGAACGAGACGACGCTGCCATAGGCAAGGATGACACTCAGTCACTGCCTGATGACTTTCGCCTCACAGTCGCACACGCTTCAACTCCAGCCTCACTGCTCCTGCCTGCTCGACCTCGCTACCGACATCTTCAGTCCCAAGTTGGGTCCCGCGTCGAGATCTCGCCAGAGACCGCGCGTTACGCAGGCGCCATCGCCCACTTGATTGGTGGGAGGACAGCTTCGCAGAGCAAGCAGCAAAGTCCCGCGCCTAGCGGTGCAGCTCTGATCATCGACTACGGTCCACTCGACAACATCCCGATCAACTCACTCCGCGGCATAAAGTCTCATCAGATAGTCAGTCCCTTCAAACATGCCGGTGAAGCCGACCTCAGTGCAGATGTAGACTTCGGCGCACTGGCGGATAGCATGCTCGAGGCGAGTGAGGGCGTCGAGGTACACGGACCGGTCGAGCAGGGGACGTGGCTGGAGCAATTGGGGGTGCGGGAGAGGGCGGGGAGGGTTGTGAAGCAGATGCAGGGGGCGAAGCAAGATGAGGATATGCAGGAAAAGATCAAAAGCTTCGAGTCCGGGTGGAAGCGCTTGGTCGAGGCGGGGCCCAGAGGGATGGGCAAGGCCTATAAAGTCATGGCTGTCTTACCCGAAGGAGGCGGAAAGAGACGGCCAGTGGGCTTCGGCGGACAAGTCGTCGGCTGAGAATAATCAGCATATCGAATAACCACGCACCAACTCCCGGTGAAAGTGGGATCTCCCTCATCGCAGCGTAGGACCTCCAAGTTAGAACATGACAGTCGATGTCGAGCCAAGCCTTGGCATACGTCGTGCTACACCTGCTTCACTTTCTCCGCCTGACCTTTGCAGCATCAATGCATCTGTCGTCCAACAATATCGAGCAGCGCCTAATGCTAGGAAAATTCTTATGAACGTGGTGACCAGAAGGTAGGTCAGCAGCCTCGTACCACATCATTGGCGCTTCATGACACGCCGACATCCTCTACGACAGCAGACGGAACTGTACTCTGATCACGAGCTTCACCGAGCTTCACCCCCCAACCCTTTGAACTACTGCAGGTCCCGCATCCCCACGCAGATCATCGCATAAACAAGGTAAGATCGTTCAGAAAACTTGGGGTGACGCTGCATTGGATGTGACTTCCCCGCCAGCATGGAACGTCACTGCCAATTGCGCCGATGGCCGGCCTGGCTTACATCGGCAAACGATGAAGCGGGCACGGTGGCAGATACAAAATGTGAACGCTCGCATGCTCGCAAAGAGGCCCAGCCGGTGTGCGAAAGCTCTCCAGCAGAGTCTCAGACATGACATCCAGGATCCTGTACAGCCTCGCCTCTTTGCTGGCGAGCACTTGCGTACATGCGCAGTACAGCCAAACCGAGTTCAATGGTACCTGTCCCGACTATGTGGTATACGCCGGCGAGCACCACGGCCCGTACTCCTCGGGCGCATACAACTTGTCTTACCAGCGTCCGCCACTGCCATGTCGAACGTGGAACTCTACAGAGGTTGAAGGTGCTCTCGAGAGCATGCGCGGCACGATAGCTGATGCAGATCTGTATCGTCTGTTCGAGAATTCGTTTCCGAATCCACTCGATACTGCCATCAAATGGCATGGTGTGGCTGCTAACAATAGTGAAGAGGAGCTGACTTTCATTATTACTGGTGATGTAAGTTTTCCTGCTTCGGGTAATGTTGGGATGGGTTCTGGCTTCGCTATCAGCCCGAAGGCTGGCGGGAATCTTGGCCAGCCTGAGCGGCCCTTTGGGCCCTTCCACGACCCATGATCCTGGGCTTCATACCGTTGCTTTCCAACAAACGAGAGACTAATCTGTCTACAGATCAATGCCATGTGGCTACGTGATTCTGCCAATCAGCTACAGTCCTACCTGCCTCTCCTCACGGCCAACTCCTCGCAGGATTCCCTAGCATCGCTTTTCCGTGGTTGCATCAATCTTCAGTCGCGCTACATCAACACTTCGCCGCATTGCAACGCCTTCCAACCTCCTGACGAGGCAGGCCTAGGAGTCAGCGAGAATCCCTACGCCTTGACTGACCGGGTCTTCCCCAGCTATAGCAATGAGTCGGTTTTCGAATGCAAGTATGAGCTTGACTCGATCTCGGCCTTCTTGCAAATCTCCTCGCAGTACTACACCGCTACACAAGATCTCGACTTCTTCAACCGCTTCCAGTGGGTCGACACTGTCCGGACAGTCCTGAACACAGCATACGAGTTGCAAAACGGCACATACGACAATGATGGTCGGGTCCTTGACCAGCCGTACACATTCCAACGTGAAGCTGATTCCTCATTCGAAACTCTTGGCAACACAGGTCGCGGAAATCCCGTCAAAGGCGGCACAGGGCTGGTCCGCTCTGCCTTTCGACCGTCGGACGATGCGTGTACTTTCCAGCTGTTCATCCCGGCCAACATGATGTTCTCGCACTTCCTGATGAAGACCGCTTCAATCATGGCCCAGCTCAATCACAGTGACGCCGAGTCGCTCTCCCAGGAAATGGGCGCTCTAGCGTCGCAGATCCAGCTCGCGATCAGCAGGTACGGCATCGCGCCCACTCAGGCTCCAAACGCGCCTGGATCGTTCTCATACAGCGCCACCGGCAACATGATATACGCCTTTGAGGTCGATGGCTATGGATCAAGCATCCTCATGGATGACGCAAACGTCCCGTCGTTGCTTGCTGCGCCCTTCTTCGGATTCCACCCCTCTGACCCGCTTTATCAAGCGACTCGTCAGTACGTTCTGTCTGCCCAGAACAGCTACTTCATGCGCGGACCCGAAATATCTGCTGTAGGCGGGCCGCATCAGTCGTTTGGGATGGCGTGGCCCATGGCTAGTATTGTACGGATTATCACGGCGGGTAATCATCCTTCGCCTTCGGAACCACTCATGTATGGGTCCAACTCCAGCGGGAACACTTTGAGTGATGCAGCAAAGGCCGAAATTAGGAACGAGTTGCAGCAGCTATTGAGTAGCACGGATGGGTATGGGCTTATGCATGAGAGTGTCAATTCGTGGAATAGTAGCGATTGGACGAGGCAGTGGTTCAGTTGGGCGAATGGGCTGTTTGGGCAGATGATATTAGGGTTGGATGGGACGGGGTTGTTGGAGGAGACTTATCAGCCGTGATAGGTGGTCCTCAGCCGCATATATCCGATACACTGATGATGAGACTCACAAACAGAGTGAAGCAATTGCATTGACTAGAGGTAGCATAGCGGCCTCCCTGGCAACATTTCGTGAAGTCGAACAACCCACTCTCGTCGCCCAATGATCACGTGACCTTCTGGCACGCCCCAAGAGTGTCATCCGGCGTGAGATCTGGCCTGTCCGCATCCGATCGCATTGAACATACGACACGTGTGATCAACTGTACACGGATGACTTCATTCTTCAGACACACATGGACTTCCGGTAGCGATCAGTATTGATGAGCCTGCCAGTATGGCACGATATCTAGCATTTCTTTGGTGTTTTCTGTGTATGAACATCCTTCTACGCCCTCGATCGTCGCTAACAAGTCACAGCTATACTCGCATTACTGAGCGTTCACGTACCACATACTCCTTCGAGCCTGGTCAGCGGTCGGGCAGCCTCACCGCTCGACTTGGACACTTCGTTTGGCCAGCGACAAGCCCGGTACGAGCAGTACCTAGCCGATGGTGGCAACGATGCTGTTCACAAGGCCTGGTCTCGCCTACGAGATCTGGAACCGCAATGGAAAGAAGCATACTCAACGAGCGGCTCGACAGGGCTGATGGGAAGCGCATGGTACTACACAAAGGCTCTATTGAGGGTCTTGTTCGTGAACGCGCCTTCGACCACCCCAACTTCGGCTAAAGCCACATATACGCTGAGGCCTGGCCTGAGGAAAGCTGTCGATGACCTCGAAGCCAGTGCGGCGTACGATGACCCGGACGCCATATATTTGTTGGCTGAGATGAGTCTGCATGGCAACTTCACGCATCCACGGGACCCTCAGCGGGCTTTGCATTGGTACTCGCAACTTGCGAGCCTCAACGGGAACAGCACAGCACAGTCTATGGCGGGCTTATTGTATGCCACGGGCATTGGAGGAGTCGAGACAAACCAGGCAAAAGCAATGCTATACCATCAGTTCGCTGCTGATAATGGCAACACTCGATCGGAAATGACTCTGGCATTCCGCTACCATTCGGGCATCGGCACACCTCGAAGTTGTGACGACGCAGTCAAATACTACAAGCGTGTCGCCGACAAGGCAATGGCATTTTGGGAAGCCGGTCCTCCAGGCGGTGCGCAACTACCGCGGAACGCTTACCGATGGGCCGAGGTGACAGGAGGCGTTTACGGAGAAGGAGCCAGTCACAGTAGTTCAGGGCCGAACGCTAGACGCGGCGACGCCCACGATCACAAAAACTTTGAGAACATCCTCGAGTACTACATGATGAACGAAGCCTCTGGAGATATTAGCGCTACCTTCATGCTGGGAAAGCATTACTATGACCCACCACGTGGCTATAAGCGCAACCTTCGTGCTGCACGACGGCAATTCGCGAAAGTAGCCGGCATGTACTGGGGCAAAGACGGCAAGATCAACGCGAAAGCACCCGAGAACACCGAGAAATGGGCTGGTAAGGCAGCTGCATATATCGGAAGGATGTTCTTGAGGGGCGAAGGCATGGAGCAGAACTTTGAGAGCGCCATCACGTGGTTCGACCGCGGGATTTCTAACGGTGACCCTTATGCCCAATATCACAAAGGTCTGATGTACCGAGACGGACTTGGTGTTCCACAAGACGGCGCCAGGGCTGGCAACTTCCTCAAAGCATCCGCAGAGCAGGGTTTCGCTCTTGCGCAATCGGCTCTCGGCGTCATGTTCCTGGACCAAGACGACGTTGAGACCGCCGCTCGCTATTTCCAGCTGGCGGCCTCCGCAGGCATCATGGAAGCCTTTTACTACCTCGCCGAAATCACCCACCTCGGCATGGGCCGTCAACGAGACTGCGGCCTCGCCACTGTCTACTACAAAGTAGTCGCCGAACGCGCAGAAAACGTACACTCCGCCTTCCTCGAAGCCAACAACGCCTACGAGCGCGGCGATTACGAGCGAGCATTTATACCCATGCTAATGGCCGCCGAACAAGGCTACGAGTCGGCGCAAGCCAACGTCGCCCATCTCCTCGACCAAAGCACTTCGTACCTCTCCCTCGGCACCATCCCCTTCGTCTCCCAACCGCCCAAATCCACCGGCTCCCGCCTCCTCAACAACGTCGGCCTGGCTCTCGTCTACTTCACCCGCTCAGCCAAGCAAGCCAACATCGACTCCCTCGTCAAAATGGGCGACTACTACTCCTCAGACCTACCCGCAATAGCAGCTTCTCAAGCCCAAAACGCGCCAGCAGCCGCATTCCCATCACCTATTGCATCTGGATTCCCGGACCATGAGAAAGCAGTCACCTGCTACACCACCGCCGCCGACGGCCACCATTCGGCGCAAGCATACTGGAACTTGGGTTGGCTGCACGAAAACGGCTTCGGGAGCGTGAAGCAAGACTTCCATCTCGCGAAGCGGAACTATGACATGGCGTACGAGCTGAATAAGGACGAAGCGTATTTGCCTGTTAAGCTCGCTCTCATCAAATTGCGGGTGAGGAGCTGGTGGAATGGGGTTAGCGGAGGGAAAGTGAATCCAATTAGGGACGAGGCCGAGGAAAACGAGGAGAACAGCAAGCGGCCGAAGACTTTCTGGGAATGGCTCAACCGCTTCTTAGACAATTACGAAGAGATGGATGCGGCCGAAGCACAACGCGCTGCTGCCCACGGAGGAGGTGAGAACGACATGGATTGGCTCACGGAGCCGGGGATGCCCGGTGGCGATGCTGATTATGCTGCCGGACGACCTACTGCCGGTAACAATGGCGGGTTTGACGCAGGAGGGGATGACTGGGAGGACTTTGATGATGGGCTGGTGGAAAGCTTGATCATTATTGCGCTGGCGGGGGCGTTGGCTTTGTTGGTTTATGCGAGGCAGCAGCAGCAGCAGGGGCGGAATAACGCTAATGCCAATGGTGGGCAGGCGGGGCAACAGGGGCAGGCTCAGGCGGCCCAGAGGCTGCTCAACCGCAACAGCAGCCGCCTGCGCCTCCGCCAGCTGCTCCGGTGGGCAATGCGGTGCCACCGCAGCAAGGCCAGGCTCAAGCACAACAAGACGATAACAATCGCGATCCGGCACAGGGCGGAGATCGGGGCATGTTTCCTCCGCCGGGTGATCCGAATTTCAATAATTGGGTTGCCGGTGGGATCGGGCACTGATCAGACGATCAAGTCGAATCCGATGCAGGTCTGGAGGGCATGAATTAAAGCTTGTAGATCACCATTACCATTTCAAGCAACCCGGCTGTAGTCTCCATTCGTTGTGCACTTGCGATTCAATGAATCGCCGGAACTTGACTTGACAGTTCTCCTACGCCACGGATAAACCTAAGTCTCAGATCAAGTTGAAATTACAGGCAGACTCGAAGACACTAGTCATCGACTGACTCAGAACCACGCAGAGAACAGTGAATATTCCAGGACGAGTCAGTGAAGTCATTGAGATCGGTTTGCCTCGGATGTCTGATCTGTCGAAAGGGTATAAGTAGTCGTCTCGCGCTCGACTTAGTCCCATTCTTTTCCACCACGAAGGCTTCATCGACCCTCCATTGTCATGCCCTGGCATCACGTGCTGCTGCATGGTAGGACGAATACCGTCGTGTGATGTCGGCTCTGGCTCTGAGGCGCTGTTGATGGAAGGGTTCACACAAACGACAATAATACGCCTGGAGAAGTTGAAGAAGTGATCGATCGGCTTGCTTCGGATGTCAGACTTGTGGGAAAAGTACACTGTATTTATTTTGCCCTCAACTTAACCCTTTTCTCTTCATCGACAACTAAATCTTTTCGCCACGTCGTCATGCCTGATAGCACGTGCTGCTGCGTGGTGGGACGCGTAATATAGTGGCATGGTCGACTCTGGTCCCGAAATTATGTCCACGAAGGAATCTATTCTGTCCGAGGTGTTAATATGGGCTCGCCCTGGACAACACACGCACCCAAATTGGCCGCATACAAACCACGGCGGCATTGAAATCTGCTTGTAAACCTGCGCCGGGATCTGAAGTGTCAGCTCCATGGCGTGATCAGCATCGCTGGCTCCTTTTCCAGACACGCTCAAAGGCAACGCATGGGCCCCGAACTTCTGGCTAGTATCCTCCTTAATATTGCGGTGTGCTCCCCCTTAGCCTCACACGCACCCATAACGGGTGCATGCAGGCGACGGCCGCGCTGAAATCTGCCTGTAACCCTGCGTTGTTAGGGTCGGAAATCTCAAGCTCAAACTGCCCAACGACCATAGCAACAACCATCTTCATCTGCATCAGCGCAACTTCTTTGCCGAGACAGGCTCGACGCCCACGGCTGAAGCCCATGTGCGCTGCTTCCATCTGCCTCAGTTCCTCCTTGTTTGCTTCGAGCCAGCGCTCAGGTCGGAAGTATGCTGCATCGGCGCCGTAGACATGCGTATCAAGGTGAATGGCAGCAGGAAGGACGCCAACACTTGTGCCGGCAGGAATGCGGATATCGTCGACGAACATGTCGCCTTCCGGAACCAACCGCTCGATGGGCCATGTGGCGGAAGAGAACAGTCTCATTGCCTCCTTGATTACCGCGCCGAGGTAGGGGAGGTCTTTGAGCGTACTGTGCCTGGGGAATTGCCCTGCGCCTCCGTACGTACCACCGTTTGTGGTATGTGTATGCGCATCCAGCTCAGCGCGCAGCGCAGCCAGCGCAGGATGATGCGTGTACAGGTAGTAGAAGATAGCGGTCAGCGTTGTAGCAGTGGTATCCCCGGCGCCTGAGATGGTGGACATGAGGAGCCGATAATGCCGGATTTGTCGAGGAGGTTCGGGTGCGCGGCGGAGGCGGAGATGAAGGATTGCAGGAGGTCGTCTTGGTGTGAGGGTTTGGTTGTTGAAGACATGGTGGAAGAGGGTGGCGCAAGCCGGGTTTGCAACTTTGTTACAGCGGCAGCAGCCATGGACGAAGGCGTCTGGGCGCGACGGATGGAGATCGGGTTCCGGTAGATCAGGCGCTCAAGGCTCGGCCATGAAGACCACCGGCCCCAGTGGTAGAAGCGTGCGCGAATCAGTGCGATGGTGCCGTCTGTGTCGTGTCCGGAGGAGAGGTAGCCGCGAGATTCGGAGAAGGCTTGACGCGCAGCGCTGTCCATGCTGAAGAGCATTGTCCAGTGCGCGAGGTCGATCGGCTGGTTTTGCTTCGCGAGCCGGACGAGGTGGGAGTGCAGCTCGCGGATTGTTGTGTCGATGCGGCTTTCCAGTGGTGCGACGCCCGCAGGAGTGAATGTACTCGCGATAGAGCGACGGAAGGCGCCATGTTTGGCTTCATCGGCCGTGCTGACCAAGCTGGGGACTTCGCGGCCGTTGGAGATGCCGACGAGGACTTTGTAGGAGTCTGCTGTTACGAAGCCGGCGCGGGAGCCATAGATTTGGGGGATGGCGGATGGCGTGGAGATGGAGATGGAGTTGACGCCGTAGCGGACCAGTGGGCCGTGTTTGGAGTGGAGGGCGAGGAGTTTGGTGCGGAGGCCATGGGGTTGGTTTTGGTGGTAGAAGCGCCAGAGGTCCGTGAGGGCGGCGAGGAAGGGGCCGGGGATGTGGGATAGGCGTCTGTATCGCGTGATGAGGCGGGCGGCGAGGAGGAGCAGGAGGCTGACGAGGAGAGTGACCGACACAAAGCTGAAGTGGAAGGCGTTGACGGTCATGGTGACGATGAGGTGGCTTGGATGTGGAAGGCAGGACGAAGTTGACGAAAGTGGTGATGGTCGTTTTCTTTGAGCACAAACATCACACGAGCTGCCTTACCTATACGCTCGAGTATATTCCCTGGATGAGCGAATGGTCGTCATGCTAACGCTTGCGTATGTAGCGCTCGCATATAAGTCACACAAATCACCTCTATGCTCCAGCTCCTGGTCGCCTGAACCGGCACTTACATCTTAAGTTCGAGGATGATTGGCCTAAAAGGGGACTTGGAACGGAGGCTTGACGAAAGGTTGATTGTTCCATCGATCAGTCATCACGTAGGGGTAGTATCTGTGAGCTTGCGCAATGAGACGCTTCGTCGATCACAAGCTCTATCTGCCGGAGGCAGGAACAATGCGAGGACTCCAGGCAAGATGGAGGGAATAGAGAGGCAAGAGACTCTGCCTTGATATTTTCGGTAGGTACCTAAGAAGACACTACAGAGTTTTCTTGGCGGTCTGGAAGCCTAGTGGGGGCAGGCTCGTCCTCCTACTTCTGACAATCCGACACTACCGCTCGTCGGCATCCTTGCATCCATCGATCTCTAATGCTGACTGCTCGCTTGTGCATTCTGAACCTTGTGAAGTCCTCAATAGCCAGCTTCTCGTCCGCCATGATCCGATCGAGGTGACAATTGGCGCAGGTGAGGCCGTTGTCAGTACGGTGGTACGTCCTGCTGGGACGTCTCTTTGTGGACATTAACGGACGCAATGGCGACCATACCTCATCTTTTGGTCAAGATGAGTCCTTCGGGATGCTAGTAGTGCGGCAGAAAGAGATTCAATGTTGTCCATGAGCACCGCTGGACGGAATCAGCAACGAGAATCTCGTGTTTGCGATGATTTGGCCACCAGTCCCAACGATCGTGACGCCTTTGTCCCAGTGCTGCCCCAGACCAAGTGCGCGGACTCAAACTTTGTCTACCTGGGCCAGAGGTCGTTGACTTTGCGAACGGACTCGAACAAAGGACATGGGAGGGACTGCCGGTCATTGTTGCCTCAAGTCATGCATGGCAAATGCTGTCTCTAGCGGCTGCTATCGCAACACAAATCTATCGTGCAGGATCCCACCTTCCACAGGCTAGTGCTTCTTCAGTGATGGGTGCCAATATGCTGAATATTTGGACCTTCGCGGTCATTGCGCCATTGACCTCACTTGTCACGTCCACAAGTGTATGCGGCGACCAAGGAGGGCCGCCAGGGTCTACCTGGACCAACACCTGCGACCTCGCTGTGCTGGTGGGGCGTGAGTACACCCTGTCAGAGATCATCCGGAGGTGTTGAGGTTGGCACAAAGGCTAACACACAAATTTTCCATGCGCAGAAAACGGGACTGGTCCCGAGAAAACCTGCGCCTCCACTAAAGGGGTGTCTGCGCAGCTGGATAGCGCGTTCGGCTGCGATCACGTAACGACGAAGAACGACACAGGTGCCAGGCCCGGGTACTCCAAGTGCCGCAACATCGTGGATCAGGCGATCGATTTTCAAGGCTCTACTGGTGACTTTGTTGTATATTGCAATGGGTGCACGAATGGAACTGGCTGGACGCATGTCAAGGTCTACGACCAGAAAGGCTGCCCTAGACCAGAGCTGAAGCCGAGGGCGCAGGTGTACGATATTGTGAAAGGGTTCCCGGATCCCACTGCTGGCATGTGGTGTGCGAGTGTGAGTATCCTAGTCTTTATCGCGGACTGATTCGGTTGACCATCTTATGTGCCATTAGCCCGGCTTCAAGGTCAAGAGCTTTCTGTATCTGAACCCTTATATATAGAGATGTCCAGGACACGACCGGCCTACCCAGCTGGCAACTATCTTCTAGCAGTTGCAATCATGTTATGCTCCGACATGTCTCTGCCATCCATGGATACTTGGTTCTCGCGGATGAGGTACACATGGTCACCACTCCGCTGTGAGAGAACGCACGGACCAGCGCTCGGTTGTCTGACCGAAAGGCTCTTTCGGCCCAAAGCACGATTCCTTTGTCCTCACTGATGAAAGAGACTGATGCGAGGTCCGTGGACGCAACAGGCGCGTGAGAGATGCGAACGACTCCAAACAAAGGACATGCGCCGAGCTACATCTCGGTGTTGCTTCGAGCCATCCCAAGTGCGCCGTAGGGAACGTTGGCTGCTCTAGCGATACAAGCGTGGCTTGATCACTGTCCAGAAGTTTTCTTCTCGGATCGACGGAGCTTCCGGGGTAGTGAATACTTCCCAGCGATGCGCATCAGCAATCTAAGAATCAGCAGCTTTGCGACCATCACTCTACTCCTGCTGCCAGCCGCCACGTCTGCTGGCAAATGGGGCGATGACGTGTCCGAAACCATGGACTGGAATAACCTCTGTAACTTCCTCCCGCTACTCGGAGGTAAGCCATTCCCTCCAGTCAAGCACTCTGAACCCGCTACCGAAGCCATAAGGCTGATACTCAACGCGGAGACCTACAGCAAACGGCACTGGTCCAGAAAAGACTTGCTCATCCGTGAGACCATTAAACACGAACGGCGGCTCAGAGGGCATGTATGGAGGCAGCTACTACACAAGCAAAGAGGCAGGCACCACACCAGCACGCTCAAAGTGCCGTGACCTCACACCCGATGCTATCAATGCGGAAGGTCCCACGGGCGATTTTGTTGTTCTGTACAATTACTGTACTAATGGCACTGGGTGGACACATCTCAAGATCTATGATCAGAAAGGCTGTCCCGGGCTGCTTTCGAGGCCGAAGACTATGATATATGACGTTGTCAGCAGCTTTACGGAGTATTTCACGACTGGACAGCCATATTGCATAAGCGTAAGTGTCTCCTCGGTAAACCCCTGAATGTGTCCCAACCTGCATCACGGGAGAACAGTCCTGCTGACTACATTGTGTGTAATAGCCTGGCTTCAAGGTCAAGAGCTTCTTGTACTTGAAACCATAAGTACAGCTGCAATGTCTCTTGGCGGCGAGGAAACACATCGCTGGCCACAGCACAAGTTTACTATGTCACTCAATCAATGGGAATGTTGCGAAGCTTGCCGAACAGCAGTGCAATACTGGCTGAACCACGGAGTTGCTTTGTCTCCTTTGACCAAAGAAACTGTTGCGAAGCTTGCTTGAACATAAGCACGATGGAGATGCGAACGGTGTCGAACAAAGAACCTGGGTGGCACTACGGGTTATTGTTGCCTCGAGTCAGCGCAGACTTCATGTTGTGTACATCGACTGCTGGTGCAACCGAAGTGCGTGGCTCGTCTGCTGTCTAGATACCTTTCCTTTGACTGGACTTGACGGGGTTCTCTGCTCGGACGAACACCGACATTCACCAATGACCATCCGTAAGCTGAGACTCGGCAGCGTCACAACCCTCGCCGTCCTGCTGCTGCTGCCAGTCAGCACCTCAGCTTATATCTGGGGCGACAACATCACTTACCACCGACCGAAGGAATGGACACCCGATAACGTCTGCGACACCATCCCGCTCGTCGGCGACAACGACGGCCGCGGCCCCGAAAAGACCTGCGCATACGTCAAAAACGCCCCTCGTCGTGACCGCCCACAAGACGGAACACCCCTAGGCATAAACGGCGGAGAATACATAACGACTTGGGAACCTGGCTCAGGAGGGCCAAAGACTTCAAGATGCTAGACATCACGGACGATTCCATCAATTTCCAGGGGCCGACGGGGGATTTGGTGGTGTATTATAATGGGTGCACGAATGGGACGGGGTGGGATCATTTGAAGGTGTATAGTAAGAAGGGGTGCCCAGAGGCGTTTGTGGCGAGGAAGAGTCAGGTTTTTGAGGTGGTTAGGAGTTTTCCGGGTAGTGGGAAGGGCGTTTATTGTGTGAGCGTAAGTGGATCCTGTTGTAGCAGAGTCTGGCTGACCATGGTGATGCATTACAGCCTGGCTTCAAGGTCCAGAGCTTTCGATATCTCAGGCCATAGCGCAGACGCACTTAGGACGATATCGCATGTCCTCCGACCATCCAGCTTTGAGAAACCCTAACTCCATGTCCTACCGTTTGTCTTCTTCACAGCGCGCGCAACCCACTGTAATGCCCAATCCCACTGGTGTCGAAGTATACCCACAACACCTTGACTTCCTCGCCATTATCGCCACTGTCCCGACACAATAGCTTCGGCACGCCGTTCTCGAGATATCCCAGACGCAATCTTATGCCGCGGCGCCAGCCGAGCAGGTCGAGGAGGACGTCCATTTGGTCGGGAGAGAAGTAGGTCGTGTTATCGAGAAATGCTGAGAGTGGTTCTTCTTTATTGTTCGCCGATGTGACCTTCGATTCGGTATTTTTATCATGCTGGGATTGCAGCTTCCCGCGTTGCTTCCGCAGCCGCTTCTTCTTCGACTTGCTGAGTACAGGGCGGAAGAAGGGGACGTCGTTATGCTCTTCGACGTCAGGCTTGCTCGAATTCTGATTTGGTTTTTCATTATTTTCCAGCAGCTCACCGCGTGACCGCAGCATGACCTCTCGGAACGCAACGCCTCTCACAATGTCCATCAGCTCCTCCATCGTGGGCGGAGCAATATCAGAGGGCACCTGGTGCGGCCAGCTCGCGATGATGGCGCGTCCTCCGCAAAGGAGACTCTCTCCTGAGGTCGGGATCAGTGCGTGGCCATTGGGAAAGGTGGCGGCATGGACTTCGAGAGCTCTGAGGTCTGTTGTGGATGACGGTCGCGACGTGGTGTTGTGAGAGGCAATAGAGAGGAGTGTCGATGCTTCGATCGCAGCAGCGAGGTCTGCGTCTAAGCCGGTCATAGACCCGATGGATCCGCTGGGTGCAGTCACGTCGTGCAATGATCGCTGAATCGCAGCGGCGAGGTCAGCGTCTTCGTCGAGTTTGTTGGTGCTGGCGAGCGGCGAGAAACCATTGGCGTTCCTCCTCGACCGCGGGAGTGGCAGAGTACATACTCCTGGAACCCATTCTGCCCGTGGTGGCCGTCGGACTGCTGGTGGTAGGCTTCCGTTGCGCCAGGCACTGGTGGCCGACGTTGCGGAGTAGTTGAGAACCTCCCCATTTTGCAGCTTCTCTGCTAGTTGTTGGTCCATTGCGGTCCTGGAAGAAAGTGAGTATGTATACATATTGCGAGCGCGAGTCTGGGATCTTACACGATGGAAGACAAGATCACGAGACCGATAGCGCCCTGATCTGTGCTCTTAGATTGATGCGACAGTGTTTGCCAACAGTGTTTGACGACGTTTGAAGAGACAAGTTTGCGATGGAAATTGGAATATCGATGAACGAATTTGGGTTGGGCAAGGAACTCACATCTCTGTATAGCTGAATTTCATCAATCACGATGACTCAGGCAAGAGGACACAGCCGCCCTGCGCCTCGTGTATACGCTTCAAAACTTCACTGACTTCACGGGCTGTAAGTCAGTGAAGCAGTTTCCTTGACTCACTCATGCACGGCAGCCTCCTGCGAGACATGATGCAGGTCGCGAGACTGTTGTCGCAAGGCAAGCTGCCCTAATACCGACGATAATACTTACGGTGGCTCCTTTCTCCAGGCTGCTCCCATTCATGCCTTTCGACATCGTAATAGTATCTGTCAGATCGTTGCCCATCGTAATAATGCCTAGCTTCCGACTGCTCTTGCAGCAGCGGCAGCTCATCTTCGCCGACCTCCTTCTTCTTCAACCCTTTCTGCTTCTTATGCTTCATACTAGCCTCGCTCGCAACGGCAGTCGCCTTCTTCGCGAGCTCGATGACAACCTTGGCCTTCTTGGCCTTGGACTTGTTGACTGGCTTCTGCAGGTCTCTCACTGCGGTCGAGGTTAGGGAGAGGATTTCTTGGGCGGGCTCGAGGAAGGGTTGGGCTTTGGAGAGGAGGGTCGTGACTTCTTTGATGGTGGCGCCGGTAGGGGCTTTGCTTGGCTTTGATTTTGTCATTTCGTGTGATTGCTGGTGGGTGAACTGTGCACGTATGGTAAGTACTCTGATGAAGCTGGGGGAAAGTCTAATGGAGGATGGGAAGGGACGATCGTGTGGCTTTATCTGACACAAAGGTTAGTTTGTCACAACTGTGACAATGGGGACATGGAGGAAATGCATATTGTGGTCGCGGGGCTTTGTTGACATAATGCGTATGTGATATCTGCACAAAGGACTGCGCTCCTCGAGAACGAGGTCTTTGTACCGTAAGACGCCTCGATGAAGTCGCTTAGAGCTAGCTGGAAGGCACAATCGAGCGCATTGTGGCATTTGCTGGCGGTCCATGTAAGGCCTGTCTGCGACGCCTGTCAGCACGAAATTTCCCATCATCAAGGCAACTCGAAGAGTCGTTTGAGAGCCATCAGACATATTGAGAAGACATTGTAGGCTGGTTGTTGTAATCTTTTCGGCCAAACGCGAGAGCGATCTGGACTCATATGGCCCCAGCGGCCTCATCATTTGGCATATCGGGTAGGTCACACCAGGAGGGCACTGACCTGAGACTTCGATATCATTGACTAGGACCTCTTCCATTCATGCTTGCTGAGCTCTGCTGTACATCTCGCTCTCGCTCATGCTTGCAGCCTCGCCCCCATCATCGTTCCAGTCTGCGCCCGCGTCCTCGCCCTCCGCCTCGTCCCAATCATACCATCCCACCCGACGCGCCATATCGAGTTCATCAGCATTCATTCCACCACAACACAACAAGACTTTGTGCATGTTGACGTCGCGCGCACAACCAACCGTCCAATGTTCCAGCCAGTCAATGCCTCGTCGTCCGTCCCAGCTGAGCTTGGACATGTGTAATTCCAGAGGGCCGTAACGTCTGGCAGACGCACGCATTCTGAAGTCTACTCCATCGCCTCTGCGAAACCGCTTCCCGCTGTCCTCGTGCTTGAGGTCGAGTTTTGCAAAGAACACGACCTGGTCATTGGCAAAAAGCTCTTTGATGTCGCTCTTGATGGTCTTGCTGACTTTGAGGAGATCCAAGAACGGAGTTGAAGCAGTGATCTGGTATCCGTGGCATGGAAGAGGCATGTAGGGATAGTATTCCTCTTTCACTTCGAGGAAAGTGTGGTCGTAGGCTTCGATATGATAGCTATATATCAGTTTGCGGATCTCTGGCGGTAGTTTGCCGAAGTAGGGGCCGAATTTGTTCGGGTTCTGATGAGAACTCGTCAGTAGGAGGACTCTGGAACAGTAGAGACGGTACCCACCTGCAGAATAGCTGCGATTCTCTTCTCCTCCTGCTTCGCCTGTCTCGCCTGCTCGGCGTTCGCCTGACTCGCGGCTCTCGCTTCCTGTGTGGCCTTCGCCATGTTGACTGACGAGAAGGTTTGGAGAACATCCCAAGTATCTGGGAGCAACGAATGGAAAGATATAGACGTGAGGCATCACACTATACGCTTTGCAGCTTAGTGTGCCTTGGCTGCAATGAGAGGGCAGTGAATATGCCCAGCAACAAGTAACGTGTTGATTTGAGATGTGATTGCAGGGCAACGGACAAGTGAGCTCAGTGTGAGGGTTACTCCAATGAAGTCTTAGTGGCAAGAAATTGGTCAGGCGGACTCCAGCTGTCAGTTATCGTCAGAAGACGCCGAGAAGTCCATTCATCCTTTCGAAGACAATCGCTTCCGACGCATCGCGTCGACCTTGGTCCTGTCTTCGCCAAACTTCTTTAACAGCTCCTCCTGCTCGGCCTTCCGTCGCTCCCGCATTTGGAACCGATAGAAGTCATTGACAGAGCGATCCTCGTCCTTGGCACGTTGCTTCTCGTCCAGACCTTTGGCGTCTTCCGTTCGCAGACCACCCTTCGATCCTCGTACAACCGTAACAAAACCATCTTCGTCCGGCATTTGTCGCTTCTTGGCATTCTCCAGTGCACGAGCGTCCTCCATCTGTGCATACGCAGTCATGTAATTATCGACACATCGCAGCAGCTCCCGCCTCGAGGGATACCGAAGCTGATTAGCCTGCTGATACCTCTTCAGCCCCAGCGGCGGCAGCTGATCCTCTATGCCTTCACCCCAAACAATCTCCTTGCCAGCCTTTATAGCTTTGCGGGCGGCCTTCAACGACAACTCCATGCTTGGTTTGTCCACAAAGGCAATGATTGCTGTCGATCCACTGATATGTACATCACGCTCAAATACTTGTGGCAATCGGTGTTTGTCAAGCCCAGCCTCGATTTCTTCTGCGGTCAAGCGTTTCCTCTTTCGCGATTTGGTTGTCCCGGCCGCGATGCCTGGCCTGCCGGCGCTGTCTTCTGAGAAATGCACATCTTCTACCCTGCCACCGGACAGCTGTGTCGCGAACAAGTGCTTGAGATGTTGCGGTGTCGTAGTGATGGGTATGTTGACCAGAAACAGAGAGCGCGTGGCATCTTCGTCTGCGTCCTTGGGCTCGTGTGGTTTAAGGTAGAGATAGTGGATAGCATCCGGTGATGAGGCGATTGATGAGCGCAGGGTGATTGGCAGGGCCAGAAAGCCTGCAACCATGGAAGGCGCCATCGTCGTCGCGCGTGTCACCTATTGTGCATAAATGTAGCAGAGTTCATCGGACAGCAGACGTGGGACGTATCGAAATATTTCTGGCCGGAGATATCCACAACTAGCTCCGAGTGGTGGTAAGGTCCTTCGCTTTGTCACCAGCCTTGAAGGTCTAGCTGAGGAGTGTAACTTCCAAAGATACTTCTAAACATGGTCCATAGACAGTATCTGCCATCAACACCGGCATCCAAGCAGCGTCTTCGGTCTCTTGATGTTGCGACACCTCCGGCGGGCGTCCAAAGTGACAGCCAGTGCTACAGGGTAACCTGAATTCGACAACGCCGCAACTTTGCCATCGTCTCCCACGTGAACAGCAGTATCCAACAATGCGTGGTGGAAGCACAATCATGCTACGCCTCGTGGCCTCATCAGAGAGTCCTGCGAAGCCATCTTATCTATCTCGTGTCTCGAACGGAGGATTTCGTTAGTTCATCATTGCCATGCCTATCTGTGCAGGCGCTCGCAAGGCGCCCAGCCCTTGCGATGATCCATCACTCCTTCCACGACTTGCCTGCGGCAGGGACAACGCCGCGCTGGGCTTAGCAGGTAAGAGCGAGGTCTCGCATGATCTGTTAATCAACCTTGGGCCGGATTCTCTCTTCTACGACCTTCTCTTCAGCGCTTTTATTGATCGTACTATGTCGTATGTTATTCCGCGAACGGCGAGTGCCTTCCTAGTCTGTGTAAGCTTTGTGACGGGGAGTTGTCGAGCTCCTCACTCGAGCACAAGATCTACGCGAGCAATCGATCGCATATCGCCACTATGAACGCGGTATCGGACGACCAGCTGGACTACGACGTCTGTGTAATCGGCGCTGGTATAGCAGGGATCGGGTTCGCGTACAGATTGCAGGAACGCATGGGCAAAGACCTGAAGTACTGCGTGCTTGAAGGTCGCCATGAATTGGGTGGGACATGGAGCCTGTTCCAGTATCCAGGTAGGTAGCTCCGCCTGGCACGGAGCAGAGGAGATCGGCACAACGCTTGCAATGTTGTACTCACCACGCTTCATCAGGGACTCGGTCTGACTCCGACATGCACACTTTCGGCTACCCGTGGCGTGCATGGACCCGAAAAGAGATCATCGCACCACGCGCAACGATCATGGAGTATCTGAAAGAATGCACTGCAGCGGAAGGCATCGACTCAAAGATTCTATACCAGCACCGAGTCGAGCGCATGTCATGGTCAACGGCTTCCAAGAGTTGGTCATTAGACGTGACAGTCGGAGGACGTGATACCAGCGTTACCCAAACAGTGATCAGAGCACGCTTCCTCCTGCTCGGGACAGGCTACTATGACAACAAAGTGCCACTCGAGGCGCACATACCTGGGATCGAAAACTTTGGCGGCACAACCATACACCCCCAATTCTGGCCTTCAGGCTTCGACTACCGTAACAAGAATATCGTGGTGATCGGCTCCGGCGCCACGGCGATCACCATCGTGCCGGCTATGGCTCAGGAGGCCGCTCACGTGACTATGTTGCAACGCTCACCCAGTTACATCATTGAGGGAAAGTACGACGACAGTCTGTATGATCGAGTGGTGAAACTCCTGTGGCCGACCAGAATGGCGTCTTGGTTCATCCGGGTAAAATGGATCCTAATGTCGATCTTCATAGTCACGTTCTGTGACAAGTTCCCTCAGGCTGCAACGAAAGCCATGAATGCGCAGACCATGAAGTTGTTACCTGCTGGGATGAATCTGGCTCCGGATTTCACGCCATCATACACGCCGTTTCAGCAGAGATTGTGCGTTGATCGCAATGGAGAGTTCTGGGCTAGCTCAGGAGTGGACGAGCCAGTGTCAAGACCGGCGCCATCGACAAGGTCACCAAGACCAGCATTATCCTGAAGTCGGGCGAGGAGCTTCACCCAGATGTTATCATCACAGCAACAGGTCTGAAGCTGCAGCCCCTGGGCGGCATCGAGATCATGGTGGACGACAAACCTTACGACGTATCCCAGCACTTCGTCTGGAAGAGCTCAATGCTCGAAGACCTTCCCAATGTGATGTATGTGATCGGCTATATCAACTCAAGCTGGACTCTCGCAGCAGACACGACAGCACAGTTCGCGTGCCGGATCCTTAAGAAGATGAAAGACGACGGTACGAAGATGGTAGTCCCTCGGCTCAAGCAGAGTGAGCGGCAGAAGATGAAGGAAGTGCCGTTCTTTCCTTTCACTTCGACGTATGTTCAGCGGGGCAAGTCCGTGCTTCCGAAGGTGAGTGATCGTCCTCAGTGGGAGAGACGGTCGTTCTATTGGAGAGATCTGGCTATTGCTTGGTGGGGTGATATAGAGAGCTGCTTAGAGTGGGCTTCATAGCTCGTGTCTGACCTGAGAGGCTGTTGTCGTCTCGTGAGAGTGGTGCCATTGAGCAATCTAGATTGCCGGCCTCTATGATGTGTTGAAAGCCGTCGAATCGTGCATGCCAATCCGAGATTGATGCGAAAACATTGTGCCAAGAAATGTCCAATTTGATGGGTAAGAATGTCTGGCTGCACAAACACCAAAGTTCTCAACATGCATGACGAGTTCGAGTACAGATCATACTCACCGCGCCAGACGACCATCGCGCATTTCATGTAATGCCTTCGCAGTCGAGTCACCTTGTGCATGACGCAGTGTTCCAACACACTGCGAGGCATCCGTATTGGTCGAATTGAAAAGAGCTCGTGTGACTGTATGCAAGGCCGGCGACTGAGCATCAATTTATCGATTGGCATGCAAGCCACAGACGAAAGACTCAACGACAATGGACGCCCGCTCGCCCGCATTTCAACGTTCTCGATCTAGCTTTCGGCCACGCGCAGCGTCGGCATTCGTGGCGCCAGTCACGAGCCATCGATGTCCAGCTCAGAGCGCCTGTTACGACGCTCACGCTACACTGGCGACGCAGCAGTGCTCAGCCTCTCAACGACCGCCAGAGCAGCGCCTTCTGAAACCGAACCTCAAACTCGCTTGTCTATCACCCAGGATCTTGGAAGCGTAGCGGCACTGAAATGTCATCTCCTCCATTGGCTGCCCAGGTGGCCTAGACCAGGGACGGGCTGGACCCTATTTTCAGCGTCAATTTCGGGCCCCTGAAGCCCACGCTAGGCGGCTAGCTCACTTCAATCTTGGGACCGATGACCCAATCATCGGGTCTCCGGTTGGGCGATCCAGGTACGGTAAACTCTACTTGGGAAAGTCAGACGGCGATGAAATCAAAACAACCACTTTGCCAACAGAGCCGAGCACTGCAACATGCAGATTTGATTCGATTGTCGTGAAATTCCCTACTACGCTGTCGGCATCCTGGAAGCTTGTGTTTCTGGGCTGCATGGATAAGAGCAAGATGGCAGCGGCCGCAGGACTGCCGCGTGCTGCTGTGGCCTTTTCCTACTCTGCAGCCGCACCGTCTATTTGAAACCACTCCTTTCGCAAGCACCGTTGACATCTGAGACGCAAGGTCTGCGCACTACTTGTCGACTGACATAGCAGACGTGGTGGCCCTATAACATCGTTTCGATTCTCAGTCCCGAAAGCCCCTCTTCCAACACTTCTACCAACATCCCCAGCTCGAGATCCGTGCGCGCTGTCTGAACGAACTTGCGCCAGCGCAGCCTAAGCATACGACTTGCCATCGCGCACGCGACCAGCTCGTCGCCATCGACCGATGATGGTCCCACGATCATTTGCGAGCCTTGCGCTCACCATCCTCTCCCTCGTCGGCTTTCTAGCCACCGCTTCAGCGCAAAACCCTGCGTCAGCCTCGCAGACTCTCAGCAATGGGCTCGGCATCGCCATTAACGTACCGGACAATTCCACCGACACGCTCTTCCTCAACTTTCGCCTGCCGTCACGAGGCGTTGGCTGGGCTGCATTCGGCATCGGCTCAGGCATGAGTGACAGTCTCATGTTCGTGGTCTACCCCAACACTACGAATGGCCTCACTGTCTCCCCGCGAACGACCACCGGCCACAGCATGCCGGAGCACGACTCCGATGTGACATTCATCCTCTTGCCAGAGTCTGGCATAGTCAATGGCAGTTTCGTCGTGCGCGGCATGTGTGTGGGATGTCGCACGTGGGGCGGAAGCAATAGCATAGACACTACAAGTGGGAATCAGCCCATGATCTGGGCCATGGGACCAGCTGGGTCTGTCGAGAGCGATGACCTCAACGCGAATATCAACATTCATCAGCAGAAAGGAGTGTTCGAAATTGATATGCGCACTGCAAGTGGCACTCCTGGTGTTCCATCGTTCGCGCTGTCCGATACTGTCTCGACCGGTGGTGATGACGATGATGACGACAACGACGACAACGACGGACCGTCTTTCGGAAGCGGCGGTGGACCATTCGCTGGCAAGTCAACCGCCATCAAGGTCCATGCAATTCTGGCGCTCATCACCTTTGTCATTCTTCTGCCCGCTGGCTACGCGCTTTTGCGACTGCTGGACAAGGTTCTTATTCACGCCGGCGTACAGACGTTGGCATTCATCTTCGTAACTGCATCAATTGGTCTTGGCATTATAGCAAGCAAGAATCAAGGCATCGTGAGTATCTCCCGTCTTCCCCTCCATGCCTCCACAAAACTAACGGTGGACCTGCAGTCACCCAACATCAATGCCCCTCATCAAGTGATTGGACTTATCGCATTCGTGTTCATGTTCCTCGCTGTCATTCTCGGCGCCGTCGGACACGCCATCTACCGCCGGACACAGCAGCCATGGAAGTTCATGATCTCCCACAGAATCTTCGGTCCCGCTGCTATGGGTCTGGGCACCGCCAACTGCATCTCCGGATTCCGCTTCGCTGGCTACACCCGACCCATCATTGGCTTCATTGTTGTCGTGGTAGTGATTTGGGTCGCGATCCTGGCACTCGTCCTGCTGAAGCGCAGAAAGCAGATGAGGAAGACTGGGCCTATGAACACACCTGCAGCAATGAACTTTCGCGAAGGGCAAGCGCAACAGCAGAGTGGCTGGTATGGCCAGCAGCCAGGAGTGACACCTCAGGGGCATGGACCTGCCATTCCTCTCCAGAACTATCAGCAGCCAGGAGCGCCGCCGATGTACAAGTGAACGGCCAACAAGCTGACGAGATGATGACAATTATGTTCGATGTTTTTGGGATGACGCAAATAGTCTGTGGAGAATGTGTATATTACAATTTAACGCTCATCAAATCTATGGGCCGCTTCAGCCATCAAGCCGTCTGTGCAGCAATTTCCCTCACTGTGCTCTGTACCTGCACCTTCGGCTCTTCTGCTGTTTGTGTTGACGTCGAGTTTGCCATCCTTCTTGCCTCGAGCACCCTTGTGTTCATCTCAGCGTATGTCCTCCCGAGCTTCTGCATGCCAGCTTGCAGCATTGCGCCGTCGGCACCACTCAGACTCCAAGTGGCGCCCATCGCGAAGAACTTCTCCAGCAGGTCGAGCCGGCCTCCGATCCCGCCAATGCCGATGGGCTTGCCTGCTCGCACGCCGGCCTGGATGACCTTGGTGACTGAGTCGAGGTATAGTGGGTTGTCGTACTGGCCTGGGATCTTCAGGTCTGTGCACAGGTCGTTGCTTCCAACCAACACACCGTCTACGCCCGGGATGGCGAAGAACTCGTCTGCCAGTTCGACCGCGCCGGGAGTCTCGATCATAGGCAAAACCATTGTTTCCCGGTTGAGAAGATTGTTCTGAACCATAGTCGGCACCGCTTGGAAATTGAGGATAGGTTGATTACCAGCACACCCTCGCCGTCCCTCAGGCAGATCCGTCGTGCAGTACTTCGCATCCCTCACAATTTCCTTCACCTGCTCCACAGTCTCGCAATGTGGGATAACAACGGCAGCAGCGCCAGCATCGAGAATCCTCGAGAGCTGCCAGTGTGCCTTTCCCGGTATACGGACGATGGGGCTGACGCCGACGTAGTTGCAGGCGGTAATGAGTTGGGAGACTTCGCGCATGGTCATGACCGAGTGCTCCATGTCGATGAACATGCCGTCCATGCCGGCCATCTTGGTCATCATGGCGATCTCGTTGCCGATGGCGTACTTGACGGACATGACGGAGCAGACTTCGCCCCGGAGGATGCGGTCGCGCCAGGGGTTGCTGACTGTGAAGCTCATCGTTGCGGTGGAGGCTTGGCTTGGTCAGAAATTGGGTGAGTGTGTTGTTGTTTGGTGTGGTCGGCTGAGCAGTGGGCTGGTATGTCGCTGCTTGGAAGTGGTTGGCTAAGCAATGGACTAGTATGTCGCTGCTTGGATGTGGTCTGTGGTACATTTACACTTTGACGAAGGTCTTGGTATATATCTCTTTCTACTGAGTCAGAACAGGGTCACTCTACACTCGGAACGTCGGCGAAAGTCTCATGTGTACCCAGGCACTGTCTTTGCCGGCACAAAGTGGTCGCGGGCAGACTCCATGTTCCCCTCACGGATGTCGACCGAAACCCCGACCAATTTTCTCCATCAACACGCGGATTTTATTCCACCACGGCCACGCCAGAGGTGAGATTTTGGCAGAGGCGGGTAAGTTCTCACGTGTTCCATCGGCCCCAGCTGGGGGTGAGGCCGATGGGAGCATTCCCGTCCGCTTCACCCGTACATGCCAATTATCGGCCCCATCGGAACTTTAGTGCATAAGTCGCGGACAGTCCCCGATCAGAGGTTGTCGCTCCACCTTTCCTCCATCTACCACCTCTCGTCCCCGCACTCCGCCATCGGTCCCTCGGACGGGACAACCACCAGCCAAGACTTGCGCGCAGGACCAAGACATGTTCCTGTCCACCTCAACAACTGCCACCCAGTCAGAGCGGGATAGGCTCGAGGACCGCCAGCGCCCCAGACCTTGGCGTAGCTTGGCGTCATGGCCAGATCTCGGGGTACGGACCCAGCTCTGGGAGGATATAAGTCTGCCTCGATGTCGCCCCTTCGATGAGAATGACCATCCTCTCAACCAACAAACACCACCGTCAACATGGACACCAAGACCGCCCATCAGACAACAATCCCAGAGCCTCGCAACTCTACCGAGAAGGAACAAAATGTTGAGATTCTCGAGCAGGCACAGACCAGCAATGAAGAGCTGTGGATACAGCAGTACGACCTGTTGGCTGGCAAGTCCAAGGAAGAGCTCGACAAAATCAACAAGAAGGTCGTCAGCAAGCTCGACTGGCGCTTCTTGACCACTATCACGGCCATGTTGCTCATGAACTACCTCGACCGTATCAACGTCTCAAACGCTCGCCTTGCTGGATTCCAACGAGACGCCCACATGAGTGATGTCGAGTGGTCTGCTGGCATCTCTCTGTTCTACGTCGGATACATCATCACCCAGGTCCCCGCCAATGTCATCATCGCTAAGGGCAACCCTCGCATTCTCCTTCCCTGTATTATGCTGGGCTGGTCCGCTGTCACGATCTGTATGACCGCAATCACTTCGCCTGCTGGCTTCATGATCTGTCGATTCCTGGTCGGTGTTACTGAGGGCCCTTTCATCCCTGCTGTGGCGCTCATGACTTCTTCATGGTACACCAAGCAGGAGTCTCCTCTGCGCATGGCGATCTGGCACGCTGGCAACATCGTTTCCAACATTATCTCCGGCTTTCTCGCCGCCGGAATCCTCGAGCACATGGACAACATCGCGAACCTGCACTCTTGGCAGTGGTTCTTCCTCATCGAGGGCATTGTCTCCATCTTGGTCGCGATTGCCGCCTTCTGGGGTCTGCCAAAGTGGCCAGATAACACGGGCGAGTACTTCTTCACCAAAGAGGAGTCTCAGATGGCCCAGTACCGCATGAAGGTTTCCGCCGGTGGCCAAGTCGAGGATGACCAGGGAGGCTACTGGGAGGGATTCATGATGGCCATGAGGGATCCTTTCACCTGGCTCTTCGCTGCTATCCATTTCGCCCTTATCCTTTCGCAGGCCTTCAAGGATTTCTTCCCAAGCGTCGTCGAGACTCTCGGCTTCTCCAAGATGGAAACATATCTTGTGCAAGCGCCGCCCTACTTCATCGCCTATATTGTGTGTTTGGTCGTCTCGTGGTCCTCGGGTCGATTCGGCGAGGCCTGCTGGCACATCGTTGCCTGCATGGCTGCGTGCTTGGCTGGCGCTATCCTGATGATTTCAACTCTCAATGTCGGCGCACGCTACTTTGGGCTTATCCTGCTCTGCTCGGGGCCCTTCCTGGGTCTCAACTTGCAGTTGTCGTGGGAAACAACCGTGGTGCCGAGGCCGCGAACGAAGAGGGCCGCGCTGGTTGCGTTTGCCAATTGTGTGAGCTCGGTGAGCCATTGGTTCAGTCCGTACTTCTTCTTGACCTGGCAGGCGCCGAGGTATGTTATGGGTGGTGGGCTGTTGATTTTGGGTTGTGCGCTTTCGATTGGGCTGGTTATTCTGACTAGGTGGTACGCGATGAAGAAGAATAAGGCGATTGAGAAGGAGGAGGAGCGTACTGGTGTGATCAACCCCTGGCGCTTCGCTACTTAGGTGGAAGGAGGATGTGCTGGGGATTAGGAGGTCATGGCGCAACGCTGCTCAATTGGAAGGGATATGCTTGCAATTGTTCTGCTATGGTTGGCAATGAACAAGAGACCAGGATGGTCGGGGGACTACAACGAGGATCGCTGGGTTCGAGGCTAGAAAGTGGTATAGACTACGAGATGAATGAAGAACATAGACGACTCATGGCGAAGCCTCCATTTCATTCTCCCAGCTCACAAGTCATGGCGAAGGCTTTCATTTCATTCTTTAGTTCACAGCGATCATTGAGCTCTCTGTGCGTCGCCCTTGCCTTCAGCATGCTCGAGAACCTGGTATTCCTCGAGACAAGCCCATAAGACCGTGTCCACCACTGTATCTGCCACTGTTCGAAATTCAAATCGAGGCAGGCGGCGTGTCAGGCTGGTAAAGGCATATCACAGCACGCACGCGGCTGTCAAACCTCAGCTTCAGGATGCCATCATGGCACGAATCCACATGGGCTAGCATAACGACGTTCCTGTGCTCCAAGGAATGCAATGCAGCTGTCATTACGATCGGTGAATTCAAGGTCGAGGTGTAGGCGGGTTGGGCTCGTCGAGTGTTGACAGCGGTGTCGTGATTACTATACATTCTAATCCCACTTCTGCTCTAACGCCCATATGGTGTCAAGGCTCTCCGCGGGTGGGTAGTACTTTTCATTAGACACTCGCCCCATCAAGCAGCAATATATGCTTCTGCTGAGATGGCAAGTTCAATGAGGCACAGTTGACTTCTAGGGAAGAAAGCAGGAGAAGATGTCGAGGGCGAGACAGATACTTATAACCCACGACTAAAGAGATGATCCGGTGCGAACCAAAATGATCACTTCACTGACTCGGTGAGGAGGAATTCACTGTTCTTTGCACGATTCAACGTCGGTTGCTGCCTGTTGTGATTCGCGGTCAGCATGCATAGTCTCTTTCAAATGAGGCTCAGAAGTACTTCAAGGCCAGCTTGACAAAGTCGAGGTAGCCGTTGCGAAACCTATGGAACGCGAGGTCATATAGGATGGCAGCCGCTGGGATGATGACTCGAGTGAGACGGCAGTCTCTGGGATGAGAAGTCGAGTACTGGGCTGACCCTAACATACTCGAAGACCATGAGGCAAAGTAGTCGTCCGACGGGCTCTCGAGAACCACCCGCGGCGTACACGTGAAGAGCCGATGGTCCTCTACTTCGTGAATGTTGGGCTGAATTGTGTGCGCGTATGGCGGGATTCTGCTTAAGCCAAGATACCGACAGCGTAAACCGGGCTCTGTGTCCTTGTGGTGGCCAAGCCCGAAGCATCGAACCAGACTTTGCGGCGAAAGTCTCCCAGTAAACAAGGTCCAATCTCCGCAAGAACATCGGCTCACCAACGATCTCCAAGCTCCAGCCCCAGAATCATCCTCCGGACGTTGATCGGCGTGGACGCCGACCCACCGCGGGTACTGTAAAGTGGCTGTGTTCAAGGTCCCCGCGTGAGGTCGCTGGAAAAACTCCGTCGGCAGTCGCCAAGACTCACCCAGATGTTTTCGGAGCAGGTCCGAAATCACCGATGGACTCCGAGGGAAGCAAGTCGGATGTATCGGAGCCCCCCCAGTGTTCCGCATGATCGGCAATTTGCCAGAAGGTTGGCTGAGCAGCCTCTCGGCCTGGACATGCGGACGATTGCGAGGCCATCGAGACCTTGTATGGCGTTCTCGGCAGCTTAGCCCGGAAGCTTTCCAGAGCAGGTGCTCCATGGTGGAATATAAACACCATGTGAGATGAGTAGACCATCGCTGTTGCATGGATGTTGTGAATGAGTCATTCTGGTACACTCAACTTCATAAAGGGAAGAGTAACACCACTGTCAACAAGTCAAACAGCTACCGCCTAGAAGCCATAACACGGATATCCGAGTCGCTATCAGACACAACTGCCTTTCGAGAACATCCAGCATTGTGGACTAGACACATCAGAAACTCATAAGCAGCATCTGAATCACAACAACTGTGTAGGAAGTCTTTGATACCAGTCATGGCGCCAGCAGCAATCACACCGCCAGCCACACCGGCGCCAGCCAACACCAAGCCCACAGTCTACTTCCTCGACACATTTCACCCAGTAGCCGAGGCTCGTGCCGAAGAGCTGTTCAATGTCGTCCGTACAACAGATCCTGGACATGCTCAATGGCGGGAACGCGCCCAGTACGCTCTTGTACGAGCGGGCTATGTCACCGCTGAGGACATCGCTGCAAGCCCCAACCTGCGCGCCATTGGCAAGCAAGGCGTTGGCATCGACAAGATTGACGGCGAAGCATGCAGGGCAGCCGGCGTCAAGATCCTCAACACGCCCGGCGTAAATGCTCGAGCTGTGGCGGAGATGGTTCTCGCGCTTACGACCAGTCTGGCTCGACAGATCAGCTCAGTGAACGTCAAGATCGCACGTGGCGAGATCGTAAAGAAGGAGCAGTGCTCTGGTCTGATCCTGCACAAGTCGACCATCGGTGTGATCGGCATGGGCAACATCGGCAAGGTGGTGGCGAAGATCTTCAGCGGCGGCTATGATTGCGACATTGTCGCCTATGACCCATATATGCCCGAGGGCGCGTGGTCAGATCTTCCACACAAGCGCGTAAGGAATCTCTCGGACCTGCTCACCGTCAGCGACGTTGTCACGATACACGTACCTTTGACGCCCGAAACGCGTCATCTCATTGGACTGGAGGAAATGCGCAGCATGAAGAAGACGGCGCTGCTCATCAACTGTGCCCGCGGTGGTATCGTGGACGAGGAAGCAATGTGCACGGCATTAGAAGAGGGTGGCATTTGGGGTGTCGGTCTTGACTGTCATGAGCAAGAGCCGCCAACCAAGGAGCGGTACGAGCGTCTGTGGCGGAATGAGAATGTGGTGAGCATGCCACATGCTGGTGCAGCTTGCAAGCAGACACAGATGGAGACGGCGCTGGCGGCTGTAGAGAAGCTGCATGCGTATGCTATGCAGAGACAGGAAGCGGACGTTCAGGAGATCAGGACATAGATACTTTATGACGAGTTGCACGACGGAGACGGCCTTAGCTGCAATCAAGCGCTTTTCTTCTCATACCTTAAGCTCAGTCGCCAGAATCGTGACTCGCTATGCGTGCTTCCAGATTGGAAGAATGGTTTGAAGAGTCCTGATATATAACATGAATAGATGCGAGAACGGAACAGTTTATATTTTTCGAGAACGTGAAAATTATTGCTCCTCGCCGGATGACTAGACCTCGGAACATGGTTTTAGACCACAGCAACTACAAGAATCTCGCACCTTCCACAGATTTGGCGTTGCGCTTTCCTTGAAGCTCACTGTGACACCTTCGCGGCTTCCATGAGCACAGAGTCGCAACTTGCGCAAGCATGTCAGCGTTGCTGGCGCAGAAAGCAGAAATGCGGGCGACAGAAGCCGATCTGCGTTGAATGTGAACGCGCCGGTGCCGAATGCGTCCCACGAGTCTGGGGCCACCCATCGGTGTCGGGCACAGCTAACGGATCGGCCGCGTCAAGGTGAGATAGCCCGCTCCTAGCTTGGGTTTGCTGATGATGTTTGTGTAAAAGCTCAATCGAATACTTGAAGAGCAAAATCGCCGCCTTGGAGCAACAGCGAGATGGGACCTCACCAACCCAGCATCGCCGAAATTCCTCCCTGCACCCGTCTGACTCTCCTCACTACGTCGGCAAAGTCCACGATGAGTCACCTGCATCGACGCGTCAAGCTGTATCCCAGCCCACCAATGAGGCCGAATATCTGTCGGTCGCTGCTATGGGTGAGCCAGAGCGCCAGGACATGTCATCGATGAGTGAAGCTTTAGGTGTCTCTTTCACCACTCTAGTGGCAGAAATCACGAAACTTTGTCCACCATCTTCGACAGCTTTGACGACAAACGGCACAGATCACAATGCACCGGATGACCTCCTCCATCATTACCAGCAAGAACTTCAAACACTCTGTCAGGCCGACTTGAAGACTTTTCTCAGCAAGTACTGCTCTGGGCTTGGTCAGATGTACCCTGTCGTCACTAATGAGACCTGTCAGACCGCCTTAGATCAGGTCCTCCGTTCTTCCGGGCACGACATCGACCAGTCGCAGATTTTGCCTACAGAGGCTGTCTTGGTCACGTCGCTGACTGTGTCTCTCGGCATTCTCGCCAGTCCGCACCATCGAGTGGCTGGGCATGTGTCAAAAGGACTAGTTGATCATGGAATGCGTCTGCTACCAACGGTCGTCGGCACAGTCGGCGATGTAGAGGCTGTACGTTACTTGCTTCTCGCGGCAACAGTATGCCTTCATCGATTCAATGTAGGAGCTGCTTGGCATATGGTTGGTCTAGCCGCCACCAAAGCAATTTCTGCGGGCTTGCACAGAAGCTACGATGACATCGAACGAAAAGAAGAGCACTCTACTCTGTTCTGGACACTCTACAAGCTGGATCGCTCGCTGGCCATGGCCACGGGGCGGCCCCTAAGCATCGAGAACGGGGACATCACCCTCCGTATGCTCCGAGCTACGTCTCCTGGTCCAACAGACTCGAGCAATATCAACCTACAGCCCTTCTTTATCTGGACAGTACACTATGCCTGTATGGTCTCAGACTGGAGACGCCAGATGAGCTCAGATCTTGAGTCTTGCGTGTCTAGTCTCACTTACTGGCGGGAGACATGTGTCGAAGTTGCAGCGCTACCCATGCTGTCCCATAGCACTGCGTCCACCGGGTCGTCGGAATTCGCTCACCTGCTGATGACTACAATCAAATCGCAGCTGATTACCCGGGCCCTGACATATCTGTTGACTGAGCACTTTGGAAGGACGTCAGTGCTGGCCTCGACCATGCCCATGTTGGGACACCTGGTGGAGGATCTTGAGCAGAAGCTGCCATTTTTTCTCGCCAAGTACAGAGAAGCTCTCGATGTATCAGCTATTGCTCCGTCTATCGTTGATGTTCTGGACATCGTGAGCGCTGTGATCACGTATTTATCGGCACGACACGTTCTGTCTGTACAACAATTGCCGCCCGGTTCCGATCGCCGAAGTTCGATAAGCAACGTGGCGATCATGAAACTGGTGACAGCGTCAATGGACGTACTGCAGCGCATTTCCGACCGATGCAGGCTGACCACATCACTCCAGAATGTCATATGGGCTTTGTTATCCGCACTGGAAAACTCGACTCAGCGGACCAACGACTCGTCTTTGGCTCTTGCGCCAGCCAACGAGAAGCTCGAGCTCACGCGCGCCTTGCAAGAGGCTCAGCTCCCTCTTTCGCGCCATGTCATTGATTTCATGGACAAAGCTCTGGGATATTCCTAAGAAAACAATGTATTTTTGGGTGCACAAGGGTGCATATCGCTCTACCCCAGCGCCAGTGTCTCGGGCTTGAGTGAGGGGACCTGCCGGGGACCCCTCAGGCTTGGCACACTGCTAGCAAGAGCTGTTCCTCCGACCTCTTATTGTGACCACATCTTGTTCATTCCACTACTTGAAGCACAACAAGTGACCAACGCCGCCGTGGAACGTGTGTGGCACAAGTCTCCGAAGAATGTATCGCCTCGTATGAGGCGCTGGTGATGTCGGCAGTTGATGGAAATGCATTGGGGTCTCTGAAGCTGCCGGCTTGCGAACGATGTCGCATCCGGAAAACGCGATGCGACACAGCGGCCCCCAAATGCTCAAATTGTCTAAGAAGCGAGTCAGCATGCATAGTTGTTGACCCAGTCACGCATACTCGCTATGCGCGAGATGCTCTCGCGAAGCTGGAGGAGAAGCTTCGATCACTAGAGGCGAGTGCTAAGAGTCCTGCTTCCATCCGCAGCCCCCAGGAGTCGAACAATGCACGTCTTGCGAAGAAGCACTTTGTTGGAGATGGAAGCGGGCTGGGCATATTCAATCGACTCTCTACGAAGATGCAGACGAGGATACAGCTTGAGCCGTCGGAAGCTGTATCGACATCTCCCTATGGAGACTGGGCCATTCAGCCACACCCGTTACCAGCTCAGGAGATTGCGACCATGCTCATCACGCGCTACACGCAGCATACGCAGATTCTCCACCCTCTGCTGCCTCAATTCGCCGCCTTTGACTTGTTGCAACGAGTGTACAGACCTGATGGCGCCATTGTCTCGTCAGAGGACTCGTACCGCATATTCATGCTGCTGGCGATCAGTTCGGTCACCACGTACCGACGCGGCGATACTGATGAGCACCCGTATGGTTACTTTCGTTCTGCTCAAAGATACATTAAGCAAGTCGACTTTGTCGGATCTGTAAACGCTGTGCAGAACTTGCTGCTAGTGGCAAGGTTCGCTACGTATCAGCATTGCGATATTTCGATTTGGGACATCGCTAGGACGTGTATACGACAATGTGTCGCCCTTGGACTGCACCAACCACCGACAGCACCGCTCACGCCGCTGCAGGAGCAAATGAACCGCAACCTGTTCTGGGATTGCTACGTGCACGACCGTTTTGCCTCCGGAGTACTCGGCCGACCTTACGCTATCGCTGAAGACGACATCACGGTCGCGTTGCCTGTTGAGATAAGCGAGGCAGAGCTCATCTCTTCGAAAGCCCAGACGCTCGATGAAGTGGCTTCCCAGAACATCGTACGACCGAATGAGGCCTCCGTCGTCCGCTTCGTCGTCTCCTTACGCCGAGCAATAACACGGATCTCAAACCGCTTTTACAGCTCGCATACGCCACAGGATCAGCTGAATTCGCGATCCGCTGTCGCTGATGCTGGCCAGGTCCGGTTGGATCTGCATCGCTTCCTGGCAGAACTGAAAGCATTGCGAGATAGCGCTCCAATCTTCTCGGATCCGCAGAGTCTGTATCAGCGGCCCGAGTGGTACGACTACTTGGTCGAGAAAGACAGATTGACACTTCTCCGGGGCGCGCTTGCTCGCATGCCCGTTGATGGCCTTCCGACACCACGTTCACTGGTCGAGATGACGCTACAATGCGCGACTCGGGTGATCGAGTTGTACAGCGCTCTGTTCTCACGCGGACAAATCACATGGACTCGCAGCTATTTTCAGATCCTGTTCACATCCGGTCTGTCAATAATGTTCACATTGTCCATACTCAGGCACGAGCAAAAGGACCATGAAAGGCAATCAAACGAAGTTGCCATCTTTGCGCAAGCATCGGCGGCATTGGACTCGGCCTCGTCGCTGATGAAGATGTTCGTCAGCGAGATGCCAGATGCTGGTCGATTTGCTCGTGTCTTCGAAGTGCTTGTCAGGCAGTACACGACTGGAACAGGTACGGGCACACGTGCTCGACCTAGTCGTGCACCAAGTCGTGCAGCAACCCCAGTGCCACAGCAACATACCGACGGCTACGCACAACAGCAGCAGGCCCCTAATCTACGGCATGAGATCTGCCTCCGTCGCAGCACAGTGGCACCTTCACAGCATCAGCATACACAAGCGCGATAACAGACCCAATGCAGGCCGTCACCAGCCATCCACTACCCACAGACATGACGCTACATCAACCGCAACCATTTCTCACTGCGGGCCATGGCAACAATCTTCTCAATACATTGCCCCCACAAGACACCACCTACGACCCTCACTTCCCCCTGGAGCTTGGTCTAGATGATTTCCACAGCTGGTCTCTTGGGCTGGGGCATAATAATGATACGATCCTGGGTCAAGTCGAGGCTGGGTTGGGTGAGTATGCTTGGGGTGTGCCGCCTGATGAGAGTTTGTGGGATCAGTGGGGGCTGCTTGAGGCGGTCGGTGATGGAAGGGAGTCATGGGTGGAGGGAGGAGGGTTTTGTTCCAGATCTGAATGTACTGAGTATTCATCTACGAGTTACTTGGATGTTCTGCACTGTTGGAAATTTCGATGAACGAGTGCATTGTACGTCGAATAATCCCGCATGTCAGGCTCGCGCTTGTCCGTTGATCTCGACTATCCACCGTAGTTGGACGCTGCAATGAATATAATTGTTCTCTAACACGAAAGCCGTCGCCTTACAGCAAATACCCTGGTTCCATGAGTACATCAATCATCACGCATGCTGCACAAATAACCTTTGGCTCTGTGTGCACTCCACCTGGATTGGACTATCGCTTCTCCGCCCTTTGCCCATGCAGTCCCTCGCCTACTCCACCACCCCCGTAAGGCGGCAGATTCGCATTTCCAAACCCTTCTTGCTGCCCGTAGCCCGGTGGCGGGACACCCTGTGCCCGGCTCGGGTGTGCGCTTAGCGGTGTCCCTACGCTGCTCACGCTCTGATTCGTATTCGTCCTCTTGACGTCGTAGAATCCTTGACCGGCACCGTAGTTCGTTGGCGAGGCGACCTGAGACGAAGCGTAGGTAGGATCCTTTGAGGGTTCGACGCCGCCATCGCCGGCGCCTACTACGAGTGCTTGGCCGTTCGGCATGCGTCTATCGATTATTAGCAGTGTGGAAGACGGGGTGGGCCGTGAATAGAGATTCTCTTACCCAACAACCATGCCCTTGGCAACGGACTTTAGGACTGCTTTTCTTGACACGCCAACTGCGTCAATGTACACCTGTTGCACACCGTCAGCAAAGTGCGCAGGAACACACATCTGTAGGATGAAAGACATACCAAACCAACATTCTTCACCCCACCAGTCAAACTCTTCGCCGCCTGCCCGGCCTCACTCCCATATTTGTGGTTCACCACATTCGTCGCCGCCGCGCTCCCACTCGCCAGTAACTGCCTCCCCGCATGGTCGATCCCATCGGCTATAGTGCTGAACGCGATCATGCTCTTGTTCAGAATTCCGGGCTTGTACCCGCCGTCGACGTTGCCGTCCTTGTCGTAGCCCTTTTTGGATTTCTCTCCCTTTCTGGCGAGGGTTGCTCCCAAGTTTTGGGCGACCCGGCCGACTTGGCCCACCGTTTTGGCGGAGATACCGGCTGCGGACTGCGTGAAGGAGTGGATCTGGCGTAGACGCTGTTGGGTCGCGGGGCTGAATGTCATGGGTTTGGGGTTCGGTTGGGTTTTGCGCTGGAAGTTGTCTGCGCCTGAAGTCATGGCGTTGGCGACGTATGAGGAGGTAGTCACTAGGAGTCTTGAAGCGCGCGCGGAGGACTGCACGATGGTGGATTTGGCGTAGGCGGGATGGCGGGAGGTCTCGAGGTATTCCTCGGAGACGTTGCTGATCATGATGTTCTGGTCGGCGGCGCCTCGGCGGGGAGGGAGATCTCGACGGGGGTTTTGGGACCGGCGTGCACGTTGGTGGCTTCGACTATCTGGTAGCCGTTTTGGAGCTCGCCGAACTACGGAGCCGTTTTCTTCGTCGACCAGGACGATTTGGCCGTGGCCTTGGGAGGGGTGGTAGGGGTCATTGCCGCCGGGGCGGCGTTTCTCGTCGGAGGAGTGAGGGGTTTGGACGTAGCCTTCGCCGGGCGCGTAGGTGGAGGGGTCGTAGCGGGAGTGGTCTGCTGGTGGGGCGGCGCGCTCGAGGAAGGCGGTGCATTGTGCGAGGATTGTCTCGAAGGTGTCTACTTCTTCTTGCGTGACGCGGTCGGGGCCGCGGCCGATACGGGGAAAGTCGATGCGGGTGAATGCGCCGGAGTCTGGGCCGAGATCCCAGCGGGGGATGAGGTAGCTGGAGGGTGGTTTGTGGTAGACTTGGGTGGTTGCGGGGAGGGGTTGGTCGAGCTCAGGTGGGAGGTGGAGGTGCAGGTAGAAGTCCTCTTCTGGTGCTGCGGAAGAAGGATTGGTGCTGGAGAGGTCGGCGAATGGTGAGGATGTCGGCACCATCAGCAGCGACAGCGTCTGTGGTCCTGACGTTGTGATCTCGGACTCTCTGCCATCTTGGACGTGGAAGGCTCTGATGCCGTTGACGCTGTACAGCATCTGTGGTTCATTGTGGCCTGCCATGATGTTGGCTATCTGGCGATGGAGGGGTATCTGGAAATCAGTACGAGAGCGGGACGAGAAGAGGAACAGAAACACAACATGCAAAACTTCAAGATAAAGGGAGCTTGGAAGCAAGGTCACGCAGGTTCCTGGCAGAAATCCACATCAGATCTCATGGGCGGCTAGAACAACGATCACGAACATCGTATGAGGCGCAGCGCATGGGCTTGAAGCAACCGGCGCTTCAATCATCATCGTGCATGCAAATAAGCTGGGCACTCGTTCGATGCCCGCCAAAAATGCCAAGCGATGAGATCGGCGCCTACGTCAAGGTGGCTGGTGCCCTGCACCGCCACAAGGGAGTGAGGTGGCGTCGATTGCTACGAGGTACGATTGGACTCCACAACTTCTCAGACTTTCTGTGGCTCGCCTCGAGCTAAGATTGTACGACTCAAGATTCACTGTTGATTCCATGCTGTCGTGTTTGATGCCCACTACTGAACAGTCGGATCTCGGGCAGCGACAGCGGCCATGAAGCTGCATAAGAACGTAGTATTGGAACAGACCATGCGGCCTTGGTTGGTATGGAATCTAAGGTGAGATACACTTCAGGTGAATCAGTAGCTGCCGGCGGCTTTCTTCCTCAACCGAGCTCCATGCCACCACAACGCTGCCGTTGCTGGTAACCCAATAAGCAAACCCGAAGCGTCCAGGATTGTATATGACCAGCCGTATCCTAATTTCCTGAACATAGCCGGCGCGAACAGGGGAAAGCCGAAAGCCGTCAGACTCCGAATAAGCTGCGCGCCAGCAGAGGCACTCGCAACATGGTTCGGATAAGCATCGATCACGTACGCCGTGATGACCTGGCCTGCAATGGTGTTGCCGAAGGACGCTATGAGAAAGCCGACATCCACCACCGGCCACGGCAACAAATGCTGAGCACTCCAGCCACCGAGCAACAGGCCGACGGCGGTCAACAGGTACGCTGGGGCCATGAGAGGAATGTGGTATTCGGCTCCGCTATCCTGGCTTGTGGCCGAGTGCTTTTTTCGCAGTGCCTTGGATGCGAAGTCCATGAGGAAACCTCCAATCTGGGAGCCCGTGATCTCTCCAACACAAACCGAGAGGTAGTGCAGTCCAGAGTAAGAGACTGTTTCGTGATAGTGGTCAGTCCAGAATGACGAATATGTGGCTAAAATCAAGTATAGCAGACCGTAGTTGTACCCCGAAACCATGGCTTGGATCTGGACGATAGGGTGGAAGATCAGCAAACGAAACGGTCGTGTGAGATGCATGCCAAGGGCCGACCAGAATGTTTGCTGCCTCTCCAAGTCTGACAGGCGCGCATGGTACCGATCGTCGCCAGTCGAGCGGCAAAGCGCCTTCGCTTTCTCGTTCAGTATGGTCTGTGTATGCGTTTCGCGGAAAGCCACCAGGCAGAAGACGACTGCGAAAGCTTGCACAATTGAGGTTTCCCAGAAAATCCATCGCCATGAAGTCCTGCCTGCGATTATACCACCGACTATCGGTCCAATGGCAGCACCCAAGAGCGGAATAAGCATGTACAGACCTATCGAGCGACCTCGCTGTTCCGGCGGCCAGATATCCCCCAGGACGCCATTACCTAACGAGTATATCGCCGATGCGCCCAGACCAGCGAGGAGTCGAGAGGCAATGAGTGTGCCCTTCGTATTCGCGAAGCCGCAAACGAGATTCCATATCAAGAACCAGATGTTTGTTGAATGCAGAATGGGGCTGCGTCCGTACATCTCCGATAGTGGGCCGATGAGAAGTGGACCAAACGCTGTGGCGAGCAGATATACGGACAGTGCCATCAGGGACTCAACTGAATTCATATTGAGGTCCTTCGAGATCTGTGGCAAGGCTGGCGCCATGATGGTCGACACCGTGATCCGGATTAGTCCCGTTACTGACAGGACGGATGTGACGATCCATTTGCGGCCGAGGCTCCAGTCTCTGGGGTTGCTGGGATCGTGAGGGAAGTCGAAATGAACGAGAAAAGGGTCTGTGGGTAGCTCAGACCCTTTGGTAGCCGGATGTGCTTTTTCTTCGCCGGTGCTCTTGCCTGCCCATTCTGGCGGACCAGACATGACTTCTCGAATGCCCGGCTTCGCGGAACAACGTTGCGGCTTTCGATGCTCGGTTGAGAGGACTTGAGGATGCGAGACATCGTGTCTGGATACATCGCCTTATATGCAGTTGGGATGCTACAATGCAGGTACGTGAGGTGAAGCATGATTGGCTCTAGCGTTCGTCTTCCCATACTTGGGTTAGGCCGAAGCACAAGTGAACCCGGTTTTACCTGATTCCCGTGGTCAACGAATCAGATCACGTCGATCGTACAACCTACTGTAGCCTTTTTCGACTGTTCGTCAACGAAGAAATGCTACCTACCACGCAAGCGTCGATGCAGGACTCTTGTGCCTCGACAAGTCAGTGGACCTGTCGAGGTTGACTCTTTCGACTGTTGTGTTTCGATGAGATCGATGTCCAACGCTTGGGACAACGGAAAATTGCTGCGCCTCTCGGTCCGTCAGTGAGTTGAAGGACTGGCAGCAATGAAGACCATCACCAAGGTCATTCGCCCGACTCTGACGGAGGGACATCAACCGTGGTACTCGAAAGTGACGACCGCTTTAAGTGACATTGCAAGTGAAGCTGTGAAGGAAACACTCGCCCAACAAAGTTGCCTCGCCCTGCCTGGTTGGCTAGACTAGTATCTACTTCATCAACAAGGCCTGAGCTGCTCTGTCATACCTCCTGCCACCATCTTAGTCCACTGCACACCACCATCTGTCCGCCTCAGCACAGCGACCTCTGTTGGAGACACTTACAGCAAGGTCAGAAACCTACACAATGCCGCGACAACGCATGACTCTGCCAGCCGGTCGCGAGGCGCTGGCACGCGACAGCCAGGTCCCGCTTCCATCTTGGAGTCTCCACATCAATCGCAACAGTGTCGACCGAGTCATCAGCGCTACGGGTGCGAACCCAGAGCTCGATCTTGATGACATCAAGAATACTCGCGTCCGTCGACAGGTTCGGACGATGCTGGTGTACGTCTTGGATGTCAATGTCGAGATGTGTTATATCGCTCTGATGGAATGCCACAATGAGTTGGACGATGCAATATGCCTGATTCTTGATGTGAAGGAGGAGCTCGATCGGCAGGCGAAGGACCTACGTCTCCGTGAAGAGGACAACAGGCAAGTCACGCGGTATGTTTGTTCTTCAACACACACTCGTTGCTCCCCAGATCATCGCTCTTCGAGGCGACTAATCATTTCATCATGTATCTTTCGACTAACGTGGACGCGTGTTGCGTTCATAGAAGTGGAAAGAAGCTCACGCCAGCCGAGATCGCAGCCAACCTTGACAAGCTGCTCTTTGGTGCTTCTTTTGACGACTCTGCCACTGAGGACGGTGCTACCGTCAGTGTCGCTAAGTACAATTCGTAAGTTCATGGATATCTCAAGATTCAGATTGCTTCTCGTGAAGCAGGCCCTGAGTGTTCGGGCGTAAGAGACACTGACAAATTGGGACAGGATTACATTGACCACCGAGCTCGAGAACGCATCTACCCGTCCAATCAAGACAACCAGTTCATGCACGCAGACCAAAGCAGTCGGATATAGAATCCTACCCGCAGGTCACCTTGACTCCATCAGTCCAATCGAGTACACCCTACCGAAGTGGCTCGAAGTTAACAAACGCGAGGAGGAGAGACAGGGCGCAGACATGCGTAAGGCGACGACGACCGCCGCCTCCGAGTACGGCACTGATGAAGAATATGAGTACGCCGATAAGGAATTCCGCGAGGCTGTGATCGAACTCAATGAGGACGAGAAGATCGAAGAGGGCTGGAGCTTGATCGACGGCACAAGCGGCGAGCTATCGGAGGTCAAGCCTGAAGATTTTATCTACTGAACGTGGTGAGCGTCGGCAATGGATGCAGCAAGCACGCGAGACTACTTTCAGGATTGAGGCAGAGGATCGCGCGGAGTACTCAGCTGACTGAGGCCGAGGGCACACTCCAGCAGACATGATGACAGCGACGACAACTTCCAAATTGAGACCCAACAAGACTGTCCAAGAAACCGGATGGGTAAGCAGGCATTGGTCAGTGGCACATTCCGCAGTCTGCATCAGCCACAACACGACTAATGTATATGGATTCGGTCGCTCTGTGGACGCATTGGCTACAACAGCGCGACCTCCAGTCCAACGTGCTGCATTTGCATATGCTTTCTAAACCTATCCTTGGCCTACAAACCTGGAAAGCAGTTCGATGCCTCGCCTTTTCTCAAATTGTATAGCGGAATTGGGGATTCTTCATTCACAGTCAGCCACAATCTCAAATTGCACAAGTCCTTGGGACCGAGCAGGTGGATGTAAGTACGCACCTTCATATCGGTGAGATCGTCATCAAAAGCGTGATCGAATGCTTCGGCGGTGCCTGCACGATCCCGACGCTTGTTGTCCAGCACACATACGAAGCGATATGCAACCGCGAGCGCTAGCCCTAAGATCGTTGTTATGAGCACCGCCTGGAAGCCTTTCTCGAAAGTCGGCGCATCCGTTGGTTTGAACAGAAGCGGTCCGGTGGAGTTGCCTGCGAACAATTAGATCAGCTTTGATTGTGAAAGAGGAGGTGTATGGCATACCGAGACAGTATCCCATGAACAGGCCCGAGGCGGTGACTGATTTCTTTGTATATCCGGCATAATTGGCGGTGTGAAGTGCCATGAGAACTCCGTAGGGAGAAGCAAACCCGCCCAGCAGGTAGAGTGCAAACAGCCGAGCACCCTGCGCATCAGCAGGTAGCTGCCAGGGTAGGACAGCTGCGACGATCGAGGGCACCTGGCATGCTGCGATGATCCAGGTGTTCCAATTGCGGTGACTCAATTTCGAGGCGATCCAAGTCACAAGTAGTGTCTCGACGCCAGCGACTGCTCCGCAAGGCATAGATAGGAGCAAGCTGTTCAGGGGCGAATAGCCGAAGCCGGATACAATGATGGGAACAAAGGTGGACAGAGGACCGTTTGTGACCATGATGCAGAACGCCGTTGCAACAGCGAGCCAGAAACGCGCGTCGTATACCAATTCCAGTGCCTGTGCAGGTTTGAAGTGAGTGTTGCGAACGCCAGTATTGTTCGTTCGCAGTCGAGCCACCGCGATATACCTCTCCCTCTCAGAGAAGCCGCGGGCGTGGACAGGGTTGGGAGGGAGGAAGGCCATGATAACGATAGCCCACAGTATTGTCACCGAGCCAGCAAAAGTGTACATGTACTTCCACGTGGATAGTGCACCGTGAATGTGGCCCAAGCCATAGTTGATCAACGGAGCGAAGATGGAGACGAAACCCGCTGTGCAAGCATTAGACATGATGTAAACAAGACGCAGAGGTGCCTTACCAGCAGCCCACCAAGAGCCCATGCGTAACGGCTGTTCGTTCTTCTTGTAGAAACTTGAGACGATAATCATCAAGATTGGCGAGACTCCGGCTTCGAGGAAACCTAGGAAGAACCGTTGTGCGTAGAGACCGCGAAAGTCGCTACACTCGATAGTGAGGATGAGTGTGACACCCAGACGGCAATGATGCCCGCAGTGAATCTCTCAACTGGGAAATGTTGCGCTAAAAGCATCGCTGGCAGGGCACCGGCAATGTAGCCTAGGTAAAAGATGGATGCAGAGAAGGAATACCGATCTCCAGTAAGGACCAGCTCCTTTCGCAAGCCAAAGAGCGCCTGATAGAGAATATTAGTTGTGAGCTCTTAAAGATGCTAGACCCTTGGAGAATAGAGCGTACAGCCTGTGATAACATCGCCTTGTCATAATACTGCAAGCCGTAGGTTGCGAACATGATGCCGAGCAGTCGTCGATCAATTTTCCGGACAAGGTTTTTCTCCTCACTTTCGGTCCATGTTGACTCGGTGGTGTGGCGGGCGAGCACTACTGTAGCCTCGTCGGCGTGGAGAGTATCCACTGTAGTGACCTTCTCGACATGATTCTCTTGGTCGTCCAAGGTTGTCACCATGGTCAGTTGCTCGGTAGGCATTGAGTTTGTCTTCTCCGCCATCGTGGGGGATATCGGAGCCGTATCGATCTTGAAGCACACGTTGGCGAATTGCAACTGATCGGTACTACCTCAAAATTCATACGACCCCGATATTCCCCACAGGTCTATATATGCTGCTGTCCTTACTCGGTCGTAGGTACACGAAAAGGTGTTCCGGGGTATGGGGTAAACGTGGCCGACCCCACCATTCGCTAGATGACCAATGAGGAGCGTCTCGGTCGCGGACTTTGCTTTTGCTCACATCGCCGTCTCCATAACGGAGAGGGTCTCTCGTTAGCTCACCATCACGACCAAGCTACTCTACAGGTCTTCGGGCACCGCTTGGTTGGCCGCTGGCCAAGGACGGTGGGCAAAATTTCGTTGACAGTGTGGTCCAGACATGGACATAGCCACCGAGATATTATGGCATCAATGGCGTGGAGAGCAGACAAAACGTGTAGAGAGGTGCACTTGCAGTGACTCTCGTCAGTATGGATCACTTGCTAACAGGCTTTTGGTCTGCTCTGGGCCTCGTTGCAGCCGTGTTGCTGTTCACGCTTCTGAGCAACTTCTTCACACTTCGTGGCGTCCCTGGGCCCGTTTTGGCAAGATTCAGTAATCTATGGCGGCTCTATATGGCCTACCAGGCGACATGCACCATACTTACATCGACCTACACCAGGCATATGGCGATACAGTACGCATTGGGCCCAACTGTGTGAGCTTGGCAGGCCTCTCGGCCAGAGCGGCCATCTACGGAATATCGAGGCCAATCTTTCCCAAGGTATCTTTGGTGGTGCAGGGCTCGTTATTGTGTCACTGACCCGGACAGTCTGACTTCTACCTACCCTCTCAAGCCTCAATAGCTGGCAAGACGTACACCAATCTGTTCAACACCACCGGTGAGGATTTCCACACTGCCATCAAGCGACCGGTCTCTCGGGCTTATGCGATGACTACGCTGCTTGAGTATGAATCGTTTGTGGACGCCGTGACCAAAACCCTCCTTCGACAGCTCGTAATCCGGTACACTAATACAAGATCCTATGAGTCGAAATGCCATTTAGACAGGTGGCTGAAATACTATGCTTACGATGTTGTCGGCCAGATCACATTTGGTCAGTCTCTCGGATTTCTCGAGCTGGGACCAGACGCAGAACCTGTCATCTCGCAGCTACGACCGCCACGTCTGGGAATCGCTGTCAGCCAGATGCCTAACCTGTATCAAATGGTGCTGAAGCCTCTAAGGAAGTGGACCCGTCAGACCCCGCCAACGTCACCCGTGGTCGAGTTCACAGTGGCAAGAATGAAAGACAGAGCGGCGACCGGGACAAAAGATTCACACGACCAGCGAGACATGCTGAGCCGTTTTCTGAAGGCTCAAAAGGATCAGCCGGATTTGATCGACGATGTGCGTGTCACAAGTTACGCCACTAGCAACGTCAACGCAAGCGCCGACACCACCGCGATAACACTGTGTGCTGCGTTCTACTATCTCTTGAAGAATCCTGCCACGATGAAGGAACTAGAGGAGGAAATCATTGGCGCTGCCGAAGCCGGAAAGATTTCCTCCCCTTGTGTATCATGGACCGAGGCTCAGAAACTGCCATACTTGGATGCAGTCATCAAAGAAGCGTTGCGCATGCACCCGGCAGTGGGTATGATGCTCGAGCGTGTGACGCCTCCAGAAGGTGTCACAATATATGGGCGATTCTACCCGGGAGGTACACTCTTAGGCATTAGTCCCTGGGTAATAGCGCGAGATAGAGTCATCTATGGTGACGATGCCGATCAGTGGCGTCCCGAGCGGTGGCTGACGGGCGATGCGGACAGACAGAGCAAGATGGCGGGTGCAAGCTTGACCTTTGGTGGTGGTACCCGAACGTGCATTGGCAAAAATATCAGTTTACTGGAGCTGTATAAGGTGATCCCAGCAATCATCCAGATGTTCGATGTGTCGCTGGTCAAGCCAAAAGACGAGTGGAGGACTGTCAACGAGTTCCTGGTGTCGCAGGAAGGGTTAGAAGTTGACATAAAGCGTCGTTCGTAGGAGTACTCGGGTAGCGAAAAACAATGGTGCATGTACTTTAGTCAGGATGTGTATATTCCAGGGCCCTAGATCACAGCCACAATAGCCCAGCTTCCGTGGAGACGGCACCTATAGGTGCCCAAATACTATACCCCGCACGCGCCCCAGGCTCTCCACAAATTTGTGCCTTCCTCCACCTACCTGGAGGTTGAGTCACGCAGCCCAGATCATGGAGTTGTCCGAAGGCACTCACGGGAAGAGCTTGGGTATCATTTACGAATTTGATTTACAGCCGCCTGACCACTTTCTGGCACAAGTCTATCATGTGATCCTTATGTTCTATCAGACGAGAGAAGTTCTCAGCCTTTACTAGATCATGGAAATGCCATGCTGCGAACAGCTTCAGGAGACTCAGTAATGGATCTTTCCCGTCGTGGTCCTCCGTCGTTACATGTGCCAGGACCAGGATATCAATAAAGTCGCACATTTTTCGGGAATGAAACTCGGTCTGGTCGAGCGCAGCGCGTAGCTTGTTCGATATGAGCATCTGGAGATCCTCGATTATGTACTGCTTGGCAAAGGCGTACAGCTTGACATGTGATAAAATCTCTGAACAATCGTATTGTAGGTCAATATCGTTACAGGCTGACTTGTTATGGAACCTGGGAAAAGGAACGACTTTGCCCCTAGGAAAATGACGTGCTTCAGCTCCTCGAGTCGAATGGGGCTTATAGGACTGGCCCTCACGGGAAGTCTCTTCTTTTGCTTCTTTGAAGTCGCTCACGAATCAAAACCCCAGTCCGCCTCATCGAGAACCGGCTCGTCGAAACCTGCTGAATTGGTTGTAGAAGTGGTATTTGGTTCCGCGCTGACATGCTCGGCTAGCATATCGTCGTCGATAGGTTGATCCAATACCACCAACGCTTCAGCTGAATTGTAATTTTGCCCGTAGAGATATTCTGCAAAGCGAAGGAAGGTATCGTGATCAACGTGTTCGAGACGGACTCGGCCTTCGCGACTCTCCTTCATCTGGACGCGCATCATGCATCGAATGCCGGCGAGTTCTTGGAGACAAGTTGCGAATGTATAGTAACCAACGTCGAAGTGGAAGACTTCACCCGCGAAGATACTGTGCATATTCGTCAGCGTCGATATGACGCGGGGTTCTAGTGTAGCTCACTTTGCATTCTCGGCTGCCATCTTGACGTGAGGTTTGCTGAGTGTATAAATTAATCTAAAGTAGGCACGATGGTACCCTCGTGCTTCGGGGCAGCACCTTTTCTCAAGCCACGCACCCCACGTGACTAGTATCAAAGGCCACTGATTGGCAGATTCAGAGCTCGTAATCTATGCTTTTTTGTAATGCTGATCAATTCTCCTTGCAGGTGCTTGCTTTCTGTTCCCCTTGCTTCCTATCCTCTGCCTTGATTATCAAACTTGGATAGGTATCTTAAGTAGATGCCTTAGGCATCTTGACTACCTTGTTGGGCTTATTAACAAGATACCTTGAGCAGATAGCTCAGAGAGATAGCCTACTCTCAAGGCTGAGTGTAGAGTTTAAGGTATCTAACTTAAGTAGATATCTTGTATAGATGAGAGTTAGGGATCTTAGGTACAGTAGGTATACATCTTGGTTAGGGCAAGGCCCCAGAATGTACCTCTTCAGCAGGTATCATGTGTGAACAGGTGTAATGGGTAAGTATTCAGGTACCTCTGGCTGCTCAAGCGGTACCTATCGTTCTATGTATGGTTTTGAAATGCTGATAGTCACGTGGGGTGCGTGGCTTGAAAAAAGGTGCTGCCCCGAAGCACGAGGCGATGGTACAGTACACAGGCGAGAAGGACACTTGTCACGTGAGATCAGATGCGGGGCAAGAGCATCCCGCTGCGCGTGTGACGTCCAAAGCGGCTCGAACCTCCCCTCTGCTCGCAAATCAGATTGTTTGCGGAGAACTTGAAGTTGGAGAGGCAAGAAAAGTCTGAACAGTCCGAGGAATCCGAATGGTTTGAGAGATCCGAGATTGTGCCCGGCTGGCTCAGTCGGATGATTCCATCCACATTGACGCGGCCGGCAATATGATGTGGGTGTGGGACTCTCCTCTATGAAGGCGAGACGGATATACATAGGTGAAACTCGGATTAGAGGGACAAGTCGCCATCTACTTTCATCCAACCTCGTACCCTCAAGCACTTGAGCGCCTGATCAACTCATGTCGACTTCTGTTTCGTCCTCAGTATCTGGGACACAGTACCAAGATTTGCCGCAGAAGTCCATAAGAAGTCCTGTCGTCACGTCAGCCGGGATCGTAGCAGTAACTAATGGGCCTGACCCAGACAGTAGCCCAGCCAAAGGTGTGCGCAAGCCATATGGTTGAAGACCCACCACCAAGCCAGTGGTGCTTTTTGGGTGTTGTTTGCAACACGTTCTTGACAATCGCCCGAGCGACGACGTTGACATCGGCCGCCCCCTTTTCTAACTCGCTCCCGGACATGACTTCCTCGACCACGCCCCTGGCAGGATAGTACGGCGAGCTCGGCAAAAGATGTGGCAAGTCTGCAAGATTTTCCATGAATTTCGTTTTTATGGCACCAGCAACAACCAAGACGACTCTAACCCCAAACGGCTCAAGTTCGACTCGGAGCTGGTCGGTGAGAAGATTGGCAGCAGCCTTGCTGGCGTTGTACCAGCCTGACCACGGGTAAGGCGTATAGCCCAACACAGAGCCGATGTTGACGACGGTACCTTTCGATGTCGTGAGCAGAGGAAAAAAGGCTTTCGTGACGCTGATGAGCGCAAAGACATTTACCTCGAACATGTCTTTAGCCTTGCGTGCATCAGAGTCGAGCAGAGGGACCGCGTATCCTGTTATGGGGCCGTCAGTCCAGGAGTAGCGCTGCAGTGATGGCTACGTACCACCTCCAGAGTTGTTAATGAGCACATCTAGTTTCCCACTCGTCAAAGAAGTGATCTCACGGACAGTTCGTGCGATGGAGTCATGGTCGACAACGTCCAGTTGCAGGACGTGGATGCCCAAAGTTTTCAGGTGCTCGACTTTGGCGAGATTCCTGGCTGATGCGAACACCAGTAGACCCTCCTCGTGGAAACGCTGCGCAAGAGCGTCGCCAATTCCGCCCTGACTGCAGCCTGTGATCAATACAGATCGCTGCGAAGGCATCTCTTCGAGGCTTGTCTTCGACGTCGGCGTCGTGATGGTAGGTCTGTGCAGTGAGTTAAGTGAGTTGCAGGGCCACTGTCCCTGGTTCGAGAAGTATGCGAACCGTCTGTCTTGTCACGGAAAAGGTGACATTTTAAGAAGGACTTGCTGAGCATGCTGCCCGCCGACACATAAAATCTCGTTCCCTCATAACAGAATTACAATGATGCCCGTCACGGAGGATCTTCTCGCCGCACTGAAACCTACGCATGCTACATGCGGTCTCCGGCTCAAAATTGCACCATCATACCCCATTGGCAAATATAGGAGAAGTCAGATAGGAGACTTCAGCCCCGGGCCGGGAGACGTGCCTAGGTCGACAACACAAACTTTCAATGCTGCGAATTCAAATTACTTTGGCACCAGTTCAGTAATCACATAGTACCTGGTACTGTAAAATGCCTTTCAGATTACTAACATGCTTTCCCTCAGCTCGAACAAATAGAGTTGAAGTCTATTGAGAGATACTTAGTAGGCGTCTTTTTCGAAGGCTTGAGCTGTGAAACGAATTCGTCCGTTCGCTCGTCCAGCGCCGGAATACTCATCAACTCTATAACCCAGCCGTTGAGCTGACAGAGTCTACTGACCAATGGTTTACTTCTCGGTCCATCATCAGCTCGACCAGATAGGCCCGATTCAAACACAAAATGTATACTTCACCTCCATGACCCATGCATGATACGGCACCACACCTTCACGGCTCGACTGGATCTGCTCCTTACTGAGCTCTCTACTATATCCTATTGAGACGGAAAATGAAGGCACTCGTCGCTAACCGCAGCATCGTCACCCGAGCCACCAATCTCCTCCTGGGGAAATCAATCGGACAGGGAGTCAGTGTCGAAGAAGTTCCGAAGCCCACCGTGGCCGACCGTGAAATTCTCGTTCACGTGCACGCAACGGCCTTGAATCCGATCGATTTCAAATTCATCGACTTCATCAGCCCTTCGGGCAGTCTTACTGGTTGCGATTTTGCCGGTGTGGTAGCCGGCGCTGGCCCTGGCGCAGCGGCAATGTGGCAGGTCGGTGATCGAGTCGCCGGGTTTGTCCAAGGAGGAATCGACACAGCGCACGGGTCCTTTGCAGAGTACGTCAAAGCCGAAGCAGATCTGGTGTGGCGGATTCCCGATGGGGTTGACGACACCGAAGCTGCAACCTATGGCGTCTCGGCAGTGACAGCGATGCAGGCCCTCAATCTGCATCTCAATGTGCCGTGGCCGGATCATGTGGACGGCACAAGCAAGACGGACGACGACGCGACTATTTTCATCTATGCGGGATCGAGCACCGTGGGCATCTTCGCCATTCAGATCGCCAAAATGGCCGGGTGGAAGGTCATAACGACTGCCTCACCACACTCGTTTGACCTGGTCAAGCGCTACGGCGCAGACCACGTGTTTGATTATCGAGCTCCCAATGCAGTGGCAGACATTGTGGCAGCCTTCCCCAACATCTCGAAGGCGCTGGACTGCTTTTCCGAGGGCGACTCGACCAGATTCTGTGGAAAAGTCCTCCAGAATAGCGGTGGTAAGGTCATCACACTGCTCGACACAAAGACCAAAGTCTCCGGTGTCGAAGCTCAGATGGTTATGTCGTTTCAGCTGCTGGGCAAAGCGTTTAGCTGGCTACCGCCTGTTGGGCCGAAGTATTCTGTATCGTTGTCGGATCGTGAAGCACTTGTGCGCTTCTATACGAGTTTGTTTAGCTTGGCGAAGGAGATCAAGGCACCGCCGATCACTGTACTGGACAACGGATTCGACGGTGTAATTGAGGGGTTGAATCGACTCCGGGCGGGAAAGGTGTCAGGCTCGAAGCTGGTTGTGACGTACTGAAACTTAGCTCAGAGGCTTTTATGACCTATTCACCGCAGTTCGGTTCATGTTTGGGGAGAAAATGCATGGAACGAGAAACAAATAGACATGTATGCGCAGTGGGTAGTAACTGGGGCCATCGGATCGTCCCATCGGATCGAGATTTTGTGCTCTTCCGCGTTTCCCGCTTAAGTACTAGACTAGATCGCTCTGTGACTCCGAAACATTGGGTGACAGCAGAGTGTGACGGTTGAGCGTCACTTGTCACCACAAGGGATGTCTCGTCCCGTCACTGTTGGTGCGATAAGGAGCAACTTTTTCGGTGATTTCCCGCGTGCACCACATCTAACCAGGACCCTCCCATCATAAGACTCCTGCGCGTCGCTCACCGACCTGACAGAGTCTAGCGGCTGTTCGAGATAAACTCTCTTTCCCGAAATATGGACTTGTCCTATACTGGCCTACCTCTGCTCGCGCTCAACCTCGATCCTTCAAAGTTCTCGGTAGGGAGACGATGTTCAAAGCTCGTCACGGAACATGCTCGCGTCACAGCCGCCGACAGAAGAAGTTGGCTCTACGCACCTACTATGCTGCGCACAATCTAGTCAAAGCTTCACTATCGGCTCTAGACGCTGTCTCATCTCAGCACACCCCGATCGCTGTGGTTGTCAGTGCTTTTCAAATTCCATCTTATTACTCAAAGTCATCAATCCCTCAATCTCAACCTCAACAACATCCCCATCCTTCAAGAACTGCTTCCTGAAGAATCCCACCCCGGATGGTGTCCCTGTCATAATCACAGTACCCGCCCGCAGCGTCGTACCACGTGACAAGTGATGCAAGATCTGCTGTACCGACCAAATCATGTCATCCACACCGGTCTCCTGCCTGACCTCCCCATTTACACGCGTCTTGTATCTCAAGACCTTTAGATCAGGCACCAATCGCGGACTAGCAATCCACGGACCGATGGGCGCGAAGCCGTTGAATGATTTCGCGTAGCCGTATTGTCCGCCTCCAGCCGCGGGCAGCTGGTAGTTGCGCGCTGAGACGTCGTTGCCGGCCGTGTAGCCAAGGACGTACTCGGGGAGGTTCACGTCCACGGGGAGGTTCTTGCAGTCTTTGGAGATGATGACGGTCAGCTCGCCTTCGTAGTCGAGCATGGGCTGTGCGCCGGGGCAGATGGAGATGGCGGTGTTGGGGCCGGTGAGGGCGTCGGGGGGTTTGGTGAATACGACGGGGTACTCGGGGACTTCGAGCTGTCGAGCCTTTCGTCAGTCGTTCTGATCGCGTCGCCTAGATGTGAGGCAAAGAAATCATCAGCTATGCTCACAGAAGCTTCCTTCGCGTGCTGCTTATAGTTGAGGCCAATGCACTGTATTATTGCCGCTCTCTTGACTGGACAGAGCAGCTGTAGCGAGCTTGTTAGCGATGGTGCTCTGGCCTCAGAGTCCTGAGGAAGAGTCTCACATGCTCAACAAGGACCGCATCCCCCGAAGTGGGGGTGAAGCCGTCGTTGATCGAACCGTTCAATTTCTTGACCAGATATCCCTTCTGTGTGATCTCAACGATATCGCCATAGTGAGCAGTTCCGTCTTGTTCAAAACGAACAAGTCTGTCGAAAGCCATGATTAAAGCGACGTGTATTCTGAAGAGTGCCTGGAGTAAATGCGTCTTGTGTTGACCGGTAGATGTGCTAAGGACTTGCACAGAGGGTATGCCGGTCCGCTTGCTGAGTCCCGGCTCGGACTGTTTTCGGACCTGTCTCTCGTCAGACGAATTCACCGGACACCGTCTGACGGCCGGCTTGCATGAAGCGGAGACCATGCAAGATCCAAGCAGAGAATCTGTTTACTGCCTGTTGTCATGTTCTACATCTGCGTATCTCAACCGAAGCAACGCTGCCTAGATATAACATCTGGAGCAAAATGACCGACACACGGATCAGTGTATTACGTCTTGGACATGTACACTATCAGCACGCCAACTTCGATCGTGCTGCAGCCTTTCTGGGGGACTTTGGCCTAGTCGAAGAGCTGCGCACCGATACACGGCACTATCTGCGCGGGTACGGTGTCCAACCATTCGTATATGTCCTGGAGCAGTCGCCCGATGACAAGAATCATTTTCTGGGAGGTTACTGGGTAGTGGACTCGAGAGAAGAGCTCGAGAAGGCCACGAGACTGCCCGGTGCGACTGCTATAACCAAATTGGATGGGCCCGGTGGAGGTGAGGTAGTAACAGTGCCAGACCCCAATGGCAACTTGGTCGGGTTCGTCCACGGCCAGTCACTGCGCGTCGATGATAGCACAGTGGGAACCCTGGAGCGTGGCGGCAACAATGACGTGCAAAACACGGCGGTCGCGAAGTCCCCCAAGGGCGCCTTTCGCAGATTCTCTGCAGGGCCAAGTCCTGTCCACAAGCTGGGCCACTATGGATACATGGTGCCACCTCCCAAGTTCGAGGAGACTTTGTCCTGGTACACATCAATGATGAACTTGAAGCCAACCGACTGCGTCTTTGATCCAAGCACAGGCCAGGATCAGACGTGTTTCATGCACATCGACCTTGGCCAGCGGTATTCAGACCATCACGTAAGTGCAGATCCGCCGGAAAGGGAAAGCAGATTGCGCTGTTCGCAACTAACAGATCGCGCATCCAGAGCTTTTTTCTAGCAAAAGCCCGACTGCGCCCAAAGCGCACGTACATCACTCCAGCTTCGAAGTCAGCGACTATGACACGCAATCCTTGGGACATGATCACCTGCGCAAGCAGGGTTGGACTAATTGCTGGGGTATCGGTCGACATGTTCTGGGCAGTCAGATATTTGACTACTGGTACGCTGCTCCGCCGTTGGTTGTCCAGCCTGACAGACTGACTTATGACCCAGGTTCGATGCCTCCGGCAACGTTGTGGAGCATTACTCGGACGGAGATCTGGTAAATGAAGACACATCCATGGGCAGAGAGGCAGCGGCGCCAGATACATTGTATGTCTGGGGGCCAAATATTCCTCTGGCATTCGTGACTGGGAAGATTGGAGACGCAGGAAAAGCTATGCCAATGCCAACGCCGCCGGACGTGCTTACAGGTCGACCAGCGGCCATCCCTGCTTCGTGAAAAATGGTCGCCCTGGTCGCTCGGAAGTCGAAGTCTGGATCGCAGAGCAGCTCTCGATTGCGATAGCCATACGTGCACGCTTATCCGTGCAGCGGGATCTGCTAGTTTCCGTATAACCAAAGCGTTTCCTCTGAGCGAGCAACATGAATGTGATTCGGCCCTCAGATGATTTGGAAACCTTCCGCGGAAAGTCGTGAAAGTCTTACATTGAGCATCAAGCGCGTCCAACAATGGTAGCAGATGGTCTGAAGCTCCATCAAGCACGGTCCGAATTAAGTTTCTGCTGATCGAGCGGGGACCACTCAGCATTGAGGCATGGGCCTTGGCCAGGTCCTGATACCCCGGCGTACGAATTGACCGTGCCCACTTCCTCAACGCGTCACCAATGAACACGAGACCGGCGTTTGCCATGCCACTGCTGCCCACTACTCGAGATTGACATGAAAACCTAACGCGTAGTATTTCGTCGAGTCTTGATGCTGTTGATGCTCATCAGACTACGACGACATGGGTGTGCAACAGAACGGAGCTGATCAACGCCAGCCGCCAGATGAAACCCCCGTCCTTATCGTTGGTGCTGGCCCAGCAGGCCTCATAGCAGCTCTTCAGCTTTCTAAGAATGGGCAACGGTGCGTGCTGATTGAGCGAAACCTCGACACGACAAAATGGCCGAAGATGGACATCACCAACTGCCGGAGCATGGAGTTGCTCAAGCGATTAGATGTGGACAGAGGTCTTCGAGAAGTCGGTAAGCTTCTTCCATACGCCATATCAAGACTGGACGTCAGGCTGATCTGTGTTCCCGTCCAGGTGTCTCGCAAGAATACTCTTTTGATGTCAACATCAGCACGGGACTTTCAGAAGGCGGTCAGCTAATTGCAAAATGGGTACGTTCACCCGTTCCGCACGGCCGGACTTGGAGGCTTGGAACTTAGCAGCCGTCACAGGGCCTGCCCTCGCCCGATGCGTGGCGCAAGCGCATACGAACAAACAACGACGGTAGCAACCCCCGCGAGCCTTATCAACGCTGTTCGCAGGCTATCTTTGAGGCGTGGTTGAAACCACAGCTCCAGTCGAATCCCCTCGTGGATGCGTATTTCGGCTGGAAGCTTGAGTCTTTGACCGAGGAGAGTTCTCATGTCGATTCAACACTTGTAGACACCGCAGGCAACCGCCACAGCATTCGATCTCGGTATGTGATCGGCTGCGATGGAGCCGGCAGCAAAGTGCGGTCTGCGGTTGGAATCGCTCTGAAGGGCGGACCGGTGTAGGTGTATTGATTCAAAGCTTCACAACAGGATGCTAATCTTATGTCACAGTCCGGGCGCAATGCATCTCATACATTTCAAGTCAAGAGACCTAAGTCGATTGCACAAACAAGGTCAATTCTGGCACATCTTTTTTACCAGCGGCTCCGTCATCATCTCACAGGACGAAATCGATACGTGGACGGTGCATACACCAATTCCTGTCGGGGCAGATGTTTCGGACGTCGACCCCAAACAGGCCATCTACCGCGCACTCGGTGGCGATTGTGCACCATACGAGATTGAGATCGACGAGGTTCTAGTCACGAGCACGTGGCGGCCGAACATCTACCTCGCCGACAAGTATATGTCTCAAGGGAAGCGGATCTTTCTGTCGGGAGACGCTGCACATCAGAACATACCAACAGGAGGATACGGCATGAACACTGCTGTGGGTGACAGCTTCGACATCGGCTGGAAGATCGCCGCTGTACTCGCAGGCCACGGAGGACCGCATCTGCTTGACTCCTACGAGGCTGAACGGCGGCCAGTTGCAGCACGTAACCTGGAGCGTTCTGGCGTCCATCATACAGTCCATGCTACGTACCAGCAGTGGTGCCTAAGAGCACCTAGCGCTTCCACCTCTCAGAATGAAGAAGGTAGAAGTCTCCGTGATCGTATCGCAGCGCATGTCGCACAAAATGATGGCGAAAACACCGACCACGGCATCGAGCTCGGCTATAGATACAACGGCTCCGGTGTTATAGTCACTGATGATGCGTCACAGGAGCCTGCTTGGACGCCCAAAGAATACGTCCCTTCCACCTGGCCGGGAGCGCGTGCCCCCCATGTTTACCTGAGCGACGGTAAGACCAGCATCTTCGACAAATTCGGCACTGGCCCTGCTTTCACGTTGGTGGACTTTAGCGCGGACGGCAAGTACGCACAGTCGTTCGAACGAGCCGCTAGGAGTGCACGTGTGCCTCTCGAGGTTGTCCGACTGCTGATGAGGCGCATGCGCGGCAGGTATGGGAACGCGATGCCGTGCTCGTACGACCGGATGATCACGTGGCCTGGCGCGCACCCTCAGATGGTTCGCCCTGGACCGCTGAGCATGTGCTAGCAGTTGCTACTGGCCATCAAACTGTGAAGCAATTGATCAGAGAGCCCAGAAGTGCTCTGAATGGAAATGGCAACGTGACGTCCCATATCTTCTCAGGGACCGTTGGCGATATTGCTCATGAGAGTGTGGAAGGTCTTGGTGTCTTTCAGCGCGAGTGAAACGGTGATCTAGTGATGGGCGGTTCCAAAGGTGGCCGATACGGCGGCGTGGCATCGGGGCAAGCTGGGCAAGTTCTACGTATACGACTTATATTATGTGCACGCAAGATCGACAAGAGATGATGGTTAGTGTTCCCGCAAAGGATAGTGGTGTCAAGACAATCAGGCTAGATTCTAGTCATAGCCCGTTCGCGAGCGTTCCCGATCAGGTAGTGGAGATCATAGAATCTATTGCGGGCAACAGATGAAGTTTACATTAATTTTGAGAGCGGCGAGCAACATTTGACTGTCTGTCTATGAACACGTAGCTTGTGGAGATACATACTGAAAGAGTAAATGAGATTCCGCGGCACGGTGAGATGGACGGAAGCCGGTCTCCACCACGGCAGCCACGGTCCACTCGCTTCCCGATCAGTACCTAACTGCGAGCATCCGGCGTCCTGCAGTAGGAAAGCATTGAGTCGTTTGTACTATGAAAGCAGGGTGGAGAGTTATCACTGGATACATCTCGTGAACAGATGGACCTGATCACTGGAGCACAACTGAAATCGTTGTCAGCACTGTTTCTGACCCAGTACAGCGGAAGAATAGCACGCGTCTTCTGCAAGTTTTCTCGCCGGGCCTACTACGAGTGTGAACATTCTTGCAGTACACGTCCGCTCACAAGCTACACACAGTCGAAGCGGTCTTTGGCCCTGCCAACATGATTCAGCCAACCACCATGGCCCCTCTCAGCGTCACCATCATCGGCGCAGGCATCGGGGGTCTAGTCTGCGCCATCGCCTGCCGGAGAGAGGGCTTGAGCGCGCGAGTGCTCGAACAGGCAGATGAGATCAAACCGGTGCGTAATGAATCTTGCATAGCAGCTTTTCACACTTGTTGCTTCCTTCCCTTTATGGCGTGTTAGAGATTCAGTCGTTTCCTGTACTGAGAGCCGCATGCCTCAGAGCAGGACTGATTGGCAGCAGGTCGGAGCGGGCATCCAGATCCCACCAAACGCAAGCCGCGTGCTCTCCAGATTAGGCTGCTGCCGTCTTTGCAGAAGATTGCAAATGAAGTCAAGGCTTTGAAGGTCAGGCGGTATCAGGACGGGTCGCTGCTTGCTTCACGACCGGTGAGATGGGACACACCTTGGCTGTGAGTGAAGAATGCTCACCTCTGGCGGATGGCCTCACTGAGTTTTCCTCTCACAGCGTGATCCACCGTGCCGATTACCACAAGGTTCTGATGGACGAGGCGCAGCGTTTGGGGGCAGAGATCGTGCTGAACGCAAAAGTCAGCAATATTGATCTGTATAGTGGTTTGGTGAGTGTTGAAGATGGTACGCTGTATACTTCGGATGTCGTTGTTGGTGCTGACGGTAAGTTATACCCTGGCAAGGCTGATAGCTCTGGACGTTACTTGGGGTCTCGACACCAGTCCATACTGATGTAGTGACTAGGCCTGTGGTCGACGACCCGATCACAACTCCTTGGATCCTCATCCGACCCCGTCGGAACCGGGGACCTCGCATACCGTGGCACATTCACACTCGAGCAGCTCCAGCAGCTCAACGATCCAAGGATAACTGAACTATGCCAAGAGTCAGCGGTCACGGTGTGGTTCGGCCCGGAGAAGCACTGCGTGTTCTATCCTGTGCGGAATGGTACACAGTTCAACATGGTGCTGCTCCGCCCGGATGACCTGCCGAAAGGCGCTCGGACGGTGCAGGGTGATCTGGAGGAGATGAAGAATACTTTTGAGGGTTGGGATGATGTGTAAGTCCAAGAGGGAACCGTTCGGTGGACTGGGAATTGCCGTACTGACGAGAGTCCAGACTCACCAAGATCATAAGCTGCATACCAGCAGTGCTGAAGTGGAAGCTGATGCATCATGACGAACTCGAACGATGGACAAAGGTGCACACATCCAGGTCATTCAGGGTTCGAATTCCACTGACCATTCAAAAAGGGCCGTACCGTCCTGCTCGGCGACGCCTGCCACCCTACGCTCCCCTACCAGGCACAAGGCGCCGCCATGGCGGTCGAAGATGGCGCCATCATCGGCTCCCTCCTGGGCCGCCTGAGCCGCCACTTGACAGACCACGACAGCAACCAGTGCTCCTCGTCAAGCCTTCCGCAGCAGAACAAGCTGATTCACGACGTTCTGGCTCTATTCGAGAAGTGCCAGAAGCACCGCACCACCGTCAACGTGCAGGGCGCCGTTGACGATCGCCGTTTCTACCACATGCCGGATGGGCAGGAGCAGAGGGAGCGTGATGCGGAGCTGGTGAGGCATACGTGGACCGATGAGGCGTCGAAGCATTTGTGGATGGATATGGCGTATAACAGGAACTTGTTGGGGACTGATGTGCTGGCGGCTGCGAATGCTATGTTTGATGATTATGTGGTTGGATTGGATATGGCAGACAGGGGCCTCGCAGTCCATGGAGTTGACGAGGGTCGTGCAATGCAGGTCGCTGTCGAGCCTGGGAGTTGAGACGTAGTAAGGATCTCGATGGGCTCCGCGAGCATGAGTCGTAACGATCGTTGAGGGGTCTCATCGTGGGAAGCGTCGAAGGGGTGGAGTCATGCCCAGAGGGCCTTCAGTCGCAAGGCTTCGAGGAGGGGCATTCCTCGAGGTACCGGCGACGATTACTTGAGCGTGAAGTACCGTCGAGGTCGCCCTGACAACCTTCTCACTGCACAGTCAACCCAAACCTGCCCCACCTTGTGCAGTCACTTGAGGCTGTGAGTCATCTTGGCAACATTGAGATTTATGTGCACTTCTCAACCCTCTCACACCTTTCTTCGCTTAACTTACCTGAAACGTCTATCCTTGCTTGAACACACCTCTTATCTCCGTTAATACCTCACCACTTCTATCACAATGCTCAACATACTCTGCCTCTCCTTCGGCTGTGGCAAAGGCCACGACAAGGTCACCAAGAACCCACAACTCACTGACGATGATCGCAAAGGTCGCATCGACTGTCCCTGCTGCAGAGAGGTCATCCAAGACGAAAGCGACAGAAAGCCGCGCCATGTGCTTGAGCAAATCCTGAGAGAGGGCAAGGAGAAAGGCTTGCTCTGCGAAACCCATCGCCGGTGAGTCTTGATCCCTTTGCTTGTCGCTACCATCGTCTCGAAGACCGCAAGCTCTTCGTAAGGACTCGCAGCTAAAGCATGTGATCCCCAGATTCGGTCTAAACACTGCCGCTCTGGCCCAGAGTCCTCCTCGCGACAACAAGATGGACATGACTGGTGTCGCTGCTGTGCTCGCCGAAGCTGCTCCGAAGACCCCCTCGTAAGTCCAAACCTGAAAGTTTTGACCCCAGGGCGGACTCTGACGCTTTGAACAGCAGCAAAAGCAACATCGAGTCCACTACCACCACCAGGCGCTCGTCTGCCAAGCCGTCGGCTGTCAGCGATGATGAGGAGTACGAGGACATCCCGCTTGGCGTTGAGGAGGCGTCAACCAAGGTCAACGACGATGAGGAGGACTCTGATGAGGACTGGGACCACATCCAGCGTGGAGAGGCCTTCTATCTGGGTAAGGGAGACTGGCACATGGTCAAGGACGAGGGTTCGAACATGGCTTAGAAAGGTCGCCAGGGCGGCCTCCGTGGCGCTTTTTGAGAATGGCATAGGATGACCTGGAAGTCGCCAGGGCGGCCTCCACGGCGATTCCCGACGACATTGGAGCGCCAGGTTGTGGCAGCACGTCTGCGAACTGAGGCGGCCTCTATGAGGATAGCCTAAGAACAATGCATACCGAAACCGAATCCATCTTGAGACTTACCATCGCTTCCTGTGATCTCGGTCCTTCCGTGGCGGTCTGTTTCGGAGTTCGGGAGCACGGCTGGAGCCGTGTTGTTGTACCACCATGAGTCCATTGGACATCATAGAGGACTCCCTGGCACAATCATGAGCACGCGAGCAGTGGATTAGTTCCCTACGGAAGCATGTAGTCTGGCCTGGATTGCGCCATTGCGATGTCATGCGCACATCGAGCCTGAGTCAGGGGCACATTCCTCGCGCAAGGCTGCGGCGGACGGTGAGCAGAAAGCAGAAGGAATCAGGCAGTGTGGTCCGTATCGACGAAGCGGTCAGCGGGAACAGGAAAGTTCATGTATGTAATACGTGCTCAGTCGCCCTTGCTTCGCGGAGGAATACAGTCATGTCAAGCTGCCAATGAGTTGTGCATTCGGATCGTGGCTGAAACTGCAGCGGGAAGCTTAGGATCGGAAGAGCCTGACCGAATTGGAGTTTCGAGCTTCAATCAGTAGTTGCGCCTTTCGTCGAAGCTCTCGCGGTTGGTGCTGGCGAGCGTCAGAGTCTCGCCATTGTGTCTGAGACTTGTAGTTCGAAAGGTCACCGAAACGTGGAACGGGAGTCATCAAAAGAAAGCAATAGGCGTGGAGCCGGCCCCCCGAAGTTCACATGCATGACATTGACAGGCGATGATCACCGCGGCGGAGACGTCTTGACTCTTGCAGTAGCTCGACGTGGTAGTAGGCTGCTTTTGCGGGAGGCGACTCGACCCGCTTGGAGCAATGAATCGAAAGCCTTCTTTCGATGGATCCAATTCAAAGAAAGCGTCACTTTCGCTTATGGCCCAGTTAGAACTCTTTCGGAGATATTTCAACGGAGCTAGAATTGCAGCTGTACAAGGGTTGCAAGTTTCAGGACGCGTTCGTGGTTCATGGAGAGCAGGAAAACAGAGATTTGTTTGTTGCCGACTCGCGAGCTTTCTTGATTTTTGCCTTGTCGGCAGATGAGAGCTTTCAATTGAGTTTGCCGGCACAGAATCGACCTTGTCGATGTTGAGGTCGTCGTCCTCGCGTCGCGACTCGTGTAGCGATACGAGGCGCCTCAATCCGGAATGGATGCGGCAAACTCTTCGTCTCGTCGTGATGGCGGCTCGGTTAGTGTTTGATAGTAAAGTTGATGATCTGAATGTGGGCGGGCGAGTCCCGATGAGAATGAACAAAAGGCATGGCGGTGAGCAGCAGGCAGGATGGGGTGGCTATTTGTGTGCATTTCGTTGGATTAGCGACGCTGGGCGTTGCAATTAGGCGGCGCGCTAGTTGAAGATGCGCTGGCATGGCGGATTATAGCTGCCAAAGAGGCCTATTGCAGGGGCCCAACCTCGCTTTCATAGAAAGGTTGATTGCTGAGGGCAGATTTGAGTGCAGAGTCAGGTTCAACTGCGGTTGCTGTGCTGGTGCAATGCTGTGCCGTCTTTTCACCTGTGCTACTGCCGTTTTCTCATCAACGTCAAGGTCGAAGCAGCGTTTCTTCTTCATACAGTAGGAGTAACCACCGGGGCTTCTGCTTGTCTTTCAGTTCGATTCCTTCCTTCGAGTCACCGTTCCTTGCGAGTTTGATTGCTGTCATTGCGGCTCCATCTCCGCCCGCCGAGCATCGAATCTTCCCCTTATCAGCCAACGACCGTTTCACCGCGACTTCGAAAAGAGCTCGACCACATTCGCGACCCCTCCACAGCCTCATCCACCTGCGTCGTCACTGGCCATCACCGTCGTCGCCATTGCGTGCCGTCCAATGTCCAGCGATACAGCAGCTGCATGTGCCCAATCTCGCGGCATCACTCTCTCATCTCGAGACGCGATCTGACCGATTAATCCTTGCTGCCCGACCCCAGCAGCCGTGCCTTGTTTTGCACAAGGATCAGCCTGTCAACAATTGAATTGCTATTGCTATCAGCGTTCAAGGCTGCTGCGACTCGAAAGGCACAAGCGATACTTTCAACAACTCATCGACCGTCGTCGCCGTCCGCAACATCGCTTCCGCCTTGACATCGCGATCGAGAGGAAGCTCAACAGTGACATCGACACCCAGCAGGGGTGATCGAGGGTGGTGAGACGATGACTTCGGCGTCAGTCCACACTGGTGGTCGATCAAATCATATTCCGACATCACAAGCTTATGACGAGGATGTGGCATACTACGAGCAGCGCCCAAATGTCAATCAATTTTACAGCGATGTACCGGCCAGTAGTAGCGGCAGGCTCGCGCCTCAGCATGACCAAAGGCAGTACTACTCGAGCTCGCATTCCCCACAATCACAGCAGGTGACATCTCAAGATGAATACGTCCTGCCTTACCACACCCGCTCTGCCGACTCATATGATGGTCCAGCGCCATTGCCTCCCCCGAGAACGTCCTCTCAGCAGCATCAGTCGTCGCACTCGTCGTCGGGTCGCGCATCGTCACGGCAACCTCAACAGAACACCAACACCTACGGCAGGACTTCGCCGCGGGAAAAGTCAGATCCACCAAATGCCGCGGCGGCTGCTGCACGGTCAAGACGGAAGAATCCAAGCAGTCCAGAAGCTCCTCAAAGATCCACGAGCGCAAGAGACCAGCCGCAACAGTCTCAGCCTCAGCAAGTGCCTGCTCCATTAGTTCGAGAATATAGCGAAGTCATTAACCGTGTTGTCGTTTCCGATCCTCGGGTCGACGAAGATCGTCTACAAGAGCGTGTAGCTGAGGCGCAACCGCATGCGACAGATGCCGAGCTCGACTTGACCGGCGATCTCCCTCCGCCCACTGAAGATATCCCAGGCCCTGCAAGAAGACAAGACTACTCAAAATCTGCCTCAAGACGGAAAGACGTCCAGTTCGGCGACTATGTACTCGGCCAGACTCTTGGTGAGGGAGAATTTGGCAAAGTAAAACTGGGCTGGAAGAAGGATGGCAGCTCACAAGTCGCCATCAAGCTGATTCGTCGGGATAGTGTCCAGAATCATCCTGTCGCCTGCCCAAAATCTACCGAGAAATCTCAATCCTCCGCGATCTTGCGCATCCGAATATTGTTCGTTTGCACGAGATGGTCGAGACGGAACGACATATCGGCATCATTCTGGAGTACGCATCAGGTGGCGAGCTGTTCGACTACATCCTCAACCATCGATATCTGAAAGACCCTGCAGCCCGCAGACTGTTCGCTCAGCTGGTCTCCGGCGTCGGCTACCTGCACAAGAAAGGCATTGTCCACCGCGATCTCAAGCTCGAAAACTTGCTCCTCGATCAAAACCGCAACATCATCATCACCGACTTCGGTTTCGCAAACACTTTCGATCCTATAGACGTGCTGGGAGATGAGATAGAGTACAATCTCACCAACAAGGACTATGTACGAAAGCTGAAACTCGATAATCTCGATGCTAGAGGCCTTCGACGTGGTGATTTGATGCAGACGAGCTGTGGCAGTCCTTGTTATGCAGCGCCAGAACTTGTGGTTAGCGACTCCTTGTATACTGGTCGCAAAGTCGATGTGTGGAGTTGCGGAGTTATTCTGTATGCTATGCTGGCTGGATATCTCCCTTTCGACGACGATCCAGCAAATCCGGAAGGCGACAATATCAACTTACTGTACAAATACATCACGACAACCCCTCTTACATTCCCGGAATACGTTTCACCTCATGCGAGAGACCTGTTGCGACGAATCTTGGTGCCTGATCCTAGGAAGCGGGCGGATCTATTCGAAGTCGCGAGGCATTCTTGGCTGAGTGAGTACCATCATGTTGTGTCGCATATCACCAGCAGCACAACGAACATTGCAGACATTGCCAATAGCACTGTACCGAGCCGATCGGCACCGGAATCTGGAATGCATCGGAGTGCGTCAATGAAGGAGCCATCGAAGCCTCAACCAAACCAGCGAGAATTGCTACCGAAGACGCCAGAAGTCGAGGAACAAGATCAAACATCCTCTGGTTCGCGACGAACCAGACATACTTTGCAAGCCGAGTATGTTGCGCCGCAATCTCACACCAACAGAGGCCATGACGTCGCACCTGTGACAGCTGCAGAGTACGCTCGATCACGCGGAGACGAAAAGAGAACAGTACATCAACAAGCGACCACATCGAAGCCGCTTCCGCAAGATCCACCCCGACCGCCAGTCAACGACAAAATGGGACCTCCCACACGTCCTGGACGGGAAGTGCCAAGATCTGTCTCAGACTCAACAGGCGCCTTCGCCACACAGAGTCAATACGCTACTCGGCCAAGCACTCAAGGCTCGATAGCCTCACAAGGCCAAACTCGATCCGATCTCAGACTCCCGTCGAGAGGATCATATGGTCAACCAGTCGCGCCGACAGTTGCTACTACCAATGTGCAAGGCCGTGTCAGTCAGCCCGCTAAGGCTCCGCGAGGCTATAATATTGGTGGACCTGTCTCGTCTCCAGGACCAAATCAGCCATATGGACAACCCGCTAATACTGACACAATGCCCGCACCAGTGACTCAGCCTAAGCAGCAACATCACCGGAGGTCGAGCACTCTTAGCGGACTGGGCGAGCGTCTCTTTGGCCGATCAAACTCTGTGCGCAAGAAGGAGGACGAGAAACCAAAGCGTGAGAAGAGATACCCGCCTACAAGCATGAAACCGATGACGACAGATGGCAACGGCGACTATCAGCATGTATGTCGACTGACTCGAAGCGATCATTCTCCTTCGGGCTGGGCAAGAAGAAGAGCACCGATCTCGAATCGCAAGTAGAAAAGCCTCAAGGGCGCCGCTTCTCGCTCCTGCCAGCTTCGATGTCGTTTGGGCGATTGATGAGTGGCAAGGAGCAGCCCGAGCCACAGACACAGCCACAACAAATGCAAGAGTCAAACTCAGGCTGGCAATCGTCCCGGCCAGGTACTCAGCCAAGCCATTCAGGTTCGCAACCACGGCCAAGCTACGACGGAGTGCAAGATCAGCCAGATACAACTACTCTCGACCGCAGCAGACGCAGCATCAGTACAGTCGACCGCAGCAGCCTTCCGGCCAGTACTCAAGCCCAATGTCGAGCCCGCCGCAACAGCAGTCTGACCCTTACGACGTCTACGGCGGTACTGGAGTCTACAACGCTCAGCCACAACATCAGAGTCAGCAACCACAGGGCCGCACACAGCACGTTCGTGGCGCATCGCAACCTATGGCAGGCTACGGCAGTCATCAGCAGCAATATGCAGGCACGCCACCAGCGAACAACTCTCGAACCTCGATGCAGCAGCCTCGCCAACAACGAGGGGTGCTCGTGAAGCCGAATCGCAAGTTCACTGACGCGTACGACAACGATTCGAACCACCAACATGGCGGCAGTTCGGGCGCTGTGCGAAAGGTGCAGGACTTCTTCCGCAGAAGAAGTCGAGCGCCGAGGCCTGATGGTGGCGACTATCGATAGTATTGTTAGTACGACCGAGTGGCGAGGAGACTTGTCTGGGTACGCCCATGGAGTGATTGAAGACCTGGTTACGGCACGAAGGATAGGAAACCCAAGGATGGGACGGGATGGAAACTTCAAACAACTCTACTACTTTATGTTGTTCTTGTCAGGCTGCACTCACAATGCGACGGAGGCAGTCTTCGACTAATATCGACCGCGCATTTTTTCGGGCAGCGACTTGTCAGCTGCCCTGGGGGTGGATATGTGGAGGAACGGGATTGAAGTAGCATTACTTCTGTACTAGTGAGGTACTCTATTCTGTAGTGTATGAATGGATCGTGTGAGTTGTTCAAGATGAAGCACAACGCGGATTGCTCCTTCCTCCGAGTCGACTTCGTGGCTTCCCAGGCCCGCAAAGATTTGCCAAGCCGTCAGGCTTTCAAGGCTCAACTGATTGTTCTCGTCTTCTCCATTCTTCTACCTCTGCTCATCTTCTTGCCAGTATTCGAACACTGACGCCGAGGTCGTCTGCTAGAAGAGCGCGACATGCCTCTCTGCAGTCATGCCACCTACGACAACGATCATCTCGGCCGGTTCATGCGTCGAAGGATGCCCTCGGTAGTCCGCATTAGCCGGACGAATTCCTGAACACAGCTATAGCCAGCGCGCCGAGTCACAACAACGCATACACCTTAGGCTACAGACATGTACAAAAGCCTCTTATGGCAATCTCTGCGCCTACGGATCTCAACGTCGACGAATCGGCAACAGAAGAGGACATCGCCGACGCCCGTTTCTCCTGTAGGTAACTGATGTCCTGCAGCCCCCAAAAACACCGTAGCGGAACAAGCTAGATCCTGCGCCGGCGCGGAGAATTTCCCCCATCCGGACGTTATCAAGATGCGTGTTTCAAGTTTCCTCCTACAATTTTGTCCTACCACACGGCAAACACGCGAGGCACACAGGACCATCTGATCTCATGTCGAAGCTTTCAGCCTTTCGGGTTGTCGCAGTCCAAACCGCAATGCCATCGTCTTGTACTTTTGCCGCGTTCTGACAGGTCAGACGGAACCTTCTGCAACATTGGCAGTCGTTTACATTCAGCTATCCGGCATATGATGTCGTCGCGTCGTTGGATTGCTTGTTTCGGCAAGTACTAAGTCGGAAGGGATCAGTGTGGCGACATGTTTGCTATCTTTGCACTTGACTCATGCTTGACCTAATTACCCTGGCGAGTTTAGCGATTGAGTCGGTGCTTTGAATATGGGGAAATCATCGCCGCCGTGACGGTGGCTGAAGAGGAGTCGGGATGGTTTACGGTGGGTACGTTTCCTTTCCCATGTTGGTCGTGTTTGCTACTTTGTTTTAAATCTGGCTGTGCTGTGCTCTTTTCACATAGCTTCATGTCGACGTTTGACAGAAGCTTGTTCGCCTGTTCTTCGTTTTCTGTTCAGATCTTCGCTTCTTGTACGCCATGGATCTCGACATCTTCACTGCACAGTAAGGATCCAGTGACAGTATGAGCGTGTCAACTTCATCAACGGCTACGTCGCCCAAAGAGGCTGCTTCCCCAAGTGGTGTAACGGTCAACGGGAACCATACTACTGCCGCTCATGCACCTGCAGCAGACGACACAAATACACATACGCAGCCATCAACACTCGAGAAAGGCTCAACAACAGCCGAAGCTGTGCCTGCAACAACGACAACAACACCAAATGGCATTGCCATCGACCCTGCCTCCTTCCCCGATGGCGGTACTCGTGCTTGGCTCACCGTGCTGGGCTGCTTCTGTACCATGACCATTACGTTTGGGTGGATCCAGAGTGTTGGTATGTCTCTTGCTCACGCCAGCATCCCACTGTGATCAATTATCTTGTTGATCGGACTTTCATCCCACCATCGCATCCTCAATATAGCCAAGCTGACACCAATGACAGGCGTCTTCCAAGCCTACTACGAGCTGAATCAACTACGCGCCTACTCCCACAGCGAGGTCTCCTGGATCACCTCTTTCACCGCCTTCTGGTTGTTTGCCGGCGGACTCGTCGTCGGGCCTTTGGGCGACAAGCATGGTCCGAAGGCGCTGTTGATCGGTGGGACACTTGTAAGTCTGCCCTTCATACCATATGATACTGCCTTCGTCTCCTACCCAACAGTACGGCTGGGACCGAGCAGGGCCACACAGTTCAGCCGACAAAAAGTCGCCCTCACTCGGCTTACATCACTTTCTGCGAAGCACAGCTCGTTCTCGCTTGCCCTCCTATAACTCGAGTCTCATATGCCCAGGCCAGAAGCTCGCGACACACGCCTGAGCTGCGCAAGACTGCTGCCCCGTGCTCACTCCAAATGCTCTCAGCCTGTCTCTTGCTAACACTCCCTCCCAACAGCTACACTCATTCGGTCTCTTCATGGCATCATTGGCAACAAAATATTACCAATTCATCCTCTCCCAAGGCGTATGCTCAGCCATCGGCACATCCATGCTTCTCTACCCGTCCATATCCTGCGTTGTCTCCTGGTTCTACGCCAAACGCGCCACCGCGATCGGCATCGCCGCCTCCGGCTCCGGGCTTGGCGGTGTCGTCTTCCCTCTCGTCGTCCGCCAGATGCTCCAAACAGATCATGTCGGCTACCCCTGGACGATGCGCACCATCGCTTTCCTCGTCCTCTTACTGGGCAGCATAGCATGCCTAACAATAACATCACGGCTGCCGCCCACCCCAAAGATGCTCACCAAAGACGAGATCCGGAAGAGTCTGAAGGACAGCCTGTTCGTTCTAGTGTGGATCACTGGTCCATTAGCCTTCCTCCCGCAATGGCTAGTATTAACATTCATCGTCACGACGGCCTACAACGATCGACACGTCGACCCGAACTGGGCATTCTACCTCGTCCCCATCTGCAACTCCGCCTCCTTCTTCGGCCGCCTCATCCCCGGCTACCTCGCCGACCGCACGGGAAGCATAACTATGTATACGTATCTCATGGTCTACACTTTTATCGTGACGGCGGCGTTGTGGATCCCTGTGTCGGGGCAGGCGGGCATGGTGGTGTTTGCGGTGCTGTTTGGGTTTGGGAGTGGGGGATTGAATGCGCTGAGTCCGGCGGTGATTGCGCAGATTAGTGATGTGAGGACTGTGGGGTTGAGGACGGGGTTGATTTATGCTGTTACTGGGGTTTGTTGGTACGTCACCGTCACCCTCTCTCTTTCTGGTTTCTTTCTCTCTGCCTGAGTCCAGCTTTGACGTGCCTTGCACGTTCGTATGGTCTTGCACTGTCGTGTTCGAATGGCTCTCACTGACGACTGCGTGTGTGATAGCCTGTTCGCAAGTCCAGCAGGCGGCGCGATCATCTCGCACAGTGGATATCGGAGTATGCAGGGGTTTGCGGCGGCGGTGATGGGCGTGGTGGCGCTGTTGACTGTGTATATCCGGTATAGGGTTGGAGGGATGGATTTGAGGAAGAAGATCTGACGGTATTGAGGAGCATCATGTTGGGGCGACTGAGCGATTGAACGATGTTGGGTTAGCTAGAACGTCTAGGCAGGGGTGGTGTACATTCTGGGATGGCAAATCGCTGTCGACGCGGGAAGCAGGATTGCTGGATAGCAAGGCCATAACGAATTCCCTTGTTTGTCCCTACCGGGACCGTTCGGAGCAGTCAGTCTGGGGACGGTGGGTGGTGGCCCTGAGCCACTCCACATGGCGGGCCCTTCGGACCCGCCACCTCACCACCGTGTGGCGTGGCTCAGGGCAAAGCGAGCGAAGCGAGCATTAGGCTGGAGGCCTATGCCCTGAGCCACGCCACACCGGAAGCAGCGCCGCAGGCACTCCTAGGGGAGCGGAAGTGAGCTGTGCGCCGCAGGCGAGTATTGGAGTGGAGAATGAGTCGTGGGGATCTGGTGCTACATTGGACTCGAAATACGTGGGGTGGGTTGTCGAGGAAGCCTAGGGGGTGGAGTGCTCAGTTTGCATTCGGGGTTCAGAAGGGTGTTCTATCGGTAGTGGAGCTTCGAGCGGTCCCGGTATGGCGGTTCATCAAGATTCATTCCCACTCTTCCATCTATACTGCGCCACCTCATCGCTTCTTGGAAAGGGCGCTTCAGGCACATCTCGATCTAGGAATTTGCAGAGTGGTTTCCAGCCCTCTTTGACGCTATACTCTAGGAATTCCCGCCCTTGTTCCTTGCAAGCTTTCCTTACGCTTTGATACCACTCTCTGGCATACTCCTTTCCATAGCGCTCAAAGTCGTCCTTCCTGTTTCGCCGGGATTGGTCAGCCTGAATCCGAAGCTTGGGACGTTGCGAGAGATCAAAGCTGGGCACGTGGAAATCGAGGCCCAGCCGATCATGAAGAAGCAGTTTGTCGGCGTTCGAAGAATGGTTGAGTGAGTAGAGACCTTGTGCAAAGGGACAATTAGGTGGTTTGGGACGCATCTGAGACAACTGTCTCTGGCGCTCAAGACTGTCCCCTGGCCAGATAACAGGTCAGCTTCGCGAAATGGGGATGCGTACCAGCAATATCTATGGTATCTCTCTGCGAGTTTATACATCGGTCGTGATGTATCTGCATCCGAAGGGGTGTGGCGGAATACAAGTGTGGATCTCATTGAGGCGATCCAGGTTTCTTGTGAGCGGGTGGTGAGGATTACTTTTGCGGAGGGGTAGGAGGTCAGGAGGTCGGAGGCGAATATACAGGCGGGGAAGTCGGCGCAGGCCTGTTGTGCGAGGTGTCAGGACTGCGGGGAGAAGGGGGTTTGGGGAAGGGGGATGTGGAATGGGGATGTGAAATGGGATCGGACTGGTGATGTGAAATGAGAGCATACATCGAAATTGGAGAGGATGGGATCGAAGTCGGAACATTTCAATGGTCTGGGATGGTCACTGAATTTTGTATCGAGGAGCGAGCACCATAAGTCGATGTGGTTGTTCTTCTGGACTTCGCGCATGTGGTAGATTCTGGGATGACCTAGGATCTGCAGGGCATCGGCGATGGCTTTTGTGACAAGGTCAGCAAAGATGAAGTGGTCTTTGGGGACAGATGTGTACATTGAGTTCCGGTTCTAGGCAGGCTCAGTATGAGAATGTGTGGTGCCATTGCGATGGTGATGAGGTGAAGGCTTTGTTGATGGCAGCCATGTGAGAGGTCTGCGGTCAGAATCTTATGTTAAGGGCTCAATGCAGTGCTTTTCACATTGCAGCAGCGGTGCTCATCACATGAGCAGGCTCGTCTGTCATGCTTGGCTCATCTGCTCCGTCGCCTGTCTTGTTCAGGTCCTAACAGTGTCGACGAAGCTCTGAAGAGACCGGTGCCGATTCCATCCGAGCGGGACAATGCGGAACCCTTCGACCAAGCAGTGGGCCACGCGACCTTAGGCGAGACCACCTGTTCTCGACGCATGCGTCGGAATGGAACCTCAGAAACGTCATGCTTGGGACTTAGAAGTCAGATACAGTTCGTAGCCGATACGACCTCGCTCTGCGCGACTTTCACAGTCGGTATACCACTGCATGCCCCGGAGGCACGATGTTTTCACAAAGTCTTGCGCCATGCCGGCATCGCGCTTGACATTGTCACTGCTTGGACAACTGGATGTCATTCGTGATCTTACCAATCTTCATCAGTCGAGTGAACACTTCTTGCCGTCCTTTAGGACCTGATGTTGACCGATTCTTTCCATGGCTGTATCGCGAATGCCTGAAGTGTTCCAACTGAATGCAATTTGACAACACGACAGTCTTCTGCCCTAGTACTGCAAGCTTCACCGCTGACGTTGCTTTGGCTTCTCGGCTTGTCGCCTGCTTCGCTCGTCTGCGTCCCATTCAGACGGGGCCCTTCCTCATTTCCGATAGAACACCCTCCTAAACCCAAAATGCAGACTGAGCACCCCGCCTTCGAAAACACTCTTGAATCCGCCCTCCCCACCGCCCCTCCGTCCACTATAATCCCAATCCCGATCTACGACCCGAAACGCCACATCGCCGTACGGCGGTCCCGGGCTGACGAAGCGCAGTATACAGGTATCCTCTTCGCCCGCAGGCGCGGCACTCTGCCCCTTCTTCCGCCCGTCCTCTCTTATGATCTTGTAGCTGGGTGCTGGGGAGGAAGCGGGGAGGTCAGGGTAGAAGATGTGGAACTTATAGCCCTGAACCACTCGTGGGGGAGGAGCGTCGGCGGTGTAGTGGGTCTGGTTGTATTTGTTCCAGTCGTAGCCGAGGAGGACGCGGTTGAAGTATTTTGGTTTTCGCAGTCCGTCTGTCCTGGCATTTGTGGTTGGTTCCTCGGCGGCAAAGACTTCTTCGTCTTCGTCGACGCCGCGGGCGACGTCGCGGTCGAATTGGGAGGGAGCTGCTGATTTGGAGGTGGCTGCGCCCTTGCTCGTCGTGGTTGAGACTTGTTTGGTGGCTTTGGAGCCGCCTGGCATGGGGATGTAGCCTGTTCGTTTTATTCGGGCGCGGTCTGTGGCGAGTTGTGTGAGGATTTCTTGCTCGGAGCGGACTTCCAAGTTTTTGTCTTTTGCTGCGATGTCAAGCGCTGGATCTGGGTCCAGACTTCTGTCGTACTGCAATGTTTGTGGCTGCATTGGTTCATCCTTGTCCTTTGATAATGCTGCCGCTAATTCCTGCTGTGACCTCACAGCCTCCGCCGCACTCTCCTTCCTCAACCGAGCCATTCGCTTCTCCATCACCGCCTGATACACGTCCTTGACCTTCGCCTTAGCCTTCCACACCAGCAAGCTCCCTAACAGCTGCGACCAGTAATCCGTATCAATCGGCTCATTCGAATCCAGCTTCGTCCTGATCTGCCCTTCTAGCCCCTCCAACTGTTCATACGTCTTGGGCGCCAATAAACGATCGATGTCCGCGCTGACGCTACTCGTCGCTCGACCCTGACCGCCAGCGGTCCTCGACGTCTGCAGTTTCCGCCGCCAGTATGCACAAATAACGCCCATCGTCCTCCAAAACTCCCGATTCGTCCTATTCGTCTCTAGCTTCTCGTACGTCTCAATGTCCTTCAGCAGCTCGTCGAACTCCTTGTCACTCCCCAACCCCTCAAACACACTATCCGGATCTACAACCTCCAGCTCCTCGTCGTCCACCTCGTCATCCAGTGATGGCCGATCTTTGTGTCGCGTCTCGTCGATCACGCGGAGGGTGACAGCAAGCCAGTCAATCGGTTTTGCACGTCCCTCACGTACTCTAATGACGGCTTTCTTCTTGTTTTGGCGGAGCATGAAGTCGTCTTCGCCGGCGATGTAGGTGCGCATGCGCTCGTCTTCCTGGGCCGCATTCGACTTGATTTGTTCCTTGTGGGACCATTTTGACTGTGGTGGGCGCGAAGAGCGGTCTTGGGGTGTGCTGTCGCGGCTGCTTCTGTAGGAGGGACTGGAGGTGGACCATGGCTTGCCGCTGCCATTTCGGTGGGGTGAGCGAGAGCGTTTGCGGGAGGGATCGTGGTGATGGTTGTTGCGGCGGTCGGGGTGAATGTCGCCCATCGGGGCGAAGCAGCGCAGGAGACTTGCACAGACAAGGGGGGTATATATGGCACAGGCTGCGACTAGGCAGCATCCAGGAGTCCAAAGTATGAAGACGTGTGTGAAGTATTTTGAAGAAGGCAACTACACAAAAATATTCGGAAATCGGAAAATCTTCGGGAAAGGTGACAAACTGCGCTCTGACGGGTCAAACACTCGTCTCGCTCACCTGACCCTCCCTACAGCCCAACTCTCTCATTCTGGCTGTCGACGCTCATCAAACCCGGCGTCTACCACTACTCACGTTCGGCGCAATGCTCACGCCCACCCACCAACCACTGTTTGCCTGCGGCGCTGCTTCCGGCCTTTCGGCCTCACCCTAATGCTCGCTTCGCTCGCTGGGGGCCACCGCCTTCCCCACCCACCCGGGATGTCGCTCATGATGGGTGGTGGACGCCCAAGAACTCAGACACACAGGACGAGGGAGTGACCGCAGCCAGAGACTACAGGAGTATTGAAGGGCTCGGGAGATCACAGAGACATATGTGACTCAGGAAGAAGGCAACAACACAGAAATATTCGGAGGCCGGGAAATCTTCGGTCAAACGGTGACAAACCCGTCCCGAAAAGGTCACTTGAAGATGGTTCACTGCGCAACATCTATGGAAGAAGGGTGGAACCAGCTACATGACGTGCAGGCGGCAGCAGCACAGGGCCAATTCCGGGAGGACGATTGGAAAGAAGTACGTGAGATGACGGTGGCCAACGAGGAAGTAGGCGATCAGAAGTTATAAAGGTACCTGAGTAGGGGGATGCAGTCGATCGAAACGACGACTGCGTGCAGTATCACATCTCTTGTGCGAGCGAGGAAGTCACCACCGGTGTCCGGCACGCAAGCTGCAATAGTAGCAGGTAGTTGCTGTCCGCGTGAGAGTTGGTGGAAGGGGACAAGGGTATCGACTGCCTGTTTAGCGAGAACTATGAACGGAGATGTCGGAACCTGTTCATCATCTCACGGTATACCATCATCTAGTCTAGGCACAGTTGACATGAGGCCTAAAGGATGAGATAGGAGTGCGCTATGTACACGAGGTTGGCTGAGATGACTTTACGGTGGGAGTAGTATCCATTCTGATTGAGATCAGTAATCTTGTGCAGCGGGAAGCCTTGAACAGCCTGAGGCCCTCCCAAAGCTCAATGAACACCCGGTATATATTGCCAGGACGGCCTTCATGGCCACAGTCCAGGGCAAGGCGATACAACGACCGTGCCTGCACGAACACAAGATTACCGCCCAAATCGCTTCTTCTCGAACGTCCTGAGTATTGGGTAGACCAGCAGAGTGATGGCAGCAGACATGTAGACGCCTTGACAGAGGTCAGCAAAGGCTTCTTGAACATCGGAAAGCAGATACGTACCAACATCACCGCCGTACGGACCGAATTTGGCTGCGATCGGACCAACATACCAAACCTGAGCACGCACAAAGTCAGCAAGTCATGTCCTAAGGTACAAGGCACTAGCGTGGGAGCAACTCACTTGTGCCATCCCCGGCAAACCACCAGCAAGATAACCCGACAGCAGCGCCAAAACCGCCGCAGCACCAACCGGCAGCTTGCTCGGCTTATCCCAGACTTCCAAGTCATACGCATCTCGCCTCCTGAACCATTTATCCTCCATCAACAAAATCAGCGTGAAGCTGACAGTCCAGTAACCCAGCAAAGACACAAAGTTGCTGACAATAGTCGACAAGTGATCTTTGCCGACAATAGCGAGAATGGCCACGACGAGCGCCACCAAGAACGACCAGATAAATCGCGGAATGGCGTGGAAGTAGTGGCCCAACAGCTGCAGGGAAAGACCCGAGGAGTAGTTGATGGCGATGTTGTTGCCGAGCACGGAGAATGTGAGGAAGACGAGGCAAGTCTTGGACCAGCCAAGCGGATGGTACACCTCGCGCAGCAGCCCACCGAGACCGTGGTCCTCATAGGCGTCGTTCCATGGCTTGTACTCCGCCAGAAGGGCTCCGTTGCCGATGCAAGCACCAGCGAAGGTGGTGAATACGGTCGGAAGGGTGACACCAGCAAGAGTGAGGAAGAACACCTTGGACGACTTCGTGTTCGCCGGATAATTGCAGTAGTAGTCCGCCGCGATCGAGCACCAGCCGGAGGCGCTGGAGAAGTTGATGGACATGAATGAGAGCCAGCTGCCAGCATAAGCCAAGTCTTTGCCGTATGGTGCGGGTGTGTCGGGAGCTATATGCGGTGCCGCTTGGCCGTACAGCACGCAGATGAGGATGAAGCTCAGGATCCAGCTGTACTTCTCAAAGGTATGGATCATGGCGAAGCCGAAGACGCTGACGACGTAGCTTATTACGGCTACGATAACGCAGCCAACTGAGATGGTCATGGAGTAGTCCGATACGGCGCTGAGCATTTGGCCGGTGACGACGACGTTGACGACCGCGAAGCCGCCACCGACGATCACGTTGAGGACGGAGCAGAGCTTGGCGCCCCAGAAGCCGAAGCTGTATCGACTGGTCGCGATTTGTCGAAGGCCGGTCTTGGGACCGAGAGTGCCGGTATATGAGGTACAGAGGCTCCCAGGAATGTTCCAACGACGATAGCCGCAGCAGAGTCGCCGAGAGTCAGACCAAATTCAGGGCCGAGGACACCGAGAGGGATGGTGCCGACGTGGCATGTCATCGACCACCACATCAAGAAGGTATTCCAGATGGAAGGAGGGCGCTTTTGGTCTTCAGGAATGCGATCAATACCCTGCGTCTCGATACCGAGCTTTCTATCGAGCCACAGCTCCCCCTGGTTGAGGTAGCGAAACGGTGCAATAGCATGCTGGATGTGCGCTGTTTTCGCGACTTCATATGCTGGTGTCACAGAGCCTGCACGTGTATCGTTGGCGTCGAGGCTCGAGTCATGACCGCTTTCGAGATCCTTCTCGACGATGCCCTTCTCTGGGGCGGCGCCAGCGATGTGGGAGGACTTGGAATCCATAATATACACCTGCTTGAACGCTACCAGGTCGACTGGCCGCGCAAGTTTACTCAGGGTTGGAGTGGTGTTGAGATTGACTATCGAAGGGACGTCGCAGGACAAAAGATCCGAGAGCCGTCAACGAGGGGTCCTACTGCATGATAAACGAAACGTGGTATCGCTTGTCTGCACCTGGCCAGCTCCGCGCACTCGGCGGCGGCCGACAAATCAACGGCCAGATGCGACTGCATTATCAGAGTTCGTGTCACTCGTGGCGATGATAGCGAAGTCGGGTCTAGCCTGGGTAAGTGATTGTCGTGGGATTGGTTGCGAAGCTAGGAGGGGAGCGAGGGGCGGCATGTCGCCAGCCGGCAATCAGACCAAGATTCGCCTAAGCTTCCCACGGGCTTGCCGAGAGCCAACCACAGGCGACTGAGATAGTGGCGGGCGCTGATAAGCAAACATGAAGCTTTTGCTTGATTCCGCAATAATTGTCAAGCTGAGGATTTTGTTCTGGCGAAGTTCGAGACTCTTCCCGCTTTTGAGCACGACGACTTCGGCATTTACTGCATATTCTCAGTGGGGAACATCGCATACCAGACAGTCGAAGTTGACACAGCTTGAGCTTCATGTTCTTTTCGAGAGAAGTCGACCACATACAGTAGGTCAGAACGGTCCAACGCCATGGCACTGCGATACCAACTGGTCTGCTCGATGCATCACAAGCATCCCCACGATTTGGAAGTTTCGCACCTCGGATGCGCTGACCAGTCTGGGCCGATGTCATCAAACGAAGGCGAACACAGTGTCAGCAAGGCGGTCCTATATGTCCGTAAGACTCGGCGAATGCGATTCTGCCTTACAGCAGAACCATTGTGAGCTTATCTGCATCATTCTCTGCGATGGTCAGACATCAGATAATCTTCTCGACGGAGCATGGCGCGGCTGAGCTGCACCGTCCTCGAGCGGATCACCACAATGCGTATCTGGTCTGGCACGGACCTCGGTCTATCGCAGAGGAGGCTCGGTTGTTCGTGATGATGCCTTCCAACATATTTAGAAATTCAGACCTTTTCGCGCCTTCCTTCGACTGAAAAGAAAGCAGTGACTGCCAGCCAGTCGATTCACGAGCACGTTCTGACCTCGGAATCCATGATGTCGTGCCTGCCAGACAAATCGAGGCAGGCGCGCACTTCCTTGCTTTTGTTGAGAACTTCTCTACTTTTCATCTCTATTTGTTATCTTCTTTGCGATGCGTTTGTATCCAATGCATAGCATTCTCTACAACGACCTCATCTCACTCCAGACTCGTCTGTGCAGCCTTAATCGTGGCCTCAATGATCTCAGCCCACTTCCTCGCATTCTTCAGATCACCATCCTCAAAGCTCTCCACCAACCCCGGAAACGTGGCGCCTGCATACCCCGTCCAGCGTCCCGGCGCAAATATGACGTGCTTGAACCAATTCCTTTCGTCGAGACCTTTGACATACAAGAACCGTCGTTCCAATAACTTGATCTTTGAGTTCGCTTTGCGCACTTCATAGTACAGCTTGACCTTCTTCCAGAACTTCCACCACGGGATATCGCCCGCCTCGGCAACACGGCCTGCTAACTCGACAGCATACGCATCAAACTTCTCAGCGGTGGATTGGAAGGCTGTGATTGCTTTGTCCAAGCTCTTGAAGCTGAATTTATGCCCAATTGAGGATGTTGAGGCAGATTTCTTGACGCTGGCGAGATATTTCTCCAGCGCGAAGGCATAATCTGTGACGTTGAGCGGGATGATGGGAGTTTCCGAAAGGGTGATGGTGAACAGCCCCAACAACTGCGCCATGGTGGTGTGGTGCTTCCAGCCCGGATCGCCAAACTTCTCCATCCACCCGAAACTGTCGTAGTTGGAGTGGTAGTGGTACACCGGGGTCCTCGGGACCATTGGCGTAGCCGAAATCGATGGACGCGATGCCCGCGAAGTCTTGGAAGGCGGTGAAGTCGGAGCCGGAGCCCATTGTTCGGATTGCGCCGTCCCATGTGTCGCGAATTGATCTGCTGTGGTTTAGCGGGGATGTGATGGAGCTGGTGGCGTTGTAGATCAGCGTGTTGAGTAAAGGTGAGGCAGCGACGTCGAAGCGGTCGCCGCGTGCACCGACGTCGACGTTGAGATACGCGATGGCGCTGGCGGAGAGCCAAGGCAGGAACTCCTCGACCCATTCTGTGCTGCCGACGAGGCCGTATTCCTCGCCGTCCCAGCTGGCGAAGACGATTGTGCGGAGGGGCTTCCAGCCAAGGGACAGGGCGGCGCCGATGGAGCGGATGACTTCGTTGAGGACGGCGGAGCCGGAGTTGGGGTCGCCGGCGCCGCCTGCAATCCAGGCGTCGCGGTGGTTGCCGACTACAATCACTTCGTCGGGGATGGAGCCGTTGACGATGCCGATCACATTCCAGAGGGGAGTGATGATGTATTCTTGTTGGTTGTAGAGGTTGAGGGTTAGATTGGAGGGCCCGATGTTGTAGTCAACGCCTTTGTAGCTAGGCCGCCGCCTTGCCAGTATTTGTTGAAGGCTGTTGCGTTTGGGCCATGGCCGTTCAGTGCTTTGAGGAGAGGAAGAGCGTCGGCATACGATATCGGTAGAGATGGGATCTGTGGCGTTGACAGATGTGGGTCGACCCGCGGGACGCCGGGCTTGGATGGGTAGCCTGGCGTAGTCGGGTCTCCAGGAAGCGAACCTGAAGAGACACCTGTTAGTCGAGTCAGTGGTGGACCAAGACAGACATACTGAGAAATTGCACACTTCCTCTCTGGACACTGCTCGGATTTCTCGCAGGTCCAGCCGGATAAGGCTTGTGGCCATTGGCCTCGGTCATCTCTCCATCCATCTGTGGATCGTCATACATGACTACACCGATCATGCCTAGCTCCTGTGCTCTCTTCACCTTCAAGCCACGGAACACGCGACCGTACTTGGCGAGAGCGATTTTGCCTTTGAGCTCAATCCCAGCTTTGACAAGGTCATCGAAGTCGTAGACTGTACCGAAGTTGACGTAGACATATTGTCCCGTGACATTGCCACTGGCGGAATAGCCATGGAAGGTAGGGATGTCCGGATGTGCAGTTGGATCCTCGTCCAGGACATCCTCTTTCAGCGAACACTCGTATGCCACCTTGTCTCCGTCCAGCAGAGCCAGCCTATGATCGAGTGGGTACGTCAAGTACGTCTCGTATGTGGCAATCTCGGAGTTGATGCCAAACTCTTGCCATCTTTCTCGTGTCCAGAGCGCCTGGGTGAGATTCTTCCCAGCCAGATGGGGGCCAGATGTATAGTATTTGCTCCACTTGCGAGCCTGCTCGGGGTCAGGGGTAGTCACGATGATGTCCTTGAGGTCAGCGAAGCTCAAGCCAGCTGTTTGAGAGTCGAGCTGCGGTCTCGAAGAGTTGCCATGGTGGGGTCTGCGCCCGGGATGGTTGCGATGACCTGTGACTATAGTCCATGGTATCAGAAGGCCAATGACAGCCAGTGTCAGGCATGAGAACAGAGCGATTGTACAGAAGCGGCGGAACGTCGAGTGGGGGAATCGCCGCTGTGGCCGGGTGACCACCACGGTCTGAATGAGAGGCGTGCGCTCATTCATGTCGGGCAGCTCAGACGTTGGCCTCAGAACATGCGAGAAGAGTATATCGTTATGGCTTATCCCATGTCGCGTCACATAGTCCTCGTCAAACGATGTACAGTCCGCAGGCACTGGTGGGAGAGCTCACCAGGCATCGAATGTGAATTTGGTCGCATCAGCTTGCGGAGACGATTCCGTGATTGATCGACGTCATCCCGTTAGGGTTGGCGTATATTTGAACCCTTACCTGAGACCGAAGTTCGATCACTGATGACTTCCTCGAACATGTCTTTCTCGATGAGTCCTGCCGACCGCTAATTACTAGACTGTCACGACCCAGCTGCGTGTGTCTCTTACAACCTAAAGGATGGAATACCATGCACTGCAAGTCGCAGCGATGTTGGTTTCGATGGCCAGAGCTCGCGTACCCCTGCATCGCTTGCACGCCAATTCCTGCGAGACTCTCGTTTAATGAGACCAGGGGAACTTCGAGAGAATGCAGCCCTACTTCGATGGCACAGCGCATCGAGGCTTCACAACGTGATCAAGATGCAAAATGTCCGGTCAGTAAGATAATAAGTACCTGTTGCTTCCCTTTGTCCCGCATCTTGACCTTGCACAACATCGGAGCAGAGACGTGGAAAGTAACGCTTGGGCTTATCCCCAATCTTGTGCAACGCTCGCTTGTGCTGCCTCGTGGTATCGCTTCTCGAAAGATTCATCAGCGCGATACCAGATTCGGCGTCAATAGTGGGATAGTTTGCAAGAGGACCAGGCTTGTGCTCCCTAGTCCTGGTCATTCCAACTGCCGACCAGCATAAGCTTTCAGTGCGCCAGGAACAACATGAAAAGCTGAGAAACCCTAGGTCAGCCAGCAGATCTTTTGTGCGACCACTCAAAGCCCTACCGCTAGCCATACATTCGTTCTATTGCTCACGGCCTCACTCGTTACGGGCCGCTTTTTCAGGTAACAGTTTCAGGTCAATCGCGGTAATCCCAACCGGACTCTCTTGAGCACTGGACATGCGATATGTTCTGTATGTGACAGCAGCTCTCGCACTGGGAGCTCAGGCGCTGCTCCCAGAAGCGCCGGACTCCAGCGTGCTACAGGCACTTCGCAACCAGGGTGTGAAGACTGAAGAGCTCCCAGTCGCAGAGCTGCTCTCACGATCACCAAACTCGGGTTGTGCTGCTGCTGTTGGTCACCCTTTCCTACTCTTCGCGTACGCACTGACCTTCCAGTGCGCATCACTGCATACTCTGTACCGGTCAGACAGTCTCCAGGACAATGTCACCGCCTGCACCGAGTTCAGTAATGGATACTGGTCGACCCAGCAAGCGGAAGCCGACCCATACTGTATCTTCAAAGCACCCCATTCCGCCTCAATTTCAACCGCAATTCTTCTCGCCCGCCTGTACCGCTGTCCATTCGCCGTCAAGTCAGGGGGCCACGCCGCATTCCCGGGCGCATCCAATATCAACAACGGCATCACGATCTCATTAGAGCGACTCAACACCCTCCAAATCGCCCCAGACAGAAAGACAGTCGCCGTCGGCGCTGGCATGCGATGGGGCTCCGTCTACTCAACCCTCGAGCCATCAAACCTAGCCGTCATAGGCGGCCGAGTCTCCTCCATCGGCGTGGGCGGCCTCACTCTCGGCGGCGGCATCTCCTTCCTCTCCAACCTTCACGGCTGGGCATGCGACAACGTCGTCTCCTACGAAATCATCCTCGCCTCCGGCATATCCACCACAGCCTCCGCAACCAAGAACCCCGACCTCTACTGGGCCCTCCGCGGCGGCGGCAACAACTTCGGAATCGTCACCAAGTTCCACTACGAAGCCCACTCCCTTCCCGGCCACAACATGTGGGGCGGCTCCCGCCTGTACACCGAAGCGGCCTTCCCCCAACTAACCAACGCCTTCCACAACGTCATCACAAACTCCTACACCGACCCCAAAGCCGGCACCTGGATCGCGTGGATCTACATGAACAACACGAAAATGGCATCTACCGAGCTCTGGTACGCCGGTCCCGAAGGCGACTCTGCCCCAATTTGGAAGGAATACAACTCCCTCACACCACCCCCAATCTCAGACACAACCTCACCCCTCAAACTCGCCAACTACACGCGCATCCTCGACGCAGCGAACCCCTACGGCCTGCGCGAGACGTTTTATGGCATCACATTCAAACTCTCGCTTGAAATGCTGCATATCACACGAGACATCTTCTTCAACGAAGTCCGCTCTGTCGCGAATGTGACGGGCGTAGCGCCGATCATGCTGTTCCAGGGCATCACTTCAGAACAGGTGAACCACATGGCGAAACGCGGCGGGAACCCGTTGGGGGTGGGGGAGCCCTTGTATTTGGTGCATTTGAGTCCGTGGTGGGAGTTGGCTGAAGATGATGGGAGGATGTATGCTATGATTTCGCGGTTGTTGGAGCGGGTCAAGGCGGAGGCGAAGAAGAGAGGGCCCGATAGTGATTATTTGTATATGAATTATGCGGGGCTGTATCAGGATGTGATTCGGGGGTATGGGCGGGAGAATCAGAGGAAGTTGGTGCAGATCGCGAAGAAGTATGATCCGCAAGGTGTGTTTCAGAAGTTGCAGCCGGGATACTTCAAGTTGGAGGATGGGGCTCCGGTCAAGGATGGGCGGTACTTTTCTGGGTGAGACCGTGTGTACGGATGAAGAGGAGGTGCGAGGAAGTCGGTGACGCGAGTCTATGCCATGCCACCGGAGACGTCAGAGCTTTGCTGGATACGTATGTACGAACAGTCTCATAGTAATTACCAAAGTACTAGTCCTTACCTGGCTGTGTCTGTATATATTGGCTGAGAACTGCATCGCAGTTTTCTTGACTTCTCGTGGCAACGTGGATGGGGCGGGGGTCCAGAGACTACCTAGATACACTTATATTTGTAGAGGATGCAGTCTATCTGTGTGTGTCCGCACTTCTCGTCCTGTCATACAGCGCACGGTTTGCGGTTCTCCTGATTGACTAGAGAATTGAGAACAGCCCCATCTCACGCCAGTGTCTCCGAATGGTTGATAATCACTTAACAGGCTGCCAGGCAGCAGCGCCCTTGTCCTATTTACTCACATATGCTCAGAGCAACTTATACAGCCAGGGCAACATCAGCAGCAGACCGAGCCATGGATGGGCTATGTGACCGAATAGCAGTGCCCCATACCTGCCTGCCCAGTCTCTCAGCGCGCTCGATCCCAGCGCCAGACCGCACCAAAGACACCCTCTTCAAAGCGCACTGAGCACCTCGACGAGGCAGCCCGCCTTCCATCTTTAGACATCTATCTGTCTCGCAACTGAAATCCGAAGATGAGGTTACACAATGCAAGTCAGGGTTCCGGCCAGCGGTAACGTCGCAGTAGCGTTGCTCTAATCACAGCCAGTGATATTGCTCTCGTCGGCTGTTGTGGAACAGCTGCCGGCTGAAAAGGCAGGTGTCCTGCTCAATCGAGACTTCCATCGGTCGCGCTCTTCAGAAACCCGCATTAGCGTGGCACTCCCCTGCACTGAAATCCGCCCAAGCCGCTGGGAGGCAGGCGACCTGCCGGATTTGTACTTCTATCTGTGCCGCAGGCTCAGGCTCCCTGCAAGGGGGGATTCCTATGTCTCTGCGATGATTCGCTGCTCGCCCGCTCGAACTCTTGACGAGGGCAGGTGACCTTCCATACTGGGACTTTCATCTGTTGCGCAGTGGCGCTAAAGTAGCGTCGATGGAATTGCTTCCGCGCCTCGAGCTCAAAAGTACGTCCGAGAAAGGCAGGAAGCCTGCTGTCTTTGGACTTCTATCTGTCGCGCAATGCACAATGATACATCCCAATCGAGGGCTATCTGCATCTCCACTCCTGACAGAAATTTGATTCGCCATTGGACGGACAAGCGCTCAGCTCACCAACTAACTATTATCAATCGCACTGTCCTCGAGGTGGCTGCAGATGCATGCATACGCGCGAGCGATAGAAGTGCCGAATGGGCAGGAGACTTGCTTCTTGACCTGCTCAGTCACAGCTGGGTCTCGGGAGCAGCCAGTCGCTGATTGAATCGAGATGGGTCAAATGCGTCAAGCTGCGGCAAGCTTTGCCGTGTGTCGAAACAGCCTGCATACGCGGGACTGATATAAGCTCGGTTCAGGCAGCAGACTTGCCTCGTTTGCTGCTCGCCTACAGTCGAGACAATCCGGCAGCAGCGAATCGCCCTTTTCTCTCCGGCCATCGAGTACGGCGGGGTGCAGCAGCACTGCAGGCGGTGTCTCAGACCATATGAGTACGCGCAACAGATGGAAGTCCGCATCGAGAAGGCCAGCTGCCCTACGGAGACAGGCCGGGCTGTGAGAGGCCAACGAGCTGGGCAATAGCTCTTGCGAACTTCCGATTCCCAATAGCAAGCGCAAGCGATCTGGAAAGAAGAGGCCAGTCGCCTGCCTGATACGCACTTTTATCTGTCCCGCGCATGCAGGCTGCTGCAGCCGCCCCGACAGACAGTGCGATTTGCTACTGTCTGAGTTTTCTGTAGGAAGCGATCTGGGCGGAAGTGGCAGGTCTCCTGCCTAGCCAGGACTCCTATCGGTCTCGCGTAGCACACCTCGCGAGGCAGCATGATTGGATACGCGCAAGGAGGGAATTTAAGCCAAGGAACGGACAACGGAAGAGGCAGGATCCCTGTCTATCCTGCACTTCTATCAGTTCCGCGAGGTTTGAGTCTGACGCCTTAACCACTCGGCCGTCTTGGCATCATGACAGCATCATCGATTCTGGAGAATTACAACGCCAGTAAGTAAATAGTGATTTCGTGAACGCTGGTACAATTCCCACCTACAAACGGAGCTACATCGACACCAGAGAAACTTCCTTTCGTCCCGTTGTATTGGTTCGCAGTATTGACATCTAGATACTGGCTAGAAGAAGACAAGACCAGATAGCTCCCTACTATTACTGCGTCGCCAGAATCACACCCGTTGCGGCTCCTCCCAGAAGAGCTGCCCCAAAGAAATGACCCACGGCGGACGAAACGACCAAGCTGGTGAGGAGAAACCGCTTGGTTATGCCAGGTGCGGCAATCACATCATCCCACGGCTCGACATTGGCCTTCATCCAGTCTAGATCCGGGTTCGACATGTCGTTGATGGCGCCAAAGATACTATGGTAGTCCTTTACGGCGGCGGTGAACTTGATGGTGCATTCTGAGACTCTCGAGACGTAGAGAGGCTGTAGTACGGTATACTGAAGGTCGGGATTCTCTGCCGCGAGCTTCTTCCACTCATCGGGAGTGTCGTCATTGGCGCCGAAGACCGTTGTAGTTGAAAGCGAAGGACAGCTTTTGCTGAATGCGTTTGAAACCACAATCGGACCTTGTTGCATATAGTTGGCGAAGTTGATCGCATGGGGGTCTTTTGGGTTCAGCGTCAGTCTGTAGTTTCCGTGGGTATCGCAGGTCAGTGATAACCCGTCCTCAGGCTTCAGCACAAGGGTATCTGTTTGGATGAAGACTTCAGATCCCACGAAGTTGCCTAGGTCCGAGACATCGGGTTGATCTGCGGGACTGAGCTCGGAAAAGAGTTTGAGGGAAGGTCCGAGTGGCACTATCGCCGTGCTCAGATGCAGCAGGCCCGAGAGGAGGGCAGCATACTTGATGAAGGGCATGCTGAGTAGCCAAGTACCTGTGAAGTATATCGCAGCGTTGTCCGGACGTGACGATTAATTGAATGGCAAGTTGGGCACATATTGTCTACTAATGTACCTATACACGTCTCAGTCAGGCAGTTGGTGGGTTTTGATTGTGTTGTGAAGCCAGGAATGTCTATAGGGTTGTACGAAGAAGGGCAGCTACCACGTGGTGTCCAGGGGTCTAACTTTCCGGTTTTTAAGCTCCACGCAGGCATGGCCCACATCAGATAAGGAGCCCTGACCCCTAACCTTGCAGGTGTCAGAATATCTTTAATTTGACACCGCCTGCTTGACAAGTACTTGCAGTCCTGTTTACGTTTGACACTGGGCTGTTCAACGCGAGGCTACAGCTGTTACCACCAAAGTATACACAGGATCGGTTCGCTGCCGCTGGCTATTAGCGGGGGTCTTGGCAGTGGGTATCTGGAGGCTTGGAGAAACTTGCTCGGGAATGCAATCATCGAACACTTCACCCTTCTCACCTACGCCGTGCCAACTCTACAGGCGAGACCCGGCCCCTTGAAGTGTAAACATACTTCAGGTTATCGTTGTGCGCTTCGGCAGATAGGTCACAACGTCGTGTGGAGATGATAAACCCTCGAACAAGCCCTGGAGGCGCGAAAACACTAGCAGCCCATTCTTTACACACATTCTCCAAAGGATCAGAACATCTCGGATTTATCTAAGCATAGTGGTTCCACCTCATCGAGCGAGGGCAGTACCTAGGTACCTAGTCATGGGTCATCTGAGAAATCATCCCCACGGAGCACAAGCTTCTACCAGGAATTGATCACAAAACCACACCGTCAAGCGATCAATTTTCATAAGAATGGTCAACATACGGAGTACCCACAGCACTACGTTCATATAACAACGCTCACACTCGAGGTCTCATGATACCTGCAAGAACACTTCGACGTGGCCCTAAGCTTCGACCTCGACCACTGTGCTGTTCTTCCTGAGTCAACAACATGCTTGGCGCTACCTACGCTATAGCCTTTGCGCTGCTTTTGAGGCTATCAACGGCTCTCTCCCTTGTCGGACCATCCTTCCGACTGTTATCCGACCTAGCGGGCCCTGCAGCCAGCGATCTTGCCGCACAACTCCCCAACATCCCGGCCCAAGATGTCTTTATACAGAGAGACACTCTGGTGTTGACTCCACAAGACGGCATCAATTTCGCCTGCAATACATTCGGCGGCTACAGCATACGTTTCCCGCAACCGCTGGTCCGTCCCGTTAACTTGGCCAATTACATGCTTCACGGCACAATACTGGTATCGAATCTTTTCGTCCCGACTTGCCCAGTCTTCGCAAACACAACGATACTAGGTTCGCGAGAGAACGTACCCGAAGACTGGCAGAACGGTATTGCCGACTATGCTGCCGACTATCCAGAACTGCAATACACAGCACTCAAACCTCTGTTCATGAAGACTATTAGCCCTGACGAAATCGAGTTTGAGGCATCTGTGAGGGACTACCACGATATCATGGGCGCCGTGGTGGAAGCAGAGGACGATCAGCTGGCTTGGCTTCAGGCTGGCGTGGAGCCATGGCACGTTTACACCGGAACACTAGAGAAGCGTGTGTTCATCACTGCTGCGTTCGTTGGAGGTTTAATTCATGTTATTGCTGCTGGTGCCGGCGCGGCGGCCGGAGGAGCAGCAGTCTACGGCGTCGGTACTGCAGCAGGCGCATGGTAGTGTAATGTATGGGTACTTGCGGGGCGCGGATCTGTGATCGAGCTATCATTCTCAGTACAGTGAAGATACTATTGGCAACAACACTAGACAGCTTGACCACAGCTTCCAACTATTATATCTGCAACACACAGCACAGTCGACATGAGTTCGACGTCGTCTTAGCTGCTGCTAAAATCAAGAGCAAGTCGCACCATCAGCTCCGAGCTCCCGACATCTTTGAACGAACGCCCCTGCATCGATGCAATTGTAAAGAACGCCAACCCAGTATTCCTGACACTGTCCGGCATTAGTCGAAGGATATCCAAGATTTGTGCAAGCATATAACTCACGACACCAACTCCGGCTGCTGAAGCTTGATACGAGCCACAACCAGTGTCTGAGCGTAAACAAGTTTGCCTAGTCGCAGAGGCCAGTTCTGCAGTACTCATACCCCCCGAACAAGAGCATCTTTTGGCTGCAAAGGCTCTGGATGATTGTCAACAGCGTTCTGACAAGCCTTCGGGTACGACTTACTGTTGAGCACTCGCAGCGAGGATCAAAATGGCAGTAGCGAGCTTCATGGTGGGAAACAAATCGTGTTGAGCTGCGAACTTCGATCAATCTCCGGGCTGAAACACGGTGTTACTGGCGAGACTATGGAGGAAAGCCAACATGAGAACAAGGATTAGACGTTCTTTTGAAGTAAATCTCGCTCAAACAGCCAAGGACTGTTACCATCTCGTCTAGGCGGTTGAAGGTGAAAGCGCAGCAGAGCTGAGCCAGCTTGTCAGCCATACCTGTGTCAAATAGCCACTCCATCCAGCGACAAAAGCCACTGACACTCTGCTGGACTCGTCTATGGCAGCCATGAGCTCGCCGCCAGCCGACCTTCGGCGTATTAGTGGTGGAAACGATGGCCCTGATTCCTCGACTGATCAGTTTGCTCGTGGCCGACATGCTACTCGAATCTGTGTCCGGGTTGCTAAAATAAGCGATAACCGAATTTGCTTGCCTGAAGTCTGCGAATCACCCACAACGGGTTGCTCCAAGCCACTTTCTCGCAGTTCCGCTCGAGCTCCGGTGGCGTACGAGAGAGCTATGGGGAGGAGCGAAGTCGGGAGTCGGAGAATGCTCTCCGGCTTAGCTAGATCATGTGCCATAGTAGCACATGCCGCAGAGTCGAGCTAGTCAAGCCCTCGAGGTCTGGGCCACTTTCTTCTGATGTAGCTTCTTCGTGAGGCTGTATGTTGATGTAGTGCCACTCCTGCACAATCTGAGCGGCGGAACTCCTCCACGTGTGTTGGCGGCCATGTTTCCTCAACCAGCCAGACTTGCAGATACCTACTTAAGTAATTTCCCATTTTGAATGTGAGCCAAACAGTGTAATTATCAACAACGTGGCCTCCAAGTTAGTTGCATTTGTACCACGGCTCGAAAATAGAGAGGCACGACACGAATGCGCAACTAATTCTTCTTAATCATCATTTGTGGCTGTGACTCATTTTCCTTCTCTGCTCGATTCAGCTACTTCAACCTCAATCCGTGAGCCATAGGCTACCGTGTTTGTGGTAAGTCGTCGTTCAGGGGGCACAGGGGCTATCTAGCTACAGCTCTATCTCATCACAACCGTCTGGAGACAGTCAATTAGCGATATCCGGCCAGGTAAAACTGCAATACGCTCTCTAGCAAGCATTGGCGCCTTGGGTTAGGCGGCAAGTGATTAGCAAGATGCCGACAATAAAGCTTCGTTTCTCATGCCGCTTGCGCGAGGCCGCAATATCATCTGGATAATGACCCGGCTGTAAGAAATCCAATTCAGCGGTGTCACTGGGCACAAATGTTCCCATGAAATCATGGTAGTCACCGACTGCAGCTGTGAATGTAATGCGGCTGGGTTGGACTTCCTCGACGAATATAGGCCGCAACACAGCTGAAGCTCCCGTCGTATCGTCCTTCACTGCTCGTTGCGCCGCCGGTGTAAGGCTCGAGATAGGACCAAGTACACTCTGATTCACAAGAGCTTGACAATCCTGCCCAAAGCTAGAGTCTACCAGGAAAGGATAGTGAAGTAAGTCCTGTGCCACGGCATTCGCGTCGAGTACTTTCGGATCGAAGGTTAGGACATAATCATTGGCGGCATCACAGCTGAGTTGTATATCGCCCTTTTTGTCCAAGTACTGGATACCGGTCTCGACCCAGATTTCGGAAGCTGGGAGTTGTTCAAGGCCTGTTCCTTGCAGAATGTCCGTGAAGGCAAGGTCGTCGAGTCGATTGTAACGCGCCCCGAGGGACAAGCCGAATTTGCCGAAAGCAGTTGCAAGGCTGCTTAAGGCGAGTATTTCGCCAATGACCAGAAGAGCTGACCGAGGTGAATGCATTGTGAGTAGTGTCGGTAGAAGTCCGCGTTCACAGAGGTTGGCAATCAATTCCAACACGTGTAAAGCCTAGTCACATATATACAGACCGAATGATTTGGGTAATCTAAAATCCTTTGCTAGTGTTTTGTTGATTTTCAATTTCCCAGAATTCTTCCACATAGGTTCAAAGTTCGCACGATTTACAGTTTAAAATTCCATATGGGCATTTAAGTCGCGCCTATGCACAAAGGTCGCGAGCTTGGCTTGGCAACAGCACCCTAGTCCAACATCGAGCAGTTGAGTGCCGCAGCCACGTCTTTTATTCTCTCTGCTCAAGCCTCTAGATAAGCTTGAGTCCCGCCACTTTCGTGCTTATCTAGTTCAGCAACGGTCAAGAGCGTCATTTGTGCACAGTCTTTTATTGTGAGCAGCTTCCCTGCTCTCAAGCATTCAAGGGTTACGGACATAATCGGAAGCACTTTTGTGATGCAATGCTTGGATTTGACTAAGACTCTTTGTGATAGATCGCACATCTGATCACTTCTATCATCCTCGATACAGTCTGCGCCTGGCAGACCAAGAGCTCGACAGTCCGCTACGAAGGCTCCAGCATCGATGCCGTTGGTGGAGAAAAGCCCACTATCAAGGCCATAGCACTATATGTATTTGTTAGATGCGTTATAGGAGTTCCACTTTCACTTACATAACCAACACCCACGGGTATGTTATACCTCCGATACCCCTCTTCGGTATATCTAGTGTATATCGTTGGATTGGTCGAGCACGCTCTATTAGTAGCAGCATTGACTCGTGCTATACTGCCAGGATCACCAGGCGTAGGATTAACACATGTGCATACGTGTGCTGCCCTTGTTCTAAGAAAACGTCAGCACGGAATCCAACGAGGCTTAGGCGTCTCAGTACGAGCAGATGACCAACGCCACTATCAAACTCCCAATTATCAGCTTCATGATGCTCTTTTGTTGTGTGTAGGGAAGAGACGGACAGATACAACGACGTTGCTGGGTTTGCTGTTTCAAGAACATCATCGCAACCGTTATATACTCTGCATCCATGGTGCTGAAATACTAGACTTCTGCCAGAGACGACAGCCTGCGCAGTGAGGGCGGCGGCGCACCACGTGAACGCCGTGCAGAGGAATGTGGATATCCGCAATTGACGACTAGAATAAGCACGATCTCCACTACTGCTGTAGTGTTTGCCAATTCTTTTGCCCATCGTGGTGGCTAGACGAGCTTTCAGCTCCGTGCCAGTATTGCCAATGTCTCTCGCCTGCCTAAGCAGAGTCCACCGGTGGTAGCTACTGACTTAAGTGTGTTTAAACTTCGGGCTGTCGTGAACCCGGTCGTTTTCAGCGCTTCTTGACCACTGATAGTGCTATTTTCGATAGCAAGCAGCAAGATGATATGCATAATCGATCGGAAGCAGAACATCGCAGCGTTGACACAGTTGCCTAAGAAGGACGTGTATATTTGTTGACATGGTTTTGGCAGTTATTGTGGTGTGCCGAAGTAGAGGTGCAATGTAGCAATGTCACATATGACATCCGAGAACTTGGAACAAAACTTCCACAGACAGCAGAGTCCTTGTCGACTTGGTGACGTGGGTCGTACATCAGCTGCAAGTCAACCAACGGGAGAAGACGACCTCCAGATGTCCGGGTCGAGCCCTCCTTTCCCTACAGCCTAAGGCCGTAATTGACTCCGAAGTAGTGTTGCGAGGCTGGCACGTAGATTCTTGTTGGGATCTTCCACCTAGTCACGTATTGGCGCAGTTGACTCTGCTCGTTCAGCTGGGCACTTCTCCACGAACAGCTGGTCGAGCTACACTGCAAGGTCCGAGCCCTGCACAGCTTTGTCGGGCTCTGAGGACACTGTAAAAGCCTAGTGTGCCAAATACACACTGTTGGGCTTCGTCTGTCCCTGGTGCGACAAACCGCCGTAGATTAGCATGCGTCAATTTTATCGCCACCGAGAGTCCTAGTACATGACTCATACTTCCCAGATCAATTCGGTCAATAGCACAGGAGACAATCTTCTGCTCAATTGGATCAATCGAGCTGTGTAGCTTTAAGATCGGGAACAAAAGCTGTCCACGTGGGGCGGTGCTCTTCTAGCAGTCAGCACGGACCCACGCCTGGTGGGCACGGGCTTCCGGTTTTCAGCCCACAGCACCTGCTTCTGACACAGAATTCTCCGAAGCTTGCCGTATAAATACGCTCTTATGCAGTGTCAATGAAGCCCAAAGTACGAGACTGCAGGTTGGAGTTCGTGCCGATATCATTCCAACTAGTACCGGGTAACCACAATCCGCAGTGTATCTCGCATTCCTGTCTAACATTCAAAGTCGTTGTTATGAGGCCAGTCATCTTTCTGAGCTACCTCATTTCGGGGGTCCTCACCACACCAAGCTGGCCTCCAACGGGATCAGGTCTTCTAAGACTCCAATCTGTGCCTGCGACACCCGTCACCAATGGCGACCAAGCTGGCCCTTCTAGCGGCGGTTCACCAACGATTCAAGATCTACTACAATCCTTCAATACGACTCTACCCGGACGTATGGACGAATTGCTTCAGCGAATTTCCTTTATAGATGGAGTCTCAGAGGCTCTACTGAAAGGAGATGTTGACATCATCGACGTTAGCATAGAGCTCACGATGGAAGAATTGGTTCTGTTAGATGCGACGCTAACACAGTCTTACCCAACGACAACAATGCCAGGGGTTAAGGATAAGCACATTTTCAAACGCTATTCGGTGTGTGAAGAACCCTTGGAGAACACCAGTTGGTGGGAGTACGCGTGGGCTGCGACTAGTTTGTTGACATACGTATCTACCTGCTTCATAATCAACCCGGCCTAAGAATTAAAAGATTCTTGTGATAGTGAGACACTCGGCACAGGGTCGTCAGACTTGAGAGTAGGTAGCATGAGAGATCAATTTGACTAAACGTATCGACCAGTATAGCTCGGCACTTCTCCTTAGGGCGCTTCCGTTTCGGATTCGCGCGTCGAAACTGGCCCAAAGACAGAATTGCCACACGCCGTAGATCGCTAAGCATTTCTTGCAATGCCGGCTGCTCATCGTCACAGCAGAAGAGAGGGCCGAGAGACTCTACGGACGGGAATGCAAATGTTTCGTGGGGTTGCCGCCAGTGTTGCGGTATTGCGTAGATCAATATCCACTGTCCGATCTCGAATAGCCCACATTCCACAGTCCCAGCCCAATCATTCTGTGTGCGGAGTCCACTGAAAGTAATGTTCAATCGAGCTAGGGCAATGCTCCGCCATACTTGCAGCGCCCGTACGCAAGTCCTTTTAGTCTCAGTCTTTCAGATCCAGTCTAATTATAGGTGAAAGCCAGGACCTGTCGCACATGGTTCAAATCCAAGTGTGTTATTCCGCTGATATATAGCATGCCTCCTATACTGGAGAATGAAGTGAGAAAACAGCACTGATCATTATATAGCATGTTGTTCATTTTACTCAACCTGCTCGCGTTTACTCCTAACTTGGTTGTGGCTGATTGCTGTTATGCGGTGTCGAAAACAAACCTGTGCGCGGATGGCACCCTCAAAACACCATTCTGTGGAGAAGGAAAATGCAATGTTTTTGGCTGCGATTGTGGTGAGGTAGAGTCTAATCTTCATCATTGCGCTCGTTGCTAAAGATCCCCTAGATTGTCGACAAGACAATGGAAAGTTTTGTGCAACCGTTCTAGATGCGTCGAGAACTTGTGTCTTTAGCCCAGACACCCCAAGCAGGAAAACCTGCTCATTCTATCTTGGAGCAGCAATCGAGTATTGTCTATTCTACGTTAGCGAGGACGAGGCGAAAGAGATTAAGGACGCTTACCACAAATCTATCTATATCTCTCCGTAATCGTGAGATAATAATATTACAGAATACTTCTATTGCTACTATATATCACCAAGACCCGATTATTCAGTCTCACTCATCTAGTCCGCAGGCCACAGCTGAAGGTACTGCGCTCGATTTCCGAGGTCACAAGATAGTCTTGGTGTACAAATCCGTCTTGATCTGTCACGCAAAACCTGAGTCCGTTCCCCGTTTCTCTCCTGCATCTGATCTTGAAGCTGTGGTTGAGGATAGTCCTTTGTGGTGCCAGCTGCACCAAACCGTGTGATTGTTTATGTATTAGGCTCTGTTGAGTCTCGTCGACCAAAATGGCTTGTACGTGCCGGTCCTGCAGCGAGTGAATTTCAAAGCCGTTGGAACGAAGTAGAATTACTACGCAGTTTCGGTCGTCCTCTCATTCCGACGCTTCTGTTTAACAAGATGTCTGACCCATGCCAGAGCGACGTCCAGGATGATCACGGCCAGAAAGACTAGCATCACGGTGGTGACCGGCCAGAGGCTTGCAACGAAGCCTGCTGACTTGCGCCCCAACGCATCGGTCGAGGCCAACGGGATTAGACAGAGTGCGGTACCGCCAGATACTCTGGACGCTATACTGATCCAGTTGCTCCAGTACTTGTTCCTCGATGCCGTCATCAATAGTACAGCTGAGCACATCAAAAATGACCCAGCCGCCACGGGAAAATAGATCATTGTTGTTGTGAATATGTTTTGTATCCAGTCGTCGAACTCAAGCATGTTCGCGACTTGATCCTCAATAGAGGGCGGTTCCGACGTGTCAGAAGTCGTGGTGGTGTCCAGCTCGCCCAGTGCATACTCGGTGAATATGAACTGTTGCACGTCTGTAAACATTGCGAGGATAAGCTCCGTCGCATTGGCTTTCCAAGGATCAGTATTGTATGGGGCGTCAAGGTCTAAAATCTGTGCCAGGGTTGATGTCGAGTCGTAGCCTTCGCGAAACTGATTACCGCGAAAGAATGAGGAGATGACATCGAGGGACTGTGCAACGTACTGTTCAACTGCTCCAGCTGATGCAAACGCATTGAAGCTTAGAAACGGATCGTCGTCATTCGAGTCAAATTTTGACATCAAAGCCTCCCATCTGACAATGATAGGTCTCACGGTAGTCCAGAGCAGGAAGTCCGCTGATCCTTGCACGGTGAGCAGAATCGCAAGATGCAGTGGGAAGTGGAGGAAAGTCCAGATCTGCTGGCGGATTCTTCCGAGAACGTGAACTTCAATTTGATCAAAGTACAAGATCCAGATGAGGTAAATCAGGAGAATAGCACAAGCCACCAGACCGATCGTTTCCGAGCTCAGAAGACTGTTCTTGCTGATTATGCGGGAGAAGGATTGACAGAAGTCGATGATGCCCTCGCCGAGTATGATCAAGGTCAACAGACCCATCTTCGACGAGATGAGTTCCTTCGAAAGACATGAACGGCCATATCGAAGCAACCGCAAAACTGACAATCGTTTCGACGAGTGCGCCAGCGTAGAAGACGATATATGTTATTGGGTGCTCTGCACGGTCGTGGACACTATCTTCTGTCACATCTCGAAAACCCGCGAGACTGCCGCCATATGTGGCAGCAGTGGCAAGAAGGCCAGCGATGGTGATAATGAGTGGCGCCCGTGCTTGCGAATACCGCCAGGAGTATACTAGTACACTAGTGTACTGTATTGCGAGTGCCAGCCGCGAAACCATGAGGACAATGCACAGGATACGGAAGCTTCTGTGGTCTTCTCCTGTATGGCTAGTGTTGAATAGAGTACTAGCGACCACGAATCCGACAAAAACGCCGAATGATAGCCCTTTGCACACTCGATGGAAGACGCTATCAGTCGCGAAGCGGACATCGTAGATCGTGGTCTGGAGCCATGTATTCCAGACGATCAGGAAGAATAAAACGTTGTCCCTGATGCTCTCTGCATTCTGGTTGGGATGACTCGTGGTGAATGTTGCCAAACTAGCGACAAAGAACAGATCGTAGAAAAGTTCGATGGTGCTGGATTCGTGGCGTCTTTCGTAAGAAGGAGTCGTATTCGAAGTGGATAGTCTGCGATCGATTGCATGTTTGAGGCTCTCATCGCCTTCGCGAACGGTTGTCGCTGAGATCCCCGGCGCCCTATTTGACAATGGGGACTGCAGCCAGGGTAGGGGAGAACGCTTCACACCATTTATCGGCGTTGCTTCGATGACTTCAGTAAGTATCGTATTTGGCTCTGTCCGCATTGTGCTGCTGGGTACCTTTGGTGTGATTCTTTGCATACCTGGATCGGAGCATTGATACAAAGGCCTTGGGATTTTACCGCCTTCGTGGCCAGAGAACTAGTCGAGGGAAGCGCCCATTCGGACGGGCCGGCCTCGCCTTCTAGCAGAAAACACACGGTCATCTCGAACGGCGACAGCTGCTACAGCTCACCTATGCAGCCTCAGTTCCAAGCCGCAGGTCGAGTTTCTAGCCACAGGTCGGAGTCGCGGTGTGTCGAGGGGTCCGATATTCCTGCCAAAATGGCGGATGAACCGTCGGCGGCGGTCTTCGGAGGAAGGAGTTGTCCCACTTTCAGACCATCCATATTTAAGTGGAGACAGACGGACTTCGGTCAGCCTGCTGCCAACCTTAATTCCACCCTGCGTTGTTGCGGGAATGTGGCGGACCGCCTCATGAATTCTCACGAAGGCCTGAGCCCTCAGGCCACTGACCACCATCACAGCCTATGTGTTTGGTGCTGCGATCAGCCGAAACTCCGCTTAATGAAGATGTATCTCGACCCTCGACCTCTGCTGAAGCGAGCTCATGGGGGGCCGATAGACAATTGACCACGTGCTCAAATGGGTCCAAGCTGTTTATACGAAGACCTTCCATACTCCGAACTCAGCCCCAGACTCTCTGGAGTGCGTCTGGCATAGTCTCGATGCCTGGCAACGGAAGCAGCAAAACAGTACCATCTGGTTGAATCAGAAGCGATGTGCCTGCCACTCGGCACGCCGTGCCGTCGATCCCTTTCTTTCTTGAAAGACACGCATTGCGATCTGAGACACTGATATCGCGGTATATGGCATCGAAGTCCAACAAAGCCAAAGACAGGGTGCCGTTGTCTGAGATGACCCCAGCATCAGGCAGGCCCAATTGTCTGGTAACGGGGTCGTCATCCCTCCAAGTGATTGTTGGATCAAGGTTCTTATTGCCTGGATTCGTTTGACTCAAGCCCAGCAGGATTGTTCCATACCGTATGGGTACCCCCAACATCGACTTTTCGATAAGCCTGTTGAGAAGATTCCATTGGTAGCCGCCGTCCCAGTCTGGCTGCGAGGTGATGCGACGAATCATGAAATGAGCCTTGAGTATTGCAAACATTCCGACGATCTGCACTGCTGCTATTGTTTGCTCCAAAACAAGGCGCAGGACCGCCTTGATGGATATATAACCTCCGCTACCGATATTGACAACAAATTGGTTGGTACCGTCGTCGTTAATTTTGCGGACTTCCCAAGCGGACAATGCCGGATCTCGCAGCTCGTATTGCTGACGTTCCTCTCCAACAATCAGATCAAATCTTTTCCATGAGTCCCTTCCCAAGCACTCCGCCGAGCTTCTCATTTCGACCTGGTGGACAGAGAAGGGAGTCCTGTCAAGGTTCGCTGCGTCCAAACCCGGCAAAATACTTATCTTAGACGACGATTGTAATCCTTCACGCATGTCCCAGATACCGAAGCGACGCTTGAACGTTTGAAGATAGTCATCAAGCTGACGAAATATGACCACATTCTGGGCTTGAAGGGGGCCGCCATCACCTCCTATTGTGACCCAATCATGCGCCAAATCTGTGCTCTGCCAAGCTCGGTAGTACCACTCCAGTTGATCATTGTTGAAGGAGGTGTAGATACAGCTCTGACCCAGAGACATGTCAACTACGACGTCTGTGGGGGAGGTGTTAATGATAACAATTGGCGACATGAGTCCAGCTTTTGCGCCAGACGCCAGCGCAACGGCGACAAGTGTACCGAGTAAGCGCATCTTGGATGCTGTGCACACTCGGTACAATTGGAAAGTGAACAGCGTATCGAATTCTTTGGCAGTCCGACCGTAGAACCTCGGAGTCGGGCGTCAGTGGACTAAGGACTGAGATTGCATGATCTTGCTCAAGCCTTGTTGAGCACTCTCAGGAGCTTCATCTTTCCAGCATTCATACTTATCGTGGCTACACCTGACTGCGGACCGCCATTTGTGAACCCTTGGTACAAAGTTTCGAAGAAGCCAGGAACAAGGAATGAGCAATGTTCTGATCCCTGGATTGTACCTGGTTCCGGGCTAGCGTACGTTCCGTGGCAGCAGCATACCTGGTAGTCGGTGTAAACACAGCGACTCGAACAGGACAGTGCCGGATCGAAAGAAGTATGTTTTAAACAGTGATGCGCTCTATATGCAGGACTATTCACGTCTGCTGCGGAAACTCTGTGGTTTCGCTACAACGAAGTCCAGCAAACGAAATGAGACCCTTAAAGCAACGTCATGCCAAGGCAACCCTCCTCTACTTTTACTATGTCGTGCCATCGATGGCCGGCGTTATGTCACCAATAACAATCATCAATTTCTCTCCTGCGCCAATTGACCTTGACTTCACCTTTCCCAGCAAATGCGTTTATTACGATTTCAACCCGGATTCTCTGAGGGGATACTACAGCGCTTACCGAAGCCCTGACCTTGTGCGCGACCATGGTTCCGGCTATGTCAGTCTGAACAAATATCTCCAAGGCTTCAAGACCTACTTTGGCATTCCGGATCTCGAACAGGGCCTGCAAGGCGCTGTGGGAAGATACCGGCTCCCACCATTTTCAGGAGCCGTCCCGCCCCCGTTTTCCGTTCACCAGATTCAGATGGACGGCTCAGGGAGCTGCTTTGGCAAGGACTCCTGGAAGCAATTCTCTATCGATACACCGCGTAGCTTCAATGTCTACGAGTTGCGGGACCCATCTCAGTCGAACTGGGAGATAACCAAGTTCCTCCATGACAGGTATATCACGGTTGATATTGGTAAAGGAGGTTATGCAGGGGTTGGGTGGGTTGTCGGCTATGCTATCCTGGGAGCGGCGCTTGTGATCCTCGTCGCGGCAATCGCTTGGCCTGTTGTAGCTGTCGGCTCAGGAGCGACGGGTATCGGTGGCCTTTCATTGTCCGTCCTCAGCGAAATGTCTCTTACTTTCGATGCGGGAGTCCCTTTTATCAGCTCTTTGAGCTCGATAGGAAAACGACAAGACGACAGCGGCTCAGACGACACAATCAATGTCCAAGTCGGCGCTATAGGGATATCTGGTGACAGCAGCCAACTCAACAATAATTTCACGGTTACCGTTCCCAACAACAATGTCCTTCGCGCCGATGGAGTCCCTTCTGAGTACTCGTCAAGGCCTATACTGGATTTCTACGATCTCTATTCCAGGATACCAATCGAGAATCGCCAGGCATGTCTTTTCAGCGCGCCTGGCCTGCAAGACCAGAATTGCTATGTTGCAGGTACTGCGATCATTATTCAGGCCGATGGGACCCCCGTGGCATACCCCCTCCCAGACGTGTCACATGCATATTGAGCTCATCGATATACATCGGCAGATAGTTGTACCATATTAATGTTGGGTGTCCGTAATTGGTATACTCGCTAGTCGTAATCTCAGTCCAGTAGGCCTGCGCGGCCAATGACAAGCACCAACGGATCTGTGTCGTTCTCTTCATCGGCGGACCTTGCGGAATGGTTAAACAGGCTCATGGACATCATTTCAAAGATCGAACAGGATATCCGATGTCCACATCTTATTCGAAACTCCAATCACAATCGCTCTGTCCCAGGTTGCAGGCGAAGAATTCCAGTCGCGTGATGATGAATGGATCAAGCCAATTTGTGAGCGGAGGAGGGCAGAGCCACGGCTCGTTGCTGCTTTTCCGTAGATCAAATCCCGCGCCACTGGAAGTAGTGAAATAAGCGTACATAGGTACAGTCAGCTGGGAGTTCGAGAGCGTTGCCTTTGCCGCCAAACCCAGAAGTCCAGGTCGTGTAGGTCCGCAAATTAGCGATCCAGAATAACAGTAGCCATAATAGGGGCGCACATGTACTGGATTCCACTTCCGAAAAGAGTAGGCAGTGCACGAGCCCATGGCTGGATCCGTCAGAGATTGGTACATGTAGCACTGTGCGTCGGCAAAGGTGCAGTCGAAGTTTACTGATCGCACTTGGCCGGCCAACGACATCGGTGTGAGGCTCAACGTTGCCATAAGGGTGAACACTGCTGTTGCTGGAGACCACATGATTCGTCCCGTATGAGGAGGCCTGATACTCCTCTTCCGCATCTACTACGGCATGCGCCTCCATCTTATACGTTCCGCCAAAAATCAAAATGACTTCAATGGCTGCGGAAGGTGCATTCCCTGTCGAAGCTTGTCAAACGCGCTGCACATGCCGCTGCCATGAGCGAAGACATCGCCAATGACTCCTTCTGGCAACCAGCACGGATCAATTGACGGCATCCACTGCTGCGAAGGCCGAGGTTACATGGCCGATGTGCTTGGTCCAGTGGCTGCGACGATGCTATCAGAGCAGCAAGTTGAAGTTGATGTCGGACTCGGATCCACGAAGATCTTGCACGTGATTTCGTGAATGCTTGGCGCCTGTTCACGGGCCGCGCCGGTTTCTTGCCTCACCTCAATCTCACGCCGCGAGCGAGGGAGGTCATTCCAGAATCCTCGGGGCTTTTGTCGAGGATCCTCCCTTACAACCACTGCATGTTCAAACACACGGGCTGCACCGTGCCCGACGACCTGAGCCAACCCTTGGAAATCGCCTTCGTTGCACGTCATGGGGCACTTTTCAACAAAAAACTGTGGGTGGAACATCTCTTCACTGCATTCGATCTCCCAGTAATGATGGACTGCCGCCAATGTCATAATCTCGAAGACTACGGCGTCCTACAGAGCTTGCTATCTCACCAAGACTCACCGCGGGATCTGCACTACGTGGATTCACCAAAGAAGATCCTCTGGTCAGCACCATGAGGTCAGGAATTGGACTGATCGATACCCAACAACTCGCGTGGCCCAGGTCTTGCTGCTGTTCTGCTTTTTCACACTTGCTGTCGCAATAATCACACATGGGGCCCTAGACCAAACCATGTGATTGCTGACCGCAAAGAAGGCGTCCTAAGTTCCGGTATTTGAGAGGAACCTCGGGAGAATGCGATGCGGATTAGCGGCCTGGTCTGGATACTGTAAAGCGCTCGCCTACAATCGACGAGTCGCCCCCCGAACCTCATTGCACCACAGTCTCTACACCACGCGACATGCAGTCCGCACAGAGTCGCGCGAAAAGATTGCAAGGTAAGCGTGTGATAGCCCAGCCGTGCAGCTACGGGGCTCGGATTACCGGATTTGTTCCGACCACATTCCAACAACAGCGAACGGCTCCCCGCTGCATTGAGTTTACCGTGGAACGAACCCTTACCGAGAACTTAGTGCGGCACAAACGCCTCTGTTGTCAACCACGAGGGCGATGTCAGTCATGGTACGTTGCGATCTCTGACAGGTATAGTGCTATCCGACTTCCGCAAAAGGCGATACAGGAGACGACATCCGCTTACAAAGTTAAAGTTATTTTTATCTGGCTCACGTTTTCAACGAGGCTAGTATAGAGATTATCAGCCGACCAAAGGTATCAATTCATGACAGCACAACGATCAAATAACAGGACTCTCATTGCTGACTGGTACAATCAGATCACAGTCTGCGGTCTGATTCCACCTTTTCGAAACCTCTATTCTTCAAGGCACAGTCACTGTCTGAAGGGGGTCATACACACATTGTACCACATTCTCGTGCTTGTCTCATCGCCATGCGCTTCCTCACGCAGCTTACATCCGCCACAATCTGCATGATCCTGATCACAATAACAGCATCAATGCCGTTGCCAGCCAGATGTACAACCTCCAAGTCAGCCGCCAGACTCGTCCGCCGCGAGTCCACACCTTCCTCTGGAATGGATTTGGCAGACCAGGAAATGTCTGAAATACCTCCGCATGACTCCGTGATTCCCCACCCTGCCCTTGTGCCAGCGCAAGCGGTTAGTGATGGCTCCGAGGATCCGACGCATGACTGTGACCAGATCTTTGCCGCCATCAATCTTCCCCAAAATTCAACTCTGCGACAGCGAATAGCAACCCAATTCAAACCTCCCTCCGCTACCCTCAACCAAGACCAACCCTCCCCACCTGCCAGCCCAGCCGGTGATTTTGATGCCTTTGTGCAAGAATGCTTTGCTCAAGATGCGTGTTTCTTCTGGGACACACGGCAGGGTCAAGTCATCCCTACGCAGCAGATCCCTCTTCCGAGCTCTACAACATCAATGAACACTGACCAGGTGGGAGTCTTGATTGAGGCGGTGGGGACTGTTGATGGGGTTGGAATTATGGTAGGCGTAACCTTCGTTGGGGATAAAGCAGTGCCCATCTTTCTCAGGCACAGTGGGTCGTTCCAGTCGTGATGACCTTACTTAGTCCTCGGCGGACTCGAGCAAGTATCTTCATATTGTATGTACAGAAACCCAGCCTAATTAGGTTGTTTGCTTCTCGCCGCTCCATGAACGAGTATGCTCTTACCGTGAGGCTCCGCTGCAGCAACGACGGCGTAATCCGAATCAGAAATTTGGCTTGTGTGAACTTACCTGGCCTTGACTCCCCAACTCGCCGTCCCCTCTCCCCACGCGCGGAGGCCCGCTTCCTCACCTTCCCACCGGCCCAGAGTTCGCTCCGCCCACTCTGCTTCACACGCCTGCGGCGCAGCTTCGGGCCTTTCGGCCTCACCCTAATGCTCGCTGCGCTCGCTGGAAGCCACCGCCTCCCCCGCCCGCCCACGCGATTCGAGATGTCAAGAGCGTGACAGTGGAAATTCGGAAGGAACGGTACAGTACCAACGCGACTGCTAAGGTCCCCAGCTGGATGATAGAGCAGGCACGTGACGGTTCTGCTTGAGTAGGCAACTCTCCTGCCTAATCGGCACTTCTATCGGTCTCGCGAGGGTTGAGTCTGACGCCGTTACCCACTCGGCCATTTCTTGGCATCATGTGCTCGTCAGTGTGAGTGTCGGAGGCAGGAGCAGAAGTCAATGTTGCGCCTGCGTTATTCGAGACACGAGTTGATAGCTGCTGCTAGCAGTAGCACCTGCTGTGTATCTAACGCGCATTTAATCAAAGCAGGCGCGATCAGAATGTGGTTGGGCAGCGAACGAATATATTCCGGTGTCCTCATTCATGCTACCACGTCAGGTTGCATCATCATCGTCTCTTTCTTGTCCTTCGTCATATCGTCATTTGTCTTATCATCAAAGCCATCCTCATGACTATGGCTTCCTCTGTAGGCAGTGCAGACAATAGCGCATGACACCCCGCGACTCCTGGAATCGCGATGATATGCCCACAGCCTCAAAAACCTTGGAACCGGTGTCAGTACCACTGCTCACCTCTCGTCGCCTGCTGCTGTTGTTGTTGACCCGACTGACCCTGTGCAGCACTGTTGGCAAGCATGCCATCGAATGCTCCGCCACCACCACTGCCATCGCCCATTCCCATGTCAAAGCCTCCAGGATTCTGCATCTCGTATCCGAAAGTGCCGACCTCATCCATGGGCAACATGCCATTGGTCATGCCCATTCCGCCGCCAGGAGCGCCAAATCCGCCGACGGTGAAATCTCCCACACCAGGATTCCATCCACCCCAATTGAAGAAGTCTGCCGGATCGACCTGCCCAATATTGCCATCGAGCATACCGTCCATGTTCACGTCCATTCCGTCCATGGTCAGTGTGTCTGGAGAAGTCGTGTTTGAGAGTGTCGTTGTGGAGGCATTTGTTGCTCCAGGTTGCGTCGTAGATGTGTTGGTGTGCTTGGTGGCGTTCTGACTCTGCTGGCCACCGAGATTGCCAGATGCCGCGCCACCGAATTGCCCGTACGCTCCAGGATCGAAACCTCCCGTGCCCGTCGGTATGCTGCTTTGCTGCTGGCTCTGTCGTTGTTGCTGCCGTTGCTGCTGCTGCTGTGGCTGGATCGAAGTCCCCTTCTGCGGGTTGACCCCACCAGATCCACCACTACTGCTGCTCTTCGGACTCATAATCTCGCTCATATCCAGCCCGAATGCAGCCCCTGTGGCTCCCAGGATATTCAAATGGTCGTTCTGCCACCCACCAGCCCAGGTATCCACGAACACATCCTGATTCGTCTGACCATCACCGTTCCCAGCGATCTCATCCTCCGGACTCTCGCTCTGCGTGTTTGGCTCAGGCGGGATCCCATTCGGCAAACTCCCACTCCCATCAAACCTCCCCTCGGTCAAATCCCCATGTTTCATACTCGGATCCACGCCCTTCCCGGCATACCTCCCTCCCGGCCTGCCCTTCAAGTAATGCTCCCTCGCCGCCCTTGCTTTCCTCCACAACGTACGCATCGGCCGCCACAGCATGCCGCGGTGATTGACGTCCGGCTGGATGAAGCGGACGTTGTAGACGGACTCGACGGCGCGCCAGCCGCGCTCGACTTCTTGCGTCCATTGTCCTTGACTTCCTCCATCTCCTTTCTCGGCGGTGTGCTGACCCTTGCTGAAACCACTGGATGTGAAGTGGCCAGCACGAGCACAAATCTCACTCAACACAAAGGCAACGCTCTGCCACTGCATGTAGCTCCGGAACAGCCAGCCCCATTTCGCTGTGTTTTCGTTGCGCTCAAGTAGGTAGGAGAACTCGATGACTTCAATACTTGTGATAAACAACCGGTCTTTGACTTCTGGCGGCGGGGGCGTGTTGTCGTTGTAGTAGGAGCGTGGATGGTGCACCATCAACCACATCTTGGCCAGAATCAGTCTCGCCACCGTCGCCGAGACCCATAATATTGGGGTAGACATGTCGCAGTGCTTCAGGTAGGTGTTTTCGATATGCGCATGACAACGATCGATCATCTCTTCCTTCTCCTCCAGCGCCATATCCCCGACCCTGCCCGATGGCCCACCAGAACCGCCCTGCCCCTGGCTCGGCTGCCTTCTCAAATCGCTCACGCCCGGATTCGTAATATTAAGTCTGCGATTAAACACGCTTAATTCGAATCTGATGAGGCAGAATGTCATCTCCGTCGCCCCCTTCCTCTCAACCGGCGCCTCCGCCATCCCAGGCCAGATATCCTCGTCATTTACATTCAGCGGTAACTTCGTATCGTAGAACTGCTCACTAAACGTCGGATCCGTCCCGTGGTCCTCGCTACTGCGATTGTCGAGAATGGAAATATGCCACCATAGCCGCCTGCGCATCTCGATATCGAATGGGGGAAGCCCGAAATGGGAACCGTCGCGGTGAATGCCTAGGGCTTGCGCGATGTGGATTGCGAGGCCGCCGAGCGCCCAGACGAGGCGGGAGTCGTCCATATTCCGGACGAATACCAAAAATGCGACGAAGGCTTGGAGGCAGACTAAGCTACTCGAATTTAGAAAATCGGCTCGTGCAAGCGCTTGTTCGGTCGCAAACCGGTATTTCTTGATGAGGTCGGAGCGGTCTTCGTCGAGGAGTTTGCGGCATTGGTCTGTCGATAAGCTTGTGACGGCGCCGTAGTAGATCGAGAACAAAAGGGCTTCGGCCGGGCGGGAGATTTTGTCGGTCGAGGACGCGGCGTTGAGGAGGATGTTGCGCGTTGTAGGCCGGTGGATGAGTTTGACGACGGGATCGACGTTTTCTTTGTAGACTTCCCAGAGGATGAAGATTTGGGAGGGAGACGGGTGCAGGGATTTGAGGTCGACGCGGAGGCTGCTGAAGGAGAAGATGAAGCCTTGGTGGGAGGCGTAGCGGTCGGCTGTGGCGGGAGAATCTGAATTGTGTCTCTGGGGTATCGCGGCGGCAGTAGCGGCGTTCTCGTCGAGGATGTCTTCGTCGTCGGATGAGGGGGCGTCGAGGAGGTCGCGCATTTCGGCGATCTCGTCGCCCATGGAGGCCCAGAATTGGTTGGAGACGTAGCGGCTGCGGTCTTCGTTGATGACGAGGCGGCCGAGGTGTTTGTCGATGCTGGAGCGTTTTTCGGGGTCGGGTCGTCCGTCGATCTGATCGGCGGTGTCTCTTCTCGCTGCTTGGGTTGGACTCGCTGTCACGCGGCTACCGCTGTCGCGATCTCTAACTACGCCATCACTGCCTACGTCCACGCCCAGACTCGTGACGACACCTTCCAGACGTTTCAGCCGTGCTAATAGTTCTGCATCAGGCGGCTTCCTTGCTCTCCGCGGCGCTCGACCGGGGCCAGGGAATATGCATTCTATATTGGCCTTCTTGCAGTTTGTGCAAGGGTGTGTCTTGTCGCAGCGCACTTTCCTTCGACGGCAGGTGACGCATGATCGCGGATTGAGGCCGCTGGCCGAGGAGGTGGAGGCGGAGCGTTGCGGTTGTTGGGTAGGTGACCCGTGCTGTGAGGAGGTGGAATTGGTTCGTTTTGGTGACTCGGCGAGGAAGGCGCGATGGGAGGTGTCGATGGAGGGCTTGAACTCGGCTGGTGAGGAGGAATTGTTGCTGGCTGATGTGGGCGCCGAGTCTGCCGTGGACGTGGTACCCGCGGCGGATGGCTGCATTGTTGCGCCTGTGTGAGACTGTAGTGTTGGATGCACTCGGAAATTAGGACTGTGGTGGGGTTACCGCCGCATGTTGCTGTTCCTGTTCCGCTTCCATATGATGTACTATATCGATCGCATACAGGGGAGGGTAGCGTAAAGTCACAATAGACAAGGAGCAGTGCGCATCCCGAGGGAGCAATCAGGTACACGAGTGTGTTCAGGAAGGCACAGCTGAGGATGGTGCTACAGCATAACGAAACGGCGGGAGAGGCTTGAGGATTGACTCAAGCGGAAACTTTTCCTGACCGATCACCAACGACGTCAATCATCAATCATCTCGCGAAGAGTTCCCCGTGCTAGCGCCTTCCAAGGGTTAGTGTTGATTAGTATGTACGAACGATAGGTATGGGGAAGGCTATCTCTCCGTACAACAATCTTGCTGCCATATTCTGTGAGGCAATTAAGCGCTTTCGCTAGCACGTGTCCAAAAACCTCACGGTACTTTATGATCTCGCACAAATTGGATATGAACAGGCACATCGGAGGCTCAGGAACCACACGCACCTCTTCTTCGAGTTACGCGGAGTCTCCGACGACCTGTGACTTGGGGATGCGGAGCCTACCTAACGGCAATGGGGGCAGTGGTCGCCCATCCATCGCTGCCATATCGCTGACAAACCCTTCTTCCCAGCTTTATGACTTGCCCGCCGGAGACATCGTTTGCTCGGGCGAGCAGATGGGAGTCATTGTTAACGAAAGCGCTGGGTTCAGAATCATTCCTGTCCTGGATTTTGGAGCAGCCAGGACTAGAAAAGCATTGAAAAACGGTCAGGTGCCTGTAGATCTACACTGGCGGAAAGCCAATAGCTGCCAACTCGGCGCCGAGAAGAATATGGTCCCGAGTTGTGCAATTCGAGCCAACTAATGAATGGTGATACAGCTGTTCATTCTCTCGCTATGCTCGAGTTCCAATTGATACTTCATCTACAGGTAGGAGGCAGCACAACAATCGTGCGTTCGACCTTCTCAGTCGTCAGCCCTTCCCCCATCACGTCCTATCCAACCAAGGTCGTTCGAGCTTGTCTTCTCCACGACCCTGCTTCCCACACAATATAATGCAGTAGAACGAAGCAAGTGTTCTTCCCTTCTCTTGTTCTTCAAATCAATGTCGAAAGCCCCGATCTCCCACCAAGAATCAAGAACCGAGGCCATGCAAATCAAAGAGCACTGTCGGCCAAATGCCGCAGCCCTGGTGAAATCCCCTTGAACGCCATGCTGCCGAAAGAGGGACGTGCAGTCCATTCTTTGTACTCATTGACGGACACAGATAACGTGAAGCGTCGATAGACATGAATCAACAAAGCAAGTCCAGTCAATGTAGACCGCAGTCTAGCCATCATCATGAGCTGTGACTTCGCATCAAGACCTTGAGAGGAACATCAGTATCAGTAGCTTTGGAATCGCTGAGCGCTCGCTCTCACATTGGTACTCGCCGTGCTCATTGGGTCATCCATGCCGTCCTTAGCGACAGCCGGTGACTCCACAGAACCGTGTAGCACTGGTCCTGTCGTCGTGATGCTTCGTTCTTGATACATCGGTCTCGTCGGACTTGTCGGCGGCTCGAGAGTCTGCGCCTGTTGCGCAGCCACTTCCTCTTTGGCAGCATTCGCCGAATTGGCTCCAGTGCCATTTGACTTTGTCCGCGCATGCTTGTTGAACATGGCTGTTACACCATCGGATGCTACCCGCAGAATCGTCTGCATCAACAAGTTCTGTTTGAGCGGCTTCGACAAGTATTCATCCATCTGCGCCTGTATGCACTTTTCCCTATCGCCCAACATGGCGTGAGCTGTAAGCGCAATGATCGGCGTTCGTGGTACATTGTTGTCCTTCTCGTATTGTCGGATCTCACGTGTCGCTTCGAAGCCACCCATGACTGGCATTTGCACGTCCATGAGCACCACATCGTACCTTTGCGTCTTGATGAGCTTGAATGCTTCGAGTCCGTTGCCAACCACAGTGACAACGTGGTTGTACTTCTCCAAGATCTTGACTGCCACCTTCTGATTGACTTCATTGTCTTCTGCCAGTAGGATATTGAATGACTTCTTGTAGTCCTGTAACAGTGGCGTGCTTCGTCCTTCCAGAGCTGGAATCATGCAATTGCCGAGATCGATCAATTGACAAGGCGTGGTCATGTATGAGGCCACACCCATGTCCAGGACAGTCCGCAGATCCATCGATATCGATTCGCTCAGCAACACCATCGGAATGTACTTGAACTTGTCTTGCGCTCGGAGCGTCTTGGCGGTTTCGATCGTGTCGATGATGATCACATCGTACCCCTTCTCCGTGGTTTTGCCTCGTTTCACCGGCTCAGGCTCAGGCGCATCCGCTTCATTGTCAACGACCAGGATCTGCAAGCCAAGCTCCTTGATCATCTCAGGAATCTGTGCCGAGAGTGTGGTCTCGCCCTTGTCCACGAACAGCACACGGTGCTTGCGGAATGGATACAGTTGCGAGCTGATCACGCTGATGTCCTCGGCGGCGTGCTTGACAATGCAGGAGAAATGGAAATTGCTGCCGTGGCCAAAGTCGGACGTGACCCACACGTTGCCTCCCATCAGATTCACCAATCGCTTCGATATCGAAAGCCCGAGGCCAGTACCGCCGAACTTTCTCGTTGTCGAGCCATCAGCTTGTTGAAACGTATCGAAGATAAGATCTAGCTTGTCGGACTGAATCCCTATCCCAGTGTCCGATACCACGAACTCGAATGGGAATTCAGAGGGGCCACATTTGCCGATCAGTTCTCGATCTTTGCGGATGGTCACTTTCACCTCGCCCTGATCGGTGAACTTGATTGCGTTGCCCACGAGATTTAAGATGATCTGCCGCAGTCTGAAAGGATCGCCGATCACGTAATCCGGTACTGTGTTGTCGACTTTGAATGCTAGGCGAAGGTTCTTCTCGTGGGCTTTGACTGCTAGTGACTTCAGAGCGTTGAACACGGTACCCCGAACAGTGTAGGTATCGCTTCAATCGCCATACGATTTGCTTCAATTTTGGAAATGTCCAAGATGTCGTCGATGATAGTGAGCAAGCTGTTGGCCAAGTTGTGCACCGTATTGAGCATCTCTCGCGGATGAGGCTTGAGGTCGTCGGTATCCAGTGTCAACTGTGTCATACCGATGATGCCGTTCATGGGCGTACGGATTTCGTGCGACATGTTGGCAAGAAACTCTGACTTGGTCCGATTAGCAAACTCTGCTGCTTCTCGGGCTGCTGTGTTCTTCTGAATGCTGTCTCGCAGATTGGATATCATCTGATTGATCTTCCTCTTCAAGTCGTCCATCTCGCCGGAGGCGTTGACGCTGATTAACTTTGAGAAGTCGCCCTCAGTCGCTGCATCCGTGATTTCGCCGAATGCTCGCACTTGTGCTGTCAAGTTTTCGGCCATCGTGTTCACGTCTTCTGTGATTTCCTTCCATCGCCCACTAACATCGTGCACGTTGGCCTGGCCACCCATTTTGCCGTTGACACCCACGTCTCGAGCCACTCTTCGCAATTCGTATGCAAATTGTGCCAGTCGGTCCACCATGTTGTTGATGGTCTCTTTCAGGGTCCGGATTTCGCCTTGTGCTTCGACCTCGATTTTCTGGCCGAGATCTCCTCCAGCGATGGCCTGAGTAACGTGCGAGATGCTTCGCACTTGCTGAGTCAAATTGTAGGCCATGACATTGACGTTGTCCGTGAGATCTCGCCACTTGCCGTCAACGTTGTCAACTCGAGCTTGTCCGCCCAGCGTGCCGTCTGTGCCGACTTCTCGAGCAACTTTGCTGACTTCGAATGCGAAAGTGTTGAGCCTGTCCACCATGGAGTTGATTGTTATCTTCAGATCCAGGATTTCGCCCTGGACATCGGCCTGGACCTTCTTTGACAGATCACCGTTCGCGACAGCTGTTGTGACCAGGGCGATCTCTCGCACCTGAGTCGTCAGATTGTTTGCCATGCCGTTGACGTTTTCGGTCAGGTGCTTCCAGGTACCCTCGACGTCGTGCACAGTCGCTTGTCCACCAAGCACACCATCCGTGCCGACTTCTTTCGCGATCTTTGTGACTTCCTGGGCGAATTGCTTCAATTGATCCACCATGGCATTGATGGTCTGTTTCAGCTGTAAAATCTCGCCTTTGCATCTTGCAGTCACTTTTCGAGTCAAGTCACCCTTGGCGACGGCTGTTGTGACCATGGCTATGTCGCGCACCTGTGATGTGAGATTGTCGGCCATAGCATTGACACTGTTGGTCAGCTCGTTCCAGGTGCCCTGCACACCTGGGATATCTGCTTGACCTCCTAATACACCCTCTGTGCCGACATCGCGAGCCACACGTGTGACTTCGGTCGCAAACATCCGTAACTGGTCCACCATGGTGTTGATGGTCTGCTGAAGATCGAATATCTCGCCTTGGGCACGATTGTGTACTTTTTGACTGAGATCGCCTTGCGCTACGGCTTTGGTCACTGTCGCAATTTCTCGAACTTGGGCGGTCAGATTGGCTGCCATGACATTGACTGTAAAAGGTTAGCAACTGAAGGCTGGATGTAAAAGGCGACGTACCGTTGTCCGTCAGCTCTTTCCAGATGCCCTGGACATCTTTGACCTGCGCCTGGCCCCCCAGTATGCCTTCCGTGCCTACTTCGCGAGCAAGCTGAGAAACTTCACTGCCAAACAGTTCAAGCTGGTCCATCATAGTGTTGATCGTCTTCTTGAAGGTGGCTATTTCGTCGTCCATTTCTGTGGCTTGGATCTGGACACGATTGGACAGATTGCCACGAGCGACCTGTGTGACAATGCCGCCGATTTCGCGGAGGGCTTTCTGGAAAGCCTCGTTCGCTTGTTGGTGCTTGCGCAATTCCCTTTCCAGCATGCCGACATCCTCGTTCTCGACTTTTCGGAAGGCTTGTCTCGCTTGCTCTTCTGAATTGCGCAGACCGCGACTTATTTCGTCGATAGTATCGCTCTGATTTTTGATCTGTTCTGCTTGCTTCTGAACGTGTTCTCGTAGTACACCAATGTCATCTTCGCTGACGGTGCGATCGAGCTGAAGTTCACGGGCGGCGAGGATGTCGTTGATTCGTCTCGAGCGGCTGGATATTGAATGCTGACGCTCGGCGCGTACAGGAACTGACTCTGTGCCATTTTCGGTGGCTTTGGTAAGAGATGAAGCTGGGCTTGGGAGTTCACCTGGCGTGTCGGGCAGAGACTTGCTGACGAGATCTGCTCTGGCTTCGAGATAGTGTATCCGTCTTGCTAGAGCACTGAGCTCATCCTCAAACTGCTCTTTCGCAGGCGTGTCTGGGCCTGGAAGCTCGTAGGGCGGTAAACGGAGGCCATTAGTCGCAGATTTATCGCTATTTGATAAGGGTGCAGCACCCCTAGCCAAGCCCCTCAGCAAAGCCGAGGCGGCGGCCAGAGTCTCGTCGGAGTGAGACATGAATACAGAAGGTGTTATGGCTGCATTGGTGATGAGATCGGAATCCTGGCGGTGGGCGCAGTCGAGTTTCCCCAGACTCGGGGCGAGACAATGCCACCAGCAATAAACGCAAAATGGTGGCAGGGCCGCTCTCGGCCGGACAAAGAGTGTCGACACGTTGAATCTGCTGGAGGTCGTAATTGTTATAGATAGTATACAATTAGAGAGTGTCTAGGGAACAGAGCGCAGCGTGTGTAGAAAGTTCAGCGGGCAATGCAGGGCCGCCGACGTGCTGCTAACGTGAAGGTGGAGAGGAATTGATGATAAAGAGGATAGGATAGCCAAAGGTAAAAGGATCGTTGCAGGAGGACTGGACGCTTGGGAGCGCCAGGGTCAATTTCCCGCCTCTTTGGGCGGACTGACTCCGCTGACAGAGTGTGTTTTTAGGCGAGGCGATAATGCGATGATGTAGTAGTAGGGGTAGAATAGGGAGGTAGTCGTGACAGCATTGATAATATTGTCGCTATCCAGGTGATGCCAACCTGTCGACGACAACACCGAGAAGCGGCGACGATGAAAGCTGTGTTAAAAAGGGCAAGTCCCGAGTTGGCTCTTGCCTAACTTCAGTTCTCTATCAACGCTTACATGGACCTGACTTCCTCTTTATTTGGGTCCGCACCTGCACTGAGGCCTCTCCCATTCACTGACTCTCCTCTATCCACAGCCGCTGCTACTATCCAATCCAAGCATGGTTTACCTTGTGTGTTGCCCCTGCTATTCCTCGGCAGCTCATAACCGGCGCCACTGACGCTCATCCTCGTGTTCTCCGTTCCTCTCATGCCCTGTGCACCTACAAGCAATAGATTTGCGATATTCGTACATCGCCTCGCCGCTTTTGATTCGGCAGAACCTTTGCAGGAACTGTTGGCTCGCCCGAGTCACACGGCAACGTCGCTACCTGCCTTTCTACTGCAGTCGAACACTCAGGATCATGCAATTGTGAGGCATCGGTTCTGGTAAGAAATCCCAATTTCGATCAAACGTGTCATGAACACGAGGAATGTCCTCCCACCCATGTTATTTCCGAAGCACTGATCACATCAGAGGCCCCACCATCACCGCACGCTCGCCGCCCCTGTTCGCTGGACGAGAACCAGACACCCAATGGTGCCGAGAAACGGGCGAGCAACCCCCATTATTCAACAGTCCGCTACTGGCGCTTGCTTTACGCGTAAGAGACCGACATTCAGCGCCGTTCCAATTAGCACATTCTCGTCAGCGAGGCCGCACCTGCGAATGCCTTCCAAGTGTTCAACCGCGTTCTTTGATGCGAGCTGCAGTTCAGCACAGATGATCCTGTTCCGCCCAGCGTCTGGGACTTCCTAAAATTTTGAGTCGGGTACCAAAAGTCAAGGGTCTCCTAACTTCGACTCTAACCGATCGACTGATGCTTGTTCTCCGTTTTCTATTCAGGGCACAAAAGCATAAACAACGTCACCCCTTCTCCTTTCTGTACCGCGCATGTTGTGCGAGCGATCAACGAATCCGAAACGTGAATCTTGTGCTCGACGGCCACTGCAATACAAGACGCACGTCTGAAGCCTTCGAAGAGATATCTGCAGTCGATATCCTTGCCCAGCCACGAGTTCGCTAGCGAAACAGTCGTTCGCGAGATGAAGCATCGCACAGATCAGCAGTTTCAGGTTCTCGTTTGCTCTCTCTCAGTGGTGGTGGGGGAGATTCGACTGCTGATCCGGCCCTTCGACCTGATGCTCCGCGTTTCGCTCAGACAGCCTGATGAGTGTATATCAAGCAGAGCTGTAATTTAGACATCACAGCAATATGCTTGGCTAGGCTGGTTAACAACTGACCTGCGCTACTAATACATGAGGGTACGATTGGCGGACCATGTCGCTACGAACTCCAAGCAATGATTGCAGCTCTGGCATTGGCACTGTCGAGGCCGCAGCCTCCGTACAAATGGACGGGTGGTTCTTTGAGATGTCTGGCCACAGTGACCCCGGGTCCGCTAGAGAGGAAGCGAAGTTACAGGCGAAGGGGTCAATCGCCCAGCCATCCTTGAACAGCTTTGCCGGATCGGCCATTGTCTTGGGCACAAGGATGTCAACGCAGTTCTTCGTTCTACCGTCTGTGAAGAGCTCGCAGCATGGCAACCAGCGTCTGCGCCTTGACCACTTTGCATATTCTCTTCGATCAGCGATTGGCGAGTGCAACTAAGAAAATTTCAAGCCACCGAGGAGAGACTAACCCATAGCCCGACCCATCGGAAAGCAAGGCTCAACGCGACGACGAAAGTACCGCTCCGCCGCAACGCCAAGGTTAGTACAAGTCAGCTTTGGCTGCATCAACACTTCTAGCTTTTTGTTGTAGGATTTCCCTCGCAGCATAACTAGAACCTCTGTCCTTTCTACACTCTCGGAACGTCCGCTCGTCAGCAGGTGCAGACGCGCACATTGTCGACATATCGATGCCAGTACCACAGGTCTACATCAAGATCTCTACGGCGGTCACTGCGCACAGCCCTATTGCAGCTACCTACACTTTGCGCCGCTATCCGTGGCGGACATTACTTGGCATTGCTGGACCGTTGTGTTTCCTAGGATTCTATGCCCACATATGCTATTACTATCTGGACAAACAGCCCATTTACGGCATTCTTCTAACCAGTAAGGCCGACGCTACGCCGATGTTCTACGCCTGGTTCGTCATCTCGATATTCTCCCTGGACTGGGCGAGGACTGCCCTTGCAAACTTTGAAGCTGCAGCCTTGATGCATCCGTGGCTTGCTCCACCCAATGCATCGGAGCTCTTCTGGCATGCTGACAACAATTGGGCAAACCCTTTGTGGTGGTTGCGATTCTTGCGGAATGGAATATGCGGCAATCTCTACTTCAGAAAGCCTTCAGACCAGAATTCGGCGTACAAAACTAAGGGAAAGTTCCTCTGGATATTGCTCAGCCTTGTTTCAGTGGTGTTCTTCAGTGCTGTACCACTCAGTGGTTTGACCATGGAGCTCAGTCCGGTTCTCCGACCCACCTCACGGAAGTCGTCTATCCTTGGGCCAGGACCGGATTCGTACAACCAGATCGGGAACCAAGGCCTTGCGCAGATCATAGCAGGTATCTGGAGGCTGGGTGGAAACACAACTCCATCAGATGTGTCCTACTTTTTTGCAGCAGAAGGCACCGAGGATGTATCGCTTACGTACTATGAGGACATGGCACGGTCCCAAGTTGGGGGGCCCATCACGACCTTCCTTGGTCCTGCAGTGAACGAAGAGGTGTCGGGGATCGCCTTTGGAACGAAAACAGAATTCTACTGTCGACAAGTTCCCAGCCGAGATTTGAAACTCGTCGGAGCTACAGACGATCCCTCGACGAATTATACGGTGATGCTCAAGCCATTGGATGAATTTCCGCACGGTATTTCAACCTTGGGCCTATCTGGAGTTGGTGTCTCCGACTTCGCATGATCTGGCTATCTGAAAGGGATTTTCCAACCACTCAATCTGTTTCTCATCCACCCTACAATATGATCCTGGCCGCCGATGGGTTTTATTATTCCACGGGCGTGCCTTATGGCGCAGGGACACTTGAGAATAGCTCTCGAGGCTCTGACGAAACATCATGGTCGAATGGCGAGTCACCAGTAGCATATCTTGAGCTGTTTCTCTGGCAGGGCGAAAGATTTAAAGTGGGCTCCAATGGCGAGATAATGTACGGTGTCCTTCAAGACGACCCGGTTCTCCGAAGTTTGCTGGAGAACGAGTCGCCACTTCTGCAAAAGGGCTTCAGAGATGGCATGCGCTACGTCGGATTCGCCATTCAGTGCGATGTGCGATCACAGCTCGGATACGCGTTCATGAATCCAGCGAGTCGAACGTTTTCTGATTTCCACAACACGGATGCAGAAACCTTGGGCTACAACAGTGTGTTCTATCCAAATATGCAAGCGGTCATGGCAGCTGGTGGTTGGAACGTGTCCGCACGCCAGCTACGAATGGCGGACGGGGAGGAGTCGCGCTTCCACTCGCTGGCACAAGCGATCGGCTTGCCTGCGGCGAGGAGTCCCTGGGTATACGGACTGAACTTTGCGCGTTACCCTGCACTCGCCCCAGAGAACGTCGTGTACTCCCTCTACCGCTTGCTTGGACAGACCGTGATCGTGCCCATGGGCGCAAGATCCCAAGAACCATGGGAAGGGGATCTCTATGTCCTGGAAACAGTCCGCTGGCTTCGCCCAGGACCCGTTTCATGGAAGATTGTCCTCGCCCTCCTCACAATCTGGACCACTATAACCGTGAGTCTCTCAATATGGACGCTCTTCACGAAGCGCTGGGCTCCTACGCTTGGCGGATTCGAGTTATTCCGCCTGGGGGCAGAATACACGAACGAAGTCCACCGCTTTCAGGATCGGCGATTTGAGGGTTGCACCATGGCGCTGAGGGATATCCCGGGTATGATCGGGGCCATGCCGGGTGACAAGCTGGGAGCCGAGGAAAGCTTCATCGGGTTGAGTGAGAACGTGGCGAGCAGAGACGGGCGGTATGTCTTTGACCGAGGGCAGGCTGGTCTGCATCGGAGCGCATGATATAAGCATCGTAAACCGTATCTAGAGCAGGAAACGCATTCTGGTGCATTTTGTAACTTGGAAGGCTCAAAGACCTAGTCTACCCAGCCAGCCACGTGCCCGCAAGAAGTCCCGCCTGGCAGCATACAGCAGCAATGCCATGCTCTGGCCCTCACTAGTCGTGTCAACAGCCTTCGTGCTTGGAACTCCATTGATCTGCGCAACTGGCCCAACTCTGCCATCTTGATGAACATGCTTAGCAACGGCAAACAAATTACGGTCTGCCCACGTCATATACTCTGGTTTTGCAAACACCTCAGGCAGAAGCGTGGCAAGTCGATAAACGGCCGACGTCACGAGTGCTGTCCCAGCAGCATCCCCAAAAGCCCATGCGGAGGAGGCGGAGCCAGGACCATCGAGATAATTCTTGAGGAGGTCTGAGTCATCTCCACGAGTCTGCAAGATCAGGCAGTTCAGCATGTCCTTGATTATGTTTGTCAGGGAAGCGATAGCAGCGTCTCTATCGAAGCTTCTCCCGTCATCAGACCAGGAGCGCAGCCTGGTGGTAGTCCACGGCTTCAGTGATGCTAGGACACGCGTCATTCCTGCGATTGCCCACGCGTTGCTGATAATCGTCAGCTCGTCGGAATTCTCCATCAGCGAGACTTACCTACCTTGTGAGCCAGACGTAGGGGTCGGTACAGCAGACATCCTTGGGTAGCTGTCTCGGCTCAGACACGATATGGCGCCACAGCCCCGAGCATTGCGCACCGCTTGCCAATCTAACATCCGTAGCCAGTGCCTCATTGTATAGCTGACATTCCCTAACAGCATAGTCTAGGTACTCAGCAGACTCAACTGCCACACCATAATAAGCCATAAACGGCGGCACCGTGTAAACGAAGTCTCCCCACAACTCAGGCGGCTCGTCCCGATGGGAAGTCGCAGCATGGGTTTCGTTGATGTGGAATTTGGTCGCGTTATGCAGGAGGTACTCGGCTTGACTTTTTGCGGCGTCTCGAAATGCTTCCGCCGATGGGAAGGCTGGGCGTGTCTGACAGGGATCCCTGGAGGAGAGCAAGACCGCTTGAGTTCCTAGGGATGCGGGATCTGCAGGTGAGCCTAGTCGATCAGTACGTCACGCGGCTCATGTCAGTCTTGATCGGATCCTACCACCGCCATCGCACAGTAGTGTGCCGTTGACCTGTGTGTAGGCTGCAGCACTAGCGAGTCCGGGCACGCTGTGAAGATCGCATGGGACCATGGGTAGACGGCCATGGGGAAAGGGGTTCGTGGCGAAGACGGTCAGTTCTGGGTTGTGGACTTCGAGGAGGGCTTGTGTCCACACGCCTTGCTCCCATGATCTGATCGTGTTGTTGGAGAGGTAGTGGCTGATATGGAAAGGCTCGATGTCTGCTGTGGAGAATGGGTTGCTTGGTTTGGATCGGAGCCACGCGATTAGGGAAACGCAGAGTGAGAGGGCGGCAGTTGATAGCTGAAGTATTGGTGCCATTGTGTACGTAACGGCCCCATGACTGAGCTCACTTGATGAAGGAGGTGAACTCGAAAATTAATGGAAGGACCGTCCCCAGCAGACTGGTTTGACGAAATTGTGAGATATCTATAAGACGATAGGTTGAACCACGTGTGGCTCCAATTCGTTCATGAGACTTACATAAGACCGGTTGATACGGCACTGACAAGACCGGATATCGTTCATCGACCTCGATGCAATCATGTCCAACGCGTCCGACCACCTCAATGCAAGCAACCGCCTGCTTCATGCCACGCTGGAGCGCCATATCGGCACAAATGCTCGCCTTGAAAATATCAATACTAAGGCTATGGTGCGTTTCCCGAGCTGGGTTTGCTGGAGTTGTGAAATATATTTGCGTAATGATGTGAACTTTTTACAGCCCAGGCCGCAGTGTTGGACGAGCACCGATCCTGACCACGAATCGAGAAGGTGTATGGTGCATGAATCGGAGGTCCGCATACTCATAAGCGGACTGGGTCTTCATGGCCGAAGAGCTTGGATGATCAGGCCCATGAGAGAAGTAAAAGTTACGCTTTGAACCCACCTCCTCAACGGATGACAGGCTTCACGTGAGACCGGATGACTCGAGCACGAATTTCTCAACGTAGTTGGAGAATACACTGGCATGATAGTTCTATCCATGGATGTTTTGCTCGCTATCACTGAAGTTCAAGTAGAGTATCAGGCCGTAGACAACAGAATCCTTGAGCTGCTCGTCATCGTCATCATCAAGATCGTTACACAGTTCGTGCACAGAGAAGAAAGTCTGGCTATATACATGCTTCGAATCGTTCATTCCACCTTATGTCTGGATCATCAACACGTTCCACTCTTGCTCGATACACCATGAATTCTGCGTCCACGGTGGACAACGTATAGTCTTGCTTCCTCCATTCTCTCGCAAGTCCCTCCTCAATCCTCACACTCAACCAGTAGACTTAGATGCTCAGCCCCTCCAGCGCCTCCAAAAACCCAGCAATAGCACCAGCCCCCAACAGTCCCTTCGTCGCACCTTCTGCGAGTTTGCCCTTCGCACCCTTTCCCTGCCTTTCCGGCCTGGCATGCGTGCCCAGCAGATTCGCTAGGACTCTGTTCCCTTGTTGGTCAAAGACAAAAGGCCGGCCTGTGGGGTCGTAGTGCACCTGCCTTCCATCGCGGTCTAGCTTCGGGGCAGGAAGGCTACCGGGTTGTGATTGTTGGCGTTCGGGTGGTGGGTATTTGCTGGAGTAGGAGGATCGGGCGGAGGTGGAGCCGTCGCGGGAGACGGGGCGCCGCGAGGAGTCTTGGTAGGGGATTTGGATGTTCCTGTTTGCATTTGCGCTTCCGTTCTGTGGTTGGGGCTGGGGTTGTACGGCGCCGGCGGGCGTATACCGTGCGTGAGCGGTGCTGAGTCCGGGGTAGCTCGATTGTGGTTGGGCCGATGAGGAGGCCGGCCCGGTATTGTAGTGCTGCAAGGGGTGGCCTGGCTGTGAGTGTGGAGAGGGTGCGTACGGATTATGGGCGTTTGCGACGTTGATCGGCGGGTACGGACTCAGACCCGGTGCGGAATACGCGTGCTGCGGATATGGCCGTTGACCGCCTTGCACTGGCGCGCCTGGCGGCGGACGAGGCGAAGCGTGAGGGTTGTGCTGTCCGGGGTATAACGCAGGGAAGCTTCGTTCTTGCGTCGGACTGTTACTGCCTTTCCGAGGGCGTGTTCGTGGATAGCCTTGCGGTGGATGTGGATCGTGGTCTGAGTCGTCTGATTCTGATGCCGAGTCGATGATGTGCCGTCTTGGCGCCTTCTTCTGCCCGCGAGAGCCATTAGAAAGTGTATCGCCGTCGTCACTATTATCTTGCGAGATCGAGGGCTGGTAGCGTCTGTACTCGTTCTTTCGTCGAGAATATTCTCGTTGTGCGGCCGCCGATTGTGGTTGACGCCAGTCCGTGGTGTTGCCTTCGAGGTATAAAGGACCTTTTCGTTGCTGGTCGTTGGGCTCGTATTCTTGCGTTCTACTGTTGTAGCGGCGGTAAGGGTGCATTCCGTCGTCATTGTCGTCGTCTTCTTGGAGGTTGTCGACTGTCGGGACGTAGCGGTTCTTGGCTTCTTTGGCGTGCCGCTTCTCGCGAATATCGTACCACCGCGTCCAGCGCTCGAGTAAAGGGTCAATGACGTCCGAGGAGACTTGTACCATGTCTTTGGATGATTTCTTGATATCACTGAGCTTGTCGTCAAGGTCGCCGAGGGAATACGCCGGGAGTTTGACAAGGGCCAAGGATGATTCGTACCCTGGAGGGGCCGTTTCGATGGCCAGGCGTTGAGGGCCGTCGGTTTGCTGGACTTGGTTGCTGCTGACAAGCGCCAGATCGTTGCCTTCTTTGGCTTCAATTGCAGCGATTTTGTGGTCGTCATCCTCGAGGCAGGAGGCTTCCCATAATTTGTCCATTTTGCTGCGCTGCCAATAGCGAACGATGAGAACGTTCTGAGCCTCAGCACGTTCTTGCCGTATCAATTCCTTCTTCAGCTCAACTTCATCTGGCGAGTCGTGGCGGCTGGTGGAGGCCATGAGTTTGCCTAAGCTGAGAATGCCCTGGAAGAGCGAGACGTCCATTTTGAAGGAGTCGAGCTGAGCGAGCATGTATTGCACGCGATGTCGTTTGAAAGCCCATTGGAAGCGTTGTTGTACTGTGTATTGAGGAGTACCCTCTGCTGGCTTTGCGCGGACTTTGTCGAGCATGTCGTTGAACTGGTCGAATATGTCCATGGCATCCTCGGAGATTTTGTTGATTCCCTCGAGCGCTTCGGTGCTGTGGACCGAGTCCAGGGATTGTAGCGATATTCCAACATTCTTCAGTGCTAACGAGAATAGTGTGACTGTTTTGGAGATGTTGTGTACTTCGAGTCCTTCTCCTTCGACTTCGCACGAGACGGCGTTGAGAATGAGCGATGTTCGAAATCCCGCGCCGGCAACGCCTATGATTTCGCTGATTACAGCTTTTGGATTCAGTATGGCTCTGGCAGACGGCATTGTGCGCGCACCTTGCTCTTCATTGGAGACCATCTCAACATGTGCAAAGTACAGATGCGATCATGCGACAGGGAAAGGAAGCAGCGACATATCAATGTCGAGTTGTGGGGTGAAAGTGGCAGTCGTGTGCAGGCGGTGATTTGAACCAAAGGTCGAGGGGTCACAGCATATGTGCAGGATGCTTGTGAGTCAACACGAGACAGGCTGCGACGACAGTAACGAAAGTAGAGGATGCGACAACACGAATCCAGGAGCGACAGAGGGGGAGGCGGCTGCAGCAGGTTACCAACTGACCGGTGAAGGCTTGCATTCAGCTCGTCAGTGTGGGGATCAAACTGCGCCCTGGAGAGCCCTCGATCGGGGGAACTGATGTTCGTGCGTTGGACAAGAGGCCCAATCGATCGGTTACCTTACCTGTGGGCAAGCGTGGTTGATGCACGGAGAAATGAGAAGAGAAGGAACGAGGGGATATGGCCGAATGATATTTTCCCTCGCTGGAGGCTCTGTGTGGGCATGGAAGGCAAGTGCGGCTCGTCGCGTGGTCTTTCACCGCCCGGAAGGCAAGAACACCAAAGATCCTTCAGGCTCGGCAGGTGCGCCATGCCAAAGGTTGCACGCCAAGGGATCGTTCACTGTCCAACTCATGCGGCTTTGGTCGGTGACACACTGGTACTGCCCACACTGCAGCTAAAGCTCGGGAGAAAACTGCTGTTTCGTGAGATTGTGCCACATGGCAGAAACGTATTTTGCTCGTTGAACATGCACGAGTCAAGCAGCGGAAGCAAGTATACAGGAGCCGGGGCTGACGGGTGGTTGTGAAGTGTCATCGCCGATTTATTGAAAACTGCTGGATCTCATATCCGGGTACATTTCTCTAGGCTTCACACTCCACGTGGTCGTGTGCTGTGCCTTTCCAATGAATCCAAACAGTGGCCTGATGTATCAATTCTACAGCCACAGCCTTTGTGTTCTGCGACAGGATGCTATGGTGATATTCAGCAACTAACATCGACAATGCTTCTATATGGTGGTGTGTACAAGAACATCACATCTTCCAAGCCTATGCGTTGATGTGCCTGTGCAACGTTTTGTCTCATGGACGCGTCTAGACTCGAAAAGTGCTCTCGGTTCGGATGATTGAATGTCTTGGTAGTTGTAGAAGAGCCCAGGATAGGGGTCTCTTGCCTTGCACCGGAGCCCCTAGCTGAGGCTCAATAGGCGCCCCAGCAAGGTCAGTCACCCCGAACTGGCCGGGAATGCCCCAGCCGAAGTTATTTTCTCGCTGATCCTGGCGGTTGATAGCGATGGCCACGCCGCCCCGGATGGAGCTCGCCATTATTGCTTACCTCTCAAAGTGGATGTGTGGACGTCCTCGGGAGTCAAGAAACTTTCAGCTGGCATGCCTGTACCTTAAAAGTTCATTATTGACAGCTTACGGTACACCACAGGTACAACGCTCATCATGAAAGTAGATTCGGCCTGCTGTCGATTACTGAAGCATCGCCTGCGTTTCAATCTGTGTCAGTGCGTATTCTGCTTGGTGAGCGCCTGACACATCTCTGTTCTGCCACAGCAAGGAATTCCGCGTGTCGCTTTCCAGTTTGGATACGAGGTTCAGCCACTGGAACCTTGGATCTCACTCACTCCTCCCGAGGGCCGCATCTTCCATCTCGCATGCACCTCACTGCACTACTTCCGCATTCGAACCACTCGGTACTACACTCTCTTTCTCGACTTCACACATTGCTTCCATCACCCGCACACGACTACTTGTGATACTTATTGATTCAACGACAACAACAACAACGACAACAATCCACTGGCATCACTTTGACGAACTACGGTTCTCCTTCTCCGATTTCCGCGACGATCCTTCTCCGCGCGTTCTGATCTGAGCCGCACCTCCTTCGATCAGCCGATGGTACAGAAAATGAGGATATGCTGGCGGTAGCACTGCACGCACGCCGCGTCAGACCACACCTCGCTTGCCCATGGTCGTACTGCGATGTTTGGGCAGGGAGGTCAGAATTAAAAAGATGAGGATATCCATCCGGGAACAGCTGGGCTTTCTCGTCGTCTGTACTGCTCTGACTTCGTTGATGGTCCTGGCATTGGCGACAGTGAGCAGAACTCCTTGCAGAATGACGACGCATATATCTAACCGTCGCAGTGGTTCCAAAATAAGTCGTTCATCACCAACATCCGCCTGTCAGGCCTCTCGTTGACCGCGTCGCTAAAGGCCGCCCAACTTGCCGCAACGCTCACCCTCTACGAAAGCCAGATCAACGGCGTAGCGACAAGACTGCTTATTCAAAGTGCCCTTCAACGCTACAACCTTGGTAGTACTGCCTCCTGACACTTTCACAGCACCTTTAATCGTCCATGTACTGACCACGATTTGTCACAGGCAATGTATCAAGCGAGAATTGGAACCGCACCGTACAAGACATTCAGAGCGCACTTGGTAGTAACAACCTGCCTCAAGCCATCATCTTCCCGGGCGTCAACGTCGGCAACGCGACCGCTCTGGATGGGCTGGTCAACACTACCGCCCCAGGCCTGGAATCGGTCCAGCTTCCATACACCAACGACGATGGCACTCCTGTTATGCTGGGCGACCCAGGCCTGGGTTATCCACCTTCTCTCTATCCTAACCTCACTTACGGTCCAAACACCACGACCACAAGCGCCCGCGCGTATTACCTCGGAAAAGAGCTCGATCCTCGTGAGATGCTCTTTCTTGGACCCTTGGTCGTCAACAATTCGTACATTCTCATGTCTGGAACACTGGGCGTCATCAACGCTACCAATCCTGACAGCGTTCTCGGCTGGCTGACCATAGTGATTGATGCCAGCATGATCTTCGATACAATCGATTCCAAAGAGGGCTTGGGGAATACAGGAGAAGCCCTGCTCATCGGAGCCGATACCATGACCAACCTCTACGATGTTCCTCCAGCACAGCAATCGAGGTCCGATCTCGCTGCCCAGAAAGCTCATTTTATCATCCCACCGCGCAGCGACAAAGACCGCCATGGGCAGCGATCAAGCCCTACGAATGCCTCCACGCCTTTCGATGTTGGTGACTTCCCGGCTGTCCTCGCAGCGTGGCACGACCCCAGTACGCAAGCCTCCAACGCCGGCGCGTACATTTCGACCCATAACGAGGAAAATGACAGGATATCAGCCGGCTATGCAATTGTCAATACAACGTTCGCGGACTGGGTTTTGGTTATCGAGCAGGACTATGGCGAAGTGTACGCACCGATCAATCACCTCAGGAACGTGGTCTTGATCTGTGTCTTTTCCGTTACTGGCGCGCTTCTGCTCATCATGTTCCCCATGGCTCACTACTCCATCACACCTATCCGACAGCTCCGTGCTGCAACTGCCAAGACTGTCGAGCCCTACCAGTCAGAAGATGGAAGCGAGTATGCTAGCTCAACACGACGTTTCGATGGTCCTGATGACGATCTCTCGTCTCCTGAGCCGGTAGACGAGAAAAAAGCCGGTTTCTTTGGCGCATTCAAAAGAGAAGGATCATCGAAAGCCAAGAGCCGCCGTTCGCGCACCTTTCGGATACCTGGCAAAGTACCTGAGCGCAAGCACTGGGTTACCGATGAGTTGACAGACTTGACGAGTACTTTCAACGAGATGGCGGATGAATTGTCCATGCAATATGAGCGTCTTGAGATGCGAGTTCGGGAAAGGACAGCGGAGTTGGAACGAAGTAAGCTTGCCGCAGAAGCTGCGAATCAGAGCAAGACGTTGTTCATCGCAAACATCTCACATGAGCTGAAGACGCCGCTCAATGGCATTCTAGGACTGACGACGGTCTGCATGAACGAGGATGACATGTCCAAGATACGGTCGACTCTGAGCACGATATACAAGTCGGGAGATCTATTGCTCCACCTTCTGACTGATCTTCTCACTTTCAGCAAGAATGAGGTTGGCCAGCAGCTGTCAATTGATGAAGCCGAATTCCGGATATGCGACTTGAGCACACAGTTGATGCCTACATTCGAAAAGCAAGCTCGCGAAGGTCAGATCGATCTTAAAGTACACTACCTCGGCACCAGCGATCCATTCGGCAACACCAGTGATGTGATAGGAGAAAAACTCTACGGGCCCAGCGGTACCGGCAGAGTCAAGGACATGTGTCTCTGGGGCGACAAGAATCGAATATTGCAAGTTCTCATGAACTTTGTCAGCAACTCATTGAAGTTCACACCACCACAAGGATCCGTCACCGTACGGATACGCTGTACCGGTATGATGGAGGTCCCGCCCGAGCACAGCAGACAAGGAAGCTTCAGAAAGTCATCTCTCACCTCGAAGAAGTCGAAGACGTCGAGCAACAAGCGTGTGAGGATGTCAGATACGTCGTTGCCACAAGGCGTTCAATCAGACACAGATATGAGTGGTGATGAAAGGGGAAAGCATACACACTCCCGCTCTGCACCGCAATCTGCTGGGAAAGAGAAGGACGAGCGACAACTTAGTATCAATGTCGCTGGCGGGACTACGCATATTGCGAAAATAGCAGAAAGGAGAAGGTCCATGTCCCCGCCGCCTATCAACACCAAAGACCTCGCCTTCGAGTTCGAAGTCGAAGACACCGGTCCTGGCATTCCGGATGACCAACAGAAGATGATCTTCGAGCCATTCGTGCAAGGCGATCTTGGGCTGAGCAAGAAGTACGGCGGTACCGGTCTCGGCTTGAGTATCTGTGCACAGCTCGCTGCATTGATGGGCGGCAGTGTTTCCCTTCGAAGCAAAGTCGGCGAAGGCAGCAAATTCACCATGACCATCCCGTTGCGGTATGTGTCGGAACGGTCGGCGTCATCGGCTTCATCAATTGCTCGCTCGCACTCAAAAGCCAGCAGTCTTGTGGGTCAGACGCTCCACGACGACTCAGATCTGAACCTACCGGGACGCACAGTGAACTCGTCGTCATCGGGCTCGGATCTGGACGCCAGTCCCGAGGCCCTTGCCGATGTGCCACGAATAGTCGGCTTTACACAACCTTACGTTGCGTCCGAAACTCCGAAGCAGGACAGCGCGAAAGCGAAGCTCAAAGAGATGAAGAAAGCCGAGTCAGAAGCAGCGAAGAAAGGCCGTAAAGTTCGTGTACTCGTGGCCGAGGATAATCCCGTCAATCAAGAAGTCGTCCTCCGGATGTTGAAGCTGGAGGAAGTCTACGGTCAGTCACACATATCCCTTCCTGAACCTCCCACCAGAACACTGACCCATCCCCACAGACGTGACTATAGCGAAAGACGGCCAAGAAGCCTTCGACAAAGTGAAAGACTCGATGAAGCACAGCACCGGTCCCGAATCGCCCTCCCGCTACGATCTCGTTTTCATGGACGTGCAAATGCCCAACGTCGACGGGATTCAATCCACGAAGCTTATCCGAGAGATGGGCTTTCGCGCACCCATCGTCGCTCTCACTGCTTTCGCCGAGAAGTCGAACGAAGACGAATGCATGGCTTCCGGAATGGACTACTTTCTCGCGAAACCGATCAGGAGGCGGCGTTGAAGCAGGTTCTCAAGAAGTTTGCACCGATACCTGAAGAGGAGGGGGAGGGGAGCTCGGCGGTCGTGCCTAGGGTGGCGGGACTCAAGGGTGGACAGAGTAATGGTGGTTCGAGAAACGCCAGTCCCGTGCGGCCAAGTTTGGCGAATGGGACTGTGCATAGTCCGCCGAAGCCGGTGGCAAGGCAGACTGTGAAGGAGTGGGGTGGCGTCAGAGACGATGACGATGACGCGGATGCGGAGGTCAGTCCGATGACGAGTCCTTCACCGCTGACCGAGCGGCATCGGCGAGAAGGACAACAAGCGAAGTGAGATTTGGTGGTATTCTGCATCACATCAGAAAAGGCGAGTTTTGGGACGCAAAAAGCATTGGGATCATCACACATGCATGGTATACATGGGTCCTTGGGATATCTTTCAGCGTGGAAAAGAGCGATGGCGCCTGGGGTTTCTTTCATAATTGTCATTTTCTTTGGACGAGCTGAAAAGGAATGGGAGAGGCTGTGGGGGCGCGATGGTGGTCAGCCGCTTGCAGGCGCTCTGGTGTTACAGGAAGGTTGACCGCGGGCCACGGCATGGTGCGATAGTGCTCAACACTGCGCGATATATAGGCCGGCAAGTTTCGACCCAACACTGGAGGAATCACGTCGATGGCTATTGCCGCCGCGAGTAGTATACTTGTTATACAGAACGATGAAGACAACAAAGCAGCCTCGACATGAAAAGGTACCTGATGCCGGACCGCTCTCTACGGTTCTCTTCCCGGTTTGAAAGCACTCCCCTTTGTGCCGTTACCGACTACCTTTCCCAGCCATCAAGCAGTCGTCCCATATGCATCAGCCTTTACAGATTCGATATCCACGTATCCGTACACGTTCAGCTTTCCAGCGTCTTCAGCCATCTTCTGACCCCACTGCCCCATATCTTTCATGAAGGCGTCGACATTTTCCTTTACCGACATATCAATCGGCTCCTTGTCCCTGCCAACCTGCCTTATCTGCGATCCAGCAATCACATTGGTCAAACCGAAATTGTCCTGATCGACCTTCTGATCTATCACAGAACTCACCTTACCATCCACAAGGTCCTTGGCGATGCGCGGCTCCTGACAAGCGGCTCTTGCCATGCCGACACCATCGACTGTATCAAGTGCCGCGACCATAGCTTCCGTCGACTTGAAGCCACCCGTAATGTACGTCTTGGTCTTGCCGTTGAGACCCTTGACGATGCGTTCTGCGAAGTCCAAAAAGAACGCTTCCCGCTTTCTGGTCGAGTCGCGCTTATGTGCGAAGGCGAGAGACTGGTAGGTGCCGCCGGACAGCTCAACATAGTCAAATTCGTTCTTCTCCAGCAGCTGGCAGAGCTCTTTGGCCTCGTCGTCGCTGAAACCGCCCTTCTGGAACTCGACGCTGTTGATCTTGATGCCGAGCATGAAGCCCGAGGAAGCCGGTACTCGAGATCGGATTGATTGTGCGATTTCGATGATTATTCTAGCCCGATTCTCCAAGCTCCCGCCATACTTGTCCGTTCGCAGATTCGTTGTTGGGGACAGGAACTGCGCAAGGAGATAGCCATGTGCTCCGTGAAGCTGAATGCCGTCGTAGCCGGCCTTGTGGAGGTATTCGGCGGCGTGGGTGAAGCGGCGGACGATGTCGTCGATGTCGTCCTGAGTCGCGGCTCTGGGCTTGGCGAAAGTCATGCCGATGACCTCCCCTTCAAGCTGCACGTCGCTGGCTGACACAGGGTGCTTCTGGATCGTGTCTGCTACTTGTCGTCCCGGATGGGAGACTTGGCCGACGATAAGACTACCGTGAGCCTTTGCGAACGTCGCCAGCTGCTTGAACGCCTCGAATCTTTCTCCTTCGAAGCCATTGTCGGGCGCAATAATTGGGTTGCCGGCCGCTTCGAGGTGGTCGTATGCGATCATCAGATTGCCGGTCAAGATCTGCCCGTATCCTCCTTCGCCCCATCGTTTGTACACGTTTAGCAGCTCCTTTGAAGGGACGCCGCGGGCTGAGAAGTTCTTGGGATCCCATGAGGATAGTCTTTCGGTCATGGCGGCTTTGAGCAGTCTGTTCTGGGCTGTCTTGCCGCTGAACTCGAAGTGGAGGGGCTTGCCCAGAGGCGAGGCGTCCACCTTGGGTGAGTCTACTCGAGTCGGCATTTTGTATATCTGCTTGTTATCGTTATCTGGACAGGACGGCGCGTGTGTTTGAGATTGTTAGAAATCTATGCGGCCATTCATGTCAGTTGAACAAGAAGACGAAAAGCCTACCTGTGTATATACAGGTTGCGGCTCATCTATGCGCACTGCCGGAAGTCCTGCGGAAGCATACGTCACGACTGTGATGTTATCTGCACAAGGAGACTCGAGAGAGCCGAATGAAATTTTCCACATGGAGAACGAACGTTCGAGACAATCGAATAGGCTCTGTTAGTGCGCATAGCATTCTCCAAAGATGGCCGGGTGGTTGAGGCGTTATTAGATGGAATGAGCGTAGTGACCTTGTTTGTTGCCCACACATACCTACAATCGTGCTTGCCTTCCAAGGTTCCCTGAGGGAGATAGTTATACATGCAGCAGGAGCATTCAGCGTAGCTTTGCTGTCGAAGAGTTCCGAGGCCGTCATCAACAATGTAAACGTTGTCGCTTCCATCGACGTTGGTCAACGCTGCCAAGATGGCCGAGTGGTCAAGGGCGTCAGACTCAACAGTCGCGGAACTGATAGAAGTTCGAGATAGGCAGGAGACCTGCCTAGAAAAATTGGACTTTCTGGGTCTCTTGGCAGTCGCGTCAGCGACCCGACACTGCCTGTCCGCACTTTCACTTCCTTGCGCTCGTGATTGCAACTACCTGCTCAACTCCAGCAGATTGCGATGGTCAAGGGTCACTGCGGCCCGTCCTAGTCTAGCCTGTACTTGGGTCCAGGATGCTCTGCACGATTCATGTAGATCGGTTGCGCGCGACGAAAGTCTAGGTACATACCTTGGATCATGTCAGAGCTGACATTGAAGGAGAGCCACACCCGCGCATCTTCATACAATGATCCCTGGTCGCTAAGGGCTCAAACACGTGGTCGCGAGCACGCATGCGTCTACAGGGTGCAACATTTGTCGCGAGCGCTGTACTCAACCCTGTGCCGCAGTGCTCAAATTTGATTGGCCACTTGTAGCCTCGCCTCGACGTCCACCTGGTCCAGTCGAGGCCTGCGGAATTGCTTATCTCGACAGTCCTCGGACGGACTTCAGGACGTGACCGCGTCCCCATATATGAGACGAGTCTGCTGATCGCAACAGCTGCTACTGACCAGTGCGCGTTCGTCACTGAGTCTCAAGCTGGCCAACGTGCAACATGGATTCCGAGAAGAATTCCAAAGAGGTCAACATTACCTCTGACGGCCACGAGGCGAATCATCATGTTACAGACAGCGAACCGCTCGCTCAAGTGCCCAAAGGACGATGGGACCGCTCCTGGCCAGTCATTGCATGCGGTGCCGGACTGTTCTCTGATGGGTATCTCAATGGCGTGATCGGTTCTGTGTCAACTATGCTGCGCATCATCTACGGAGATACGTACTGGAAGTCCTCCGCACGAAGTGCTGTTCCCAGTATTGCATTCGCGGGGACAAAGGTTGGCCACCTCTTCTTCGGCGTACTCAGCGACCATTGGTCCAGGCGCAACTCGTTGCTCATTTCAACGATCAGTGCGTCGACAGCACCCAGCGTGAATCCCATGCTGACATGAGCAGTCTTGATCTTGTTCTCCATACTCTGCGCTGGAGCATATGGTGCAGGCGGCAGTGCTCATGGATTGTTCACTGCCCTTTCGGCGTATCGGTTTCTGATCGGGCTGGGTATTGGCGGAGAGTAGTAAATGTACACGCAACACCACATTGCCCTGGTTCTGACCTCATCTAGCCCAGCTGGCTCGGTCGGCGCCGCGGAGTCGACCGGCGAGCTCAAGACCGGACACAGGAACCGATGGTTCATCTTCGCCACCGATGTACAGATTGACCTTGGCTTTGTGGTTTCGGCTTTCGTTCCAATGGTCGTGGTCTTGGCTACGGGAGAAAACCATCTGCGAGCAGCATGGCGTATCTGTCTTGCATTGGGTGCGATTCCGCCCTTGAGCTTGATCTACCTCCGGTTAGTCCAGAGCTGTTCAGACATACGGCTGTGCTGACAATGTTCCAGGATCAAGCTCAAGGAACCCGAGCAGTACACTAAAAACAAGATGCATAAGTATCCCGTGTGGCTTATCGTGAAGTTCTACTGGTGGAGGTGCACAGTGATATCGATCATCTGGTTTGTCTACGTAAGTCGAACCTTGTGTTGCCACCAGAGGTCTCTCTGACGATCACAGAATTTCTCTGCATACTCATTCGGCATCTTTGCGTCCAGCTGGCTGGTGTTCATCCTGCCCAACGATGCACCGTTGTGGAAGTCCTTCGGCATGGGTACGTGATCTCGCTACACTCCTCACTTGTCAACTAACGGCTTCTAGCCACAGCAATCAACAGCTTCTGGATACCCGGCGCTGTCTTTGGGGCGTTCCTCTCCGACTGGATCGGCCCCAAGAACGGCCTCATTCTCGGTGTGACCCTCCAAGCATCGTCGGCTTCGCAATGACCGGCGCCTACGGCGAGCTCAATCAACCATCCCGCGTTGCGGGGTTTATCATACTCACTGGCCTGTTCATGGCGCTCGGCGAAGTCGGCCCTGGTGATAATATCGGGTTGTTGGCGTCGAAGCTGTCATCGACACCCATCCGAGGGCAGTTCTATGGCGTTGCAGCCGCGTGGGGAAAGGTAGGCGCTTTCGTTGGGACATACATCTTCCCAATCCTGATCGATGCGGCGGGCGATGATGCGACGAAGCAAGGCCAGTACCCCTTCTGGGTGTCGAGCAGCTTGTGCATCTTCAGTGCGGTGGTTGCATACTTTGGGCTGCCAAATGTCGGTCAAGATATGATCGAGGAGGAAGATAATCGCTTCAAGGCGTATCTGGAAGAACACGGATATGATACGAGTCAGTTGGGCACGAAGAAATACAGGGATGAGATGGCTGCGGCGTTGTGAGATTGGCAAGGGACAGCTATGCAAATTCGTAGTACACGAGCAGCCGATCCGGCGCGATCTCGATATGCTACGGGCACGCTCTCGAAAGTTGCAAAGTCCTCCGACTCCTCGGACGAGTGCATACATGTTTGGCGGCGTGCGACAGGCGATGACGCAAGATGGCCGAGTGATTAAGGCGTCAGACTCAACCCTCGCGGGACCGATAGAAGTGCAGAACAGGCAGGAGACTTGCCTCTCGACGGTGGCACCGATCTCTCGGACGACTGTGTTGGCATCTCGGTTGTGTTGATGCCGTCGAGCGTTGGTCGGGCTGATCGTCTACGCTTGCGAAAGCAGCTGCTTGCGGTGGCACGTCACGGAAGACTTGACCACAGCACGGGGGAAGTCAGTAGGATATCTTACTGGCAGACTGCGATCTCCTAGAGTCGCGTGGAAGCTGGAGAGGAGCTCCAGCTGATTATCGTCGAAGAACCAAGCTCGCGGTGTGCTACATCGAATCAGAGACAAGTGGTGAGCGAGGAAGTCTGAAGCGAAGACAAAACACACGCTGAGCGACATTGAAGAGATGCTCCAATCGGTGTCGAGCCTCGATCAACAGATGCCAGAGGCTAGACAAGAGGCGACGCTTTACCGCCCGTCAGACTCATGAACCAATACCAACCGTCCGGTAACCTCTCCCCTACTCAGCCTATCCATCGCCTCGTTCGCCTCCTCCCACGGCACTTCCGTCACGGGCAACGGTTTCAACTTGCCGTCCACCGCCAACTTCATCACGTCCCGCATATGTCTCGGATTGCCCACAATGTTTCCCTCGATCGTCTTGCTCCCGAAGATCAACAATGACAATTTGACCTGTAATTCCCCACCCAAGATTCCCACACTCACCATTCTCCCGCCTTTGTTCAAACAGGCGTACGCCAGCTCGGCTGTCGGAGTGGTATTGACGAAGTCGATCACCCCGTAGTATGGCTCTCCAGCAACTTCAGTTGCCCGCTTCACCGCCTCCTCGACGCCACCACTACTGTTCACCACACCACTAGCGCCCTCTTTCGACGCAGCCTGCAGTTTCGCATCTGTAATATCCGCGCTGACGATATGCTCGTGCCCGAGTGCCTTCAGCACCCCAATCGCCTGCAACCCCAGCCCTCCCGCACCAATCAACAGCACCGGATCCCGCGGCTTCAGCGGTCCCAGCTTCTCAATCGCGCTCAACACCGTCAACCCGCTGCACCCATAAGTACACGCCACCGCAGGATCCACGCCGTCGTGCGGCACCAAGTACTTCGCATGCGGCACAGTGATATACTGCGCGAACCCACCGTCCACAAACACACCCCTCGTGCGCTGCTTCAAACATAAATTATCATCCCCATCCTCACACCTCCGGCAGGCTCCGCAGCCGCACCACGGATAAACAGCCCGACTACTCCCCAACGGACTCCCTCCACCCTGCTCGGCTTTATCCGCTTCGCTGACATCGGGCCCATACGCCACAACCCGCCCCAAGATCTCATGACCCACAGCGCGGGGAAGCGTGGCGCCGCGGTCCTTGAGGTAGAACTTCTGCGTGGCGCCAAGGCGGTAGAAGCCTTCTTGGAAGTGCAGGTCCGAGTGGCAGACGCCGGCGTGGGTGACGCGGATGAGGATTTCGGTGTTCTGGGGGTTGGGAACTGGGATGTTGAGCTTCTGGAGGGGTTGGCCGAACTCGGTCACGCAGTAGGCTTGTTGCGAGGTTGGTATTGTTGGTGGAGGGTTGTTGGAGGGCATGGCGGTTGATGATGGGGAGTAAGCTGCTTGTTGTCAGGAGATTTGGACCGGTAGCGACCTTGAGTTCAGGATGTGTATTTGTAGCTAGTGGTAAGGTATTCAACCGTTCGAGAGTACACCTCAGGACGGCAACGGATCATAAGACACACAGATAAGTGTTGTCCGAAGTATGACTTCTGATCACAGATCTTCCCCGCGATGAGCCGAGGATCGCTTACGTAGCACGAGGGGGTGGGGAAGGCCGCCTTGGCATACCTATCCGTCTCGTAAAGCATTAGGTAAGACTTCAGTTCAATTGTGCCGAATCTTGCATTGGTTCTTCGTGATATCTTCACTCCGTCGCTGTTCTTCTCAACGCTCTGGATTCATGAGCTCCTCCCATGCAGCTGCTCCCAGCTGATACTGTCAACCTTCATTGTGCCTAGGGACGCCTGCTGTGCCTTTCCTTGAAACGGCAGTGTCCCTAAGAAGCCCCAGTGACCCTTTTCTTTCCAACCCTTCTGCTTCCAGTCACTCAAAGTGCCATTTGGAAAGAAGTCGAAGACATGGGCGCTCGTAGGGTCATGCGCGATCACGACAAGAATGTTCGGGTCGGCGTCGAACGCTTGGAGGGACTCTACTGAGTCTTGTGCTTGAGCTGGGTCGCTGTAGACGGGAGTAGCGGTTGGAATGCGGAAGAACGGTGTCTGTGGAAGAATTAGCAATCGCTACTTTCTGGACAGCCAGTAGAGCGCTTGGATAGTCTGAGGACGATGGAGCACTCGTGTACACACCTTTCCATTCGACTCCTGACCTGCAGGATGGCAGGCGAGAAACACAGCGCATGGACACGGTAGGTTCACCAGCTTGTCCAGCGCTGCTGTCCCTTTCGGTACCTCACTGGGTAGCGGAAGGTACTGTGTCGGACGAAAGACACCTGCGTGATGGCACACGTCGCCACCGAGGAAGACAAACGTGTCTGGAGTAGTCCGTACCAGAGCGCTGATATGCCCCGTCGCATGTCCGGGTACGTTGAGGATATACAGACTTCCGTCACCCAAATAGTCATGTGCTTGGAACTGCCCGATCATGAGATCGCCTGAGAAGGAGATCTCGACCACTTCCCGACCGTCGAATTCCTCCTCCCAAAAGAATGATTTCGGATTCGCGGGATAACCAGGCAGGAATTCGTCTCTGAAGCCAGGACCCACAACAAGTTTGGTGGCCGTTGACAGCCTGGCGAGATTGCCGGTGTGGTCGAAATGCCAATGGCTCAAGATCATAGCCTCGATCTCCTCGACTCGAACACCGCTATCGGCCAAGATCGTCGGCACCTCCTTCTTGACGTCAAGGCCGCCGATGGCTTCTTCCAGGATCTGCACGAGTTGTGGGACGTTGTTCTTCCAGTCCTTCCGGGCACCCATGTCGAACAAGAACTGCCGACCTGAGGGATTGTGCTTGATGTGGAACGAGTACGTCGGAAAGTCGAGATGCTCCATTCCAGGTATGACTGGCTCTACCATGACCTGTGCGTTTGGACGCAAGTCGCAAGTGGCGTTTATGATGGAGACAGTACATGTTGCCGTCGAGGCTGGAATAGTGGCCGAGAGGCGGGTGTTCGCCATGGTCATGGGTTTGTCGCTGTTGTGACGTCTCTGAATACTGCGTATCAAGTTGTTCGTGCCGAAATAGTCGTGGATTGGTCTCACAAGACATGTGGTGGCCAGGACAGACTATATATGTGGACGAAACCATCGTCGCTGAAGCACTGGCTAGGCTGAGAACGCTGATTAAGGGAGTCTCCATCAAGAATGCGAGCTGCAAGGACTGTCTGGGACGTGCAGTGCGGCTGTAGCGTGTGCCGTACTGCGAATAAGCTTTGAGATTTCTGACAAGTAGTATATCGGGTAAGATGAGGTCAGACGTCCGAAGTCGACTTGCCAAGATCGGCTTCAGCACTCATTTGGACGCCTATTTTCGGGTGCTGTCTCAAGTACTAGTCTCCAGAGATTCATCAGGGCAAGCGTCTGACTTTCCCTTGCGACCGCCCGGCAGGTCGTAGGCTGAAGAATCTCTCGGCCGACACTGCGACACCAATATGCACTTCCTACCCCATGGCCGATCGTCGCTCATCATTCATCTTGTGCGAGCGGTTTGGTGGTACTCCCAGGATGGTCAGCGGCCGCGACTTCCCACTTCCGGCGCTCGAAGACCTTCGGATCACAACCAAGATGAAGTACCTCCATTGGTGTGAGCAAGAGTTCGACCTTGCGCACGCCGACCGAAGGCGATTCGCAGTCGCTTTCGGAGAACGGGAACCATTCGTACTCGGGTCGCCATACACCTGTCACTGGGTCTTGGGCAGTCCTCACCGACGTACGTGGACACCGCAGACGTCCCGTAATGCAGGGCTTGTTGGCTTTGTAAGCTGAGACGTCTAGGGTCAAAGCAGTCTCGTGCCCTAGAAAGTGCGCCACGAGATTCCCGGGTCTAGGGTGACCGAAAGCAACGCCGTGTGCAGACGACCACGACTTCAGGTCCGTATCCACAGCCACGATCGATGCGGAAGGACGAGCATCGGCCACTGATTCGGCCAGCAGATGTTGACGGGCGAGTCGAGCGTCCGGTAGCACCAAGGAAGACATGTGAACGCCATCCAGCAAAGGTCTGCGGCTTTTGGGAGAGTAGTACCATTCAGAGGATACAATAGAGGACGGCATTCGACCTTCGAGAGCTATGACGGTCTGAATGTGCCCTGTGACGAATGCTGTCATTTCCATCAGCTGCAACCCGATGGGAGCAACGTGTCGATGCGTTGGATGAGAATTCGTGGTGGACTGATCTGGGAGTCTTTGCGGCGAGTCCGCTGAAGCCACGATCGCGCCCACAATGTCATTATGGTGCGCGCTAGACCTTGATAGTGCCTTTCGTGTTCCACTTTTGGGGTCTACGTCAAACGGTATGGATAGGATCTTGATCCAGCGAGCCAGCTCGTCGCTAGCCACAACGCTCGCCTTGAGCACATGTACGAGTAGCGACTCCATTGTCTGTGTATAGTCAATCTGGATCTGCTCAGCGATCTTCTCTTTCGCTAGACCCAGCATTGCGAACACCCTATCCTGTGGGTGCCGACACATGGTCCACTTATGCGCGCATATCAGCTTCAGAAGCTCGACACGGCCACGCTTGTCGAAAATGCTCCTCTGCTGCATTGCACGAAAGAGGCCCTGGCCGAAATCGCGCCACTCGAAGCGATATCGCGCAGACACCGCAACCCCGGTCTTCAACGCGAGAGCGCCCGTGACCTTCGAGCGGAAGCGGTCGAGTGTTGCGTCGGCTACTTCCAAGTCGCCCCACATGACGGTGTAACGCCTGGCAAGGCAAAACTCCTGAACCACCCATGTTCTTCTCCAGTACGCATGACTGTCGAAGCTTGAAAGAGTTTTCGCGTCGTAGTGGTCCAAAAGAAACTCATGACTAGAGTGTGATACCGTTTCCAGGAGTTTCATGGCATCTTTGGTGATCGCGCTGCCGGGCCCGAGCCACACAATGACTTTGGTAGCTTCCCGATAGATCTGCGGCATGTACCGGACCTGCGCGGCGCGCTCGTCGAGGTCTGACTGATTGATACAGATTGCATCTATCCAGAGATAACCGGAGAACCCAGACTGACGCCATTGTAGGAGGAATTCGTGGAGATTCCTATGCACAGAAAGCGGTCGGCCATCTATGAGGATCTCGCAGTCCGCGATGTCGAGGCCCCAGACATATGACAGCGCTTTGTAGTACACCTTGTCGACGAGGCCCGCAGGCCCACAGAGTGATGGGATTGCTACATTGTCAAGTTGACCAGCAAGCGGTTCATCACGCCTGCCGCGCTGAACTTTGAGCAGTCGAAAGAATGGCTTATGCGGGTTCAGCGGTAGTGGTACATGCTCGTATCTCGCGTTCATTTCTGATGCGAAGTCGCGCGCTGTGGTCTCGTAGACCTTGTCGGCCAGCGCCTCGCAGTCGCCTTCGCGTGGGATGACTGAGTATTGTTGTCGTGCATTTGCTTGTTATCAGCGCCAATGGAACACGACGGCCGCTGAGCAGCGCCATCGTTTGCAGCGCCAGACCATGTTCATGCGCAGTCGGGAAGACCATGAAGTGCGAAGATGGCAAATGGGAATTGCAATAATTCTTCCAAGGCGACCGTTGAATAAGACTAGCGAGATTGCAGAAGCAGGCGTTTTCGACACGACTGCCAAAATCCCTCGAAAGTTCCGGGCCTAGGAAGAGGCAGGTCACCTGCCAATCTTGGACTTTTATCGATCCCGCGACGGTTGAGTCTGACGCCTTCACCACTCGGCCATCTTTGACGTCATACCTCCGATCATGGAAGGTCTCATCCGGTGAGCATCACTAATGGCAAGGATTCAAGCACGCTTCTATGTTCAAGCAGCAGCGCAGAGACCCCTCAGGGCTGATAATTCCCGGCATCTCTTTCCAGCATTCATCTGGAGTGCAAAGCTGATAATCTCCGTAGGTCCGTTCGAAGAAGACTGACCTTCCAGGTAAGCTTTCCGAATCAGCCAATGGGTACAATGGTACCTGAACTTGATATCATGACTATGGACGACGTAAGTGACGATGACGATGCATGCTGCCGGGAGCGGCATCGTCATCTAACAAAGTCACCTTGCCCCGCACGTTCAACCTGTGTATATTACATTCTTCTCACAGACGATCCATCAAATTGCCGACACGAATACAAAACATAGATAGTAAGCCTGTGCAAAAAGCCACTGCGCCTAGTCAGACGCGCAGAACAGCGAAGGGGTTATTTCTCTGCCTCCGGCTTGAGCTGTTGTAGATAGCACAAACCACCATGCCGAACTTCGAACAAGGCATGGGCTCCGGCCGCGACCAAGAAAACCCCAACGGCGCACCAGAACAAGGCCTCGGTGCCTCCGAACGCGGCGCCCAATCCAGCCAACTGTCCGGAGGCCCCGAGCAAGGGATGGGTGCACGGGAGTCTGCGACCTTCAACGACCCGACAGGTGCGCCGGAAAGCGGGATGGGGAAGACAGAAGGCGCAACCGCAACAGGAGCGGGTGGTGCAGCGGAGCAAGGAATGGGAGTGGATCAGAGTGGGAGTGGGACGAATGGGAGTACGGATGATTATGGGATGGGGGCAGGGAGTGGGAGGAATGATCAGAAGGAAGGGGAGGGCGGGAAACTGCTGGGGAAGGTGAAGGGGATGCTTCATAAGGATAAATGAGCTGGCTATTGATCATTGAAGGGAGGTAGTTTTGGTGAGCCCAAGAAATTTGATGGGAAGGCGCTGAATGCTGTCGATCGTCGGAACAGTGTGCCCGCGAGTGCATGTTCATAAGCCGCCAGCAATCATTCCGGCAGGTTTGGTATACAGCGATCCTGCATCCAATCAACATCATCACTCCAGGATTTGATATCGACTTCCTCTTGAGAAGCTGAGACATTCCTGCATCTTGGGCACGTCCGTCAGTTTCTAGCTGAATAGCCGCATATTTTTGCAGTAAATCTCCCATGCCCACCAGATCGCGACTCTTCTCGGCAAGTACAGATACTTAGATTATGTCAAAGCTTCGAGGACTCGTCACTCACGCGGTTGTCTATCACATCCATCTTAAGTAGCTCAACTGTATCGACGTCCGGGAAGTTGATGAAGCTGTTGCTGGTTGACTATAATCCACATTATCTTCAGAATGCACGCACTATCTTCCAGCGTTGGTGGACGCAGGAGAGCGCAACATTCACAGTGTGGAATGTATCAGCGATGCCGGCTTCGGCGAGATATTGAATGATGTTAAGTGCGGAAAGAGTGGATGCATGTTCATGCCTGGAGGCAACGAGGCCGATAGGTGATCACACCAACGACCAGGGGCCGGAAATCCGCCTGCATCTTCCGCCGCTGCGGGGCAATCCTTCCGGCGCTGGGCTGCTGGCATTCAGCCCTGCTCCCTACAGAAACTGGAATCGCTAAATCTCATACCTGCTTCCAGTCAACACTCACCTGTTGCTATTTCTTTCTCACTCCGTTCCGAACTATGCGCTCTCGGTCCTGTCTGCAGTCTGCCTGCGTGACGGTCAATGCTGACCTTGCCTTACCTCAGATTGAGATGCGACTCGCACAGCTTGGGAGGTGCATCAGTGGTGTGGGTGGCGGTTGCCTCGCTATTCATCGGAAATCATGAACGCCAGCAATGTCCATATTGGCCCGACAACAGCGCCAGTTGTAAATGTGCCTCATGGGCGACCACGAGCTCGAGCTAATGTGTCGCAAGCTTGCGATAAATGTCAAAAGCTGAAGAGAAAGGTTCGCTAAGACTTCTCTTTGACATTGCAGCAATGCTCAGCATGGAAGTGTCGGCCGACTAAGAGCGGCTCATGTCGAGTCTGCATCGGATTGAATGTACCATGTATTCGCACCAAGCAAGACGGCCGTCGCGATTTCTCACGACAGCTAGCCAAGGAGGCCGGCGACGTCGTAGAAAAGATCCGCACCTTACCCGAAGATGAGAGCAGGGAGTTGTTCGAGGCAATTCGGCAGGGCCTCCCGATTCCTAAGACATCCAATGCAGCGAATGCTCGCAAGCAGTTCACGATTCGCAATCCTACTACTGTCAACCCAGAACATGACCAAAACCAACCAGGGCAGCTGACACTGGACTCGTCGTTGCAGCCTCTGAGTCTTGGGTCTGTCCGCTCATTTGGTAACCTCCCGTTATCAAGCGCTGTGATGGCCAACGGCTATCCTGCCGCAGTCTAGATTCGACAGCTGCGGATGTTCACGACACCGGAATCTTGCATCCCACCACTTAACATCGAAAACCCCTCGCCACTCGACCACATGGGCAACCCAATGCTCAGCTTTTGCCAACTCGCTCGATCACAGATTGCAGCCAACGGCAACGTCACGAATATCCTCGCGCTACGTGGCGTGGACCTCACCTTGTTCTTCCGTGAACGCTGCATGGGAGACCCACACACTGTATCAACGTGGGCTTGTGAATGGATCAAAGCGTGGGATTTCCTGTCACCCGTTACTCAACTTGCAGCGATCCATTATGGCGCTTCGTTCATGCGATGGTACATATTACCCTGTGCTCAAACTTACGCGACGCTCTCTCCGCTCTTGAGACCACTGAAAGAGCAGCTAAACATTCCTCACCCAGTCAGCCTCGATCTTGTACATCTGCCGGTGGTGCGCCAGGCACTCTTGGCTGGGGCCAAAAGCTGGATAGACCGTGTCACACCTGACAGTCAACACTTCAACTGGGGCCGTGGTTCAAGGGCTGCGATCATGAACGCCGTTCTGGAACCCGGCTCCCGGCCTGTGAAGACACTGAAGCCAGAGTTCGTCGCGCAATGTGATCTGGTGTCAAACTGGACGCTTCATGAAAGCGTCGTGGATGACTATCCGGACGTACCCAAGGAAGTAAGACTTCACGGCGACGACGCCGATCCGGCGAGGTTTGAACCAGAGACCGACGGCAGAGAGGACTATCGGCCACCGGAACTCACCGCATGGTCCTGAACGGCAGAAGCAAATGTACCTCAGCGGGCTTTGCGGTGGCATCCGTTTTGACCTCAAGGCTTTCCTCTCGTGGTGCTCCCACCCTACTTGATGGTCTTCAAAGCGACCGAAGGCCGCACGGTGGCAACATCAGGAGCCGAAGACCAGCGGTATTGACTCTCACTTGCTATCGAACCTATGCTGGGCACTGTACATGCGGTCGATTCTTCTGCCCAGACCGATTTCACTGACCAGCCAACACCGAGGCACTGGACTCAACGTTTTATCAAACATACAACAAGCTCCCTCGGGACAAGACTTGTTCAATGTCTTGGGTATCTTTTTCCGAGGTGCCAAGATGTGTGGCGTCTTTCTTGGGGATGCCGCGCCAGGTTCCCCATGCGTTCTTGCAGCACAGGTCACAGTCTGGGGTGGCCAGACGTACTTGGCATGCAGTACAAGCCCGAGGCATGCCCGCGGAAAGCATGCGTAATCGTTTGAACGGGATGAGTTGTTGTTTCTTGCACCAAAAGTACTCCTTGTCAGCCTCGGCCTGTCCCCACGCCAAGTTATCCCTCCGCATTGGCAAGTTGTCTCCAAATGCTTGTCTTGGGCATCACTGCGGAATCCGGGTAGAGCAAACATATAGAAGGGCGGTAAGCGAGCCATGCGGCCCTCGATCTGTCACAGACCGCTCTCGATCTAAGAGCATCTTTCATCGTCCAATATGGAGAAGACCAACGCTATTGCTGTCGAAGATGTCGTCCTTGAAAAACCTGGCAAGCCTCTAGTCACCAGCCAGATCGTCAACGCCGATTTGACTGAGGACGATGTCATCTTCCTGGAGGAGTACGATGAGAAGGCGAAGAGCAGACTGTATCACAGGGTAAGTCTCCCCAATCAGATCTGCGTCAACGTTGCTGATTGGCGTGGCAGATCGATATTCGTCTCGTCCCGATGCTTGCTCTGCTCTACCTCGTCTCTCATCTTGACAGAGCCAACATCGGCAACGCAAAGATAGAGGGGCTCGAGAAAAGCCTTGGCATGGCTGGTGTCGACTACAACATCGCTGTCGCTATCTTCTTTGTGCCCTACATCCTCTTTGGTATGTTTCCGCTGACAACCAGGCTTTGAGTCATTACGCTGACTGGCCACGACAGAGGTCCCCAGCAATTTCCTCCTCACCAAATTCAACAAGCCGTCTCACTACATCGGCGGCCTCGTCATCGCATGGGGCACCGTGATGACATTGACGGGCGTGGTCCAGAACTTCGGTGGTCTGCTCGCCACTCGTGTCTTCCTCGGTGTCTTTGAGTATGCTCGGCCCCCCTGTATCCATCTGCCATCACTAATCCTCCCTTCCCAGAGCCGGCTTCTTCCCTGCAGCCATGCACACAATCGGCATTTGGTACCCACCAAACAAGACCCAAACCCGCACAGCTCTATTCTACTGTGCAGCTGCTATCGCAGGCGCCTTCAGCGGTCTCTTAGCCGCTGGCATCGCCAAAATGGACGGTCTCGGCAACTACGACGGCTGGAGATGGATCTTCATTATCGAAGGCATTGCCTCGGTCATCGCAGGCATCATGGCGTGCTATATGCTTCCAGATACACCGGCTTCATCGAAATGGCTGACGGCGGACGAAGTTCGATTTCTGGAGCTGACTCATATCGCTACTCGAGGGAAGAAGGTGAAGGGAGGCGAGCAGAAGGAGAAGTTCAAGTATAAGACGCTCTTCAGTGTGCTGCTGGACTGGAGGATTTGGCTCATGTCTATTGTTATGTGGTCGAATACTGTTCCGGGCTATGCCCTCAAGTTCACCCTACCTCAGATCTTGCGCGGGATGGGCTTCACTAGCACCAAGGCGCAGTTGCTGTCGGCTCCGTAAGTCCCACCCTCCCCAGTCTCTCACACGCGCTAACAATGCACTTACAGACCCTACGCCATCGCCGCCACCAGTGCCATTTGCTCCGCCATCCTCGCCGATCGCTTCTCCTGGCGCATGCCCATCATCGTCGGCGGGCAAGTCCTCGTCATCATCGCCAACTCTATCCAATTCGTCTACGCAGCCGACATTGCCAACAACGTCGCACTTTGCTACTTTTGTGTGTTCATGGCGCTTGCTGGCGCGTATCCAATCATCCCTGGTGTGATGGCTTGGCAGCTGAACAATCTTGCCGGCCCGTTGAGACGCGCGATGGGGATCGCGCTGATGGTTTGTCTCGGGAACGTTGGCGGGATTATTGGAAGTGTAAGTCCTCTCTCGGTCCCTGTCTGTACTACAGGCTCGCTTCGCGCCCATCGATCCATTCCATGAGCAGCCTGCTGAATGTCCCACAATAGTTCATCTTCCTCGACGCCGAAAAGCCCAAGTACCCCACCGGCTTCGGCTCCTCGCTGGGCTTTGCTGCAGGCGGTCTCTTCGCTGCCTTCGCCCTCGAGTTCGTGTACTGGCGCGCAAACAAGAAGGCCGATGGCATGACTGAGGACGAGATTCGGGGCAAGTATTCCGATCAGCAGCTGGAGGAGTTGGGCGACCGCTCGCCGTTGTTCCGGTATGCACTTTGAGGTCGTCCATTGTGGTTTTCTTGAAGCGCCCAGGGCCGGCGTGAGGCGTGGCGGAGGGTATGCCTATGGCGGACCGCCGCAAGCAGCTGGAACATGGTGCTTATGGTCTGCGTAGAGGGTGACTTAGCCCTTGACCCACTTGTTCAAGTTGTCGGCCACAATCAGCGCAATAACACTGCACACACCATTAGCAAACCATCCAACTCAAAAATCGTAGCCATGCAACTCACGTATGCGGTGCAACCCGCATGAAATACGTCCCAAACCCCCTGTAGAGCCTCCCCAACCCCTCCTCCCTCGCAACCTTGACAAAACAATCCGCCATTCCCGCATACCTCGCCTCCGCCCCCTTCCTCTGACTCTGCAACCGACTCTTGACAAAATCAAACGGCAAACTGAAAGCACTCGCAAAGAACCCCGCCACAAAACTCGCCGCCACCGTCTGCACCTGCGGACCCGCACTCGTGTGCTTCGCAATCTGATGCTTCGACTCCGAAAAGAATCCCAACTGGCCCACATTCAGCGCCATCGCGCGGATCACAGTCGGGTAGGCACCACTCCACAACGCCCTCACACCCTCATTCCGGACAATACTCCCCAACGCATGAAACGCAGACTTGTGATTCGCGCGCTGCGCCGCGGGCAGCAGTCCATCACTCTGCATCCGAATCAGTGCAACCTCAGTTGGGTTCCCGATCGTAGCGCCCAACCCACCAGCCGCAAGCCCCGCCGCGGCGCGCTCCTTGAAGCCATACACGGTCCCATTCCTCGCGGCGCGCGCCTTGAGCTTCTCCTCGAACGTGAAGAAGAACCCCAACCGGGAAGTCCCGTAGACGAGCTGGCGCAATAGGGCGGCGGAAAGGCCGGTGTAGAAGTCCAGGAAGGAGCCGTTGGCGAGGACGTTGCGGGCGACGGCGATCGGGGTGGCGCCTGATGAAGGAGAGAGCTGGATGCGGGTTTTGATCATGTCGAGGGGTTGGATGCAGCAGGTTGCGAAGATGCCGGAGGTGCCGCCGACCAGGAAGGGGAGGGCGGGTTGGAGGGAGGGATAGCGGATTGCTATGGGGAGGTGGGGTGGCGTGATGACATGGTGCTGGGCTTGCGGAGGGCGGTGGGATCGATCAAGGGCAGGAGAAGGGAAAGAGTGCTTTTCGAGATTCAAGCTGTCGTACGTGCATCTCGAATTGACGGAGCGAGAGCACGAGAAGCTTGCTTGCTCCGAGAGCGCTCCCCATTGTCGATTGCCTCGGAGCTTTGTGAGAGTGGAATGCCGTTTGGAGATTTCTCTTGGGAGAAGTGGGGGATTGCAGCTTGGCGCACTTGCAAGGTTCCCGCTCCTTGTGCTTTTCGAGCCACGTAGATCTCTCAACGTGACGGCACATTGTCACGACTTTGTCCTCATACAAGCACGGTTCTTGCTGAGGATGTTCAGAACGCGATATCGGAAACGAGACCGACGTGCGGCGACGTTCCTCGATGCCTTGCTCGAGCTCATGGCCGGTAAGAGGTTTTGAAATACCGTATAAATCGCCCACTTGTATGTCGGAGACTAGGTTCAAAATGTCGTGCAAGCACTTCAGTGCAGCTGCCTTCTGTGATTCCTATAATTCGCGCTGCAGGGCATCATACTGTTCAACCAATGGCGACTGGAAGACACGAGCACGGATTTTGGGATTTGCGCAACACTGCATGCTCCGCGATGCCATAATGGTCTCCGATGCTGACTAAAGACATACCTTTACTTACGAGGCTGGCCTTAATTTTGTACCGACTCTCATAGGCTGCAGAACAGAGGCCGGATAGGGCGTCTGATCGATGACCGATCAAGACACCGGGCAGGCTATGACTGCGAAAGTGACTTTGCCAAGGTCCATGCGGACAACGATAAGGCCCGCTGTGTTCGGACTATTCTTGTTGCGAGCAACCGATCAACATATCGGTCTCATGTTGAGCTTTGCCAGGGAGCGGCACTCAGATGAGTAGGAACACATAGGTATACGCCGTGCCCGGTCCAGGCCATTTGCGTCAGGCTGTGAGCGGGCGCCACAACAGCCATGGCATCTCAAATCAGCATCATTCAGTGCACTGACGACGACTTGCCTTCCGCCATGGCCGCTATCTCGAATGGCTTTGGTCACGACGCGCCCTTTTTCGACTGCTACTTTCCGGCCCACGATACTTCCGCTGGTCAGGAATCGGGGCTAAAACGACTTCAGTTCTGGAAGGAAAACTCACCAAATTCAACTTTCCTCAAAGCAACAACGGAGGCTGGGAAGCTCATCGGGTTTGGTGTCTGGACATTCATGACGGAGCCGGTCTCCGATAAGTTGGATGAGGTCGAGGCAGATGTGGGCGAGACGTGGCCTGACAAAGACGATGCAGACCATATGAGGGAGCTGTGGCAGCAATACGTCCCTTACCGAAATGGTGCGATTGGGGATTCGAAGGGTAAGGGAGTTTATGGTGTGTATGAACGTTGCTTTTGACCGAGCCCCTCATGCGAAGTGCTGACAGTATGCCAGTCCTCGAGATGCTGGCAGTTGATCGCGATCATCAAAGGCAGGGTGCCGGCCTGCAGTTGACTGAATGGGGAACGAGAAAGGCTGAAGAGATGGAGATCGAGGTGAGTTTGTGGGGCGTGTTCCAAGTCGTGCCTCTGCTAAGATGAGTTCAAGGCTGTGGTCGAAGCGACACCCATCGGGGTCAAGACATATCACAAAGCCGGCATGAAGACGGTCGTGGAGGAGACGGACATGGATTTGAGTCCAAGATTCGCAGACCGAAGGCAAGTGAAGCTGATCTTTCTGCGAAAAGGCGGTACTTCTGGTTGAATTTGCAAGAGCGAGCCGCAAAATGCGCTCGCTAGATGTTGGTGAAGCTTTCGAGCAGTCAGAGACCCCAGATCCGTGCCTTTCTGGCCCTGATACACGTTCGTTAAGGCTAGCCAAGATCCAGAATGTTTGGAGTGATATGATGCAGACGGAGGTGGCTGAGATTGATCAGTACACAGAGCTATGTATGATCAAAAGGCCAGGCACAGAAATTACAGCAGGTGCTAGGGGTATCTACTCCAGCTGCACGTGGTTCATTTCACGTTGACCGAAAGAGCTGCCATTGATGATGATGATGATGCGTATGTGGACCTGCGAGGATCACTGGCGCCGATCTCGTCGCAGTGGAACATGTTGGCTTAAAGTTATTCCTAGTGCTCAAGCCATCCATCATCCGTCGCATTCATGTTCGAATTCGGTTGCGGATCCGGTTTCGGAAGGACAAACACTCTGAAAAAGACAATTTAACAAATCCATCATCGTCAGCAAGTATTGCTTCAACAATGTATATAACTACATCAAAAGTTGCATTGCTTGTAGAAACACGGCCTTTTGCCAATCACGCAGCGCGCATCTTATAATCCTCCCAAAGGCTTGTCCAGTTTACGACGAATGAGGACCATTTGATCGCACCTCAATGTTATCAACATATTAAATCGCTTGCACAGAATATGAAGCTGCATCATATTGCCGTCCTTGCGTCTGTGGCCACCTCAGCCGCAAGCGCCGAGCCGACGCCTCACGATCTGGCTCTGCGCATGCTCGCGAGTATCGAGCAGAGAGGTCAAGCAACTCTGAATCCAGGCGCCAGCACTGGATTCATCCAGCTGGGACTCTTCTGGCAGGCTCTAGCTGTTGTCACAGAGCCAGTTCCACTCTCACCAGCGAATGATGAGCTACGGCCACTTCTCGACAAAAGCCTTACTTCCACAATCCCAGCTTTCGGGAATGTTACACGAGATGCTGAGCTCCCTCTTGATCGATTCTCCTTGGGCGCAGACATGGTAGCCTCGACCTTGGACTCCGGCTCGTCGCAGTATAGGCCTACGATAGACACTCTCAGAGCCTCCCTTGCCCTACAACCACGAAATCCCAACGGCGGATTATGGTACTACAACAACGTGAACAACCTGACTGCATATCAGAATCTGAGCTACCTGGATGGCATGTACTCATTTGCTCCGTTTGTCACAATCTCTTCACAGCTCGATGACAGTGGGTCAAATCCCGGGGCGGCACTGGAGATGGCGGTGCAGCAGCTTCAGATCCTCTACGACATCTGCCGCGAGCCCTCGGGCCTTCTGGTACACGGCTATGATGCTCTCAAGGCTCACCGATGGGCCGATGCCAGCACTGGTGCGAGTCCTGAAGTTTGGGGTCGAGCTCTCGCATGGTATTCGCTGGGCATCCTGAACACGCTCGAAGTTGCCGGTCGAAACAGCGTACAGCGCAATTCGAAAGCATACAAGACCATCGCGAGCTTGTTCGAGGATGTGATGAATGCACAATTGCAGGCGGCTGGGCGAAGTAAGGCTCTAACCGGCGTGCCCGGCGTCTGGCAGGTCGTTGATCGACCGGGCGACGCCGGAAATTTTGTCGAAGCGAGCAGCAGCTCCATGACAGTGTACACGCTGCTGAGGGGACTTCGTCTGAAGTTGCTTGACGACGATCGTGCGGTATGGCGCCAACCCGGTGGCTCGAAGTGTGACAGCGGCATCGCCGCTTTGGCGAAGGATATCTACCAGTCTGTCTCGAACGAGTATCTCATACCGTACGCGAATGGGTCATTGAGCTTGAACGGTACGAGTAGTGTGGCGAGTTTGAGCCCACAGAATGTCGGGTACGAGTACTATATCACAAGACCTACGGAGTTGGACTCTTTGATTGGCACGAGCGCTTTTGCACTCGCTAGCTATGAGGTGGGCTTGCTCGACACATAAATCGTCTCATGACGAAAGTACTTGCTGACAGTGTTGCCAATCATACGTGTCCATAAAAGTTCTTGTACTTATCGTGGAATAACCTTTGGTGAGATTCAGACAGATCGGAACATGCCTGTCGTCTGAAGCGTTGATGTACCATGTCTGGAAACGTTGTCCAGTACCAGGTATGCTGAAGCCGTGATATAGGTATCATGAACACCGATACGTACTTCTCAATGGCCTGCGCCGCGTGCCAGTCGACGTGCAAGTCCATGTTGTTCGTTGTGTTCACGCCCGGCCACCAACGTATGTGGTTGACAAGTTCCAAACGACTGCCTCTTGATGCACCAAGGGAGAAACAACAAAGCGGATTTGATTCGGAAATCTTATCTTCCCCATTAGCTAAGTCAACAGACGTGTCGGCCGAGAGCCCAACGCCAAGGCCAAGAATCTCATAAGCATCGACATGTCGAAACGCGTTCTTGCTGTCCTCTCCGACGCCGCGACCGCCGTCTCTACGTTGTTTCAAACGCTGAGACTCCCTGCCCGAATGATGGAATCGTCATGGCATTACGGCGTTGCTGCGTCGGCAGCCCGCTAACACCCAGCGGCCGCCATGTGATTTTGACTAAGCATGCTCTTGGAATCGGCTGTCATACCGCAAAGACAACCAGTGGCATGGCATTCAAAATCGGATCGTTCTTAATTGGATCAGCAGATCGTTTGATCAAACTATGAGTGGTGGAGAGGATGGCGCGGACGGCAACGATGAACGTCCGACTTCTGTGGCGGTACGCGCGGGAGGAAGATGCGAATCGAAACGTAAGTATACTGGTATAAAAGGTAGGCGCCTTCATCTGCGAGGGGAGTTGCTTCTGGAAGCACTCCTTGAGACGTCCCCTGGATAGACTGATCACTTCACAATGGGTTCGGTAGAAACAGCTATGAAGAATACCGCTCTCTACCTAGACGCGAAAGCCACCCTCTCCGTCCTCCCCGACGCCGAAGTCTATACTCCCACAGGCGCTCAATCACTCATCCGCGTCAAGTACTCTGCTATCAACCCCGCCGACATCAGGCACCACTACATGGGCATGTCGTCGCACGTACCAGGCTACGAATGGCTCGGCACCGTCGTCTCCGTCGGCCCTTCCTCGCCCTACAAGCCCGGCCAAAACCTCTTCGGCCTGGCCACACCCGGTAACAAGCGACCCTTGCACGCCGGCGCACACCAGGACTTCCTGCTCGCAGAGAAGAACTGGACGTTCGCCTTGCCCGAAGGCGTTGAGGAACTCACGGCCATAGGCTTGCTGCTGCTGCTGGCACAAGCATCGACGCCTTGTTCAATTGCATGGGCTATGCCTTCGCACCTGCCGGTCTGGAAGGTGAAGACCCTACTGGCGTGCCGTTGCTAGTCTGGGGTGGAAGCAGTGCGCTTGGTCAATCCGGGATCCAGTTGGCAAAGGCTGCTGGGTTCAGTCCGATCATCACGACCGCGAGCGCGAGGAACCACGCTCTACTCAAAGAGCTTGGTGCTGACTATTGCTTTGACTATAACTCGCCGACAGTGGTTGAGGATGTGCGCAAAGCTGTTGCGGCGACGGGCAAAGAGCTGACTTCCGTCTGGGACACGATCGGCGGCGGCACTGGCTTCGGCGAAGACATGACGCGTGAAGAAATCGACGCGCTAGATTTCGAAAAGAGCACACCGGCAATGGCGAAGCGCTGCTGCTCCGACAAGTTGCCCCTCAAGCTCGTAAATGCGCTGTTCGTGGAGAAAGACCCGGGCGCATGGCTGTTTCCTAATCCCTATCAGCTCCAAACGGGCGAGCAGCTGCCTGGGCCGGAGTACCTCAAGAATGTGGAAGCACTGTTCGGGAACCCGGACTTCGAGCGTGGGGATCGTCTGGATGTTGTTCGTCGGTGGATTTTGAAAGACGGGGCAAAGAATTGGAAGCCGATCAAGACTAAGGTTGTTCGGGGCATGGATGCGGCGATGGAGGCGATCAAGGCGGTGTATCGTGGTGAGGCTGGTGGGCTGAAGGTGGTGATTGAGCATCCGTTCGCGGATGCGTGAGGCGGCGAAAGGTTCGGCACTCTAAGGTCAGAGCCTCCATCTTGAATGAAGATATGTAGCTCAGCAAGAGTCCAGCACCAGTGTCGGGCGACTAGCTCGTGAATCCGCAAACCATGTGACGCAACCCTTGATCGTTATCACGTCGTAATCATACAGCTTCAAGAAAGCAACAGCGTTTTGTGGGCCCTGGCGCATTCTGGTGGGGCTGGTTGCCTTATCCAGAATGCACTGCGAAGCGTTAGGCGAAAATCCAGGCGAGCCAATCTCGAAGACTTTTTTGGCCCGAATGTGAACGACGCCCAGCGATCCTGCAACGGCAGATCTGATGCAACAGGAAGCTTGCGAGTACCTGACTTTGCTTGTTCGATGTCTTAGGCTTCCTGATAGGGTCCGGCTCCCAATGCAGCTGTCGGAATCAGGCGACCTGCCTGCGTGCCAAGTTGGTGGCCCATAGACATGAAACACCGCTCGATCGATCTTGACAGGAGTTATATACCACAGCAACAGCCAAGTCCTCCACTTCTCAGTTGCTTCTGACAACTCCGAAAGCTCGATCGACCTCACAATTCAGTCAGCAATGTTGCTCCTGCTCCTCGCCGCACCGCTCGTCCTCTTCATCATCTACCGCCTCACAAATTGGACCCGCCACTACCTCGCTGCCCGGCAGTTCGATCTCCCAATCATCCCCATTCCCATCGCCTTCGACGATGTCTGGTGGCTCCCCCTCCGCCCCCTCTTCAGCTGGGTGCAACACCTGCCCCTCGGTCTCGGCTCCTGGTATGTTTACACCGAAATGGGCTGGCCCATCGTCGACGAGAATCGCACGAGTCTGCGTCTTGGGGAGAACTTTGTGTTGTGTTCCCCAAATGGTAACACCATCGTCTCATGCTACATGCCCACCATCAATCAGATTTTCATGGATCACAAGAACTGGGGCATGCCACCCGCTCAAAGCCAGCTGTTTGCAGTGTACGGGCAGAACGTGAGCAGTACGCATGGGGAGGAATGGAAAAGGCATCGGAAGATCACGGCGGGCGCGTTTACGGAGGGGGCGATGGAGGGGGTTTGGGAGGAGAGTAAGCGGCGGGTGAGGGGGACGGAGTTTGGGAGTGGAGCGCTGAGCTTGGACGGAGTCCGGAATACGTTCAATGTCGTGGCGATGCATGTGCTGGCGAACGTGGCGTTTGGGCAGGATACGGAGCTGGAGACTGTGGGGCAGGGGCATCGGGATTCGTTGATGGGGTGTTTGGGGACGATATTGCAGAATATTCTGTTGACGTTGGTGTTCAGTAGTGTGCCGGGGCCGGAGTGGATGTTGCCGCGGACGTTGAGGAGGTTGAAGGCTGCGGTGGCGGAGTTTCGGCTGTATATGGAGGAATTCATTTTGCGGGATATGCAGAGTGGGAAGGCGGGTTCGGTGGGGAAGAAGAAGAGTCTGCTTTCGGCGATGGTGCAGGCGAATGAGGCTGAGAAGCATGGAATGGTTAAGGCTGGTGGACGGCCGTCGTTCCTGACGGAGTCGGAGCTGTACGGGAATCTGTTTGTGTTCAATCTTGCTGGGTACGAGACGACTGCATCGACTTTCACCTTTGCATTGTCGTACCTGGCTTTGCACCCGGAAGTGCAAGCGTGGATCTTGGAGGAGCTCGACGCGCACTACGATCCCGCCTCGCCGTACGCGGAGACATACCCGAAGCTCGTCCGCTGCCTCGCAGTCATGTACGAGACTCTGCGCCTTGCGGGCCCTGCACCGCTTCTCGTTCGGCAGCCCGTCGACACACCGCAAGAAGTGGAAGTGCTTTCGCGCCACGGGCCTAAAACAGTCGTCGTTCCGCCTGAGACTTTGATCGGCGGGCACTTCTACGGCGGCCATCTATCGCCGAAATGGGGCAGTGACGCGCTCGAGTTCAATCCGAAACGCTTCATCGATACTGCCGCATCTGGAGGCGAGACTCTGGCTGTGCCTGACGACAGAATGTACATGCCGTGGATCTTCGGGCCTCGTGTTTGCCCTGGGAAGAAATTCAGTCAGGTCGAATTCGTTGGCATTGTTGCCCAGCTGTTGATGGATCATCGGATTGAAGTCGATTGCAGGGCGGGTGAGTCGGAGTCGGATGCGCGAGGAAGACTGCGTGGAGTTCTTGCGGAGAAGTACTTCAACGTCAGTGCCTATGTGAAGCACCCGCATGCGGCTGGTGTGAGGCTTGTGCGGCGGAGCAAGAGTGGTTGAGCTCTATTCAGAGTCCCCAGACAGTCATGCATACTCTGTTGCGTGCACAGGATCGTCGCCGCCGCCTGGGCAGTCCGTTCTCCCGACTGTCCTCAAACATAACCACTCGTCTTTGCGAAATGCATCCCAGCGGCAAAGTGGTATAGCTTTGCTGCCACCATAAACTTTTCCCGCTTACTATACTCCACCAACCTCGCATACAACTCCTCCAGCGGCACAACCACACGCTCGATCAACTCCCCATCGTCCAATCTCTGCTCCGGCATCCCCTTCTCCCCGTCCTTGACCTCCACCTCCATCATAACCAACTGCAACGTTGCATTCGTCATTCCCGGATCGCTACTCACCGCCGGACTCGTACTCAGAATGCTTCCCTCATACCCCGTCTCCTCCTTCATCTCCCGCACCGCGGCCTCCTCGGCGGTCTCGCCTCATCAATCAGACCCGCGGGCCACTCGACGGTGAACTTGTCAAGGGGCGGGCGGTATTGGATCACCAGCAAGGTGCTAGGTGGTTTGGAAGGCGATACCAAGATATTTCCAATAGCGACGGCGTCGACGCCGGACTTCTTGGCGGTGGTCTTGCGCACGGCGACTTCCCACGTGCGGGGTGTGTTGGTCTGGTCGATGAATTCGATCTTCTTGAGGGCGATCCAGCGCGCGGAAGTGGAGGGAAGTTCGGTTATGGCTGTGATGTGCGGGGTGGTGGCCATCTTGAAGGCTGATCTATTGAGCCTTACTTTATTTTATGCACGCCGAATTGTATGTAAGGCTTGGTTAAGCAGTGTAGGATGTGCGATGAGGCAACCTCGAGATATACGTCGTGCTCAAAATGGAAAGACCAAGAAATCGGAACGCGTGACGTCACTGAACACGAGCAACGCGATCTTGCAGGCTCCAACGTTGTCGGCAGAGCTTGAAGGGCACAATCGAGGACATAACTCATCATTCAGGATAAGGCAGCTACTGCTGACGAACACAGCAGACATCACCTCACTCGGTGGTCGCGCCCAGTATTTTCAACGTCCATGTACTTTACCACACGTTGGTTGTGCTCTTGCACAAGCCGATCATCGCCGATAGCCATTTATTTGCGGTGTTGAAGACTAGACTTGCATCTCTCTCAAGTTTGACCAGCCTGTCGCATGCTCCGGTGCGCTACCACCACCAATCTGCCATCCGGTATTGGTGAGATACAATTTGGCTTGCATGCGTTGTGAGGAATGCACTTCGTTATGATCGAATAGCTCAATACTGAGCTGAATGTGGGTGACATGGCGCAACTCGAGCGTGGACAGTCGGGCAGACCGCAACGATCTGTCTGTCCGTCAAAGCAACTCCCTCGGAATGCGAACCACTGAGAGAAGGGCGCAACTCAAGCAGTAATGCCACTCCAGCTTCATGCTGCAAAGGTAGCTCAACTCCGCACTAGCTACAACCCCTCTCCCGACGGAGGAGAATTTCCGAGTCGCGGGGTCGTCCTGCCAGGTATGTTCTTGAGAGGTCACGTTGCTCTCGAGGCCTGAATTGACAAGTAACAAGAATCATGGATCGTTCGCCAGGGTCTACTGCGTCGACATTCTTTCGGCAGCTCATTCAATCACGTGACATCACCCAGCAGCTGGTTAACCATGATCAGGAGATCAAGGTCGCAATTATCGATGACGACTTTCACTTTGCGCTACAATCCGACGGAGGAGAGAAGCTGCACGTCAAACTACACGACGGCATGTTCACTCTTTCGCTGGGGCCATGCTCGGACGAGTCCGTGACCCTCGTGGCACCTGAGGCCGAATGGCAGAAGTTTTTCTCACCACTGCCGCCACCGCCCTATCAGAGCTTCTGGGGAATGTTGAGAGTGCTAGGTCATGATGGACGTATACGTGTCGGTGGTGACCCTGCGAGCTTTGCGAAAAATGCTCGGGTCTGGCGCCTCGTGCTCGACAAGATGAAACAAGTCTTCAACGACAAGAATACCGGGCCACCCAACACCAACTTGGAGGAAGAACCTGAAGTTGATGCCGTCGTGGGTCGCTATGTCTGGATTAACAGCGAGTATTTTGGGAAATGCAAAATGTTTGTCGAGTCTTCGGGCAATGGTCAACAGGCGCTGTTGCTGCTACACACCGCAGGTGCCGACTCGAGGCAATACCACTCAATTATGAACGACAAAGAACTGCAGAAGCGTACGACAATGTTTGCTTTCGATATGCCAGGCCATGGCCGATCATATCCAGGTCACAAGATGGTGCCGCAGGGATATCGTCTCACCGAGGCTCCTACGTTGACACAATCAAGCAGATTATATCTCAGCTCGGCATCAAAGACTGCATCGTATCGGGCGCGAGCATGGCCGGGCATGTGTGCCTCGCAGTGGCGCTCCGGGCCACGGAGCTCGGTGTCGTTGGAGTCATCCCTTGTGAAGCGTGTGACTATGTTTCATCTTCCGGGACTCTCTACGGCATCGCGTCCAGCAACAATGAGTCTGTTATGAATGCAGAAATTGTGTCTGGCTTGAGTGGACCGTCAACCTTACCTGCACACCAGAAAATGATCTGGTGGGGCTATTCGTCCCAGGCAGCAGGAATCTTTGCCGGCGATTTATGCTTCTATTTTGAAGGATGGGACGGACGAGATCGTGTGGCTTCGATAGACACGACTATCTGCCCTGTCTACATGCTCACCGGTGAGTATGACTACAGCTGTACTCCGGCTGCGAGCAGGGCGACGGCGGCGAAGATTCCCGGTGCTGTGTTCACAGAGATGAAAGGCATGGGCCACTTTCCCGCGGCTGAGGATCCCTCTGGTTTCCTACCACACTTATTCAGAGGTCTGGATTTCATCCAAAACGCTTCTGTCAAGCGCTGAGCTGCAATCCGGGCGAGCATGCTGTCGAATAGCATAGCAGAAGGACTCTAACACAATCCAGTGAGTTCCGTGGAAGGGCTGAGGAAGGAATTGACCTGGCTAGTCTGTCCCGCGGGTTCAGCTTAGAATCCAAGACTGCTGCGTGGCATGAAGGAGCACTATCTCACAACCACGAGAACGGAGCTTCGACTGGCCTGGGCAAGTATGCACTTAGTGTTGTAGCTTATGAAGTTGTTACCGTCGCCTGAATCTCTTTAAGTCATTGTTTTCAACGGGCGGTGCCTCCGAGCTACAACTCATCCGCATAGCACTTGAACTTCACCGGCACGCCCGCAGCGCCATCCATCGACCCAGAGAACAACACTGCCTTCGAGGGAGCAGCCACACAGCTCGACTTGATCCCCAGAGCACTTGAAGAAGATGTCCGGCTCGGTCCCAATGTCTGCTGCGCAGCAACCGTCGCAAGCGTAGTCGGCGGCCTGCCTCCCAGCGAAGTCGTACTTGTCGGAACAGACGGGACAGAAGACTGTCCACCAGCACCTCCGCCACCACCACCCATAACAGGCGGCCCCGGAATAACATAACTCTGCAGCCCATTATACACATTAACATGAATCCCCGGATCGTTCGCCGTGTACAGCTTCGTCCCCAAAGTTCCCCCGACCGACAGATCATTCGTTCCTGAGCCCGAGACGTCCAAATTGACGCACTGCGGATAGTTCTGCGCACCCCCGATATCCTGCGACTGATGCAATGCGATGATCTCGTGACGCAGCACATACTTTCCCGGCGCGACCGATGCTGGGATGGTGACGGTCCACGAGTTGTTGTTCTGCATCAGCTGTGATGAGCCCCAGATGCCAGGGAAAGGTTGTGTGGAAGTCATGCCCATCTGGTCGATCTTTGTCCATAGCGCGGTAGACTTGTCGAGCGTCGCGCAGTCGTTGTTGGGGCAGGGGCTGAGGTAGGTCAGCACTGGGCCGACGTTGTGTGGCCACGCAGTCCACAGCAGCTGGACAGTCGAGCCAGCGGCGACTTTGACGTAGGCTCCTCCAGGGGTCGCTTCGCGGTGGCAGACGATGTCGGTGCTGGTGTAGTCGTTGACGAAGCCGTTGTCGGTGTCTTTGGGGACGCTCCAGCCTGCGACTACAGGGATAGGGTTCATCCATTGGAATTGCGGGGAATAGCCGCGGTACCATTGGCCGTTTGCCACGATACCTTGGACTGTTCCGTGGGCTGATGCAGGCAGGGTAAGTGAGGCCAGAAGGAGAGTGCTGGTTAGTAATGATCGTGGTGAATGCATTCTGTTGCCGTTGTATGCTGTGTGAAGACCAAGAGAGTGAAGTCCTGGCTCGAAATGAGCGACTACTGCGACAAATGCAGTGAATTGTTGAATGAACGACAGCTGCAACACATGCAGTCAATGTGAAATGAGCGACAAGAGGTTGGTTGGTACTCAGCGCACGGTCAGGTCTGGCCCGACTGATATAGGCGTGGCTTTCACATTACCAGCATAACCACATTTGCTGAATTCCGCAACCCTAGCTTGGCATCAAGCCACTCGCTTACCACGAATGCGGGTTTGCGATGCCTCTGGCATGTCTTCGCGGTACTCTGCATCGCAATGATCCCGATGGTACTGTGGTGTCGCAAACGCACCCTGATGGTAGGTAATTGATTGAAGACGTTGTTCTGTGTTGCACGGACATCTCATCCTTCCCTTCGGAATGCTCGCGGACAATTGTCTGCCATAGGCACGTGTGCCACGTGAGGCAGCATCTGGAATGTGGCGCCACAAGCTTCGAGGCCAACACGGTAGCCTGCCTGGTTCATTGGCATGGTGTATCTAAGAAGCGACAAGTTCATGCTCTTGAACGTGGGTCGCATGCAAGATGAAGCATGTCCTTTGGGTCTAATGCGAGATCGATTCGAGGCCCTAAGCGCCTTTCCCTGATGAAACTATCAAGCGTCATAAGCCTGATTGGTCCGCAGTTGACCAGTTGCTTTTATCAAAGGGATCGGAACGGCTCGCCTCTGATATCTCGGAATCGCCCTTGACTGATGTGGTGGCGTAGTATTCACGGCTTTCAGGAAGCAGCAGACGACCAGTAAATTCTATCCGTCCTTCCTTCCACGCCTGCTCGTCAAAGACAAGGCCACAATGGATCTTCGGAAAATAAGCCACCTGGTCTCCTTGTTTCACCTGTCCGAAGGCAATGCCTGGGAGGAGGGAAGCTTGGCTGGGGCGGGATGCTGTATGCGAGGCTAGCTCCACCGTTACTGCAGACGTGTGCTGTTCCAGTGACGCCGGCGCCTGCGACGAAGCGAATTGCGCCATTGTTGGGCGAGGTGAACGACGCCGCGGCAGGATAAGGGAAGAAGCATCGAGCGCACGGATGCGAGAGAAATTCCTCTGGAGCGTGGACTCGACCATGGAGTCTCTAGTCAAATCCGCGTCGATTGATTCTGGGTCAAAAATGAGTTCCAGGCTGAATGATTCTGGTTCAGTTGGTTTTATTCTAGTCAAATCCACGCCGATTGATTCTGGTTCAGCGGGCTCCATCTGATCAACGACTCGGCTGGATGAGATTTGTCCAACATGAAACGCCTGCACTTTAAGGAGCTTAGAATAGGGATTCTTTTCCTCGCGTTGATCGACGAAGTCTGCTGCATGTAGACCGAAAATCCGCGTGAGCGTACCAATCTGCTCGTACATCTTCCAATCTCTGTCCTTCTTCCATTCAAGTCGCATACCATCGATGACATTCACGAGCAAAGAATGGATGCTTCAGGTATAGGACACGTTGATGGGACGTGTTGTGTCGGGGTTTGCGAGTCCAAGCATGGCGAAGACTCTGTCATGGTCCACACAACATTCATTCAAGCCGTTGTCGTTCACTAGACTGAATAGTGAAGGTTTCGTACGCCGATCAGAGAAGAGAACACGTTGTCGTATCAAGTTTGCCGCCGGACTATAATCGATCGAGTTCCATACTTGCCGCACGGCGTAAGTTCGGTAACGGGACCGCGAGTCAGGAACCAAGTCGCGGATCCGCGTCCAAGATACAGAGCGACGGCCACATGTAATCTCCAGCTCTCGAGCAAGCAAGAACTCCTGAACGACCCAGCAGCGTGACCAATAGCTCTGGCATGCCCATTTGCGTACTGATTCCACTTGTTCATATGACAGTGGTTTTTCCAGCATATCCAGGGTGTTCGTCCATGAGCGCGAATTAAAGATATCCATCGCTATGTCGCTTGCCGGTGTGCCAGGCCCAGCCACGCAATGACATTCCTGGCACCACGGAAGAGCTGCTGCATGTAACGGACCTGAGAGGCGCGTTCTTCCAGATCCTCTTGGTTGATACAGACCGCATCTATCCAGAGTAGAGCAGGTCCATCTCGCGATGAGCGCCATTCTAGCAGGAACCCATAAAGATTTTGTGATATCGAAAAAAGCGAATCGTTGACTATGATCTTATGCGAAGGTTCGTCTTCGGCCCAAGTGTAAGATAACGCTGTATAGTCCAGCGACGTTCGGTTGTCCAAGGGGAGCTCTTTGACTGCCAACCGAAATGTCATCAGTTCCGTGTACTGATTCGCTTCATACTCGAGCAGTCGAAAGTGGACTCCAGTGGAAGGAAGTGGATCGTACTCATACAAGGCTGCCATTGTTGATTTGGATCATTGTCGCGTAAAGCTTGACAGGGATCGAAGGCTGACGGCCGTGAGACACGACATACACAGTCTCGTGCCTAGGCGCCGTTCATATTCCAGATCCATGGACAGGCGGGCTTACTGCAGGTGATCTGCTTCAACGATACGTTGTCACCCGGCAAAGCAAACTTAGTTGTGCCGGACGAAACGAGAGAATGGTGCAGACTGCAGTGCTTCTCGTGAGCATGGCGTCGAAGAGCGGTAAGAGCCTCATGATGAAACGACGGGACAAGGTCCAAGCAGTACCAATCTCTGAAGTTGAAAACGGAAAGTCCTGCCAAGCTGCGACGCCCGATCGCAAAAGTTCCCTGCCAAAAGTCCCAAGCCACACACAGTTGTGCCCGTTTCTGTAAAGCCTTAGGTTCCCGACGTCGGCTTCCGTAGAAGGACTGTCACGAACACGTTGTCCAGAGTTGACGTGGTCATAATGTCAATGCGATTGTTGCCTACATCGGTATGCTCAACTTCCTTCAGTCCGTCGTTCGTCGCTCATCACCTCGCGCCCATTAAAGCCGCCAACTCCTCCGGACTCAGCGTACTCCTTCTCCTCGCCCGGTCAACACGTTTCTGCTTCGGTTTCCGCTTGTGGGTGACCTCCTCATTCCGCTCCGCCTCTGCCATGACAGCATCAGCCTCGATTGCTTTGAGCTTCTCGGAGACTGTCATCGGAGGTGATTGTGGGGCCTTCTTGGTCTGTCGAGGTATTCGAGAGATTGGTCGGGTGTTCTCGTCTATGATGCCGTCGAGAGAGTCGATGGAGGACGATGGTGTGATAATATGAGGTTGATTTGTGGTATTGCTGATCTCTTGAAGCGGTGGGTGAGGCAGCTTGATCCCTCGTCTTGCGGGCGATGCTGCCAGACGCTTTGCTGACGGCTCGGGTGGGATGTCGAGGTCCGAGTCTTCGTCGAATCGATCATCAGCGATAGATGGGGCAACCTCTGACTGATCGTGGTTGCCGTTATGCTCTTCTGATATGGCGCTCGGCTCTTCTTCGTCAACCGTACCGAGGACAGGCTCGCCGTTAGGGAGCACAGCGATACTTCTGCCGAAGCTGAGATCGCTCAGGTCCTCAGCCATGACTTCGTCGCCCTCAAGGACCTTCTGACGCCAATTGTTCATCATTGTGACAGCCTCTTTCCATCTGCTGGCCATCTTCTCCCAGCCGATGCGCAGCTTGATGATCTCTTCGTCTCGGAGGTGGACTTCTTCGATAGGCACGAACGAGGGGTCTTTGAGGATTGCCTGACATCTTGAGAGGACTTCGCTCATCTGCTGCTGGAGTGTAACGCATGGGATAATGCTGTCGCTGTCGGCTGATCTGCGGTATTGGCCTGGTATGCCAATCGCATTGTCTTCTTCTGTGGGCTCGGGCTCGACGCCAGTGAGGTCTCGAAGCGTTTCCATCGTGTCCGAGATGAGCTTTCGCAGGATGACATTCTCTGAGCTCGTCTCGTTGACGATGGCGGCGAGGAAGTCGTTGGTCTCCTTCTCCAAGCTCCAGTCTGTGCTGTTGACATCTTGGGAGCCTTTGCCGGCCTTTGAGGATGGCTGAGGGCGGATGATGTTGACTTTCATGCCTGACGCTTCCCTCTTGCCCCGCTGCATGCTGTTCAGGTGCGACTTGAGCTTCTCCAGCTCGACGTCTCGTTTTCGGACATCGCTGATGCATTTCGCTCGGACTTGGTCGAGAGTCGACTTCATCTTGAGCATCTGTTCTTTCAGCTCTTTCGCCTGCTGTTCTGCACGCTGTGCCGCCACCTTAAGACTTCGCTGCTGTGCCTCCGCTGTAGCCAGAGTTCGGAATAGCTCCCCGTTCTTGTCTTGCACTTTCTGAAGATCAAGTACTCTCTGGTTCTCCTCGGCGCGCATAGATCGGATGTTGTTGGCGAGAGCTTCTCGCTGATCAGCGTCTCGGTCTCGGCGCAGGACAAGTTCGTGGACGAGGTTGATGACTCGCGACATGTTGGCTTCGGCATTCTTGCTGCTACCTCGTTCGGTGAAGTCGATGGGTCGGCCATCTTGCAGCAGTCCTCGAGCCAGCAGAAGATTGTTCAGGTACTTTGACGCGCTTTCCAGGCTCGAGGCAGCCATTGTACGCTGTCTTGATGAACGTGAGGGAAGATGTCGCAGCGGGGACAAAAGGTAAACACCAAGAAATCAAGTGCCAAGACATTTCGACGCGACTTCCCATTTCCCCGCGTTTCGGCCAATCTGCTATCAAACAGCCGTTCCCTTTGCCTCTCACCTCACACTTCTCATCCATCGAACCAGCTTCTCTGTTAACGGCTACTTGAGCATTGTCGATGCCAGGGCGAACTCTATGTCAACGATGTGAATACCTGAATCGGCATTCGCGATCATTCTGGCTACCAAATGAGCGGAACTCGAGTATCACTGACCTTATCCCACACTCGAAATATTCCATGCCAGGGCGGCCTCGGCGTCAAAGATCTGGATAGATGCCCGCTGCCATGCCGAAGGAGACATTCGAGACCCTCCTGGCCACAGGATCAAAGGCGTACACCACCAACAACCATGCCGTCGCCATCAAAGCCTTTCAGGAGGCCTTCCAGATCGCACAGACACCCAAACGACGAATGCAGGCTCTCGACATGCACATTGCGCCGATGACGAAGCTGAAGGATCTGGATAGAGCGATGACTATTGCCAAAGACATGATCCGACTCAATAGGACCTCCCCGCAAGGCTACCTGCGTGCTGGCCAGATCGACCGCCTTCGCAAGCAGCCAGAAGCAGCAGCCAAATGGTATCGCCAAGGACTCAAACATGTGTCCAGCCACGACAGCGAATATCGTCAATTGGAAGCAGGCTTGACCAAGTCTAATGACCTCGAGATCAGCTTGAGAGTGAGATCGTGTCCACGCGATCCATTCACCACATTTCCTGTCGAGGTGGCAGAAATCATACTGCAATATCTCACCTACAGAGACATGTCAGGCGCACTCCGGGTGTCAAAGGGCTGGAACAACTTTCTCTGCAAGTCAAAGCTCATGACGACCACCCTGGATTTCTCCGGTGGTGAACAAGGACGCAGGACCGAGGTCACCCTTGTTGCCCTGAAGGCCGCCCTGCGGAGGTTGACTCAGTATCCAAAAATCGCGAGGATGAACCACTTGAGCATCACAGCGACGGCCGACTTGAACAATCGACTCCCGCACTGGTTTCGGCGAGACACACTCGAGACGTTCACCCTCGATTCAACGATACCGGACAGCACTCTTTCCATTCTGTTAACGAGCACCGCACTGCAGGAGCTCAAGATCCTCTCTGACAACGGACTTGCACTGGGGCTTGTCCTGACTCATTGCAGGGCTCTCAAGCGATTGACCCTCATTACCAGTCCAAAGGCCGCCCGGAATGCTAGTTGGATCAATGGACTATACATCGATCATCCCGAGCTGCAAAGTCTGCACTACCACAACCGTGATCCGGAAACATTCTTCTCCATTGGTCGCATCACGTCGCCGAACCTCAAACATCTCAGCTTACGCAGAGTCGGTTCCAGCGACCTGAAGCTGTGAGTATTCTTCGTGTCAGAGTCCGCCCTGATGCCTTTCTCTATTGCTCTTGTTTCCATGCTGCCCTCCACTCCAGTCCTTCACCCCTCCCTCACGTCCCGATTTCAGCTAACATAGACTCTAGCGACCAACTCCTGAATCTTCGGTCTGTCGCATTTGACGACTGTGCTATAAGTGGCCATATCACGTTGCCAGTCAGCCTTCAACACCTGCTGTTTGGAGCGGCCAAATACATAATACGAACGCTCACAACCAAGCTACCAAACCTCGTGTCGCTCGCCATGTACGACAACGCAAGAGGTCATGCCCCAACCGAGATGTTCCTCGATCCCAAGCCCTTCCTCGAGAGTGTTGACATTTCCTCCGACTTGGTCAATGATCATTCAGCGATTCGATTGGCTGCACTGCCGCGCTTGCGGAAAGTTGCTATTTCAGATAACTCGAAAATTACCGGAGTATTCGTCAAAACCCTGCTGGAGCAAACACAAGGCCAGATCGAGCGGATAGAACTACAGAGATGCACGAACGTTGGCACCGACACCGCGGAATGGGCTCGCCAGATGCATAAAGGCACTGTGGTCAATGTACGCCCAGGGGAGGGGTCTGTGTCGTGGCCGGTACTGCGTGGATTTCCCCACCAGGGAGGGCGCTGAAGCTACGAGAATGTTTCGCTGCTGGAGTCGGCAGGCTTGAGTTGAGCCTTAATTGCGCGTCAATTGAGCATCAGAAGCAGACTCATCGTGGAGATTGGGCCAGGGAGTCCGCTGTATGGACTTTCAACACGCCCGGACCACATGCGATTTCAGGTGTCTAGGCACGTGACAGCAATGCGAAGCTCTCATTCTGCTCATCCAAAGCGAAGGCCACCGTGTCCAGCCGCGATCGGAGAAGTCTTACGTACGATTTGGACGACAGAATCAGACATCGCGAGCGGGACCGCGCAGCCTTTCCGGCCAGACCAATCATATCGACGCATTTGTTTCCGAGGGGACGGTGGGCGGGGGAGGTGGTGGGGAGGAGGTGGCCGCGAAGCGGCCACCGACTCACCACCACCTCAGGCGAGCG